TGTAAAATTTCAAAGAATATAGTCTTTGACATAAAAGTGTGTAAAAATACAAAGACTATAGTCTTTTGTAAAAGTGTGTAAAAATGCAAAGACTATAGTCTTTTTAAGTAAAAAGATGTGTAAAATACAAAGACTATAGTCTTTGACGTAAAGATGATGTAAAAATGAAAGACTATAGTCTTTTGCGTAAAGATATTAATAAAAATGCAAACACTATAGTCTTTTTCAAAAAGTCTATAAAAATGCAGACTATAGTCTTTTGCGTAAAAGTGTGTAAAAATACAAAGACTGTAGTCTTTTGCGTAAAAGTGTGTAAAAATGCAAAGAATATAGTCTTTTGTGTAAAAGTGTGTAAAAATGCAAAGACTATAGTCTTTGGCAAAAAAGTGTGTAAAAATGCAGACTATAGTCTTGCGTAAAAGTGTGTGAAAATGCAAAAACTATAGTCTTTGGCAAAAAAGTGTGTAAAAATGCAAAAGCTATAGTCTTTTGCGTAAAAGTGTGTAAAATTTCAAAGAATATAGTCTTTGACATAAAAGTGTGTAAAAATACAAAGACTATAGTCTTTTGCGTAAAAGTATGTAAAAATGCAAAGACTATAGTCTTTGCGAAAGATGTGTAAAAATGCAAAGACTATAGTCTTTTATTAATGAAAAGATGTGTAAAAAATGCAAAGACTATAGTCTTTTGCGTAAAAGATAAAATTACAAAGACTATAGTCTTTGCATAAAGAGTAATAAAATGCAAAGACTATAGTCTTTTGCGTAAAGTGTGTAAAATGCAAAGACTATAGTCTTGCGTAAAAGATGTAAAAATAAAAGACTATAGTCTTTGACGTAAAGATGATAAAAATGCAAAGACTATAGTCTTTGGCAAAAAGTTGTAAAAAATGCAAGACTATAGTCTTGCGTAAAAGTGTGAAAATGCAAAGACTATAGTCTTTTGGAAAAAGATGTAAATGCAAGACTATAGTCTTTTGCGTAAAGAATGTGTAAAATTTCAAGAATATAGTCTTTGGCATAAAAGTGTGTAAATACAAAGACTATAGTCTTTTGCGTAAAGATGTGTAAAATGCAAAGACTATAGTCTTTTGCGTAAAGATGTGTAAAATGCAAAGACTATAGTCTTTGACGTAAAAATAATAAATGCAAAGACTATAGTCTTTTGCGTAAAAAGTGTAAAATCAAAGACTATAGTCTTTGCGTAAAGATGTAAATACAAAGACTATAGTCTTTGCAAAAAAGTGTGTAAAAATGGAAGGACTATAGTCTTTGCGTAAAAGTGTAAAATAAGACTATAGTCTTTGCGTAAAAGTGTGTAAAATACAAGACTATAGTCTTTTGCGTAAAGTAAGTAATAAAATGCAAGACTATAGTCTTTTGCGGCATAAATAGATGTAAAATGCAAAAGACTATAGTCTTTTGCAAAAAAGTGTGTAAAAATGCAAAGACGAAAGTCTTTTGCGTAAAAGTGTGTAACAATGAAAAGACAATAGTCTTTTGCGTGAAAGTGTGTGAAAATGCAAAGACTATAGTCTTTGATGTGAAAGTGTGTGAAAAAGCAAAGATTATAGTATTTGGCCAACATTCATTTCAATTTATCAGAAAGTCCAGTCTTCAAATGTACACGACTTGCAAATAAATCAAAACGTACAAAAAATAATATTTGCATAAGGTTTACATTTTTCAAATCTTCAACGGTTGTTCTTACCTTCTTTTATATCCATAGGTTGTTCAGGGTTAAGGTAAAGACTGTAAAAGGAATATATATATAGTTCATGCACGTTAATCACCCAAAGACTATAGTTCACGCACGTAACTCCCAAAGACTATATATAGTTCATGCACGTAAGGCCGAAAGACTATAGTCCATGCACGTAATTCCCAAAGACTATAGTTCATGCACCTAACACCCAAAGACTATAGTTCACGAACATAACTCCCAAAGACTATAATAGTTCATGCACCTAACACCCAAAGACTATACTTCATGTACATAACACTCAAATACTATAGTTCACGAACATAACACCCAAAGACTATAGTTCATGAACATAACACCCAAAGACTATAGTTCATAGTTCACCACACCTATACAAACAGACAATTCACCACACCTATACAAAGACAATTCACCACACCAAGACAAACAGGCAATTCACCACACCTATACAAACAGGCAAATCACCACACCAAAGACAGATATCAACCCAAGGAATACAAAATACCCTGCTTATCTCTCATTTTCTCATACTGTCACTTGACACCTCGAATTTTGTTCATAATTTTGTGTTAAAACGAGAAAGATGTCGGTCGCGCATTTGTTGCTGAAAATCCATCGATTCACAAATACACAATAAAAGTAAAATTTTTTAAGAAATTTTGACTTATAAACATTCCAGACAATAGTCGTAGCTAGCACGCTAAAGTACAATTTGAAAAGACATTAAAACACACAAAATTGTCGTTTTTATACTGACAAGGTCCTCTTGCAAAGCAAAACACCGTCAAAAACACGTAGTTAAACGCCTAATTTCAAAAAAATTACCTAGGGAAAGCTATACACGTACAATACGTAACTATACATCAAAAAGATTTTTTGTCATCGAATTTATCGACATTTAAAATACTCTTTTAAATAACAAAAATTTTACAAACATACCTTTCTCTTTCGAGTCTTTGGGCATCTAGTTCTGTTAAAAGTGGTAGACGTATGCACATTTGGAGGCCTGATTTCATTGGCTAATTTCGATGAACTAAACTAAAATATGAACGATAAGTTTTGCCGGCTGAATGAGAAGGTACTCTGTACTTTTTTCCACATCTTTCTTTGAAACGAAGATAGTTAAAAAGCAAGCACAATTTTCTGATTCCAATTCTTACATTTCCTTTGAACATAATGAACAAGTAGATCTACAAGTGATGTAAATGAATTGAATCCCCACAAATCTTTTGATTATAACCAAAAGTGAAGTATCCTCCTAATAATAATGTGAAGAAACAACAAAGATTTGTTGAAAATCACTTGTTTAGTGATTATTAAGAATGACTAATCTGGTTGGTGACTTTAGTGATACCAACATGTAAAGTGTCTTAATGTTCTAATATCAAGCTATAAATTAATAATAGTTGTAATAATGACTCATATTGTTAATGACATTTTGTAATACCAAGTATTGAATGCTCAAAGAATCGAGTTCTCGGAAATCTTAAGCGGAAAATTCCCAGCGTAAAATAAAGTTAAGTTTGCAAGTCTATTTATAATAATATGTCTACTGATTTTACGAAAATCACTAAAATGCTTTTCTTATGGTAACTTTAATAAACTTAGTGTAAGAATACATTGTCTACCACAGAATGCCCAGGTGTCGATAAACAATGCCCAGAATGAAATAATGTAAGTAAAAGGCGAAAAAATTACTACTACAACATAAAATTTGCATGTTTATATGATTTATGATATACTAGTGTTTTTTTCGCTCATCATCAACATGATTTCACTAAGGGAATTTTATCTTGACTTCCGAGCCATGCAACGAATCTTTTCGAACATTCTCATGCGTTCTTTGTAGAACCAAACACAGAAGCTGACGGTAGATGACGAGATGTGACAAAACGTAAAAAAACGTATGCATTGCTGCACAATTATTATTTTATATAACAAATATTGCAGTACAAACATGGTATCAGCAATGACAAGACCATTACTTTAAGTAGTTATACGTTTGTCATTCTCACTTTCATCGTTGCTATTTTCTCTCTCATACAAGCAATGTGTGACTAGTACAGACCTTTGTTACATACACCATTAACCCATTTGTTCTACATTCTCCAATGATCACAATATGTACAATTTATTCAACGGTACCATATCCACAGAAAAGCTAATGTCGCCAGTAATGACACAGTTCCAATGTTTGTCAATATCTTTTCAATTTTGCTCTCAAGAAGAACGTCATCCACATCAATTTCTACCGTTGCTTCCACTTGAAACTCCGATAACTTCATGTTCCCCACGTGAACATTGCCCATTCCATTATTTGCATGACCGTTGGTGGTGTGGCCGTTGGTTGTATGACCGTTAGTTACCCCACTGCATATTTTTCCATTGTTATTATCGCGACTGTCTCCTCCAACTTTGTTTATACTGCCATTTACAATATAATTACTGCCCAATTCAACTAAAAAGCAAAAATATTTTTATTTGCCAAATGATTAGCATTTCATTCTCACTCACTTTGATTTACTCAAGCAACCGTAAATTGGCAACATTCATCATTTCAAATTAAACGAAATATTGCATAAGTTTTTTTAAGATTCTTCCAAGAGATCAATTCAGAACTGTCTATCCTTGATTCAGCGTTAACACAGACAAAGATCAATGCAGGATTATCTATCACAGATTCAGCGTTAATACAAAACAAAATCCCTGCTTACTGTCTTCAGCTGCGTGGTTTAGTTGTGGTTCTACTTCTCTCTGCTTCTTCTGCTTTCTTATGGTAGCCCAAGTCAGACCGGCAATTTCTTCCACAGGTATAGGGGCTGTAAGAAGACTTATGACGACAATAACGAAAACTGTTCCAACAAACAAAATTACACCTAAAAGAAAGGAAATATCTCAGAGATGATATTGTATCGTAAATCCACTTCTAAAAAAACAAACATACGGAAAATTATCCTTTAGTGCAGTAAATGGCAATACTTAAGAAAATATTAACTTACCAAAGTACATGAAATTCAGAGAAACAAAACCGGGTCGATCATCAATTTCACCACATTTTGGAGGTGGAAAAACATATTCTGTTGCAAAACGTGCAATGCCAAGGACAGTGCCAAACACCAAACCTTTGAAAGAGAAATGTAGAATGGATGTAAGAAAACTCTGATAAATATTTTAAAACATCAATTAAATCATCAAGCGAGGCAGAAGTATCAAAAAGAAGCAACACAAACACAAGACCTTTTACCTGCTAAACCTCCCCAGCCGTTAGCTCGTGGCCATAATATTCCGATCAAAAATACTGCCATGATTGGTGAACCTAGTAGTGCCTGAATAGTTTGGATGTATTTGAAAAGTCGACTGCCGCTTCCACCTATAAAACAACAATGGTTAAAATTTGTTGTTGCATAAATATGCTTTACAATACGCAAAGTAATTATGGAGGGTAAATAAAACAATGTTTTGTAGGAATCAACAAAATTATTGAAATGACTAATTTAAGGAGATGGATTCACAATGGTTATGCTTGTATGTGGATGTTAAATTTCGGTGAGTATTTGTTGCCGTACCATGTCATATTTTTTTAAGTAAGATTTTAGCCTAAGTGTGCTCCATTAAACACCATTCACAATGGCTTTTGCTTCAATGTTTGGTGTATTGGTATTCTGTAGTGTAATTGATTATCCCCTGAACCCCTTCTAACCATAGCTATAGAAGCACCCCTCTAAAAAATCCATCCAAGAATTTAAATAGTTACAATAAATTGGGCGAATACTTACTATCAATGAATGGTAACCAAACAATACCAAAACCAATCATTGAAAGAACAACGATCCGACCAACTATAACTTTTTCCTTATCTCCAGCCTGCAGAAAGAAGAAAAAGATTCAAACCAAGTCTATATAAAGTCGTATAAACAAAGTTTATGCAGTTTTATCAAAACATTTAAAAAGTCATGGGCCACAAACAATTTCGATTACCATTGAAATGAAGTTGAAGTAGACGTTATAAAAAATAGCAACTGCATTGTAAAATTCAATCATGCACCTTAGGTCTGAAATAGCTCCAAACATCAACGGTGAATATTGTACTACAACTGTTGTAGACAGAAGACAATGATGACATCACTGCGGCAACCATAACTGCTGTCATTAAACCGGTTAAACCAACTGGAAGTAACTCGAAAACAAGTCTACAAAAAAATTTATTAGAAATTTGTTTGAATGTAATCCTAAGCAAATATTCGCATATTCAAAAATAATGTAAGAACGAACTTGGGATATGCTCTGTTGGTGCATCCAAATTCGTTATCACATGCTATTTTACAGCTTTCGGCATTCGGGCAAGCGATCATATCAGCATATAATACTCGCGATATCATTCCTGGCATAACCATTATAAACATTGGTAACACTTTAAGAAAGCCAGCTAAAATAGTACCACCTTTCGCATGGGCTAATGACTTTGATCCTAAAGTTCGTTGAACTATGACCTATATGAGTAGAATGAGTTGAAAATGAGTATTTTGAAGACACTATGAAATGAAAGAAACTTAATAAAAGACGGTTGTTTTTGAATTTAATAAAAGAAAAGAATGATAAATCGATTTCAAAACGAAAACAAAGTGTCAGTTGATATCCTTGGTTTATGCGACTGAAATAAAAACATGCACAAACAGAGTTACCTGATCAGTACACCAGTACCATATTCCAATGATAGGTAAGGATAACCAGATACCTAACCATGGATAATCAGGGTCATCAATGGGTCGAAACATATTAGCCCAATAACCAGTCATAGCGTAACAACTGGACATGTTAGAACTATTATTGGTAATTGCAGAGTTATTCGTGTCGTTAGCAATGTATGGAGCACCAACAGCTTGAGGGAATTTTTCCCATAGCTTATCGATACCACCAATCTCATTAAAACCTGTAAAGTATAAAACAAATCACAATTCACCGCAAAATTGTTATTTACAAAAACTTGTACTACGAACAGTGACAATGTAATATACACAAAAACTTTTCTTAATGTTCGTTTGAAGTAAAAAAAATTACAAATTTAGAAAAACAATAACATTTCAGTGATGCAGAATGTCACTAAACTAATAAGAAAAACGCAAATTTTACCAATAACAGTCAACACAATTGCACCAATTAACATGATTGCACATTGTAAAACATCTGTATATGTTACAGCCTCAAGACCACCTACATAACAAAAGCAAGTATAATATAAAATCAAAACACAGAAATCCTTCTAGTAAAATATGGATGATATAATTAAAATCATCCACCTAGAATCACGTAGAGAGCTGTAATTGCAAGAATGATAACAGCTGAAATATAAATATTTGTTCCTGTAGCCTCTCTGAAGTACAAGCTGCCAGCATAAATGTCAACCTGTAAAATTTATAAATTGCTTAATTCAAAAACACAATCATTATTTTAAAAATGTCCAAAATATTGTCATTTCATGAAAATTTTAAAAATGTGTCAACGTTTACGTATTTTGGTATTGTTAGGTTTATCTAAAAGTAAAACAAACATCGGGACAATCAAAAACCGGGACAGCACTTCGTAAATGCCTCAATTTAAACGTCTTGCGAAATGAAAATATTACATGATGCCAAAATACATATATGTTGACACGTTTTTGAGAACTTTTGATGAAATGATAGTTTTCTGGATGATGCCAAAATACATATATGTTGACACGTTTTTGGGAACTTTTGATGAAATGACAGTTTTCTGGACAGTTTTTAAATTGTCTAACATTTTTTATACATTGTAATAAAACATAAAACTTACCGAGATTTTCGTAAAAACGTAACTAATCAACGCCATAATAGTCATGAATTGTTGAATAGCCGTACTCTTATAACGGTTCTTTAAATACTCAGGCATTGTATAAACCTATAATACAGAGACAAACAGTTTTTCTAATCGTTGCAACAATAGCAAAGGTATAAATACAGTAGGTGAATATACCCCTCCTTTCAGGTAAATAGGAACAAAAACATATCCTAACAGCAGTAAGATCCACGAAGCCTAAAACACAAAATCAATTCGGACATGAAAAACTATGAACATTTTTCGGTAAAATGAATATTTGTCCAGACACAGTTATAGTGAAAAATCAACTCATAGCAAATCACCAAAAACATAAAAGTATCAAATTATATAACCTGCCATTCATAAGCAACGACTGCTATACCAGTTGCAGCACCATCACCAGCAATACCAACAAAATGCGTTCCACCCATATTACTGGCAAATAGACTGCCACCAACCATCCACCATGAAAGGTTACGACCAGCAAGAAAAAATTCCTCAGATGTCTCCTCTTTATTGCTCCTGCGCTTACGCAACTTAACCTATACATGTAAACATTATGGATAGGATTTGAAGGTGTTTTATTGAGAAAACGATAAAAAGATGCTTACTAAAAGTCCGAGAGACACTGTGATAACAAAAAATAAACCAACAACAAGCCAATCTTCCCAAGAAAACGAACTCGCCATTTTATCTTCACACTCTAAAAAATGACAAAAAAGAGATACAAAAAACCTGAAAGTTTGCATGCAGCTCGTTAAAATAATTCGGCAAATCATCGTGCTAAAAAACATGACAGTTTCTATTAAAGCAAAACAAAAAAGAGAAGATCTTACGTGGTTTAAAATAATATCTAAACATGGTAAAATTGGTTTTTACAATAAACTAGTACGTAGTCTTTTTCTTGTTGTTCATTTGATTTCAAATGAAAGACAAAAGTTACGTTGTGGCTTAACTTGCAATAATTATAACAAATTATAAGTGAAAATTACAGTTCAAAATTATTTTGACAATGCTATATGTTCTAATAAACTATAAGAATTAAAAAACCCATTTTTTTGTGATTGTCGAACAACTTTTAACGGAATAACGATCATTTAGATTGCAAATGAGAATCTTCTTAAACCAAAACATAAACAATGCCATTTAAATTGGAAATTTATCGTTCACAAATACTCAAATACTCAATATAGGTTGTCGTTGCAAGATTTGCGCGTCAAAATTCATCATTTCAATTAAACTGCGACTTAATTTTAACTATGACTTTCTATTAGTTTAAAATGAAAGAACGCAATAATTTCCACTCGCTTTAGGTTAAAGTAAACAAAACAATGGACTGGTAACCAGTGTTTCATTAAGACGAAGCCAGAATGAACTTCGACCAATAGTCATAATCAATTATCTCATTAAAAAATTAGTCATAGATATTTATGTTCTAGGCATGGTGAGGTAAATGCAATAAACATATGGTTAAAAACATCGAATCTAGAACAATCAAAAAACGTAGAGTTGATGTATAATGACGTTACAAGTTCACGCTGTATGTCATTTTAAAACAGGTCATTTTTCAACACGTCGATATGAAATATGTGGGTTTCATAGAAAAACAATATCATTATGACACGCAATATGTTGAAAGGGAAATGAAGGGCAAAGAGCTAACCTTTTTAAGAATAGAATGAAATGGAACATGATTTAAAAAAACAATAAGTTCATAAATGCTGGCGATGATAAACTATATGTTTTATATAGTAGCAGAACTCAACGATATAGATTGGCGTTATTGACATTTGATGTTTTGAAAAGTGACACAAATTTTGATCTTCCGGGAAATGCTCTCGATTTCCCCAGTCAAAATAAAAAATCATGCTCAATCTTTGCCTTTATCTTATGAAAAATATGAATGTCTGGATATATTTGTTAAAAGTAGGCAATACCATAGAGTCTTACAATAAATAAATGTTACACAGTTTTCAGTTCTTTAACTGTGTTTTTGCTGGACGTACAGCTTGTTCATCTAGGGTTTCTATTAAAGAAAGCAAAATAACCTCGACAGCACACTAGAGCTAGTAAAATATATAAAAAAAAATTTTTGTCAGTTTTTATGCCGCTGCTTTCAAAGCGTTTTAACAATCATTTTTCAACGCAAAAATTTACATAGTATTATAGTTTCATATTTCAGTGGTCTGTTACCGCGCAATTGAAATATGATGCAAATAATAACTTCGTGAATAAACTCTGATTGCAACACTATTGTGTCCACTCATCAGGTAGCTAAGTACATACCACAGAACTTTTATCAGCCCCAAAATAAAGCAAATAAAAAAAAATTAAAACACGAGTCGTGATAATGAATAACAGGAATTAAAGAAGTTTTTCTGCATCAAACAGTCATCAAATATCCTTAGCTATAATTATTAGGTCATATCCACAATGAACTTCAGTTGTAGAGATAAATGACGAGTGAAATAATTAATATAAATTAATATGCACTTGGATTAAATTTTGCTATGTAATTACATATCCAGACAGCTAAATTTTTGGCTTCAATCAAACCTAAGCATGTTTTCTGTCATGCTTATATAAATTTCAATATGTGTGACGTGACGATCTCCATGGTGAAGTGAAACATCACGAGGTTTGCCAGCATTGGGACCAACCCACTGAAACGCCTGCTGCCACTTCTGTCACACAACGCATTATTTATAAATATTCGGTTAAATTCGGTTTCAGTGAAAACTCCATATTGAAATCTATCATTCTCAGAAACCAAAAACACCCATGGAGTAATTTATTCCTACGTATAAATAAAAGACGCAGATAAACGTATCTTTTTTTGATGCGCAGCTTGTAGGATATGGGATATACCGGTACACACGCCATAATTTGTACAAATACTAAGCAAATACGAAAATAAAAAGCAATTTACTCTTTCTGTTTCAGGATAAATTGATCGATGAACTTTAACAATCCTTCACAAGCTAATTCATGGTTCTAGTTAAATTTACCGATAAAATTTCCATCTCAAATATCATGCCGTTATGTTACAGCCAAAGCACAAAGTTCATGTTGTCTACGGTCTCCCTAAGTTAGTTCGTGCTGTCCACTACTTCATGGTACTTTATTTTAGTTTCAACGGTTGAGAACACCATACGTTAAATTAAAAGCGTTATTTCTTTACAAAATGATCACGATATCGAAATCAATAACTATAGGAGTTAGTCTTAGTACACAAAAAATGCTCACTTGAATAAATAGTTGTAATCTTTGAATCAAGAAAGTTTTCAGACAAAATATTTTTTAATGAAAACGTCGTTCACGCAACAAAACTTTTTTACGAAATACGAAGTTATTGGATAGCATGTAGAAAAAATATTGTTAGTTCTATATAAAGCGACGTGGCAAAGGCTCAAGACATCGAGAAAAGTGATGATTCACCCCACATTTGTTAGAACATTCTTATCATTCTTGCTTATCACCATGCAATGAATTAGTTTCTGAGATAACTGAAATATCATTTCTTTTCATGGAAAAATAAGAATTTCTATACATAATCACGAGAGTATTGAAAACAGAGATAAAATAAAAACACATTGAGTTACTTTCATTAACGGCATGTTTATGAAGTAGTCTATATAACAAGTCTTATTAATCAAATGTCGTACTAAACAGTAAGTTTATTTGATAAATGAAAATATAATTTAGTTTCATAACAGATATTGAGAAAATTTTTTTGTTAATAACTTCATAACTTTCACTCAAGCCAGCCGTTACAATGGCGTGTCGCTGAAGTTTGCAATACACAAGGACACGGTTAAATTAATTATCAAACTGTCTGAATGATTTGCCATAAAAAGTGATATTTTCTTACCTTTATCTTGAGACTTCAAAATATATCGTTTTCCTTGTGTCTTTTCAGAAGGCGTGATCGCGTATGTACACTAAACAAAGACGCAAGCAATATAAATATTCGTTGAGAATATAAAATGAATCATTAACTAGAAAGGAAAGGTGTCGAATAACAGCAAAATGACGTTTGTTTAAATAGTAATTCTCATCAAATTTTCCGTGAGAAATCGGCAAGCAACCTCGTTTGCCCTTCAGACGAAATCAATCCTATTATATACAGGTAATGAACTGTTACCTTACCCCCTCTCTACTTATTTCAAAATGTTTTATTAACGTTCGTTGAAGACATTGTCATAAATGTTAGGGTTTAAAAGGGCAATAAAGATAAGTAATAAGTGAAACTTTCGAAAATTTCGAAGAAGTTTTTTCTGGAAAAATTCAAAGAAACCATTGGGATATATCTTTTCACAACAACGGAAAAAGTTAACTTATTGTGTGAGAGTTGAGAATGATAAAGCAACGAGGAGACATGATGTAGAGATATGTGTTAATTTGTGTTTCAAAATTTCTATAATACACACTTAAATAATCGCAAAAAATATTGCAAACCATGCATGAAGAAGAAACCATAACCCCATCAAAGATTAGCTATGACTAGCTAAAGTATTTTAATTTGAATGGTTGTACTTTGATCTAAACGTTTACATATATCGCTGAGAAACAACAGGAAAGCCAGGAAGTTGTGAACGAGTGACAGCTTCAATAGCACAGTGGCAAAAAAAAAACACATGCACAATAAAACGCAATCATTGTTAAAGTTTGGATTGAGAATTCACCATTTCACATGGTAATATGACATGGTATAGTACTTGAGATAATTATATTCTTCAAATGACAATTGACAGCACGACCAAGTACAAACAAGTACAACCAAGGTTCATTGGTTGAAACATTAATTAAATTTTCACCGGCATTCATTCATTGCTTTTGAACAACGCAACTTACTACTTATACGACAGTTTCACGTGCAAAATGAAAACGTCGACCTAGCAATAGTAAAGATCGTGGTAGATAATAACTGTTACACATACTTAATACAAAGAGGCAATTTTATCAACTCCATTCAGATTTGCAGGAGGTCTAAAAGTCAAATCACAAAAATGACTCAATTATATAGATGTATAAGATCTACGTGTTGGATGAATGTTGGATGAAAATACGTTTTAAACAGAGAATTGATCGAAGTAGCTATATACCTGGAAAAAATAAAAGACATGAAAAAAATAAAATAATAGTCAAATGGACTTAATTGACAAAATGATATTGAAAATTAACTCCTTTATAAGTGAAGTTCAAAAAAGACGATAACCTTGAACGACATTTCGTTAAATCTTGTAATAATGCCAATAAACGAACAGGAAAAAGTCTTTATCATTCTTAAGGTATTCAATAACACACTTGAAATATCCATGTTTTTCTATTTATTTATAAACTGAAAATTATAAACATTAGCTAAATCATTCTTTGATTAAAGATAAGTTAACGGGCAACATTATTAAACAAATTTAAGCATGTTCGTGATATTAACAAAATGTATATACCATGATAAAACAAAATTAGAATAAATAGGGGCACAAAAAAAATCTAAATTGATACCAAATCTGAATATGAAATGAATGAAGAAATCCAATAACTTGGATTAGCTATCATAAATTATGGCACAGAACAGAAATCCACACAAAAGAACAGAAAAGAAATCAAAACATGTGTATACCACAAGTCTGCGAAACCAAAATCCTAAAAAGAAGAAACTGATTTTATGACTGCATAATCATGCTTCCTTTTACTATTTCTACTTTTATTTGTGTATTTAGAAAACAAAAGATCAATAATGCAGTATTTCTTGTCATTTAAAAACCATGGATATTACTGCTGTTATCTGTATAAATAAATTGATTTTTATATCACCTAAAATGTAGCATGGTTAGAAACTGCTGCATTACTTGAACGTTATACATCAACATGTATATTATGATCTAATTCTGTCTCATTAGCCGGAAAATGATCTAATTCCTTTATGGAACGATTTCGGCTTCTGTTTGAAGTTATAAAACACAGCTGTTGCTGCAATAATTGTTTAAGAACGTTTGTAACTTTGTGTTATTGAAAGAGACGAAAACATTATTTTTCATGTGTCAAACATTCTTTCTAGGATGTTTTCTGCACGACTTTGAGCGACTTCCTACCTGATGTTGTAAATTATTGGTGACATAAATAAAAGCTATTACCACATTAATATAGCAGGGCACATCACCACGTTCAAACTGTGCGACGATTATCTAATATTTTACCATTGTGTACACGACCTGACCGAAGAACAACAATGTTTAAAATTTCTAAATTTGACTGCATTTGACCAATTATGGAGAAGTATTTATTTAATCATTAAATAGTTCAGAACTTTTTTCTCTATGTGGTATTTTAATGTGTCCACAGTTAATTTAAGGTTTATGTTGCATATCAACTTCCATGAACAGGAATAATCCTAGCAATTATAACTTTCATAATTTCACTTTTCGCCTTAATTACAAAGTGTAATTTTGCGTGCACTTTAAGGGAGGTAATGCTATTCAAGTTTCACTCAAAATTTACCTATAATGAGGCTTCGTTTTAGAGCGTGAGTACTAAAATCATTGGAAAATTAGGACGTGTATGAAAAGTTAGACTAATAAGTGCTTTTAAGTGACGTTCTTTATGATGGACATTTTAAATTTGAATATAAATGAGATTTAGAATACATTAGTTACTGTACATGATTTCAAAACTTTCCACGATTCGTTATGAACTTCGTCATGTTCAAATTGTAGATCTGTTTTATGATTTTTATGAAACAATAAAATCCAGCAAAGCACGATGAAATTATTTTTCAAAAATTTAAAAACACTGGGATAAGGCGAAACATGGTCATATCAAAGACAATATAACCGATATAACCCACCTAGTCGTTGAAATCAACGAAAAGAAACGAGCGGGGACTGTGGCGAGTGAAAGCAAGATAATTTATTTTTGTAAACAATACATCGCTAGCTAGAATTCACTACATGTGCAGTTTTGTGAGTTAATTTCTCGGTCGTTTTACAAAGTAAGTGAACAAAAAACATCTTTGGGCGTAAAAAAATATATGAAAAATGAATTTATCCCACAAATTGATGCGCGAAAGTCTTCGTAGGGTGGATCAATTTTAATGCATCAGTATCAGCTAATCAAGATATGTGATGTATAAATCTAAACTGAACTTTCCATCTTTCAACTTTCCGTACAGTCCGTCTGAAGACTCAAGACAATTTTTAGTGGATTATGGTCGTACAGGATTTGTTCATGTGTATAAAAGTGACCGAACAGTTAAATATTCACGGCAAAAATATGGCTCTAAAGATGAACTATTAGATTTTATTTCCAACAAGCCCACTTTACCTTTGAATCTTCCAGAGTTCAACGCAATTGACACTCGTTCTTCATCAACAAAATCCAAACCATCTTGTTTACCATCTAAACATGAATCAAAATCAACAAAAATTGCTGACAACAGAACGTCTTTTGGGAATTGTTTATCTCATACAAAGTTAGATGATGATATTTTACTGGTTCATCCCTGGGGAAATACAATGAATGAATTGCACTTCAGTAGTTTGGCCATGAATTCTGTTGGCATTGCTTCACAAAACTTGTCAAAGACATCAGAATTTGTCATTCTGCCTGAAACAATCCATGAAATTAACATTGCCAACAGTTTTCATGGACATGTTGCTGTAAGAACAGATACAACATGCTGGTTATTTCTAGTCGATTATTCAAACAAAACTCAGGTAAGAATTAATATTGTATACATTTGATATCGAACAGAAAAATCTACCTGTTTGTATTTCCCTGAAGATACCACAATTTCTTGGAAATGTCAAGTGTCCAAGTCAGCCATGTTCTGTTATAGTCAGTCCTTACATCCCTGGTGAAGTTGCAATTACCATGGAAACAGGAAATTTGTATCTCTGGAATGGTGACAAGATAATTGAAAAATATTCTCCCACAACAGTTTCCAATGCAAAATGTTGTATTTGTGAATATGGTGGTCACCCAAGACAAGTTGTACAAGGCAATGAAAGCAACATTAAACTAATTGATTTCAGGGTAAGATATTCTTGTGATAAATTTCCATTCCCTTATACTGTGACATATCCACTTGTTCCATTATTTTAGGATAGAAGAACCCAAAACATCATGAGCTTACCTTCAACACATTTTTTCCCTAACAGCAAGTTTACGGCCATACAACGTAACCATTACAACCCATTTCATTATGCTATAGCTACCGACCAATCTCTTGCAATCCTTGACACACGTTTTGTTCAGCATCCTATGTTGAAGTGGACATATTCACTTGAATATCCGAGTAAATACATTAAAATAGAAAAATCTCTCAATTCTGATGAAGTTTTGGTGTTTTTGGGATCATATGATAACCATGAAATACATTGTTTCCAATATTGTTATGGTAAAAGGTGTGACAAAATTCATGTTGAATTGATGGGTGATTCACCAGCTGTTCTTCCACCGCAAGTAACACATAGTCCTTGGAAGGTACAATTGACCAAACAATTCAAAATAGCCAAATTTTTTTTTAATATTTAATAAAGACTGCATCAGTCAAGTGCTAGTAAATAAGTAGCGACAAGTTCATTAAACTCAGTTGCAACTTTATTTCAAGGTTTCCTCGTACAGTGAATGGCCGGAAATGGTGGATTACCACGATAAAATATGCAGTTTGTTGCTAGTAAATGAAAGACTGAATAACCCTCTACTGGGCTTCACTTGTGTTGCACACAAGAAATACCTCTCCATCATTCAACTGTCAAATGCTGGTGACTTATTTTACCAGAATTACCAGCCATTCAAAAGACACAATGATACTGAAATATCAATTCATGAAGACACTGACATGACACCATTAGAAGACACGTCTGTACAGTTAGATGAAAATGAAGAGAAATTTCTCTCTCAATGGGCTAATTACCTTGTGAGTCAATTTCGTGAAGACAACAAGTCGAACAGAAAATGGAAGTTTAAAGATGTTAATTTAATACAGAATGAAATGTTTAAATCTTTACACAGAGGTCTTCAATGTTTTTTATGCAGTGGTGGAGAAATCGCTGAAACAGAGGATAATGACTGTATATGTTGCAAACTTTCATCTTCTGTTTCTCAATCTCTTTCTCATATGGAAAAAAATGATGAAAAACTACTCATTAAATCAAGCTTGGGTATCCAGAACTCGTTACAAACTCTTAATTTATTTGATAAAACAATCAATTGTAGTAAAGCTCTGGGAAAGAACTTATTATATAACTGGACTTCAGACGAGCAAAAAGCTATAGATTTGACAGAGGAAAACGATTATCATAAAGAAAGTCTGTGATTTACTTTTTATTTTTTAGTGATTTTCGTTACATTTTATATTAGAGTAAATTAAACGTTAAGTTAACTTTTTTTTCTCATTCCATCACTGGTTTTGACGCTTTTTTAGAAAGTAAATGCCGTGTCTTATTTTTTTACTCTCCGCAGGTAGCTACACCACAATTAAAATGAATAAAAATATACAACAAACCTGGACTAAAAGGTATACTATTTACGAATTACGAGTAATTATAATTAATATTGAGCAATGTCAACAGTTTTTAAAGACATTTTACTGAAAAAACTCTCTATAGTACAACGTTTTATTTATTCATACAATGATCCTATCCATTAACACTTAAAACAAAATAATTTGTTGACGGCACGTTTCAAACGCTGCAGAAAAACGAGTACATGATTTAAACAGCATAGTTCTCCACACCATATAAGATCACAAAGTACAATCTACCCAACCATACCATACACAACTATGAACACAGTGACGTAACAAGAAAATGCAAGGAGGACTGACCTCGTGAAAAAATGACATTGAGGTAAAAATTGGGAAAGAAGAGAAACTACTTAAACATAAATAATGAATGACTCTAGCCTAGGTAAGTTTTCAAAATAATCTTCGCATGTCTTTTTAAAAAAAAACTTCAGCAAAAATATTTATGTCGGCAACGTAAGGCTTACTATGGGATGTATCAAAAAATGAAAAAAATATTCTAAAATGGAAATCATTCCTAAGCACTATAGATTTTTGGCCTGAGGAAATTTAAAATGGCTTTTAATCGCAAAATTGAGCGGCTAAATAAGTATTTATATTTTAAATGACAATGATTAGTTAAAGTGATCACAATTTTTACGTATTTAACGTATGATATTGACGGAAATATAAAAATTTCAAAAAGAATTGTTATAAATATATGTAATATATATTTGAATAATAGACTGCAGGAATTTATGAAGATGAAAAAAAAAACAATAATAAACATACGCTTTTGTACTCTCAAACACTCATCGAATGTGACAACTCCTCATTACTTAGAAAATACTTAAGAATAAATTACATGTGAATGAAATAAGTAAATTGCAAAATATAAAGACTAATGACTATAAACTATAAAGTACAGGCCTATTTTCAACTAAAGTGATACATACATTCTTTAATAATGATAGGAATTGACGAACTTCAGTCTACGCGTTATTTAACTTGAAAAATGCTGAGTTCGTCAAACTGAAGAAGATTTACAGAAATCACTCAACATGCAATATCATATACAAGCCTTTAACTTAGGATCCAAACAAAATTGAACTATTTGATATATTCTTCAAGCAATTTCAACCAATCTTCGAAAATGTTTCTCGTGAGATGTATTCAAGTATTTCTATGTAGATCTTTTCTCCGAATACGTTCTACCTTAGATCATCAATCAATGCATGCACGAAATTTATGTTTTAATCTGTTTTAGTCGCAATAAATTGGGAAGTGATTTATAAAACAAGATCAGACACGTTTGTTTTCTATAGCTTAGTGTTGAAACTATAAGATGACAACAGTCAACAAAAGATCAAATGGATAAGGTCAGTTACGAACAATAACCAAAATGTGGGTAGGGCCTGCATCTTACACAATTAGAATCACGATAAGCAATCAACAATTAGTTAATTAATTAAACTTTTCAACCATTAGACTATGGTTGAGTTTTTTAAACACACCCAAAAAAGCAGCACTTACAAAGTGATGATTTGGCAGAGAATTAAGAGACTATAAAGGGCGTTATTATAGGATATAATAGGAGATATTAAATTAATTTAAACACGGAACAGCCCATAATAGTACTTAACGGAAGTTTAAAATAAGAGAAATAATAACAGGAATAGCGAATAATTTCTACGGCAAGATGCATTATAATACATACTAATTTGGTAAAAAAGACACAAAAAATAATCATACAAATAAAAACGATTACAAACAATGTAACTTTCTGCGGTTGCACCTGTTACACTCATACTATACGATAAAAGTAAGTTGCAAATAAAAGTAAGTTTTTAAGCAATTTAAACATAATGTCTGTATTCAAAAACACTCTATTACTGTCACTCATTTAAAAGAATGCTGCAGGGAATATCAATGTTTTTAATAAATCTAAAATTTATAAATCTTCGTAGAGTACTGCTAGATGTTAATAACATTGCGAGATCGTCTCTAATATTTAAAATTTTTTTCCATCAAACAGTTAATATATAAAAAAAAACCAACTTACATCAAACAGTTAAAATAAATTATGCTTTCGTACGTTTCAACAATAGCAAATTTCTGCAATCGATACATTAAATAATTTCCCACAATACATATACAATTATTCTTTACTTAGTGAAGTTAGAATCAGAATAGAGGATGTACTTGAGCAACACTTATTGATAAGATTATGAGAAAATATTTGGATAGTAACTTGAGATGTGAATCATGTGATGTAAACAAAGATTGCAATGGTATAAATCTTTGTCTCGTATATCAATATTGCCTAAATCTGCTGTCACACGACAACCATAAGACAATGACTGTTACTCAAAGTGAAACATCGAACAAGATGGCCGCATCACCTACACCAAGTGAAGATGGTGTAACAGGGGCACATAATGAGAGCGCTTTGCGTGCTTTGATGAAAAGAACAGGTTGCTATTCAACAATCAAATGGACAACGGCGTTTTGGTCCACCACCAAACTGGACGGGCGAGATACCACCACGAGGTATGACGAATAACATGTTGTTTGAAAGCATACAGTTTTATAATACATTGTATAGCATTACACTTTCAATTCAAATGGAATATCTTTGCACATTATTCATGTAAAATATGACAATCTTCTTTGTTTAATCACTGTTTTTTCTTCTTTAACGATTTGCTAATACAAGCATTATGGGACTAAATTTAAGGGTTTATCATGTATTCTAGGGCAAAACATTGTTAATAAGAACTCCAGTTTTGTGATGATGAAGCAAAATTGTTCGAGTAAACTCAAATAGCGGAAGGAATTTTCTCCATGAAAGTTGATGAAATATGATAATTTTATTAGCTAAGGATTAGTAATTTTGTATCGATTCATGTGTGTGTAAAAACCTGAAACATACCTCATTGTGTCCAATCAATTAATTAATTCTAAAGTATGGGAAAAAACGTAAACACCATGTAAAGTTGCATGTAAAAGAGATAAATCTAAAGAGGATAAAATAAGAAGAATATTCAAGCGTGCCGTCGTCACCAGATAGTCATATGAGTGTACATGAGTTTCATCGCAAATTGTACCGATCCAAAGTTATTCAACTTACGAAACATTATCTTGTCTCACTTATATTAAGCATTTTCATTCTTCATAACGTGCTGATATTTACAATTAACATCAAAACGGGCAAAATAAGTAAAAAGCTGTGGAAAAATGAATATTATAGCTACAAGGAAACGGAGGAAAATCGTATAATGAACATTGAAAAACTTACATAGGCGAGGTTTACGAACTCCCTCACCATTCTATCTCGAGAAAATGTCTTTTCAAATATTATTTTAAGAAACGTATAGTTTACACCTAGAAACGTAAATTTATTACTATCTACAAGACACCTTAGGAGCTCATTGTGTAGGATATTAACAAATAAGATATTTCAAGAATAGTTCAATGTGCACTCTTTATTATATCAAGTGTGCACCATTTTATTCACTTTGTGCCTATGATCTGGAAATTATTAGACTTATACCAGACAAATTTAACCAAATTAAAAGGTATAAGGAAATGAATTTACGTAAACAATCTTTTACATTCACCAAACCATTATGCTAATGTTCAGAGCTTAAATTTACCTAGCGATAATATATGATATAGTACGGACTAGAGATTAAATTTGGCAAAGAAAATCCTTATGTTTCAAACGCTTATAGTTTGGTTTATTTGACAGGTTGTGAGGTATTTGTCGGAAAAATTCCTCGAGATGTGTACGAGGATGAGCTAGTGCCAGTCTTTGAGACGATTGGCAAGATCTATGAAATTCGACTTATGATGGATTTTGATGGTAGAAATCGTGGTTACGCCTTTGTTGTGTTTACACAGAAGAAAGATGCACAGGAATGCATTAAGAAACTAAATAACTACGAAATAAGAAAAGGAAAAATGTTGGGTGTTTGCTCTAGTGTTGACAACTGTCGATTATTTGTTGGAGGAATACCGAAGAAAGTGAAAAAACAAGAGATTTTTGAAGAAATCTCCAAGGTGAGCAAGTTGATTACTCCACATCTCTATGATTTCTTAAAGATATATGATTTCACTTGTAAACAAGAATAAGGATGATCTTTTGAACTTTATCAAAATACACACACGATCTACGGAAATACGATTTTGAAATCACCGACAAAAACTTAAACCGTAAATCTAAAATTTAAAATGGTGCATGATACACGATGATATGACACAAACAAAGAATGCAAGAATTAGCAATGGTCGCATTTGTATTGCAAGTTGTGTTATTACAAAACTTAGCCATAATTGTTTTATTTAAAGGTGACAGAAAACGTGACAGACGTTATAGTGTATCCATCGGCTTCAGACAAAACAAAAAATCGAGGCTTTGCCTTTGTAGAATACGAGACTCATCGAGCAGCTGCAATGGCAAGGAGAAAACTGATGACGGGAAGAGTACAATTGTGGGGCCATCAGATTGCAGTGGACTGGGCTGAGCCTGAGACAGAAGTGGATGAAGACATCATGTCACAGGTACACACAAAGATAGAGAATAAACATATAAGGATAGAGAATGAACTCATAGGGATAGTAAATGAAGTCATAGGGATAGTGAATGAACCAGTATAAGACTATATGTCAGTAGATTTAGAAAATTGAAATGATTAGATTAGTTAGAAGGTATTTTAAACAAATACATGGTCGAAATATACAAAAATGGGGCATAAGTAATGATCTGATGGTTTTATCACAGTGAGAACACAGTGACTACAATAAGATTAACTTCATTATTTCTTCATTGATATTGTCATACTCTTGAGAGAAAATATGTTTAAGTTCAATACATGAGAGACTTCAAGGATAAATTAATGAGATTAACGATGTAACCTGACCATCATATATTAAACATTTTGATGACGCGATGTCCTCAACAGAACTGAAAGTGAAATTACTGAATTATAAGAGTTCATTGTCGGTTTTTACACCATGAATTATTTTCAATGTTCGAGGAAATCATTGCATCCGTTAACAAACTCTGCCCAAACATGCTGTGATTTATTTAGCAATCTCGTGAGTTTAAGTAAAGTCTAAACTGTCGACCTTTTATTAAAATAACAAATCATTGAAATTGGCGGAAACTAGCACGATCTTTATAGAAAACATTTATTTCTTTATAAAATAATCAATTTTAATAAATATATCGCTTCATGGATGTGAGGACATAATTAAAGACTAATAAATACAACACATGCATGATTTGCACATTGTACCATTTATTATGAGATAAGTAAAAACATGTAGATATTGATAACTGACCTTCAGTTATGTCTCTATACTCGTTTTATGGGTAATCCATTCTTTTCTTACCAAAAAATTAAAATTATATTTGTGCGAAAGAAAGAAATAGTTCCGCAATAAGAATTTTTTCTATTGTTGTTTTCTTAAAATCATTGATACAAACAATGTAGACAACGTACAGTATGAGACGATTAATGAGACTATTGTTAACCCCGTATTTATAGAAGAAATAACACATTTATGCAATCCATCTAATTTTAATTAAAAAACAGTTAAAGGGAGGAAAATTATCTTTCTTTGACTATATATTTTTAGGTAAAGGTGTTGTATGTTCGAAATTTATTACTGAGTACGACAGAAGAGACTATTGAAAGATTATTTTCGCAATATGGCGAGGTTGAACGTGTAAAGAAACTTAGAGATTACTGTTTTGTACATTTCAAGACAAGAGAAGAAGCTAGAACTGCCATTAATGCAATGAAAGGTAAATTATTTACAACTACTGGCTAAGAAACAAACATCGTCACATTTGAGTACAAAAAAAACTCACTTTAATAGTAAATGATGGGTAAAATACGTTTATAATTAAAGAATAAAAAATATGGTACGGAAGCCAACAATATAAACTAATTAGTTGGAAAATAATACAAACACCATTGCCTAAAACATAAATTGTGTACATCAACCTTTTAAGTATCGTTTACGTATGCACCATTATGTGTATATATTTGAGAATGGGTGGTCTCTGTTTTGTATACCCTAAAACTATAGACCTTCTTAATGATACAACTAAGACTGCATTTCCCTAGAGGAAATTGACAATACTTAAAAAGGCGAGACATATAGCAAAATACGGCTCACTAAAATATATACATTAATATATGCTTGATCACGAAATTTTGTTTAAACACGAAATGGAGATGCATTAAAGCGTGTTTATACCTAACATACAAAGGAAGTATAAGAAAATGACTGATTCATTTAATAATGATTGACAAAAAGTATCGTATAAAGAAAACGTTTTATAAAATTGATGGCAAATAAAAAATTTAAAAAGAACGTAGTGTCGTTGAATACAGAAGGAAAGATTATTGAATTGAAACCATCATAATTAAATAATATTACATCAAAATTATGATAATAAAAACTGATGTTTTATGTCTTTAATGACTTAAATTTACGAGTAGCCATGTTGCTATATATGGAGAATATTTCGTAATTGAACTATTTGACCTCTAAAAGAACACGAGACTAGAGAAAGCAAATGAACAAGTCCAGACAAGAAACATCACGTCAAAACAAGACATTCCATTATAAAATTTCTAACCTTGACCTATTTTATGTTGGTTGTTTTCTTAAAACAAGAGTAAATCTTTACAATAGTAAAGGAGTCACTACAACGTACATTTCAAAGCACACAAATTTAAAATTGTGAAAATCATAGATTTCGAAAAAGACGTCAAGATAGAGAAACTATGAAAACGAATTGTAATTCAAAAGCTCAAAAATATAAATTTCTTTCAATTGTCAATTAAAAAATAACGAATAGTGCTTTTACTGTACGTATAATATATAATAGGCAAAACGGCATTTCAACGTTTATGGAAAACAAATACATCAAACATACTAACGTAACTCACGAGTATCTCAACCACATTAAATGTGAAAATAGACTTTTGACTTTTATCTCACATCTAATAATGAGCTTTGCTAAAGTTAAACCTCTTATCATAAACCCACTCACTGCTTGCACACAGCAGTTATGAAAAAAAGTTTAAGAAGCTTAGGGCTGATGCCATTTATCGTACAAATTCTACGTAAAGTATGGTTACACGAATTATTTAATTTTAATTAAGCTTCGAAAATCATGAATAATATTACTCATAAAGATGTTAGAGCTCCACAAATTATCACACAATTAATGTTTAAATTATGTTAGTAGTTTGAACGAGTTCTGTATGTAAACATTGGGTAAATATTTCATGTTATGGATTGATCTGTGGGCTCACAAAACTGAAAGGATTTATGTTTGGGTTAGGATCAGGCCACAACAACATCAAAGTTAAAAAACCGCATAAAGATTACAAAACCAAAATTGTTTTTGTTAAAGTAGGCATCATTAAATCGGAAAGACTATAAATAAAAGATTATTCTCAAAAAGAGTTTATCGAATTATATGATAAGTGTCTCGGATATTTTTTGCGATAATCTTAAAACATTATTCGACCACAGACTAAATTTCACTTAAATTATAAAAATAGACACACGAAGATAAACATTAGATCGTTACGGTTGTGCTTGATGTTTATAACAAAACGACAGTGCTTCATTGAATGATTCTAAGTAAAATGAGCAATAATTTACAGTGAATAACGTATGTAGTTTAAATAAACTTACATTTTGATTGTGACGTATTAGATCAACAGATTGACGGCAGTGATGTTGAAGTAACTTTAGCGAAACCTGTGGATAAAGAGCAACGTCAACAAAGAGCATTGAGTAAAGCTATGATGGTCGCTTCATCTTACACATATCCCTCTCCCAATGATTATATTATACCCTACACTGGTCCCTCATATCCTTATACTATCAATCAACCGTTGTATCCCTTTGCAACACCCATGTCAAGGTAATAAAATGTCCAATTATATAAATATATTGTTACTAATTACACGAAAATGTTCATGCATGGTAACGGAGATTTCTTATTGACTTTCGTTCTAGCCCACAAATAATTAGACCACGTGGTCGAGGAAGAACAGCAGCTGGAAGCAGAGCTGCAGGAACTAAGAACTACGTGTTCCCAGGATATCACAGTGGAGTACGACCATTTTATGTTCCAACAAATGGATACGATGAATATGGAAAGAAGAGAACATCTGAGGTACAACAGTTAATGTTTACAAATATTACATTTATACATAATCCTGGATGATTAATCCATGATATAAAAAACTCTCACAATGAAAAAATAAAGAAATAAACACAAGATCATAAAGATATAAAATGCTCGTATTGATCATCACCTACAACTACAAGTTAAGCCAATGAAATCATCTTATGAAAACAAAAAATAAACAAATCAGTACTTGTGTTTCAGGATCAACTGTTTGATATAATCCCTGGGATGGAATTAACGCCAACTAATCCAATAACATTAAAACCACAGAAAACATCAACTCAGGTATTATATTTGTCTTAATCATTAACTATAAAATTAAAGAAAACCGTGATTGAAGGTTAACCTGTAGCAATCAATTGGTAATTACTAAATATCATGAATGAACAGAGAGATGTTTCCAAATGAGTTACAATTAAAAAATTAATTATTACTTTGTGCACATTTCAGCTACTGGACGAAGTTTGCGTTAAGAACAATTGGGGAAGTCCTGTGTATACTCTACACAGTACTCAGGCATCGAACGCTGATATGCAACTTTTCTTGTATAAAGTCAACATCCCAGCATTACCGACTCTTTATCAGCCTCAAAAACTTTGTCGGAGTGTAGAGGAAGCAAAAGTTTATGCAGCTGAATATGTCTTACAACAACTAGGAATTTCATTTGAAGGTAAGAAAATGGATGATATGTAAAGTAAAGTGTCATTGAGCAGAACAACGTTCTTACATCGCGCTTATTGGATGTAATAGGATCTAGACTTACAACATCACGACGTTAAACAATTTACAAACGTGTTGTATGATAAATTTTAGGCCCGGAATCACCAGTGACAACGGTGGCCGCAGTTGTATCTACAACATCCCCCTACGTCACTAGAGCTGTTGGACCAGGTAAACATGTCCGCAAAAGACTTTTGTGAACATACAAGATCGTCGATAGAATGTACAAAAAATAATACATTTTAAGGAAAAAAATATACATAACCAAAAAATTGTCGAATATGACTTGTTCTTAACATCACAGAAGAAAATAATAATATAAATGCTTATTTTTCTTCCTATTAGTAACATATGCAGTCACAAATGGCCGCACAGTTGATTCGACGGCGTATCCCAGTTTTATGCCACTCGCTAGTCCAACATCACCAGTGCCACAAACAATCCTAACTAAGGTCACAGGAACATGGCCAGGTGGTCAAGATCAGAGTGGAGTATATGGGAGCTTTGAAGGATATGGTGATCCTCAGCAATATAGTACAGGAATGTACGCTCAATATTAAGAGACGACGCTATCATCGTAAGCAAAAGTCCTCATTCTATACTTTTCATTATTTTATCAAAAAATACTTCATGTTTTTTCACTAAAAAAGTTAATGCAGATAATGTCAAAGCATTGTGATGTTAACTACAATGAAATTTTCACATGTATAAAAAAATCTCAACCTACTACATGCTTCAAATCAAATGTGCTTGTCGTTAATCATTTCCAAAATTCGCAAATATGTTTCGTAGAAAAAATCAACATTTGAATATTTAATGATGAACCAAGGTTACATCATAAATTGTTTTTTAGAAATCAAATTACCTCATAAAGATTCCATCACAATGTTTCGATGAATATTATCACGCAAATGCGATGAAATAAAGTGAAAAACAGTTGTATTAAACACCACAAGAATATTTATATTTCTCACCTTAAAAAGACTTCCACCATTCCACGTTGTCCTGAATGAAGACAATCTTAATAAAATAAAATCAAATGTTCAATAAAATTACTGACCATAGAGTTTTTGAGCTACATCAATCAACATGAAAAACAAAAAAATGATCATCCATTCATCCATCCGTCAATACTTAAGTAATATCCATAAGTAAAAATTACATATGACAAATGATTTAAAAAAGTATAAAGCTAGACTAATGCAGTACACTAAAAAATTGACAATGAAAGATTTCAAGGAGAACTCAAAGAGAACTCTATGGTCAAATGGCAGAATTTTGATTAATCAGAAATAGTAAATACGTTTGCATTTCAAATGCTCTCCAGGAGCAAATGCACCTGTTAATTTCATTTAATTTTAGGCATGCATGCAGCAAATGTTTAGACATAAATCAAAAACTTTGAGTCAACACAAAGCATTTGCTGCAATAAAAATTCACTGTTTGATTTACTCTTAATTTGTGTCGTATCTTTCGTAACGTGTACAAAGCTGTTTTATATATTTACTTTAAAGCTATATTTCCATGTTTTGCTTAGCTGTAATATTTAGTCATTTATTTACTTATATAGTTATTGTAAATATATGTTGTTAGTTCAAACAAATCAAAGACAATTGACTATTCAATTAGTAATGAAAGACATTTTACAGCTGTGAAAATGTATAAAGTATGAATAGGATAAGATTTCACAATAGTCAATTGTCTTCTATTACATGGGCAGGGCCCACGAGAATATGTTTTTAATCAATTCTCATTTCAACTAATGAATTCACAAGGACTTCAAAAATGAGCAAAATGACATGGTCAAAGATATCAACTTATATTTAAGTTGGCATGAAAAAGAATTTATGTATTTAGACAAAAAGTTTATCATTTATACATAAGAAAAAGATCAATATATTATCTACAATAATCAACTATTTGCCATCATGATCATTGTTCATATTGTTCATTACTTGAAACTCTTGAAGCAATAAGCTTACGCCTGATTTAAAGTTTCTTGGGAAACTGACCATGATTAGCCAATAATTACATTCTAGCTGGCAGGGAAGCAGGATGTCAAGTCTTGTGATATTTATTGAAAAGATCTAATGAACCAATAATAACCCCAGACGATTTAAATTATAGTCAAGCTGTATATTGTCATCACTCAATATATGTTGTAATGAGATGATTTGCCAAAGAATTCATGGTTGTTCAAGATCTAGGTCCCGTACATATTTGAACATCATATTAACAATATCAAATAAATATGTAAATCCAATGTAATCGCCCTTAAAATAACTTCAACACAGTTTCTGAGGTAGCTAGACCATGAATGACAATCAAAAAAAGGGCTGTGAAATAGTGCTGCCAAATTAGAGAAAGTGAGCTTTGGTTTTACATTGGAATTTACATTTTGTAAATTGACTAAACTCTAGAATTACTTTATTCTCCAAGTTTATAGATGCAATGAATACTTAGTCAAAGCTTGTCTTTATTGTATATTCCTCTATGTTTTGCTAAAGCAGTGAATCTTACTATTAAATGTCAATACTCTTTAGTAAAGTGAAAAGAAAACTATAGACACATTGTGTTGCCTTTTTTATTACTTGCAGTTTTTCACAAAATATTTCTGTGTTTTCATTTATTAACTTCGTTTTTTTGTACTGGTCTCAACACAAGTAATATGGTTATATGGAGATGATATAATCAAACATTTACATGAAATAAAAAGACTGTTTAGCCAATAAACCACTGCTTTGAACTGATGCAAGTGGTCTAACTGAATGTAATGTATTGACAATAATCTTTATCAGTGCATTGCATCACATCATTCAAATGCAATCATTGTAATGTCTTATTTTGAGGTACTGTTTTATCACTATACCGAACTCACTGGCATTTTAATACTGCTACGTGTTTCGAACAACATTGTACACTTATTACTCACTTTTGGCACAACTCCAGAGTCAGAAAATGAAAAATTTCACCATCAATTCCATAATACTGTTTAAGTATAATTTCAAGCTTCGTCTTCTCATTTCTTCCCGCCAAATTTCACTTAAGTCCCAAACATGGATCACCTGTAAAATAGATACACCAAGCGTACATGTATGTCAATCATAGAACTCAATGATTTCAATGGCCAATGCAATGTGCGAAATGAAAACAATATTACATGAAAAATTAGATTTTTATTTTCAGAGTTCGCTCTAGGTTTCAAAACTATATTGACAACTCTTGTAACAAGAATTGAGAAAGAAATCCAACATCTAGAAACTGAAAAAACAGTAGCTCCAGTAGTGGTGAAAATCTTTATCAAACTTGGAAGAACAGCTTCAAAATAAAAAGTTTTATGAAATTTTGATAATTTCTCCTCAAAAATAGAATACAGCATCATAAAATTTAAATACAAAGACAAAAAAGTTGCTCTAATTCAAACTAGTATATGGGCATATATTCCCTTTAAAATATCTAATTTTATCATCAATATGCTGATTGTTTGTAAATTGTAATATATTACATTAATTTTTAAATGAACAGTTTGCTAAGACACACTTTGTAGTCAATGACTGAAATAAGAAATAGTAAAATTAAATGAGAGAATTTTTTTGCCATCTGAAATCACCATTATGGAAAGTAAGAATAAGATTACAAGGGAACATTCTATTTAAAATATGAATACGACTTAGAGTTAAAAATAAATTAAGCCATATGTTGTAGAATTGAACTGTCTAGTATAATATGACAGTTTAATTCTGCATGTTATTCATGTCTAGTTATTTTCATATTCTTTGTGTAATATGATTTTCAAATTCAAAATATACAACACCTTTTTGAAAAAATCCTTATACACAGTATATATTTCTCTGTTCAACAAGTTGCCAAATTTTTCAAATTATCTATTACATATTTACATATAATCATAAAGAGCTACTATGATTAAAATTTATGGCCACTTTTCTTTGAAGGAATTACTCTTTGTATCCTTAGGTTATGTAATCTTTCAATTTTTCATCGACTATCTTTCAAAAGTCAATATCCATTTGACAATGGTTCCATTGTGTTTGGGTCAAGAACACTTACATGTGACATGGGAAACTCACCAGTTTTGCCATGCAACTCTCCTTCCCATATACCATTGTCATTTTGTTTGGTTACTTTGATCAAATCTCCTTTCTAAAACAACATCATATAAATTACAAAATAGCAAAACTTGCACAATTTATCAAACAATATTATCAGATGACGACTGTATATTACCTTGAACGCTATTTGGTTAGTGTCATAAGGAGTACAAACTCTATCTATAAGAGCTCGTGCAATAAAAGGACCTGTTGGCTAAATGATGAAAGAATTAAAATAAGGTGGATACAAGAAGACACTCCTAAATTATATTGAAAAGTTTCAAAATAAATGACTAACCAAAGGCATAACTTGTCGAGGTGCAGGTTCTACAGGTCTCTAAACAATAGAAATACAACTACACATTGACTATACACTTGATTCAACAGAATTATTTAAAATGATTTCACTTGATTATCACGTGTATATTGTCTTTGATCTAAATATTTACTTTAAAATCATATATAATCACTGTAAAACCATACTCACAGGTCGATATGGTTCAGGATTTGATCTCCTGTTTGGCCTGTATTGGTCATTGTATGGTGTTAAATTATTTCCAGGTGATGAAACGGGTCGAACAGCAGGTACATTAACAACAGGTGGTAATTGGTCTTCATTAAGCTAAAGTGGTATTGAAAGAAACATACAATACACTTAAGCATGAAGCATCTAGTTTGTTTTTGTGCTCAATAATGACTGGTGGTGAGAAATTTATGGTCACTAAATTTACTACTGATTTTTAACTAATGATTCTCAGCGGACATTGATCTATGAGAGTTTAATCAATAATCATTCAAATACATTCATCCATATGTATAAACCCCTCAACATGAATTTTAAGGTCCAACAATACAACCATAAACTTTTCAGAAAAAAAATTAATCCTAAGAAAACATTAGAGCATTTATACAAGAAACTTCACATCAAAACATTCATACTCCTAAAACAATTTATCACACAACTTACAATTTGCATATAAGGCACAGGTATACAGCCTCGTTGTCCATATTTGTTTTCTGCAGTCCACCAGGACTCCTCATCTTGACAAATAATTGTCAAGATATCACCTTTACTAAATGGCAAATCACCTGGATCCTACAAAAAATTGCTCCATTTGAGGAAGGTTTGTCTTTAACAATCCTTAAATCAATTCACACACTTACGCGTCCTTCAAAATTATAAAGTGCTTTAACTTTAAGCTCTCGCTCAACCTAATGAAATAAAAAATGTCTAAAATGCCTATAGTAAATGTGAACATCATCTCCACAATTCATACTTACAGCTCCAGTTAATGTTGTTGTATCAAGAAAATGATTCTTATAGAAGTTTATTATCGATGGAATATCAGAAAATGTTTGTTCACCAATCTTGTAATGGTTACCTTTGTTGTTTATAATGTAGTGACTGACCTTATTGTTTTCACTAAAAATGAACACTTTATCAAATATTTGCAATTATAACTTCCACAACACTGAAGAACAAGTTGAGCAATTCCATAAAGTAACTTTGAAACTTGCAGAAGTCAATGAGAACAAATTTGAAAAATAAATTCTTACAAGGTAAATGAGATACACATTAAAATAATACATCACTAGTCCCAAAAAAATCATTTAGGTCAAATAAGCAAGTTTAACGTACAGACAACTAAAACAGTTTATTACTTCGTAAAGTTCGTATGTATTTACGTTAGCGAAATATTACTGATATAAGCTATATATATAGATTACGTTTTTACAGTGTTTAGGAAAATTTAATTAAAAATTAACGTGGGCAAAATAAAAAAATTGTTAAATACAATAAAACGCAATGTAAGTAGATTTTCTAAAGATATGTAAAAAGTAACCACATATTTTCAAAGAAAATTATGGCAATCAAGAATTGACAAAGCTAAATTGACACATCACATAACTTTTCACATAAATTTCGCCCAGTTTAGTTATATTGTTAATGGTTTATAGACATAATAAGAACAACGTTTTTCAATGAAATAATTAAAGTAGAGACGCAAGCAAACATAGTTAACGTTGCAAAACGGTTTATGTATTTGTTGTGATAAAAGTTAACATTCCAAAACATGCTGACCACTACCAGTAACAGTATTTATTCATAAGAAACGATTACAAAATGTTTCAAATGTAATAACTATGTAATAAAAGCAAAATATAGAAAATGAAAATAATTCACACAGCGTGTTAGTTTACAAACCTGACACTTAACACGAAGTCACTTGGGGAAGTATTACTGTCTCTTACTAAATAAACTCCTGGTTCTTTCCCCAATAATAAATGTTCTGTACTCGTACGACTCAAGCTACCATGATACCAACTACATAAGAAACAAGACATTTATTATTCAAATATATACATATTATACATACGCGTTAACAAATGTAGCAAATTATATCTATGACTGACATACATATAATGCTGTTCTCTTACCGATAGTTCCGTAAATTGGAGGAATTCATCTTTTTAAGAAGACGATCCAAGGGTAAAAATATTTTATTTCACTCCACTTATCATTCGTGTTTCGTTTTTATCAGTGTTTATCTCAAAATTCTCTTAATTCTACAGTTTACTTAGATACAGAACTAGATCATCGCCACAGAAGTGCCACACTAGGAAGTGCTTATTCACGCGGAAGTCGTAAAAGGGGGGATCCCTCTATATTTTTAAGGGTTAGTCACTACCTTACCGCTGGCCACTGCATGTCACGTGAACATCTTTTACAAATTAAATTTTATTTCTACTAATACTAATTTAGGTGAAATACAATTCATTATTCAATACTCCAAAATTAAGGTGTACCTTTCAGTTGTAAATTGTCACTATCATGATTTTTTAGTTTATTCTATTATTCATTGATTTATATCGAATTGTTCTTATTAAACATGCACATGGGAATTTTTTCAGAAAATATCATCACGAAATATTAATATTCCTCCAGTATAATGTATCGTATCCCTTGATTTCCCTCAGACGGATATGGATCCTTTGCGGAAATCAGTTTTACCAATAAGTGCGTTTACAAGCACGGCATGCCCGTCACCTGAAATCTTTTGAGCCTGCTCCAATACTGATGTAATATTGGCCGAATTCTTTTCATCTAATAGAAGACCCTTTCCCCCATAACCTTCGGCAACAATATGATAGTCCATAAACTGTGTAAAATATAATCATTACGTTTTACAAATGGATAGAGAGGACAGTTTACGTATACTACAAAAAATGCAATACAACTAACCAAGGAAGAAACATCTTACCAATAAATCACAACCAACACTACTTCCCAACATAGGAGTTGTTCTCTAGCAATTTGACTCCAGCAAGCGTCATTACCAACAAGGGCAATCACAGGAAGCTATATAACACAAACACTGTCAGTATAAGAACAAGAGCATGTTTCTTTAACCACATACTAAAACAAAAAAATGTTTTGAATCAAATGAGCATAAAAATAATTAGGCAATGGTTTAAGTTCAAAAAATATTAGTAATATTACATTGTGTCTGGTACATGTATCAAATTCAGCAACACTATATCCACATGAACCATCACCATAAATTATCCATACGTCACATGTTGGACGACACAACTTGGCTCCAAGGGCAAACCCCCCACCAACACCTAGGGTTCCAAAAGCTCCCGGATCAAGCCAACGTAAAGGACCACGTGGACTGTAAAAAGACAATGAAATGAAAATAATCTTCATTCGACAAATATTGTAGACAAAAAGGTATACCGCAATATATAAGCAGCTGAGCCAACAAAATCTCCTCCATCAGCAACAATGACGCTATCATCTGACATGATCTCCTCCAAGCAATGGAGAATTTTTAAAGGATTTAAATGTTTGTCCGTTTTTTCTTTGGCTTTCACACTTCAATAATAAAGAAAGAAAACGTTGTAATACTCAGTTTATGTTCTACACTTCAATAATAAAGAGAAAAATAATTGCCATACTCAGTTTATGTTCTACACTTCAATAACAAAGAAAGAAAACGTTGTAATACTCAGTTTATGTTCTACACTTCAATAATAAAGAGAAAAATAATTGCCATACTCAGTTTATGTTCTACACTTCAATAATAAAGAAAGAAAACGTTGTAATACTCAGTTTATATTCTACATTTCAATAATAAAGAGAAAAATAATTGTCATACTCAGTTCATGTTCTACACTTCAATAATAAAGAAAGAAAACGTTGTAATACTCAGTTTATGTTCTACACTTCAATAATAAAGAGAAAAATAATTGTCATACTCAGTTCATGTTCTACACTTCAATAATAAAGAAAGAAAACGTTGTAATACTCAGTTTATGTTCTACACTTCAATAATAAAGAGAAAAATAATTGCCATACTCAGTTCATGTTCTACACTACAAAAATAGAAAGAGAAGTAGATGCTATACTCAATTTAAATTTTACACTTCAACAACAAAAGAAATAACCGTTACACAAGAATGATGCTAAATAAAATCCCATAAAGTTTCGATTTATAAAATCTTTTCATCGTCGTAATACTGAAAAATCCTTAACTCCATTTTAGTTGAAAAAAAACAAAGTTGATAAAACTTACCTATTTTCTTCTTCTTTGACATAATCTCTTTCTTTTAACATGTCCAACCATTCGTCAGGACAATTATAACCTTTTAATTGTTCACTCATTGATAATACGAGGGACGCAGGATCACCTTAAATAAAATATTTTTATTGCAAAATTTACGTTCGACGATGTCAGTCTATAGAGAAAAAGGAACGAATCTACGTACTAATGAGAAAATCATATAGCTAATAAGGGCCGCGACCTTAACAATTACCTTGGATGGCTAAAGTTGGTTTCCAAAACATGTCAGAGTTCTTTATATAAAAAAATATGTAATTAAAATATTTTTATTATATATATCTTCAATTATTAGCAAACTAAAGATACAGTAGACAAGAAATAAAGGCATTGCTTCTGAAGTGTGGCAATCTGACAACATTGCCACATTACTTTAAAGCATCGATAGTAAATTACGTATAAATGCAAAGGTTGTTTTACCTTGTATAATTGTTCTTTACTACGATTTACGGCAATAACTTTACTCTTCTTATTGAGGACTCGCCCATACGAAAGACGAAAATCACAGACAGTTCCTGTAAGACATACGTATTCGTAAAACTAAAATATTAAACTTGCTGGTAGCTTTCGCTGTTACGTCAAATTTTAACCAAAAACTAATTCAAAATAATTACTATACCAAGTAAAATGATGACATCAGCATCTTTTAATGCATCGCGACGTCTTTGTCTAATGTGCAATGGACTATTTCTTCCCAGTAAACCACGAGCCATGCCACCAAGAAAACATGGAATACGGAGAAGCTTTTAATGAATAAGTTGTCAAATATTCCCATGACAGTTAAAAAATATTTATGTATTTATAAAGTATATGTAATATTTTTATATTTAATATTCTTATATGTAAATACTATATTGCATTAAGGCTAGGTAATATCTAATAAATTGTACAGACAGGAATGTATTATGCCTTGATAATAGAGCTTCATATATTGAATATTCATGTATAATAACAACTATGTCGTACATATGATCTATATAAATATAGAAAATAACAAAATCTCTTTGATGATGCTTAACAGTTGTAGTATTTAAGATTGACATTTTCATTTTGAAACTTAGTTTGCTATATGTTGAATCGCTATGGATTTTCATGAAAAAATAATTTATTATTTTAAGTGTAGCAATAAATTTGCACAATTTTGGGAAAGCAAAACGTTAAATGCCACTAGCATACCTCAAGAGCAGACTTGAGTTTTTCTGCAGGTACAGGAGGCAAAGTTGCTTGACTGCCCACAATTATAATTGGTTTTTTTGCCTTAGACACAATCTCAACAGCTGAAGATACTACATTTGAGATTTGATAATTAAAATTAATTCAAAATGTAATTTATATATGTCTTGATAGGAAAATATTAACCTTCTCCATCTGATGCTTGTGGAGTAGTTATTGATAGTGGATGGATATTTTGTGGTTCCCAGGCTCCAGCAAACAAACAAAATAAATGATTTTGGATATACCTGGATAAAATAGAGAAACTTGTATATACAAAATTACAAAATTGAATACCTAACTACCTACATATTCATGCCAAATAAAACAAGCTTATAAAATTTTTATGATCCCCTTATTGTTATTTTGTATTGATTAAAAAAGGCATATCATACCAATTAACAATTTTCTGCCCAATTCCAACAGGATTTTCCTACAACCAAATAAACTTTCACATTTTGGGCCATTATGAGACATTTACATTTACTATTTTTGTATGGTATGAACAATTTCATGTTGATTAGCAAAGTACTTCATACTGTGAAAGAAACTTCAAAATGACTAAGTAATTCACATTTAGAAACTCCTTTTTATAAAAGCCAAAATGCATACTGGGATGTGAGCAGTGAGCACAGATTTTAAGTAGTAAGTTGTGGTCTTTGAAGAACATTTCAACCAATGATGCATTATGGGGGATTCTAGACATAATTATACACTGGTTTTATGAACATTATGCCTGGCTAATGATGATACCTTTAGTCCTGCCTCCTTCTTGACTAAAGGATAGGAATAAAGAGTGTCAATAGGAAACTCAACGAATACTGGTCCAGGTGTCCCTGACTGAGCAATTTGCATGGCCTTCCTCAAAATTTGAGGAATATCACGTACTCTGAAACAAAACAATAACATAACCATAACAACTATACAATACAAAATTGAATATCTTTGATTATCTTCACCTTTTAATTGTAACACAGTATTTACAGAGAGGCTTAAACAATGACATTTGATCAATGTCTTGCAGTGCTCCCCGATTCTAAATATATAAGATTTTGCTTTAGTGACAGACGAACACTTATACCATATCATAGATTTTAATACACAGTAACAAGAATGAAGAACAACAAATTTTTGACAATTAGTGTAATCAATTGTACCTTCAACAGAGTTGCTGCAGCACCTCCAATAAGCAATACAGGTGACTCGGCCATCTGAGCATTTTTCACAGCTGTTACAGTGTTTGTCAAACCAGGTCCGGCTGTCACAGCAACTACACCAACAACACCAGACAAACGTGCAACTGCATCAGCTGCAAATACTGCATTCACTTCGTGCCTTGTATCAATTATTCTAATTCCAAGCTTCTCACAGGCAACTAATATTGGTGATATATGACCACCACAGAGGGTAAACACATACTTTACACCATGTGCCTGAAAAGAGAAGCATCATACCTTGATTGTTGTCAAATAATGTGAAGCTTAAAAAAGGTCACATACCTGTAAAACATTAGCCACAAGTTCACCACCATGATTTTTTGAAGTTTTATCAAGCTGAAATAAAACGAAATAGTATATGATCACAAACAATATGCAATATTTATTGCAAAGGTAATTGAACAAAAAAAGCACATTTTCAAAAACTTACTTTCAGAAAAAAATGATAATGTAATTTAAATCTATAAACGACAAATATAATAATGATAGTAAGTAAGATAAAGAAAAAATAAATCAAAGAAAATGCAAGAAAGCTCTCCTGTTCACTTGTCATTTTCAATAGTTCGAGGTACACTCGTAAAATGCCGTAATTCCCCGGAATAACAAACTCACTGTTTTGTACAGGTGTGCAACTTAGTTTAGATTAAAACAAACCATATATCAAATTTTATACACTATTTCCACTAAATAAACAACAGCTTTAAACACTAAAACCTCAATTTGATTAAAAGTTAACTTATACAGTATCGTGGAATAAGTCAATATATCTTATATTACATGAAGTCGAAGTGAAGTTCACCACGTGGCACGAATGAACATGGTTGACAAATTTTAAGATTTGATCACTTTGATCATCAATGGATTTAGGTTTAAGGTAATGTTCAATGCGGATTATCAGGAAGAAATGAATAAATCGAAGAAAAGAAAGGCACAAGTTGTTATCTTTGAAGAGCCTGCGCGGAAAGCAAAGGACAAAAAATGTGTAAGTTGCCCACTTACGTAATTGTTTTGTTGTAAAATAATATTTCATTGTCAGCACTGTTCTGAGTTTTGAATTCTGATATCATATGACAAATGGTGGTGATTTCAGAAAAAAGAAAGTTTGTCAAGCTTCAAAGGAGGGGAAGAAATGATGAAAAATTATGGATTTAAAGAAATTGCACGTGAAGTGAGAGAATTTGGTATGGTACCTGAACAGCATGAAAACATATCTCTAAGATTCAAGTTTCTTGAACAGAACTGCATTGCTATGTTACAAAGTTTACTATATTTGAATGGATTGTGAATTTATCACTTAACTTTGTTTAGGAATGTCAGGTTTTGGAAAGAAAGATAGAAGAAAAATGAAGCAAGCAGAAGCAGAATCTCTTGGAGCTAGAGTATAGTGATATGACTCTTAAATAAAATGTAATATGTATTCCTCTTTAATTCTATGTTTCATGACTTTTTTAGGCTCTCAAGAAACCAAAAATGCCGTATCCATTGCTAATGGAATTGAAAAAAATTTGGAAAAAGAAAGATGAAAAACAAAAGGAAGAGGTGCAACATATGATAATGAGTTGAAGGAGTTAATGAAGTTAAATTGAGCAAGTGGTTTATGGGCAATTGTTATTTTAATAGGACACAGCAATGGGATTATTCAGAAAGACAAAAAAGCAAGGAAATATAAGAAAACAACTGCCTAAAGGGTACAATAATATAATTTTGAATCAACCTAAAGTTATTTTTTATGACTTATACACCTTGCTCTTCATTAGGTCTGGTCGTTGGGTTGAAAGAAGTCAAGGTCTTGATGGAGGAAAGTTCAGACATGGAATAAGAAAAATACAAAAACAAGACATACTCAAAATGAAGACTAGAAAGTCATAAGTGTGGAATATAAATGACGAGTTGACTCTCTTTCTAATTTAATTTGCAAGTAATTGATTAATTGCTGAAAGAGGAAAGTATTTTTGCATTAAAACGAAATTACAAATGCAAATTGTTTGTTCACATTCACAACACAACGTAATCTTTGCTGTATTGAGAGTTCAAGAATCAATATGAGTAAATTCTATACCTACATATCGTTTTATTATATTTAACATATCTATGTTAACTTTTTGTTTAAATCATAATATATTGTCGGCCTTTGCGAGTTCAAACCACAAGGTTCAAATGTACATTGGTATGTCGGTCGTAATTTTAGCCCATGGCAACGAGCACAAAACACTTTATTTGCATTGTGTTTACTCGATAGAAGATTAAATTTCGATTAATCTTTGAGCAGACAAAAGTTCACGGTTCACTGCAATTTTTCTATTCTATAAAACAAGTGGACATATAAACGTTGAGCAATACAATTTGCTATTTTAAATATGTATAATAGCAAAACACTCGAGTCGTTTGATTTATGTTTACAAATACGTTCACACAGAATGATAACATTTTTCGCTCGACTTGAGCAGTCCTTTACAAAACATTTCACTTACATTGCAATAATTAATGGTGCAATTGAGCTTCACAATATGCCGGAACTCTTCAAAACTTAATTTCACCGAACGATCGATAATCAATAACAAAATGACGACATACATATTGTTGGGATATATTTGACCTATAATGTACAAAACAGTCACTAAAATCTATAGTTTATTAAAATCATCGTATTTTTGTTTCCAGTCTTGAGTCGCTCGCTTTACATCAAGACGTTTCGGTTTTGGTCTCGCTGCAGCCATATCTAACTTAGACGACTCATCAACACGAGGAGACGTTAAACTTTCGGTTTTGTCAACTTTTTCCTCACTTTTATCTTTCGTTGACGCTACGTCTTCATGGCTTTCATGATTATCAGGTGCGTTATGTGAATCGCCTTGTTTGGCTGGTTCTTGTACATTCTCTTGTTCACCTTCCTTTTTTTCATTATTTGTGTCATTCTGTCCGTGTACAACTACATCACCGTCATGAACATCAGTCTTTTGAGTAACGTCTTGTGTCGACGGTGTTTCGTACCTATCTTGAGGTATTTTAACCCCTAACTTCTTATAATAATTATCGCACTGTTCATCAACAACAAGTAGAATCACTTGGTTTCCGCCTGCTCGTATACGTTCTACAACCTTAGAATGTGGATAATCTTCAACATCCTCATCATTGACAGCAATCACTCGATCCCCAACTCGTAAATCATTCTTTTGAGCGGGACTACCGTCGTCGATTGCGCTGATAAATTGACCATGTATCCCCTTTTCACCATGAAGATTAAAGCCATAACCATCATGTCCTCGATGAATTACAATCCTACGCGGCAAGCTAGGCGGACCTTGTTCAGAATGTGGTATATCACCGTTCATGTTAAACTTCGCAAGCTTTTGGAATCGTTTGTCACACTTCTACGACCCGTAATTGCGATTTCAAAGCTAACAATTCCTCGTGAGAAGAGCCTTCTTTATTTTATGCCCTTTTATGGAAACTAGGGTTCAGGTTTCGTAAGAGAAAATACCACATCTCCCAAAAGGAGATTGCAAAAAGAGCTCGGAATCATTCTTGGAATTCATAAAAAAGAAGCGACTTTCTTAACACATTTCGGAAACATTATGTACTGGTATAATCTTTAGAAAATTAATCACAAAAATCATTTAAAAAATTGACAAAAGATGTCTTTTCCTATGTTAATTTTCTATCACAAAGTGGGCATCATCAACAGCTGCAACTCAAAATCAGAATAAGTGCTTTTAATCAGAGAATTTTATTGCAATTTTATGAAAATCTGTGTTTACTATAAGGACAAATAGGTTTACAAGTGTGAATTACATTTTCAATTTCATATGGTCTAGTGAATGCCTTGACTGAGGAAGGAGAAACCAATATCAACTACAGTTTTCAAAATTGGAATGTTAAATAGAAAATGATAGGATAGAATGTATATAAAAAATATCTTTCTTGTTCATTATGCATATGAGGAGCATGTGAAATACATGAAGTACTCCAAATGCAGATTTGTATGACATAATTTTCCATTTAAAGAAAATATTTTTATTGCTTTCTATAAAACATTCCATTGCCTAAAAAATTGAAGGCATTCATTCTTGTTTTGTACATAGCCTAGTTTGTGTTTGTGAGATAGGTCTTTTCATTTGGGGAATTATCAGGAGGTCCTAGCACTATTGGAGCATTATTACCATTTTCATGAACTATTGGTGAAGAGCCTGGTTGATCAGTTACTGGAAGGTCATCTTCTTCTGCTGCTGGACAATCAGGAATATCTTCATCTGACTGAGGTCTACACTTTCCACAGCAACATCCACAACAACAACACAAACAGCAACAAAAGTAACAACCAGTAATCAACCCACAAAATATAAACAATGCCTGAGAAATAAAGAATTGATATAAGAACAAGGATGAAAAGAAATAATAAATAATAGAAATAATTATGTACAAGATAACTTTTACAACATGTACATCCTCTCCTAAGGAAATCAATTAAAAATAGTAGACTTGATGATACTTACTTTACACCAACAACTGTTGAGACGGAAGTATAATTTTACATTCTAAACAAGATTACATAGCATCAAAATTGTGAATATTTCATTCCATGCTAGGATTGAAAATGCACACACATTAATGTAAAATTAATGAAACTAATATATATCAAACAGCTCTCATTAGTTAATAAAGATGAGAAATCATTAAATTGCATTGTATTGTTCAAAGAATTTGGGTGTAATAAAACTGATAGTGTTTGTATAAAAACATCACTTCATTGAAAAAAGTATTAAGTCATTTGTGTTCAGTATTTACTAGTTTTTGGAGTTGAATTTCTTGTAACACAAAAACCATTATTACCTCATCTCCAAATTGTTCTGCAATATATAAGCCCATGTTACCATAATCATCATAGATTTGACGTTTTGTCTCATTAGACAAAATAGTGTGTGCATGATTGATGACTTTGAACTGAAAATAAATGAATTCAATAATCAATTTCGTGTTAAGACTGGGGCAATAATATAATATTGTCAGGAAGTTATTGAATCTTACACGCTCAGCAGCTGTGGGGTCACCTGGATTCTTGTCAGGGTGATGTTTGAGTGCTTTCTACAAAAATAAATTATCATTATGAATATCAACTGACCATAGATACATAATTCATAATGTGTTGTTTGTAAACATTACTTTACGGTATGCCTTTTTGATTTCTTCTGGTGAGGCATCACGAGTAACTCCGAGTATTTCATATAAATCTTTTTGTTCCCTGAAAAAAAGTATTCAAGCATAAAACTAGCATTTACAAACTAACAAACCTCTGTTTGCAATGTTAGATCAAAAATTTCAATTAATCAAATAGAAGAATGTGTTTTATATCAAAAACCATGCATCTTAAATGAATTTGCAAAAACATTTAAATTAGATAAGACAAACATATTACACATTAAGAGAAATATTCAAACCATTAAACATGATTGCCTTACAAACCACTTTGATCTTATCATATACAACAATGGACATTTCACTTTAAAAAGATATAAAAACTTTTGAAGTCTCTAAATCCTTATCTTTCACAAAGGCAGCTTAATTATAAAGAAAATCAAACTAGATGCAATGGATTTTTGAAATATTTTGATGAAATCATGAGACAATGCTTCTAAGAATCTATAAACAGTTCAAATACCATAATAATTTGTAAAACTGCTTACATTTTTCCAAATTCAAAGAAGATTGTAAAAGACAAAAAGCAACTCTCAAAAAACGTAATGATTTACGTACTTAATTGCTACCATTTGACCATTTCAAACAAACAATGGCCGAGGTAAGTTTTTCGAGCAAACAAAAATATCTGTCAGTTATTAGGATTTCAATAAAATTTATAATAAAACATGCTGCATGGTTTCATCGAAACTTTACGTGGATAAGTGGAAAAAAAGATAAAATTCACCCAAAATTGGAGCAATATCTTTTATATTTTGAACATGTTTGCTCCCGCCTCAATGAAACAAATATTACGACTATAACAGCATTCTAGAATGCTAACATCCAGTAAAAAAACCTTAATGCAAACCCATAAACACACGCTCAACAAACCACTGACACAAAATACAAATACCTGTTTTCTAACAGAAAGGTATCATTAAATTATGAATACAAAATAACATAACACTACACTACAAATACCGCGACAATTCATTGAACCCACATTATAATCGCGCTTTCGTTCTCGTCAGTCATGGTCATTTCCGCATCATCTCCTTTTGGCGACATTTCGTAAATATTATTTTGCTTTATTTTCCCATTTACAATGCAAAGCTTCCAAAAGTTAGTTACAAGGCGGAATCTGATTCATTTACCTACTTGTCATACATTATGTAAATACACCCACCGGAAATTCATACATATTTTAATTAAATCAGGGGGCATAGCACACCTCACAGAGCGTTGAAGAAAAGGAAAACTCAATACATCAATGGGGGCAAATACCAGTTGAGTAAAAAACAATAAAAAATTTATGCAGGTACTTAATACACGCATTAATTAATACACACCATAAATGTTAGAGTATTAATAGGGCGAAGGGCATGGAACATGAAAAATGTACTATGTAACCCAATTATTCGTAAATCTTCCTTCTACAAGGTATGTTTGCAAAGTTTGCTTTAACAACATGCTCGGTCAATGATACATATAGAATTATTAGATGGAAGTAACAAAACAATCCAGTGACATAGGAAGAGAGAGTTTGGGGTAAATGTGCCAACTTTTCAAATTTACTATAAAAAAGTGTACTTTTTAATTGAAAAACCGCCCGAAAAAGCTTGTGCCCCCAATTTTTACTTGCTTCATACGTGTCTGATGCAATCATAAGTATAGAAAGCAACACTCTCATAATAAACAGTTTTATTGTTACGCCAAAAGAAATTTATGAAAACTTGAGAAAAAAATTTACCCTTATTTTCATTTCAATTCACTCAATAGTACACAATAAATTCAAAAGAAGAAGATAGTCATGCAACCAATGTGAAGGTTATATTTTTAGATTTTCAACAAGCTCAGATTCTCTCCAGTGTTTTGATAAAAATATATGCACAAATACTTTGGTGCGTGCAAAATTTTCCAATACTTTTTATGAGACAAAAAATTTCCACTACCTTGTTGCAATTATTTCAGTATTAAAAGCAATTATTAGTCTTAACACCTATTGAAATAAATATTTGTCACCAAAACCACATGGTAGAGCTGCACATAACAGCAAATGCAGAAGGCCTGCAGGTTTAGTGCAATTATGTGTCAAGTTTACTATAAAAAGTAAAATGGAGTAAAGTAGACAATTTTTGGATGTATACTGATATCTAAGTTCTTCTTAAAACTATAAAAAAGCATCAAGGACTGTTTACAATCAATGAAAAACATTATTATTGGATCATAAATTCTAAAGTTATAGAGATAAAACTTGCGAAACAGTTGCAAAAAGAATTAAATTGGTCAACGAAAACTTTTAGACTTCATTATCCCAAGATAATAAATCGATGATATTGAATACTGAAACTACTATAAACATGGCGGATATGAAGTAACTAGATCTTTCTACTTATAAAAATGCATTCATTTTAGCTCATACAAACAAATATTAAAACTTACTCGCTCTCTGATTTTATGGTATTGTAGTTTGCCATAACTAATACATCAGATAAAAAAATATGAGTTTCTTTCGTAGGTTTTTATACTGGCTTCGTTTCATAGCGGTCGATTGATCAACCCAATCAAACTTCGATTCAGCAGGTGTCCAAATAATATATGTAAAACAGTAAAAGTATACAATTACAAAGCATGTCATCGTGGTTGTCATCAGCCAGATTGACGATGGCCAGAGACGTCAATCGTTGGTTTTGCGATAAAAACAGCTATACATAATTTTGAAAGACTTTACGAGTTCTAAAGCTCTATAAAAAGATGAGTTGATGATATTGCTTTTCCAAAGTTTGCTAAAAATAGCTAAAAAAGCAATTAATAACATGCTGAAAAATTTAACTCCCAGAAAAAGGAACGCTAGGGAGGGAACAGTCAAACGAACAAAAAATAATTCTTTCATATTAATCACCCGCTCCCGTATGAAAAAAAAAAATTAAAATGAAACGACGGCTGATGAGCAATGGTATTTTACTTTGATCTACAATTATATTTCCAACTTTTACTAAAATCCAGAAGAACCCATAGAGGAACTTCTTTTGTATAATCATTACTTGGCTGGCGCTAGTACAAGAACAGTACGACATGGAATATAAACCTAAAAATGACAAAAAATATAATAAGATGAAAACCAATCGTAACTTAGTGAGGAGATTAAGAAAAACGTGAAGATTATTTTAAAGCTTACTTGTAAAGAGTACGGTCTTTCATTGAATTCCATTTCATCAACAGCATATTGACAACCGGCTTGAACTCTTTGATGCCCACCAAATTGTTCCGCATCTGAATCCAGAACAAGTTTGTATCTTAAAGCCCCTGGGTTAAGGACAATATAACATAAATGAAGAGAATATTCAGAAATATTGAAATACACATTTTGCCACAACTAATACCCAGGTCGCTTTCCGTCCGTACAGTCTTGTCAGACTCTGAGACTAGTTTTATACATTTATATGCTTACTAATTTTCATTGGATGACTTCGTAGAAAAATAAATGGAACGTAAATGCCACCTGCTAATAATTGTACGTTAAATTCGAGCCTGTGCAATTGCAGTGGAATTTCAACTATCTATGAACAGGACTTGAGCGTGATCTAGTCTTTAAATTAGGTCTTAAACAACAAACCGGACCATTAAGCAAGCAGTAAATACGTTCAAGTTTAAACTAAACAATAGTTATTATAATGGAATGGATACGTTCCCGAGGCGGGAACTCCAACTCTGTAATCAGGATAACTGTTTGTGGCATGAAAGTTGAAGATAAACACAACACCAGCTCTATCAAACACCATCACTTTGTCAGCACCATGTTTCGTACTCACATATCCCTGAAACGATTGCTATATTCCTTCACAAGCTCAACGAACAAGTATCTCATGATGATGTTCACAATGTGGGGAGATGTATGACGGAATCTTTAATTATTACCTTACAATGTTAGGACATTCTTCACGAAACCCTCGTTAATTATAGAGGATATGTAGGTATTTATCTCACAATAATAGGGCATTCTTCATGAAAATCTGGTCAATTATAGGGGATCTGTAGGTATATATATCTCACAATAACAGGACATTCTTCACAAATCTGTCGTTAATTATAGGGGATCTGTAGATACATATCTGACGATAGTTGGACATATTGACTAAATCCCTTGTTACCTGTGGAGCATGCAGCCAGCCATAGTCTTCTTCCAAATGATTCATGGCCTTGTCAAATTCATTTAAAAATTTATAGCGAAGTAATGGATCGTCAGCAAGATGGAACTGTCTTCGAGCATAATGAAAACTAGAGTTATTCCCCTGACGAGGAAAATCTAACCACTCAGGATGACCAAACTCATTACCAATGAAATTCATGTACGCTTCACCACCAAGACCGTGAGTCAAAAGCCTGGAGAAAAATAAACACAGTCAGACAAATGCCGTATGCCATGAATCCCTTTTTGTCTGCCTGAGTTAAAGACGGAGCAAAGAAACATTGCGTACAAACCTGATCATTTTATGGAGAGCAAGTCCACGATCAATAATTGGCGTAAGAGGAGATGTGACCGACATAAAATCATACATTTCTTTATCCATTAGCCAGAACGCAATGGTTTTATCTCCGACTAAAGCTTGATCATGACTCTCAGCATACGCAATGGTTGCCTCCATATAACGCCTATTGGTCATTGTATGATACAGTTCCTGTAGATCCCAGTCTTCATCTTTACGCTCCTTCAAAAGCTAAAAAAAACATCAAAGTTTCTTGAAGGGTGAAAAAAAGCAATATTTCGATGATGTGTATTTTCTTTTTTCACTAACCTCAATCCATTTATCAGGAATGGCCATCCCCAGGCGATAATCAAATCCAATACCACCTTCATCAATAGGTCTGCATAAGGCAGGCATACCAGAAACATCCTGAGCAATGTAAATTGCACCATGGTCAAGGTTAGATTTAACGTCAGTCCAGTTAAAATTTAGTTCAGGTTAGATTTAAGGTCAGTTCAGTTAAAATTTAGTTCAGGTTAGATTCAAGGTCAGTCCAGTTAAAATTTAGTTCAGCATACCTCTGCAATTGAGATAACATCAGGATGAACAGTATGCATCATATGATTGGCCAGTTGTAAATATGTCACAGAGTCTGTGTCCACTCCAAGATCATAGAAGTTAGGATAATCACCTCCAAAGCCATGACCAAGACCATGATCATGATACATCATTGATGTCACGCCATCAAAACGAAATCCATCAAATTTATATTCCTCCAAATACCATCTCAAATTTGATAGTAAAAATCGTCGAACTTCCCACCTGACAAAAAAAGATCAACTTTTTTGTTGTATAAAGTAAACTGCTTTGAAAAGCTGCTGTCACTGATTAAAAATCATTATATAATATGACATTACTTTCACTGCTTGTCAATGTTTATCACCAAACATTAAATGATAAATTAGGCTCTTTTCTCTGGTGGTCAAAAATATTAGTAAAAAAACTCTTCTAAATTAAAAATTTCAACAAAGGTCAATAAATACACATACTTAGTGTAATCAAATAATCTGCTATCCCATAGATCATGAAAACCCCTGGGATTATCATGAAAATAACAACCATTGGTACCATCAAATTGATTGAGACCATCCATTGTATTTTTACTAGCATGACTATGTACAACATCAAGAATCACCAACAAACCATGGCCATGAGCTGTATCTATCAAACATTTTAGTTCATCTGGAGTTCCATAACGACTAAAAAGAGGAATATTCATCACAATATACTGATGCTGAGAAGGGAGATTTCCATGTAAATATGCCAATATAAAAGTTACCTTGATATTGCAAAAAAGTTTGTAACTTGGTACCCAAATGAAGCATAGTATGCATGTTCCATGATTGCCATTAATTCTACACAGTTATAGCCAAGGTTCTTAATACGTGGGATAACATTCTCTGAGAAGTTAGTATAAGATGCAACCTCATGATTAGATGATGCAATACCAACATGGGATTCATATATTCTCAAACTCAATGGCTTTGCAGGTCTGGCATTCCGCCATTGATAAACTTGAGGGGGATCCCAATAAATTCCTTCATATAAATCAGTATCTTTTTGTGGTTTGGCATAGGATATCCAAGGAGATATACGATCAACCTGGCTACCATCATGTTTAGTTATTGCCACCTAATGAAACAAATTTAAGAAAAGCAATTTAAAAGTTTATTAGTAAAATTTAGCATACAACAATTCTTTACCTTAATTCGAGATTCATGAGCAATAGGTGATGATCCATCAGGTTTATTAGGAATCTTCAATTCCCAAACCCCAAACTCATTCCTTGTACAGACATGTGACACACGATCCCAGTTATCTACAACAGTGTTTTAATCTATCAAAATAAATGCAAACATTCATAAATTGATCCCACATACTCACTAAACTCTCCAACAAGATGAACACAATTGGCTCCAGGGGCCCACTCTCTAAACATTATGCCATCATGCTCTTTTGTGAGGCCAAATTTTTCATAACCACGAGAAAATTGCTCAATTCCACCTTCTCTCTCATTGATTTGTTGCAATATTTCTTGAAAAATCTTATAGCTAGATTATCATAACTAGAATTAATAATTTTGTATGCATGCTATGGTAAACCTTTATCAAACATATAAATTTTATTATAGTAAAATAAATACCGTCGTTCAATTTCCCCAACGTACGGTTGAAGATAGGGATCTCTTGTTAAAAGTTGCGACAATTTTGGCACAATGCTATCCATGTTAAGCTAAGATGATATGTAACATAATGTTTAGAATGAACACAATAACATAAAACACACCATTTACCTGTTCAATAAACTGAATATATAGGTTGTCTCTAATTTTGGATGTTCGCCTCATTAATACTTATCTTCGCCATGGACTTTTCCTAAAGAATTAGAAATTGGAACAATTCTTAGAAACGGTGCAATCAAAATTTACTCTGTCCTCTTTGTGCACGCATAAAAATTGAAAATCCAGTCAAACAAAGCTTGTTATAAAACTCTTGGTGCAGAATGGTACGGGGATCAATTGAATTTTTGCAAAATCTGCACGGTGAGCAACGTGTTCTGCCCTGCCACGTTTGCATCACTGTCGACATCCAAGAAAATTATTTAATTTAAAAAGGCATGCAAAAAATCATAAATGACTTAACTTACTTGAAATAAAAATACCAAAAAAAATGACGGACAAAAAGCAAAAATTCCAAATTTGGATTCAAGAATATTGCACAACAAACACACCACACACCTTCTGTTCACATTACATTCAAGTGAAAACAACTGAACATTGTTCTTTGAGTTTGAAGGCTCATAAATTAGGCGCTAATTGAAGAATGAATTATCAAAACATAAATATAAACAAATAATCGGATCCTACAGCAGGAATTTCGCTTTTTGCTAAAATTTCTTAAAAAATGAGTTTCAATGCATTTGACTTGGTTTCTGTTATAGATCGTGTTCAGTTGATGGGTGATAAAGCAAAGACAACGGTATTTTTATATTTAATATTTATAAAATTTTAATATTACGAAGGAACATTAATTTTTGAATATTTTACTTCCTCTTAATGTTTGTACGTTTCTAATTGTTTTACCTGTCGTTTAAGATAATATCAAACACGATGTTCTATTTATCCGAATGAAAAATTTTAATTCATTTGACAAGTTTTCTTCATTTATGTAAAGGTGCAATGTTTGGATTGTGCAGCTCAAAATTTGTTTGTTGGAACTGGTGACAGGTATTTGCTGTTAGTTTTGGATAAAATTTCTACAACAGATTCATTATAACCAAACTTTCACATAATTTACAATTTTAGTTTGATTATTCACTACATCATAGCAGATGATGTCTCACCATCTGGGAAACCTGTGTTTGAATATAGTTTACAAGGATACAAATCACTATCTTTGGTAAATGGTTTATTAAAAATGTTGTGTCAACATATGGGAGAACTCAAAACTTATCTTCAACTGATATTTAAATTATAGTTATAAATTATTTTCATTAGAAGAAACCCGTACAACAATTACTCACAGCAGCAGCAATAAACCGACTGCTGGTCCTTTGTGATGGTAGATTTTTGACTTGTTTGTAAATGCATACAGTAATAAACTTTCTGGGGAATGATTTATTCAACTTTTGTCCTAACCTAGGTGTCTTGTTCCTGCTCAGTATTATGGGCTTGGAGGTAGGTATAAAGCATTCTTTACACTGTGAAGTTTGTAGTGTAATGATAATTAACTCTTTTTAGATGATAATTTCTGGATACAAAGACAAACTGAAAGGCGTATGATAAATATAGAAAATTTTCACTGTAAATTGATGAGTTCATGCAAGATACATTTTTATGTTGGTATATCATCTTAGGCTACCTGTATTGCACGCAATGACAATCCTTCATCATTTGATCCATTCGCAGTAGAGGTAAACTGAGAATATAGTTGATAAAGAACACTGGATTTAGTGAGCTTTTTAGCAAATCCGCGGTTTCAAAATTGTTTTTTTATATTTGTTCAAAAGGTTTGCGTTGGAACACGAAAGAAAGCAATCTACATAGCTATGATAACAGAAGACAATATCTACACAACGCGAGAAATAACGCTCAACGAACCTCCGATTCAAATGGTGAGATCTATATTATCAGCTACCACTTGGCTTCACAAGAAAAAAAAAATTTTTCTTGCTTGAATTTCTTTTAGAATTTTAACGGGAACACAGTTTGCGTTGCTTTATCAAATGTTTACTGTAACATCGACATACCCACAAGCAAAGTAAGAAACATTAAAAACGTTGAAGAATCATCGTTTTCATATCGTAAGCTGGTGTTTTTGTATCAAAACGGCACATTACAATTTATCTGTTACATTCGTCGTGTAAAAAGATCGAACAACAAATAACCCAAGGAACTATGAGACACTAAGTTGATACTTGAATGAAAAAAATGCATTAAACGCATGGGCTTTCTGTGGAAAGACCTGTCATAGGTTTTATGCATAGTTGAAACGAACGATCATCGAAAAATTTATACTATTTTCCTCCCCACAAGGTGCAAGAACTAATTAGTTATGAACCTCAAAATAAACCAATAATCACAAGAATTACCACGGTAAAGAAAACTCTTTTTTATAACTAACCTACCTTTCAATAAATGTTTCCGTTTTACAACTGGTGTAAAACATTCCTTACTTCAGGAGGAATTCTTGTTGAGTGGACCAACGGACATCTTAGGAATGTTTGTGACATCACAGGGAACCTCGTTAAGGCCACCATTGAGTTGGACTGATGGTCTTGTTGCTCTTGGGTACTCTTTTCCCTACGTTATTGCTGTTGGTCGTGCATCTATCACAGTTTATAGGTAAAATGAAATGATTAATCTACCCCCCTAGTGTCTGGCATTGATATTGTAGTCTATGTGTTATAGTATTTTGGAATCTGATAAAAACTCCATAAAAGAAGTCATACCTTTTCAGGTAAACTCCAAATATTTTTTTCAATACGAATCTTTCTCGAGCAGACTACAAGTTGTTTACAATATGGAAGATTAAAGTGTTTATTTCTTCATTTAGGCAGGCTGTCTTACTTGTAGTGTTGAAAATAAAGTGTTCATATGTACAGAAAAGTCTGTCTTCTGTCTCGTCCAGATAACTTTTAAAAAACAAGTACGTTCTTATTTAACAACTGTTCTCGTAGCTATAAACACACTTAATGACACGAAAATATCAACGTGAAGATAAATGTACTTATAAAATTGTGTTGAATACCGCGTTATTTTTTATTTTCCACATGCAGATCGAAAATTTACTTAAAACAAAAAAGGTTGAGGAAGCAATACGACTTGCTAAAGTAGCGATGCAGACAGAGTTGGGAAGTTCTAGAGATAAACACGTACGCTTTTCATTATCTCAGCTCAAGTGATTTAATAGACAACGCTGCATTCTTAAAGCGGCTATAGTTACATGATAACGTTAATTTTTTTATATACAGTTGTTATCCCGAACACAACAAGAAGCTGGTTTGATATATTTAATGGAGGGTAAATACACTCAAGCTTTAGAGTTGATGCATCAGGGAAACGTTGATGTAAGAGAGGTATGTTATCTCACATCGACATTCACACAAGTGTCTTTTTTATCAGAAACATATGAAGATACTAAACTATGAAACATTGTAAAGTCTTTACATTTACCGCTTGTTCTTTTTGTTTGTTTTAGCTGATTGCAATATTTTCTGAGTTGCGTTGCAGCAATTCTCTCTTCAAACCTCAAATACCTGGAATAGATAAAATAAGACAGCTAATTAGTACAGACGCCGATATGGAAAAGAAGATAAAAATTTTCGTCTTAGAATACTTAGTAAGTTTGTCTTATGCACATACATATAGAGAGAGAAGCATCAATTTTACCAGAAGATTTTTTACAGTTTCGACTAAAGAGTAAACAGTTAGTTTATAACATTGATATAATTGAATAGCTTTTTGAAAATAAAAATTCAAGCATCGTTGTTTTGGTATACTCATTCAATAAACTGATTTACTTCATTAATTTTTTTTCAAATTTTAGGAAGAAAGTAAAGGATCTGAAAAAGTTTATAATCTTATCAAAGAAGTATGTTGCTTTAGGATAAACAATATTACAACTAAATTGGAAGTAATATAAGCTAGTTTATTGACAAGTAGTTTGCATAAAAAAATATTTTTCTCAAAGGAAATTGACACGGCATTGTTGAAACTTTACGCGGAAGAAAATTCGCCCATTTTACAAGATCTTATATGTAACGAGAACGCATGCGCGTACGAAGATAGTGTAGACTGTTTACAGAAACATAAGGTACTCGAAGACACTGAACACTTGAGGATAAATCATGTAAAAGTCAGCCGTATTGTTGTTATCTTTAGCGTTTTCATTGTCTTGCTTTGTTGCATAAATCATGCCATTACGAAGAAAAAGCTCTTCAACTGTGGACTAGGTAAACATCATCCAGTTTTATCGACTATTTACGACAAAATACAAATATAGCTTCATATCGACAAACAAGTATTCTTAGCAATATCCTTATTTTTGACGTACTGGTCACGACAGTAAACGTGCATATATACTTAATAAAACATTTCATTTTAGATTAGTCGATAAAGAATTAGAAGATCCGAATTTTCCTGGCATAGAAACGATCATAAAATGTTTGACGAGGCAAGAGCAAAATATTTTTAAACTTGTTCGGAGTTATATAGTTTATCGCTTAGTTTTATATGTTTTAGTATTGAAAACGAGGAATTAATTTGGCGTTATGTTCCATGGATAATGAAAAAAGATCAATCTTTGGCAGTCAGGGTTAGAACTATTTGGTTCTTTTGTGGGATAAATACTTACTCAAAATATGAAATTGTTTCTCGCTCCCCCCTCCCCCTGCAGATATTTTGTGGAAGAAGTCCTGATGACACTTCAAAAAAACTACAAATAGACTACGTCATGGAATATTTCAGCAAATTTCCTAAGGCTCTTCAGAAGTACCTTGAATATTTAGTTTATGATAGAAAATTACAGGTGTGTTCATCTTTTAAAACATTTTGTTCACAAATAAAAAAAACGTGGAAAAATGTTGACTCTTTTCTTTTCAGAATGAAAGGTATCATAGTCGTCTAGCGATATTATACTTAGATGAAGTTCTAACTTTAATAAGGGAAACAAACGCTTCAAAAGATGACATAGACAAGGCAAGGTATGTATGTATGTATGGTAATACTGGTTAAGGGTGTTGTACTATTAATATGAAATTGAAAAAATTGTTTCACATTATTTCTTCATGTTTCAAACATTGTTTTTGTTACCTTCAAGGCTTGCTTTCCGATCATTGTTGAAATTTTCTTCACTTTACAATGCTTCGCTGTTGCTTTCAAAAATTTCTGAAGATAGTGGATTGGATCTAGAATCAGCCATTTTGTATGGCAGGGTATGAAGAGAAATGAAAATTTTGTACATGTTTTTGGAAAATATCAATTTGAATTTCACATTTAAACTGTTTTATCTTACACAATAACGTATAAATAATGAATTCTGCAGCTAGAGCATCATGAAAAAGCTTTGAAAATTTACGTTCATCGATTACAAGACTATGAAGGTGCCGTGACTTACTGTGAGTTTTATTCCAAGGTAAGTCAAGACGCATAACCTTAAATGAAGACATTTTACCCACACAAATTAACTGACGTGTTTTTAGAATCGCGAAACGGCTTATCGAAAGAGATTGTTTCATCAACTCCTTACTGTGTATTTGAACACGAACAGGTAGTAATTGCACGCAGTGTTTTCTAGTTGCAAGTTGAAATGAAAAATATTTTGGTTATATATAGCAGCGCACGGAGTAATGATCATGTTGTGGCCGCTGTTAGGTTACTTAACTCACATATCCGAGATTTTGAACCGATTAAGGTAAAAAATACTTTAAATAAACTTGAAAATTATTTACGTCATTTTACTTATTATCTGAAGCTATTGTGCTATTCAATTTAATTAAGGGACATTAATAAATGACAAGCTGTAACAAACCGCTTTCAGACAATCTGCCCTGGTCTTGATCAGTTTATTTTTCATGTCCTATAAAACACGAGCAGACAATTAATATTTTTTTGACATGAACATTTTACTTCATAAATGAAAAACAGACGAAACGTCAAAGAAAAATTATTTTTGATGGCTTTACTCAAGAGTATCTTTTAGACCTAAACATTTTTTAAAACCACACACTAACAACTTTTTACAACCATATACTATACAAGTATCATACGATGTTACTTTTGAGTCATGCTAAGATCAGTTGAACCTGATTTTATAATGGACGTTATCCATCAATATCCATCATTATAAATAATTCTCCATAGCAAGTTATCCATCAATATCCATCATTATAAATAATTTTCTATAGGTGATAGAGATAATTCCAGATGAATGGTCTGTAAGATTAATTTCACCGTTCCTTCTCGGTCTATCACGTGAAAGTCTTCACGCCAGTAGAAATAGTCAAGTTCAAAAAAACCTTAGGAGAGCTGAAAATATCAAAGTAAGACAAACACACAAAGATGTCATCATGTTTGCTATTTATCCATGTACAATGACATTAAAATTTCCAATATTCCTGAAAGATAAATAATTGTATTGATTTCAGTTTTTTTTTATCAGGCAAAGAAAGGTTACATTAAATGCACTAGGAAACCAGTAACAATAACTGACGAAACGTAAGTTTTTTTTATATAAACATGTTCATAAGAATATAGCAGAGAAAAATTGAATATTCAAGACAATCATCATCTTGATAAGCGATATTTGATTCACACGAATATTTAATGTAGTTATTGTCGTGTTTGCCGCCGTACCTTCAACGATAGCAATATGGCAAGATATCCCAATAACATTATAACACATGTTCATTGCGCAAAACACAAAACACTATGTCCTGTAACTGGGCAAATGTTTCCAATGAACGAAGATCTTTGATAACAAAATGATTTATCGAAGGCACTCGACTACTGCTGTACTTTGTTGCTCATTGTACTGTTAATAGGTTAAATAATATCGCAGAACTTAATATTGGTAAAGCATGATAGAGATGGGCAACTGAATTTATTTTAGTTGTGTATACTGACTCTAAATAATATTGTCATGTTATAATATACATGTAGCTATATTGTACACATCAATATATCGACGTATATGACTGTTCTTTGAATGAGGGAAATTAAGTTGTGAATTTTTGTGGTTGTCTAATCTTAATATCACGAAAAATTAATTTTTTTATGCAATAATGTAAATATTTATCCACTCTCCATCAATTTGATATAACATTAATGAAACATTTATTCGTCAAATTGTGTTTTCAATCTCTTATTACCAGTCCAACCATAAACTCTTCTCAATAAATTTCACATTACCATTTAGTAAGTAGTCGCAACTTGTATAGTTTGTCCTTTAGTCAATACTAGATTATTTTATACCAAAAGCCGTTTTTAACTGCCCACAGCATATGATACATACATGGACAAAACTTTGAACATAAGATCACTCCTGATGAAAACATTAGACTGAACTACGTATATATAAAAGGACTCAAGTTTAAACACTAGATTAGTCCAATGAAAACAAAACCAGAGATCACATCACAGGTAGTGCATGACGTTTTGTGTTTAAATATCACATGTTTTTTTCAAAACAATCAAAACGTAGCAAATAAATGTCATTTGATTTATAGCTACGTATTGGGCTCACTAAACTAATAGCAATATGCCATATTTCACATATTTTATTGCACAAACCTTTAACATCATCACACAAAACAATCATTGTTATCGTCAGCTTTTATTCATGTTTATCCATTAGTATCCACCAGAGATACCCCTTTTCGTTTTGGTATGACGTCATAAAAAGCTTTCTGCCAGTCTTTCAACTCCAAATATTTCAGGATTATTTCAAAAACTGCACAAAAAAAGTTTAAACAATAATGTATACATGTAGAGTATTAAACCCTTTTACTTTTCTGCCATTCGTATCTTAGTAAAAATTTGACTTGACAGGCAGGCTGACCACATAAGTGGACACTTTATAGTTGCTAACATCCACAATATTCACATGTGATAACAGTTTGCAGCACAGATGCATGCACCCCCCGGTAAAAAAGACTCTATTCCTAGTTAACGTGTGAACATTGAACAGAGACGATCTTTCACTAACCATGATTTACCGTCAGTACGGTTCTTGATTGTATCTTCACGAAGTTTTTAATTGGCAATTGCGCATGCGCTACTTTATTTTCAACAGCAAGTTTGTGACAAAGCCCCTAAAGAAATTGCATCAGTTAGCCTAACACAACAATGGAAATATTGATATCACTATTTGTTACAACTGATGCATTTGTGCAAGCATCTTTGGTCAAGAAAGGCAAGATGAAACAAAACGTTCATTCATTCTAACAAAGAACAGAGATACGTGCTTAAGCTGACGGAGCACGTGATTATGATTACGGACACATGATTACGATCATTAACACGTAATTGTGATAATATAGAACACGTGATCATAATCATGCGATTAAAATCAAAGTAATTTTCATTATTTGTGAGTTATCACTGCATGTTCGTGTTCATTACCGAAGTTTTCTATTTCTGTCATACCTTATGGTGGTTATGATCAACAAGACCTCCAATTATGTACGCTTTGGATAGGTCAATATCTAAATGTTGCATTAATACAATAAATTGCACTTACTGTAACAAATTATGATCCTTTTTTGTGAAGCAAACACTCAAAATTACACAATTGCATTTAAGATGGATCGTCACAATAATTATCCAAAGTTGGCTATTTTACTAGGAATTTTGGTCAACCAAACATAAACGTATAAATTTTAGACCGTAATAAAAATAATTATTTAAAGCTACTAAATATATTTTAACAATACACAGTTACCTTCTAGTATATTTTCTGAGTCTGACGTGAGATAAACTATATTTTCCTTGTGAAATACATCTATGTATGATTCTTTTTTGATGTGAATCTAAATTAAATAATAATTTTCACAGGACATTCTTTTTTATGAATTTATCGTTATACACGTTATCTTACATCCCAACTCTTGTATTCCTGATATGTTCCTTCCGTCAACAATTGAATATTTCCTTCAAATCCCGTCAAATAAAACTAAAACAATCGATGATTGTGCGTTTTGAAGATAAAGATCAGCAAAAATGAATGCAATTTGAAAAATGATGAAATTTTTTTCTCAAAGGGTTGAAAAGCTGGTCCTGCAATTAAAATATCACATTTCACCTGTATTGGCCTCGAAGACTTTCTATTTACAGCATAACACGTTTTCACTTGTTTCAACAGCTTTTTCATGGACTATATAAATCAAAAATTTTGTATTCTTCATTTAGAACTAGACTATTTGAATTCGTGAATCTGGCCATGATATAAAAATCAAAAGCTGTTCAATCTTAAATGCTGTCAATCTCTATTTGTTTTCATGAAAGATGAATGGAAAAGAAATTAAAAATAGCACTTCCAGCCTGTTATTTTCTTTTGGTTTGTTTGGTAAAAACTTGAGATATATTTCAATCTGAAGAAACAAATAATTTAGCACAGAATTCAGGATTGAAAAATATTGTCATGATGATGATGACAATGTGCTTGCTTAAAAGTTTAATAAATTGGTAATTTACATGAGTACTGCACAAAATAAAATACAATGTTTGATAAGTGTTTTTCAAAAAACACAACACAAGAAATCATGTCAATTGCTCTGTCATCTGTGATACACTTCATGTAACTATTACATACACGTTCGTCCATGAATGATTCATATGACATATCAATGGCAATTTTCACTGGTAAGGCTTCCTCACAATCCATTTTTTTCACTTCACATCTCCTTGAAGCTAAAGGTCATAAAATTCCATTTTTAACATATAAAATAACCCACTTGTATATGCAACATGTTTCTTGTGAAATGGGTCAGTGATCTAATGTTGAAACTAAGCTCCTTCATATTATAGCCTAGTGTTTTCATCAAATGTAATTTGATGTTTGATTTGAGTTCTTATATACTTCAAATATCAATGAGAATAATTTTCATACACATTATGAACTGCCACTCCCTCCCCACATCTTGGTGGCCTGTACACATCAATCCCTAAAATTCAAAAACTCCATACGGTTTCTGTATTACCAAACTATAATAATGGCATTAAGACTTACATCTTGACTTAGGTACAGGTAAGCCTTCTGCTTTTGCTTTTCTTATTTTTTCTTTCTTGAGCAACCTGTACAGTTCATGATAACAATGAATACTGACCTCATGTACAAATATTGGTAAAATATGGACCCCATTGATGTGGGTATAATGGATAAATACACATTTTCATGAACTAGCATAATGGACATACACATACTATATACAACAATAACTACACCAACTTTTTTTCCTGTTTTCTTTCAACCCATTTCTGATGATTCTTCAACCGTTTCAACTTTCTTTTCGACAATTTTCCATCGGAATACATCTTTCCCAGTTGATTATTTGCCAAAGATTTTTCATCGTTGTTAGAAATTTGAGATACATCATTAGACGAACAAGTATTACTTAATTGAGTTTTTTCAAGATTACTTGAACATTCTGCTCCAATCTTTGAAGTAGAAGACGTCTCAATATCGTTGTTTGTGGTTGAATCGGTCATCGTCGGTTTATACTTTTACTAAAGTGAGAGAAGATTTGCAGAAGTAATGTATTGCAAATTTCAAATTGACCGCCATGTTAACAATGTCGTGGATAGACCATTGAGTTCTATTATAGAACTCAATGGGATAGACAGAAGCCCGGCCTACTAGCTGGACCATTAAATTATAAATATACTGGAATGATAACACCATTAAGAATGCCCCGTGATTGCACGAAGCCAGCCAACATACGTCTAAAATTTGTCTACCCCCCCCTGAAATAGTGCATATTTTCTTGGCGATCGTTGTTTGTTTTTACTTTTGGCAACGGGAATTCCGTCAAAAAAATTTATTTCTTGTTGTTTTTTCGACAATTTTTCTGCATTGTACTATTCTTTGGCATTCGGTTGCACTTATTTCAAACTTTTTCTATAGAGTAAAGTAGAGAACAGTTGAGAACAAGATTGATAATTCGCAACTGGACAGGCAGAGTGCATTTAACAAAATGTTATCTTCTGCTGCAACATATATATAAATGACAAAATGTTACACACGACGTAATTATATATTTCTTTATTTCAAAGTTGTAGTAGTTCAATTCATGACGTAGAAATAACTGATTAATTTTAGCAAAAAAAAAGAAGCAAACCCAAAAATTTTGTAATTTTCTCTCTTGGAGGAAAAAATATGACAAGTCTTGTATAATAATTGCATAATCATGAGCACAAATTAAATTAAAGTAAAATATCGTTGTCTTAGTTTGCACAAATTTAACAAATTAGATCTTGACTAAAAATCGTTCAGCTGTAAGTTTAACTGTAATAATCAACATCCTCTTCAATTGCGTTCTTTCCAAGATCTACTGTTTCTTTCGCCTTCTCTTTTATTTCAAGAATTTTCTCCTCCGCTAATGGAGGCATCAATGCTTCCACTTCATCTTGGATTTTCTTAATTCTTCTTTCGAAAATCTGATCAATTTCCCTTTTTTTTCTCTTGCTATTCTTGTGATAGCATTTTGTGCCTTCTCGCAGCCATCGTTAAGTTCTTCTCGTTTCAAATCCATCTCCCTTCGTTCTGTTTTCGGGTCCAGGGCAACCAAGCTACCAAGGCACGTGACTTGAGGCATCAGATGCGCCTGTGATATGTTGTAGTATGCATCAGAAATGCTAAAAAATGTAAAATGATACGAGCGTAGGTTTTGAGTTGCTGTACAATTTAAAGACTTTTTCAGCTTTTTCAAACTCATCAGACACATTTTTATACGACATGCAAGGTTGGTCGTGACATTCTTGCATTATCTGTTAGTTTACATTCTTCCCAATAATATGGACAAGTACATTACTTGTAACTTAAATTAGTGGCTAACCGGCTACTTTACTCAATATGATTTTTAGCATATTTTTCTACCTAAACAGATATATGTACAGCACATTTTGACTATCTTTATTTGTTCTAAGTAACAAAGAATTATGCTAAACCATTATACATATGCTATGAAACAAATACATGTATAAAACTTCTCAACTTTAAACTTATACCTGTTCACCACATAAGCAATCTTGTTTGCTTCAAATGCTTGCTCAAAAAGTACATCCCTCATTGCCTTGGACATGATTTCACCTTTTTCACCTAGCATAGCTCTATTACGAGTCGTGCTGGCAAAACTTTTCAAAGAAGATTCAAGTGAACATTTTACAAGATTTGAAAGCATTTGAAAAAACTGCACAAGCTTTCCCCATTTCTCTTGCAGCTCAGAAAGTGCCTTCATACCTTGAATCAAAATCTTTCGTATGCTTTCGAAATCAATCTTTCTCATATCTTGTTTAGCCAGGTCTGCTAATACATTTCCATATTCCTTCATCTGCTGGTCAAGTTCTTCACATGACTTGTCGTATCTATCTTGGGATGCGTGCAATACTGCCTTTGCTGTTTCTGTTTTATATCTTGCCGATTGTACAGCGGAATTGACCATGTCACCGCCACCGTCACTTCCTTGTTGTTGAGCTACTTTTTCCATGTGTGGTGGGTTGTTCACTATTGGGCTGGCTCCTTGAGCAACATCATAAGCCATTTTTAAACTTCCAGCCTTAAAGGACAATTCCTTTGCTCTGTCAATCAAATTTTCCACTTGATCGTCGTCGATATTCATCATACGCACCAATTCACCAAGCTCCTGACAGATTTGAACGCCATTGTCCAAGATGTCATTAACTTCAGATCGCAGCTTCGCATCTCCATTTTCTGGCAGATTTTTCTGTTTGAGCAAAAGTTCTTGTCTTATTTTTTCCAGAATAGAACCACCTTTAATTTTCTTAAGATCTAATTTCCTGTTGCCATCTTTATCCTTTTTCATAACAAGTAACTTGTTGATGGCTTCGATATGACAATTAATCTCTGGCATCTTCTTCAAAATCTTCAATTTGCTTGATTCATTCTCGAAGTTTGTTGAAGCGTTCTTGTTTCCTTTATCCTTTTGCTTCGATGATCCTGTTGATGAACTATTTCTGCCAAAAGATACCAAGCTCGACAGATTTCTGGCAACATCTGTTACCATACCAACAAAAGCCAATTGTATCATGTCACCTAGAAGTATATTGTAACACAAACTAAACAAGTTTTTTTAAAAGATTCATTATTTTTGACTATTAAAGTGAGCTGGACAAGGATAATAATATAATAGCAGCGTAGTGCTATCAAAAGGAAATTTTTAAATTTATGTGCGATATTAACGAAGCAAAAGAACTTTTTTGTTGTTCAGTAAAATAAATTTATCCATCTTTTATGTAAATTAACACTTTATCATATGTGAACAATGTTTTAAAGCTGTGTTACCCAGCTTTTGTTAATACGATGATTATATATAGGGTCACCTGTTGAAGGCATAGAATCCATGGCTTCCTTGTAATCTCTCTCGGCATTCTGCATTTGTTTAACCATTTTATTTTTTTTCTTTTCTGCTTCTTCTTTTCTTGATTCAATACTTTCTTTGTTCTTATTGAGAACTTCAATCGCTATCTGAATTTGTCTAAAATCTTTTTCGTATTGTCCCTTAGCTCTTGTGCAAGCCTCTAGAAGCTCACAAATCAACTCCATAACTCTCTGGAACTCAGCTTCAGCCTCAGTAGACAACTGCACACATTCATCAGCGATGTTTTCAATGGCATGTAGAGTATCAGGTAACATTAACTCCACCTCACCAGATGTTCCTCCAAGCAATATTTTCATGGCTGTCTTAACATGACCATCGACGTTACCAGAGTATAAACGTATTTGATCCATGTTAGTGTGGGCTTTATTAAACGCCTTGTAACCACCATTGCTTACCTAAAGACAAAATTATTCTTGTATAGACAAATGCGCTTAGTTTTTACTTATAGAGGTGAAAAAGGTGTTTGTCGATAAGAACATTTGTTTTCTATAATAAATTTTATTGCTTAGGAGCAACACAATTTGTTCTGAACTAAGGAAAATGCTGCACTTGAAACCTCTTCCCAAAATATTACAGAATTACACTTTCACATCTCAAATTTACCTGCATTAAACATGCCCGAAAAGAATCTGGATATTTGAGATGCTTGAATGACACTTCTTTGCTCTTGTCTTGCAGGGAAAAGTCTGTTTCAGCAGAGATAAGGATGAGGTGTCCCAAGAGAGCAATTGACATGGGAGCCGGAGCAATAAATTGGTCCCAGTTTGCTTGATCGAGTGTTTTGATCATTGCCTCTTCCTTTTTGTCTGAACCTTTGTTCAATTTCGCCAAACCCTTGTTTGCCTCTTCCATATTTTCAGTTTTTCTGTAAAAATCGGAAGAAAATATTTCAATGCTATTGTATGGATTAATCACCGCTATTCTCTCATGGAGGACAACTTGTGATTAAGGTAGAAACTTTAAAGGAAAGAGATGAAGAGATTTTGTCCTTTACAAGTATTCAGAGTTGACGCCATGTTAATAGTCGCAATCCTAGCTCGCATCAATTCCCTTGCAAAGCAAATGCTCGGTACATTTAAGTGACATTCACGTAAAATTAAAACAAAAAGGTATAAAAAAAGAAACAATCCTAAAGCATCACAAATTTACAATTATTCAAACGAAGTAAAAGTATGGCAGTATTTTTGCATTTGAAGGAATAGAATTTGATTTAAAGACGCACGTAAGTCAATGGATGACCAATATGAGCCGTGGACATTAATTATATCATAGCTTATATGATAGCTTACCTAAGGAGTTTCTCGTTGAGTAAGCAGAAACAAAACAATATATATTTAATAATTTAAATTGAGCGTCGTCCTAAACCATGCGTTATCGAGCAGAACAGAAGATAAAAATAGACATATGCCTTATTAATTTTTAATGAAAATGCGCGCTGTGCATTCTGGTCTTAGTAGTCACGCTACTACGGTAAACATCAACATGGCCACTGCGGATAGTGAGTGTGGAGCTGTTCTTTGTCGTCTTTCAGAGGTAACTCAAACGAATGAAAACCCTAGTTCTTTTCAGAACTCTTGCACGGGTATTCAGGAGTTTGTTACATCTGAAGCTTATGGCAAGGAAATCCCAGAAACGTCGACGAAGGCGAAGATAGTTGGTGTAAATTCGAATACCGTTGCAAGTCCAGATGAAGAACTCTCGACATTTGGTCGCTTAGATTGGACAAAGTCTTTGGCTAATCTTCCATCTTTTACGCACGAGAAGCTTGAGCATAAGCTAGTTAAAAGTAGAAGAGGAAAATCCGATAATTATGCGCCTAACGCTTTTAGAAATATGAAGAAAGGTTACGGTCTCTGGTGAGAAGGATATGTAAAGAATACAATGGTAAAAGCAAATGTTCCTACTTCAAATGGGGAGGTTGTATTTGTTGTAAAGGCGCGTGTTGGTGCATCTATGAAAAGTGTGAGCTACTCTGTATTTGTTCATTTAAATCAGAGAACTGCTGCAGTGGAGTATAGTATTTGTAACTGTAAAGCAGGACAAGGTGGATGCTGCAAACATGTCGCAGCGTTACTTTACACAGTGTTAGACTTTGTGAATCTTAAGCTTTCTGCTGTTCCTGCCGAACTTACGTGTACTCAGCTACCTCAAAAATGGAATGTACCATCTGGCAATTCTAAAACTCTTGAGAAAGCTGTAAAATTTGTACACTTGCTTTTTGAAAAGGCTGATGTAAATAAAACCAATAAACAACATTCTGTAAGAGGTGTTAGAGAGAACTACTGCTCGACCCCACCATATGCACAAGAACTTACCAAAGAAGACATCAAAATAATGGCAGATGCCTTTCAAAAAGTTAATAGGGCATCATTGTTATGCGAAGCATTTAAATCAAATGAATATCAGCCTTGTAATACTTTTGAGACTTCTTGCAATCGAATGATAAAGAGGAGAAAGCTGGTGTGGAGTCTTTGCCTGAAGATCCATCTTCGTGTATTATAAACAAGGTTTTTAAGAATGTGGCTACAGATTATAGTCCTTCTTTGGGCTATTCTAAACAACAATTGGATGTAATCTTGAAAACAGTTTTTGTCACAGTTATCCAAGCCAAAGAAATATGCATGAATACAATCGAACAACGTAAAAGTCCTTCTTGGTATGATGAAAGGTGCAAAAGACTAACTGCTTCTATTTTTGGTAAAGTTATAAATCGAAGAAAAACTATACACCCTACATCTGTGCTTAAAACAATCACCAAATCTAACAAATTGTTTAAAAATATACCTCAACCACTAAAGTGGGGTATAGATAATGAGAAGATTGCTCTTGAAAAATACAAAGCTAAATCTTTACTGGAAGAAAATACACACTTAAGCCATTGTGGCCTGGTTATTAGCCCGAAATGGCCATGGCTTGGATGTAGTCTACCTTGTCCTGCTTTACAGTTACAAATACTATACTCCACTTCAGCAGTTCTCTGATTTAAATGAACAAATACAGAGTAGCTCACACTTTTCATAGATGCACCAACACGCGCCTTTACTGTGTAGACGTCACTTCCTGTTGAATATTACTCCGCTTATAATGTATATATATAGATGACATTTAGATAAAAGGGCACTTAATAAAAACTCTACATGGTGGCAGTGATAGGATTCTGTCTAAAATGGTAAAGACCAGTGGACAAGAGACGTGGAGATAAATAAGAAATGGCATTTCAAACACAAATTCCATTGCCAGAAAAATTAGAATCAAAAAAGCCCGAAGATTGGAAGCGATGGATTGAACGATTCGAATGTTATCGCATCGCATCTGGCTTAGACGAAAAAGATGATAAAGTACAAATCAATACTTTGGTATATGCTATGGTAGGCAATACCAATGATCTTTTAAAAAGCTTTCAAATAAGCGAAAGAGATATGGTGTACGGAAATGTTGTAGAACAATTTGCATCGCACTTTGTTGGTCGATCGAACACAATTTTCGAGCGTGCTCGGTTCAATAAAGGAATAAAGGGTGAAAAAGAATCAGTCATCGACTTTGTGGAAGATTTGTACAAACTGGCGGAAACTTGCCAATTTGGAACACTGAAAGACGAGTTGATATGAGACAGAATTGTCGTCGGTATACAAAATGCAAACCTTTCACAAAGGCTAATGCAAGATGATAAATTAACATTGGAGAAAGCTATTAGGGAGGTGAAATCATCGGAGCTTGTCAAGCACCATCACGATATTCTAAAAGGAGACAGCGAAAATGGGCTGATTGGTCGCGTAAGAACAAATCAACGAAAAGGTAATGATACGACACAAAAATCGAAGTTAAAATGGAATCAGAATAGGAGTCCCGATCAACATTCGAGAAAGAAAAACCGTCAATGTTCTCGATGTGGAAGATCAACAATTCACAAAAGAGAGGATTGTCCAGCGAACAATAAAACTTGTTTAAAGTGTAATAAACAAGGGCATTTTGCAGCGGTATGCAGAAGTAACTCAAGCGCAAAAATTCAATCAGTTGATGACAAAAGCACGGATTCCCCAGGAGATTTTTTTCTTGGGACAATTAACGATATAGAAAATGAGCGAAAATGGGCAATCGACTTATTATTAGGAAAGTCTACAGTGAAATTTGAGATTGATACGGGCGCTGATGTTACAAAGTTACAAACTACGTCAAGCAGAAAACTTTAATTGTCTTCACAGAGCTTCAGTCCTTCCAGACTTGAGTCCTGATGAAAAGGTTTGGGTAAAAGATATAAAATCACCAGCTGTGGTTGTGGGAAAAACCGATAAACCAAGATCATATATAGTCAGGACAGAGCAGTCTGTTTTAAGAAGAAATAGAAAACATCTTATCCCTGATCCTGAAAATCTGAGGGAAAACAGTGAGTTGAGGAAAGAAAGCTGAGTTTCAGTGAGCGAAGTGAGCGAATCTTCAAGTAGTTTGGACAATGAACAGGAATGAAGGTAATTGAACCCGTTCGGGAAGAATTATTAAACCCCAAATAGATTGAACTTAGAAAACTTTTGAAAGATATTTTTTGTATAGTTATAGGTATAAATATTTATTATTAATTAGTTATTCTTTATATTAAAAAGGAAAGATGTGTAGACGTCACTTCCTGTTGAATATTACTTCCGCTTATAATGTATATATATAGATGACATTTAGATAAAAGGGCACTTAATAAAAACTCTACATTTACAACAAATACAACCTCCCCATTTGAAGTAGGAACATTTGCTTTTACCATTGTATTCTTTACATATCCTTCTCGCCAGAGACCGTAACCTTTCTTCATATTTCTAAAAGCGTTAGGCGCATAATTATCGGATTTTCCTCTTCTACTTTTAACTAGCTTATGCTCAAGCTTCTCGTGCGTAAAAGATGGAAGATTAGCCAAAGACTTTGTCCAATCTAAGCGACCAAATGTCGAGTTCTTCATCTGGACTTGCAACGGTATTCAATTTACACCAACTATCTTCGCCTTCGTCGACGTTTCTGGGATTTCCTTGCCATAAGCTTCAGATGTAACAAACTCCTGAATACCCGTGCAAGAGTTCTGAAAAGAACTAGGGTTTTCATTCGTTTGAGTTACCTCTGAAAGACGACAAAGAACAGCTCCACACTCACTATCCGCAGTGGTCATGTTGATGTTTACCGTAGTAGCGTGACTACTAAGACCAGAATGCACAGCGCGCATTTTCATTAAAAATTAATAAGGCATATGTCTATTAGCATACAATAAGAAGTGCTTACCAGATCATGTGACTAGTACTATGATGAGATATCTCATACTTAGTTTAATATACATATAATGTATCGTCATTCCTAACAGAAAACACCTTGCACTGAAAGTGACTGGAAAAAAGTATCTAAAGATTTTGAAGATCGATGGAACTTTCCTAATATGCTGGGAGCAATTGATGGAAAGCATGTGCAGATGTTTGCTCCTGGTGGACAGGCATCGAGTTTTTTTAATTACAAAAAGACTCATAGCATTGTTTTGTTGGGAGTTAGTGATGCAAATTATAAATTCACACTGGTTGATATTGGTGATAGTGGGCTGCAAAGTGATGGCAGCGTGTATGCCTACAGCAATCTTGGCTATGCTATATTATTATCCCAAAATCGCACTTTTCCAATATTATTTTATAGTACGCCAGCGTCAAGTTACTGGCCAGAGTAATGGCGGACCTAACGCATGCGCACAGAAAATATGCCACGCGTTCCACCTGCGAGTTGCCCTTCTATATATTCTCTATTCTATGATATTTGTCGATTGGTGACGAAGTTATTCCGTCGTGATACCAAAATAGCATAGTACAGAGTTTCTACAGACAGAACGTTTCTTGTCACAGTACAGTGAAGATGTCTCAATTGACAACCAAACACTGCGATAATGAATCACTTCTAGAGTTTCGAGGCAAACACAGTTTTGTTGATGGTATAAAAAACCTCGATCGTATCATTCGTATTGTGTTTGCAGTTAAGATAACAAACAAGAACTCTGCTCGCCAAGTGTTAAAACAGCTCCCACCTCTTGTCGTTGATATGTGTAACTCTTTCAAAAAATCATTGAATGCACTAGAAGATGAAAATGAAAAAGTATCGAAGAACCTCGAAGAAATTGTTGCATTTATTGGTAGAACGAGGAAAAATTTAACCCTAAAGACAACTGAAATGAAACAGCTTAAGGCGAAGCTTACTTCGTTAAGATATGACTTATCTCGTTGCATATATGAACTACAAGTTGTCAATCAGTCCTTGTCAGAGGCTAATGAAGCCCAAAATAATGCAGAAAAAAAGCTCGAAGAAAAAAAACAAGAAAAAGCAATAGCAACTGGAGTTGGTGAGTTTTATTTTAGTAATGTTGCAAAAAAGATCGTGCCAGTAAAACAAGCGTTTTACGTCAATGTTGAACTGATGCTGACTAGTCTAGCATTATGTTTAAGTTGAGAAAACAAAGTACTTTCAAAAATTGTTTTAAAGATAGCAATTGCCATGGCGGATGCGCAAAATAACGTAAGAGTTCTAAAAAGAACTGTTTTAAAAACTAAAAGACACCATGCATTTCTGACGACAAGTATTTCACTATTTAAGAAAATGCTATCATTTGGAGTATGGAAACCCTAAAGTAAAATGCACGTGGTGTAATTCAAGTATTTTAAACTGTTGAACATTTTAAACTGTTATAATATGTCATCCTCAATGATTTGCTGACATTCAATCTAAGATAAAAACTTCAGTTTTTGTCTTTTGTAACTAATAAAACATAATCACTTTCAGGTGTGGCAGTGATGGCTATTCCAGTCATTGGGTGGATTGTTGGCCCTACTGTAATTGCTCTCAGTTTGACTGTGTTCCAAGATGCAGTAAATGAAGCTAAAAGAAGAGTGGGTTCTGCTGAAGAAAACATAAATTCTTGCAAAAAAAGGATCACAGAGAAAACAAACAAACTTGACAAGCTTGAGAAGCAACAGTCAAAGGTTCAAGACGAACTAAATTCGCTTCAACAACAATTGGAGCAGCTTAACATAAAGAAGAAAGAATTGGAGCAAGAACAAAAGAAATGTGCGAAAGTTTCAACTAAACTTAAAAAAATTTATTTGATCGTAGGAGTAATTTCTGGAAGAAGTAAGGTTTTAGAATTGGAAACTAAATTTGGCTGTCACTCCCTTGAGAATTTGATGAATCCTTTGAAAGAAATTGCTAGACAGCTTTTGAAAAGTAAAGAAGACAAGAGAGAAGTTGCTGCCTTCTTCTCAAGCGATATAGATTACAAAGTTTTTTCTCAAAATTTGGAAGCAATTCAAGAACATGATAAAGATAGTGCCATGATAAAGAAAGAGAACATGCCAAAACTTATTGATGTAGAAATGTATTCATAATTACTTAATGCTCGGTATTTGGAAGAACGAGAATATTTCCCCAAATAGTTATAAACAGCAGTGCAAACCTGTAATCTATTTGATAAATGTTCAACACGTTTAACCAGGTGTAAAAAAAGAAGCATAAGCAATTACAAATAAAAACATAAACAAATGATGTGGCAATAATGTAAATATTTATCCACTCTCCATCAATTTGATATAACATTAATGAAACATTTATTCATCAAATTGTGTTTTCAATCTCTTATTACCAGTCCAACCATGAACTCTTCTCAATAAATTTCACATTACCATTTAGTAAGTAGTCGCAACTCGTATAGTTTGTTATTTAGTCAATACTAGATTATTTTATATCAAAAGCCGTTTTTAACTGCCCACAGCATATGATACATACATGGACAAAACTTTGATCATAAGATCACTCCTGATGAAAACATTAGACTGAACTATGTATATATAAAAGGACTCAAGTTTAAACACTAGATTAGTCCAATGAAAAATAAAACCAGAGATCACATCACAGGTAGTGCATGACGTTTTGTGTTTAAATATCAAATGTTTTTCAAAACAATCAAAACGTAGCAAATAAATGTCATTTGATTTATACCTACGTATCTGGCTCACTAAACCAATAGCAATATGTCATATTTCACATATTTTATTGCACAAACCTTTAAAATCATCACACAAAACAATCATTGTTATCGTCAGCTTTTATTCATGTTTATCCATTATTATCCACCAGAGATACCCCTTTTCGTTTTGGTATGACGTCATAAAAAGCTTTCTGCCAGTCTTTCAACTCCAAATATTTCAGGACTATTTCAAAAACTGCACAAAAAAAGTTTAAACAATAATGTATACATGTAGAGTATTAAACCCTTTTACTTTTCTGCCATTCGTATCTTAGTAAAAATTTAACTTGACAGGCTGAACACATAAGTGGACATTTCAGAGTTGCTAACATCCACAATATTCATATATGATAACCGTTTGCAGCACAGATGTATGCACCCCCCGGTAAAAAAGACTCTATTCCTAGTTAACGTGTGAACATTGAACAGAGACGATCATTCACTAACCGTGATTTACCGTCAGTACGGTTCTTGATTGTATCTTCACGAAGTTTTTAATTGGCAATTGCGCATGCGCTACTTTCTTTTCAACAGCAAGTTTGTGAAAGCCCCTAAAGAAATTGCATCAGTTAGTCTAACACAACAATGGAAATATTGATGTCACTATTTGTTACAACTGATGCATTTGTGCAAGCATCTTTGGTCAAGAAAGGCAAGATGAAACAAAACGTTCATTCATTCTAACAAAGAACAGAGATACGTGCTTAAGCTGACGGAGCACGTGATTATGATTACGGACACATGATTATGATCATTAAAACGTAATTGTGATAATATAGAGCACGTGATCATAATCATGCGATTAAAATCAAAGTAATTTTCATTATTTGTTAGTTATCACTGCATGTTCGTGTTCATTACCAAAGTTTTCTATTTCTTTGTCATACCTTATGGTGGTTATGATCAACAAGACCTCCAATTATGTACGCTTTGGATGGGTCAATATCTAAATGTTGCATTAATACAATAAATTGCAGTTGCTGTAACAAATTATGATCCTTTTTTGTGAAGCAAACACTCAAAATTACACAATTGCATTTAAGATGAGTCATCACAATAATTATCCAAAGTTGGCTATTTTACTAGGAATTTTGGTCAACTAAACATAAACGTATAAATTTTAGACCGTAATAAGAATAATTATTTAAAGCTACTAAATACATTTTAACAGTACACAGTTACCTTCTAATATATTTTCTGAGTCTGACGTGAGATAAACTATATTTTTCTTGTGAAATACATCTATGTATGATTCTTTTTTGATGTGAATCTAAATTAAATAATTTTCATAGGGCATTCTTTTTTATGAATTTATCGTTATAAATGTTATCTTACATCCCAACTTTTGTATTCTTGATATGTTCCTTCCGTCAACAATTGAATATTTCCTTCAAATCCCGTCAAATAAAACTAAAACAATCGATGATTGTGCGTTTTGAAGATAAAGATCAGCCAAAATGAATGCTATTTGAAAAATGATGAAATTTTTTTCTCAAAGGGTTGAAAAGCTGGTCCTGCAATTAAAATATCACATTTCACCTGTATTGGCCTCGAACACTTTCTATTTACAGCATAACACGTTTTCACTTGTTTCAACAGCTTTAACATAAATACCCATGATCCCGGATTCATGACCCCGGACCCATGATCCCGGATTCATGACCCCGGACACATCAATCCCTAAAATTCAGAAACTTCATATAGTTTCTGTATTACCAAACTATAATAATGGCATTAAGACTCACATCTTGACTTAGGTACAGGTAAGCCTTCTGCTTTTGTTTTCTTATTTTTTCTTTCTTGAGCAACCTTTACAGTTCATGATAACAATGAATACTGACCTCATGTACAAATATTGGTAAAATATGGACCCCATTGATATGGGTATAATGGATAAATACACATTTTCATGAACTTGCATAATGGACATACACATACTATATACCACAATAACTACACCAACTTTTTTTCCTGTTTTCTTTCAACCCATTTCTGATGATTCTTCAACCGTTTCAACTTTCTTTTCGACAATTTTCCATCGGAATACATCTTTCCCAGTTGATTATTTGCGAACGATTTTTCATTGAGGTACATCATTAGATGAACAAGTATTACTTGAGTTTTTTCAAGATTACTTGAACATTCTGCTCCAATCTTTGAAGTAGAAGACGTCTCAATATCGTTGTTTGTGGTTGAATCGGTCATCGTCAGTCTATACTTTTACTAAAGTGAGAGAAGATTTGCAGAAGTAATGTATTACAAATTTCAAATTGACCGCCATGTTAACAATGTCGTGAATAGACAGAAGCCCGGCCTACTAGCTGGACCATTAAATTATAAATATACTGGAATGATAACACCATTAAGAATGCCCCGTGATTGCATGAATACGGTGGCCCACAAGTATCACGGCAAATTAAAAACTCGCGGCAAATTAAAAACTCACGGCAAATTAAAACTCACGGCAAATTAAAAACTCGCGGCAAATTAAAACTCGCGGCAAATTAAAACTCACGGCAAATTGAAACTCGCGGCAAATTAAAAACTCACGGCAAATTAAAAACTCACGGCAAATTAAAAGTGATACTTTTGGGCCACCGTAGTGGCCCACAAGTATCACGGCAAATTAAAAACTCACGGCAAATTAAAAACTCACGGCAAATTGAAAACTCGCGGCAAATTGAAAACTCACGGCAAATTAAAACTCACGGCAAATTAAAAACTCACGGCAAATTAAAAACTCGCGGCAAATTAAAAACTCACGGCAAATTAAAACTCACGGCAAATTAAAACTCACGGCAAATTAAAACTCGCGGCAAATTAAAACTCACGGCAAATTAAAACTCACGGCAAATTAAAAACTCACGGCAAATTAAAAACTCACGGCAAATTAAAAACTCACGGCAAATTAAAAACTCACGGCAAATTAAAACTCACGGCAAATTAAAACTCACGGCAAATTAAAACTCACGGCAAATTAAAACTCACGGCAAATTAAAACTCGCGGCAAATTAAAACTCACGGCAAATTAAAACTCGCGGCAAATTAAAACTCACGGCAAATTAAAACTCACGGCAAATTAAAACTCACGGCAAATTAAAACTCGCGGCAAATTAAAACTCACGGCAAATTAAAACTCACGGCAAATTAAAACTCACGGCAAATTAAAACTCACGGCAAATTAAAACTCGCGGCAAATTAAAACTCACGGCAAATTAAAAACTCACGGCAAATTAAAAACTCGCGGCAAATTAAAAACTCACGGCAAATTAAAAACTCACGGCAAATTAAAAACTCGCGGCAAATTTTCGACAATGTGGTGAACCGGGCAAATGCAAAATTGTTATATGTTTCCACTTCGAGGAGGGTAACTTTCTAGTTGAAACTTAGAGTTGTCGTTATTTCCATGTGGATTCGTGTGGGATTTCTTCTTAAACGATATTTGTTGTATCTATTTTAATGTTATATGCAATGATTATTATTTCGTATTTTCTCTCTAACAACATTGATTTCATAATCGACATTTTTCCTTTGAAGGCCGTACCGTTTTATACGTCTTTTAAGAGTTGAGATGCTCATTTTTACTGAGTGGTTTTTGCTCAATAACTCGATAATTTCGTCGTACTTGAAGCCTTTACTAAAGTATTCTTTGATTAAATTTTCTTCCTCTTGGGCGCCCGCCATTGTGAATTAATACTACTCGTCATTACCACGTGTTTCAACCAGTGAACTCGACATTTGAATAACTGGAATGATAACCGAAGCCAAAAATTGAAGCCAAAAAAATATTTGTCGTCATCACACGTCAGGCTCTAGTCTCTCGCGTGTTCATTTTAATTTTTTTAAATCATTTGTCCCTTGGTAATGGTAGAGTTCGGATCTTGATCAGAGCGTAAAAATAACGAAATTTTTGGAATGAAAAGGTTCACGGAAAGTGAATCAAAGTGATAAATCGAGAAGCAGGGTGAGGTGAACTTAGTCGATCTGCTTTTACGCTGCGGTTTTCCTTTAAAACATATCAAAGTCTTTAAGGATATTCAATTACTGATATCGAGATGACAACCATTTAGTATTTCAAGCACTATCAAAATCGATGAAAGATATAATCGCTCTGTAAAAAGTAAAATGCGAGTTATAGACTCAACATTTTTTATGAACCTGGATATTCAAGTTTCTTTTTTCTTCGGAAAAACAGATCTTTAAATCCATTGAAACGACAAAAAAAGACAAGCACTGTCTGACACCGTTTGAAAATTTACCTTCCGACGAAAGAAAATTTATGCTTGAATATTTCCTCGTCATATTTTCTTATTGTATTTTTTAGCATAAAGTGTAATTTTCAGTTGGCTTTTCCTCGTTACAAGTTGTAAGTTACAACGAACTCACTGTAGTAAAGTTTTAGCTGTAAAAAATAACCTTTTGCGAAGAGTTGGCCTAGTGTGTTGTTTGTCGTGATGTTGTTTATATGTTTATGCTTTTGCAGTTTGTATTCAAATTTATATTGGCCGTGTATGTTTGGCACTCAGGGGAATGAAACTGACGTACAAACTGCGTGAATATTCGACTTTGAAGGACTGGAACTGACGTACAAACCGCGCAAGAGACTAGGACTTTGGCTTCAATTTTATATCTATAAAATGTATTGTAGTTATCATTCCAGATATATATATATGGAGTTCACTGGTTTCAACCCACTTTGCCGCGAGTTTTTAATTTGCGCGAGTTTTTAATTTGCCGCCAGTTTTTAATTTGCCGTGAGTTTTTAATTTGCCGTGAGTTTTTAATTTGCCGTGAGTTTTAATTTGCCGTGAGTTTTAATTTGCCGCGAGTTTTTAATTTGCCGTGAGTTTTTAATTTGCCGTGGGTTTTTGATTTGCCGTGAGTTTTTAATTTGCCGTGATACTTGTGGGCCACTAAGGTGGCCCACAAGTATCACTTTTAATTTGCCGTGAGTTTTTAATTTGCCGTGATACTTGTGGGCCACCGTACATGAATTCAATATACATCTAAAATTTGTCTACTCCCCCCAGAAATAGTGCATATTTTCTTGGCGATCGTTGTTTGTTTTTACTTTTGGCAACGGGAATTCCGTCAAAAAAATTTATTTCTTGTTGTTTTTTCGACAATTTTTCTGCATTGTACTATTCTTTGGCATTCGGTTGCACTTATTTCAAACTTTTTCTATAGAGTAAAGTAGAGAACAGTTGAGAACAAGATTGATAATTCGCAACTGGACAGGCAGAGTGCATTTAACAAAATGTTATCTTCTGCTGCAACATATATATAAATGACAAAATGTTACACACGACGTATATTTCTTTATTTCAAAGTTGTAGTAGTTCAATTAATGACGTAGAAATAACTGATTAATTTTAGCAAAAAAAAAGAAGCAAACCCAAAAATTTTGTAATTTTCTCTCTTGGAGGAAAAAATTTGACAAGTCTTGTATAATAATTGCATAATCACGAGCACAAATTAAATTAAAGTAAAATATCGTTGTCTTAGTTTGCACAAATTTAACAAATTAGATCTTGACTAAAAATCGTTCAGCTGTAAGTTTAACTGTAATAATCAACATCCTCTTCAATTGCGTTCTTTCCAAGATCTACTGTTGCCTTCGCCTTCTCTTTTATTTCAAGAATTTTCTCCTCCGCTAATGGAGGCATCAATGCTTCCACTTCATCTTGGATTTTCTTAATTCTTCTTTCGAAAATCTGATCAATTTCCCTTTTTTTTTCTCTTGCTATTCTTGTGATAGCATTTTGTGCCTTCTCGCAGCCATCGTTAAGTTCTTCTCGTTTCAAATCCATCTCCCTTCGTTCTGTTTTCGGGTCCAGGGCAACCAAGCTACCAAGGCACGTGACTTGAGGCATCAGATGCGCCTGTGATATGTTGTAGTATGCATCAGAAATGCTAAAAAATGTAAAATGATACGAGCTTAGGTTTTGAGTTGCTGTACAATTTAAAGACTTTTTCAGCTTTTTCAAACTCATCACACACATTTTTATACGACATGCAAGGTTGGTCGTGACATTCTTGCATTATCTGTTAGTTTACATTCTTCCCAATAATATGGACAAGTACACTACTTGTAACTTAAATTAGTGGCTAACCGGCTACTTTACTCAATATGATTTTTAGCATATTTTTCTACCTAAACAGATATATGTACAGCACATTTTGACTATCTTTATTTGTTCTAAGTAACAAAGAATTATGCTAAACCATTATACATATGCTATGAAACAAATACATGTATAAAACTTCTCAACTTTAAACTTATACCTGTTCACCACATAAGCAATCTTGTTTGCTTCAAATGCTTGCTCAAAAAGTACATCCCTCATTGCCTTGGACATGATTTCACCTTTTTCACCTAGCATAGCTCTATTACGAGTCGTGCTGGCAAAACTTTTCAAAGAAGATTCAAGTGAACATTTTACAAGATTCGAAAGCATTTGAAAAAACTGCACAAGCTTTCCCCATTTCTCTTGCAGCTCAGAAAGTGCCTTCATACCTTGAATCAAAATCTTTCGTATGCTTTCGAAATCAATCTTTCTCATATCTTGTTTAGCCAGGTCTGCTAATACATTTCCATATTCCTTCATCTGCTGGTCAAGTTCTTCACATGACTTGTCGTATCTTTCTTGGGATTCGTGCAATACTGCCTTTGCTGTTTCTGTTTTATATCTTGCCGATTGTACAGCAGAATTGACCATGTCACCGCCACCGTCACTTCCTTGTTGTTGAGCTACTTTTTCCATGTGTGGTGGGTTGTTCACTATTGGGCTGGCTCCTTGAGCAACATCATAAGCCATTTTTAAACTTCCAGCCTTAAAGGACAATTCCTTTGCTCTGTCGATCAAATTTTCCACTTGATCGTCGTCGATATTCATCATACACACCAATTCACCAAGCTCCTGACAGATTTGAACGCCATTGTCCAAGATGTCGTTAACTTCAGATCGCAGCTTCGCATCTCCATTTTCTGGCAGATTTTTCTGTTTGAGCACGAGTTCTTGTCTTATTTTTTCCAGAATAGAACCACCTTTAATTTTCTTAAGATCTAATTTCCTGTTGCCATCTTTATCCTTTTTCATAACAAGTAACTTGTTGATGGCTTCAATATGACAATTAATGTCTGGCATCTTCTTCAAAATCTTCAATTTGCTTGATTCATTCTCGAAGTTTGTTGCAGCGTTCGTGTTTCCTTTATCCTTTTGCTTCGATGATCCTGTTGATGAACTATTTCTGCCAAAAGATACCAAGCTCGACAGATTTCTGGCAACATCTGTTACCATACCAACAAAAGCCAATTGTATCATGTCACCTAGAAGTATATTGTAACACAAACTAAACAAGTTTTTTTAAAAGATTCATTATTTTTGACTATTAAAGTGAGCTGGACAAGGATAATAATATAATAGCAGCGTAGTGCTATCAAAAGGAAATTTTTAAATTTATGTGCGATATTAACGAAGCAAAAGAACTTTTTTGTTGTTCAGTAAAATAAATTTATCCATCTTTTATGTAAATTAACACTTTATCATATGTGAACAATGTTTTAAAGCTGTGTTACCCAGCTTTTGTTAATACGATGATTATATATAGGGTCACCTGTTGAAGGCATAGAATCCATGGCTTTCTTGAAATCTTTCTCGGCATTCTGCATTTGTTTAATCATTTTATTTTTTTTCTTTTCGGCTTCTTCTTTTCTTGATTCAATACTTTCTTTGTTCTTATTGAGAACTTCAATCGCTATCTGAGTTTCTCTTAAATCTTTTTCGTATTGTCCCTTAGCTCTTGTGCAAGCCTCTAGAAGCTCACAAATCAACTCCATAACTTTCTGAAACTCAGCTTCAGCCTCAGTAGACAACTGCACACATTCATCAGCGATGTTTTCAATGGCATGTAGAGTATCAGGTAACATTAACTCCACCTCACCAGGAGTTCCTCCAAGCAAGATTTTCATGGCTGTCTTAACATGACCATCGACGTTACCAGAGTATAAACGTATTTGATCCATGTTAGTGTGGGCTTTATTAAACGCCTTGTAACCACCATTGCTTACCTAAAGACAAAATTATTCTTGTATAGACAAATGCGCTTAGTTTTTACTTCTAGAGGTGAAAAAGGTGTTTGTCGATAAGAACATTTGTTTTCTATAATAAATTTTATTGCTTAAGAGCAACACAATTTGTTCTGAACTAAGTAAAATGCTGCACTTGAAACCTCTTCCCAAAATATTACAGGATTACACTTTCACATCTCAAAATTACCTGCATTAAACACGCCCGAAAAGAATCTGGATATTTGAGATGCTTGAAGGACACTTCTTTGCTCTTGTCTTGCAGGGAAAAGTCTGTTTCAGCAGAGATAAGGATGAGTTGTCCCAAGAGAGCAATTGACATGGGAGCAGGAGCAATAAATTGGTCCCAGTTTGCTTGATCGAGTGTTTTGATCATTGCCTCTTCATTTTTGTCTGAGCCTTTGTTCAATTTCGCCAAACCCTTGTTTGCCTCTTCCATATTTTCGGTTTTTCTGTAAAAATCGGAAGAAAATATTTCAATGTTATTGTATGGATTAATCACCACTATTCTCTCATGGAGGACAACTTGTGATTAAGGTAGAAACTTTAAGGAAAGAGATGAAGAGATTTTGTCCTTTTACAAGTACTCAGAGTTGACGCCATGTTAATCCTCGCAATCCTAGCTCGCATCAATTCCCGTGCAAAGCAAATGCTCGGTACATTTAAGTGACATTCACGTAACATTAAAACAAAAAGATATAAAAAAAAACAATCCTAAAGCATTACAAATTTACAATTATTCAAATGAAGTAAAAGTATGGCAGTTATTCTGCATTTGAAGGAATAGAATTTGATTTAAAGACGCACGTAAGTCACTGTATGATCAATATGAGCCGTGGACATTAATTATATCATAGCTTACCTTAGGAGTTTCTCGTTGAGTAAGTAACAACACTTTTATAATCTGAACTCAACACACCTGCATATAAACAGAAAATGAAATTCTTAGAGTTTCAACTTTTACATCATAAATATTGTGATTGAAGTACTTCCTGGTATAACTTTCACTTCAAAGAATGCACATGTTTAGAATTTGGGAACAGTTCCTAGGGTCGAAATTCGAAAGTGAAAAAGAATTGATGTTTTTTGTTTCGTGTTATAAATTTACATGTACTAACGATTAAAATATCTCAGACCTTGATACTTTTGATTTACGCTTATTTTATAGACATATAAATCGAATCCATTTTAGTTACTATGGCTATCACTGATGTAGTGAAAATTTAATAAATTAATCTTTTTACTTTCCAAACTAACATTGAAAGTCATACTGAAACTTTTGAATGTTTTTTTTATCATTCACCTTGATGTATACAAAAATTTTTCTAACCTATACTTAATATTTTGAAACACTATACATAGGTAATGGAAAATACATCGATCATACGACCGACACTCAGACACTAGTCCTGCTATATAGCTAATAGTAAAAATAGATAAAAAATACATATTGTAGCTAGTGTTCTGAAATATACATAGCAATAGCAAGACTCGCAGGCTGGCTGAAAGCGAAAAAAACCCGAAAATATTTATGAACTGTTAAGATGAAATATTACTGACACTGTCCTTTCATCACCAAGAAAACGGAAATTTACATTTCATCTTTCACGTATTCAAGATACCAAGAAAACGAATTTCGACATTTCATCTTCCTAGTATTCGAGATATCAAGAAAACGAAATTCTTATTTCACATGAAGTAAAAAAAGAAATTAAAACATATTGGTCGATTGGTGACGAAGTTATTCCGTCGTGATATCTAAATAGCATAGTACAGAATTTCTACAGACAGAACGTTTCTTGTCACAGTACAGTAAAGATGTCTCAATTGACAACCAAACACTTCGATGATGAATCACTTGTAGAGTCTCGAGGCAAACACAGTTTTGTTGACGGTATAAAAAACCTCGATCGTATCATTCGTATTGTGTTTGCAGCTAAGATAACAAACAAAAACTCTGCTCGCCAAGTGTTAAAACAGCTCCCACCTCTTGTCGTTGATATGTGTAATTCTTTCAAAAAATCATTGAATGCACTAGAAGATGAAAATGAAAAAGTATCGAAGAACCTCGAAGAAATTGTTGCATTTATCGGTAGAACGAGGAAAAATTTAACCCTAAAGACAACTGAAATGGAACAGCTAAAGGCGAAGCTTAGTTCGTTAAGAGATGACTTATCTCGTTGCAGAGATGAACTACAAGTTGCAAATCAGTCCTTGTCAGAGGCTAATGAAGCCCAAAATAATGCAGAAAAAAAGCTCGAAGAAAAGAAACGAGAAAAAGCAATAGCAACTGGAGTTGGTGAGTGTTTATTTTAGTGATGTTGCGAAAAAAGATCGTGCCAGTAAAACAAGCGTTATACGTCAATGTTGAACTGATGCTGACTAGTCTAGCATTATGTTAAAGTTTAGAAAACAAAGTGCTTTCAAAAATTGTTTTAAAGATAACAATTGCCATGGTGGATGCACAAAATAACGTAAGAGTTCTAAAAAGAACTGTTTTAAAAAACTAAAAGACACGATGCATTTCTGATGACAAGTATTTCATTATTTAAGAAAATGCTATCATTTAATATAAAACATTTTACACGTTTGGAGTATGGAAACTCTAAAGTAAAATGCACGTGATGTAATTCAAGTATTTTAAACTGTTGAACATTTTAAACTGTTGTAATATGTCATCCTCAATGATTTTCTGACATTCAATCTAAGATAAAAACTTCAGTTTTTGTCTTTTGTAACAAATAAAACGTAATCACTTTCAGGTGTGGCAGCATTTGCTATTCCAGTCGTAGGGTTGATTGTTGGCTCTACTGCAATTGCTCTCAGTTTGACTGTGTTCCAAGATGCAGTAAATGAAGCTAAAAGAAGAGTGGGTTCTGCAGAAGAAAACATAAATTCTTGCAAAGAAAGGATCAAAAAGAAAACAAACAAACTTGACGAGCTTGAGAAGCAACAGTCAAAGGTTCAAGACGAACTAAATTCGCTTCAACAACAATTGGAGCAGCTGAACATAAAGAAGAAAGAATTGGAGCAAGAACAAAAGAAATGTGCTGACGTGTCAACTAAACTTAAAAAAATTTATTCGATCGTAGGAGTAATTTCTGGAAGAAGTAAGGTTTTAGAATTGGAAACAAAATTTGGCTGTCACTCCCTTGAGAATTTGATGAATCCTTTGGAAGAAATTGCTAGACAGCTTTTGACAAGTGAAGAAGACAAGAGAGAAGTTGCTGCCTTCTTCTCAAGCGATATAGATTACAAAGTTTTTTCTCAAAATTTGGAAGCAATTCGAGAACATGATAAAGATGGCATGCTAAAACTTATTGATGTAGAAATGTATTCATAATTACTTAATGCTCGGTATTTTGAGGAACGAGAATAATTCCCCAAATAGTTATAAACAACAGTGCAAACCTGTAATCTATTTGATAAACGTTCAATACGTTTAGCAAGGTGTAAAAAAAGCAGCATAAGCAAAATTACAAATAAAAACATAAACAAATGATGTGGCATTGTCATAGCAACAATGATATAATCGAACGTAATTAGTACATTTTGTTACGTAATAATTGTCAACTTTAACGTTATTAAATTAAAAATGCTGGTGAAATGAAGAATTTTTTTTACCTAGCTTCGTTCTGTCATTTATATGCGACAGTGTTCTGCGCATCTTGCAAACTTAATCCATCACAACTGCAATGTCTCGCAGTCAACAACCGCTTCCTTACACCTCGAAACTCGCATTGTGATCCTTTCAAAAAGAAATGTCGTATGGGTGACCTTATAAAAACTTCCATAGCAGGTAAGAAAGTTTTTCATATCTCGATAAGTTGCAAAAGATTAAAGTACACCAGGATCGGACTAAATAGAAAAGAACTCCGTACTTAACCTCAGATTAAGACACTAGACTAGAGAAATAAAGAGAAATGTTTTAAGATCAAATTATTCTTGAGTTGAAACCGAACTGGAGTAAATGAGAAAACAAATGTGAACTTTACAGAGAATTCCCGAGGAAGACACTACTAACTGGAAAAAATAAGGAGAAAAGTTTTAAAATCAGATCACTTCTGATGAAAACACTAAACTGAAGAAAGCAACAACTCAAATTTGAACAATCACTTCAGATGAATACACTGCACTGAAGTAAATAAGAACTCAAGTTTCAATAGTCACTTCTTACTGAAGTTTCTACATTATTTCACTCCATGCAGACTGATGAAGATACTACACTATAAAAGATTGGAGACTAATTTAAACATAATAAATGCATTTTATAATATCTTTCAACAGCTTGCGAACTCCGCCCAGCAACACACTTGAGGCACTCATTGACATCATCATACAAAATCAGTCCAAAGATGCGTTGTCAACCGGAATTTGAGTCCAAGCGTGATCTCTATAAGCGGGTCGTGGCCATGGGCATTGGTGATCCGACATGCATGCCCGTTGAGCTCAAAAGAAAAGGAAGCTTTACCTGTGGGGAGAAAGGTACCCGTTGTGTGTGCGACGCACCTGACGGACTAAAGAATTTGAAAAGAAGTCATTGTAGGTAGGTTTCCATGACAGAATTCATCATTACTAGATAGCTTCTAGCGTTCTGATATTAAGAAGAAAATCATTTGTCATAGCGCAAGGACATTCTTTTTTCAAAACATAAATAAAAAATCTTCCAGAACTGTGATGCACTTTCTTTTTAATATCAATGCTTGCATGCTTACTTCTAGAACGGTTGACGTTTTTGTGATTTGTAAATTAGAGAATTTGTGATACTAAATTACATATCCTAAAATCATGTTCACTTTTGTTTTATCCCTTTTTTATTTTTATGTTGGTTGATCACGTACATTATGTAAAGTAAATTAGATATGCAAAGTAGGAAACAAATAATCACAAATAATCACATTAACTCAAATTTACACAGGGATGGTGTACGACAGGTTTGTAGGGAGGTGTGGGCTCAAGTTTGAGTTAGATTTCGAGGGCTACTTGTTGCCGAGCCATGTCAGAGTTTTTAGTTGTTAAATTCTGTCACTTTTTTTTTATTACGATAAGAAGATTTTTGAAAGTGTGCTCTATTGTACAAAATCTTCAATAGTTCTAGAAGTAAGAACGACAATATTTGGTTGAAAAAAAGTATATTCTTTTTAGAAAACTTTTTTTTTTAATACAAAAATTTCATGTTATGAGCATTAAAATCTTGAGATACTTATAACTAAAAATACCATTTTATTTATAATCTTGAACAATATGAAAATTTATTATTCATTTACAGATGTCAATATTTTGTGGATTATTGCGCAGTACCAAATGTTTGTCGAGATCCACAAGCGATATGCACAGCAAAAAATAATGAAGTGTACTGTAATTGTCCAGAATCGAACAAAAAATGTTCACGTGGAATAAATCAATGTACGACAAATCCATCTGTCTGTCTTGATGAGAATAAGGAATGTATTGAACTACATGATGAACTACCTTCATGGAATATGGAGGTTCGTAATCGTTGATGAAACATGACAATGATCATGACCAAAAGCTTCAACACACCTGTAAACACAAAAATATCTTAAATCGTTGTAAAACGTTAACTAGTTAAGATCTAGTTGTTGATACCTTGAAATAACGTTCTTCATCAGTCACAGCATAATTTTCACAATGCCAGTGGAATACATATATCATGATTGTCCTGTTTTTATGAACACGTTTTGAATTAAAACGTGGAATTGACAATAACATTTTCAAATAAGCTTGATCTTGTGCTACAGTAACATTTTTCACAACATTTTTTGTTACGTTTACTAACTTCCAGTATTTCCCTCTCTTGTTCAACCTCCAGAGTAGAAAAACCTCTCCTTATCAGAAACTCGAATATTTGCAGGGTGGTAAACATGACGAGGGTTATGCATGTGTGGATGTTGAAGACATCAAGTATTTATCACGAAGCACAAACTTCTGCACTTTAAAAGGCAAGATTGCAAATTCTACAAAGAACGCATTAAACTACGTGGATACGTGCTGCCGAAATCAGTTAAAATGCAACAAAAACAATGCCAAAGATGTCCAAGGCAACATAATGAGTCATCGACCATGTCATTGTAATGTGGAGTTTCGCAAATGTTTAAGACGATACGTCACGATCAGCGTTTATAAAGATCTTGCTAATACAGTACTTCGTGCCATAAATCAGCTTAAAAACTGCGAAATTAGGGATGGAAGCGCCTGTAATCCAAGCAAGCCAAAAACATGTCGGAAAGGTGATCTTATTGATCCAAAGTATGCCCATTGTAAGGTGAACTGTAGAACGGGACCGTTGCTGCCAATTGGACAGCGCATGTGCAGAATACGACAGTGTAAACCACCCAATTATGTGGAAGGAGTACGAATCATCGACATTCCTAATCATAGAACTAGTTCAATTTGTCAGCCCGTACGCAGGCTACGGTATCTGTGCGGTAAAGGTGACACAAGATGTGTATGTGACGGAAAACCAAGGGGAGAAATATTTACTGATCGATGTCGTTGTCAATTTTGGCCTCTTAAAGTATGATTATCATTAAATTGAGTTTAATATTTCGATGCGTAAAAAATTCCGGAAATATAAGCTGCTCTCATACAGTAAATAAAGTAAAATGAACGAATTTTTCCCACTTATTTATAAAAATAGACCTATAGCTACAAAATCAACATGATAATTAAAAACAACATGGTGAATTGTACCAAAATTTATGCATTTCGAGTTTGCATACGTTAAATTCCAGGTTTTATTGTCATCCAGGTCGGTATGATTTGATACAATTGCCCCACAGAAGGAAAATTTTTCACTTCAGAAAGTTTGAGCTTCCACTTTAAAAATATGTCAAAGCAACCGTGCAAAATAAAAACGCTTCTTAAAGTAAAAATTCTCAGGGAAATGTATTGAATACAAAATCAAAACTTTTGAGAGCCACATAGCATTTTTAGAGCGCAAGTTAAGGCATTTTTTGAGAAGATAGGTATAAAACATCAATGTTACCTATCGCAGGATAGGAAAACCAAAACAATGTCACTTAAAACTGACATCAACAAAATAACTATAATATAGACATGATGATTCATGTTTGCAAACTAACACTTAGATAAACAAGTGTTGCATAAAGAAGTACACAACAAGTAAACAAACCAAGCAGCACTATCAGATCCATAAAATATGAAACCTATCACTCTTTCAAAATAATGCAAAGTGCAGTTGATTACTTGAAAACTCTCATCATCAAAACAGCAAAGGCATGGTTTAAGTAATGAAAAACTACTGAAAAGTACTTTGGGATTTCATGTTTGAATTCTACATACTAGGGAAAATGCCTTTGGTTAAGTTGCACTCACTGAAGTCAGTGAACTGTAGCATGGTATTACCATAAAATATCTTTATTTTTGTGATGCACAAAATAATAATCTTGTGCATAATTTCATCACAATTGACTCAGTTTTATGTAAACAGACTTATAAAAACTATATTCTACTTTTGTGTCTTTGATCAAAAAGACTTCGAACAAAATATACCTGTACTAATCCAACTCCTATCATTATAATACTTGCCACTGATGAAACCCATAGAACTCTTGAGTAGTTTGCCTCCAAAAAGTACCGTTGTCTTGCTTCATTTGCTCGTAGTGCACCTTGATATGAATTAGCCTTCTCTAATTTACCTCTTATGCCTTCAATATTGCCCTAAAAAGTTGTACTTGTTGTGATTTGCATATGGTAGATGTATGTCTATTAATATACTACATTTCACTTACATATATATTAAAGACAGTTTCAATATGTTTGCCCCCTTCATTCTCATTATTATTTCCAACATCAATATCATCTCTTGATATACCAAGATCTAGGTATACCAATTTACGTGTTATGCTACTGAAACTATTGTCTATGCAGAAGCTATAAACTCCAGACTGTGTAACAGTAAGCTCGTGTGATTCATCTGTTGATTTCTCATCATTAAATATACGTTTTCCATCTGGATCATATGCTTCAAAGTCGATATCAAGATCTCCACCTTCTATTACCTAAAAATACAATAATTTTTGTTAAAGTATGTAAATATTTGATAAAACATCCAAAAAACATCTTATGAATTCAAGATTTGAATTATAATGGCAATAGTTTACAAGGTCATGTTCTATGGAGTGTTATAACATTTATTTCTTTAAATTGTCGACTGAAAAAGGTACTTGGACCAAGTATGTAAATTATTCATAGATTCCATGAACTCACCAAAGAATACTAGGTTGAACAAGAATTTACAAAAACTATCACCAAAAACCTATGTAGATATTTCAAAATTTTTTATCTGTCTAGAAATTGCTGTTGTCCCAAATTACCTGATATTCCAAGTCTAATGACATATTAACAGAAAGAGTTTCAAAAAAACACTCGCGTTGTCTTGGAGCAAGTAAAAATGTAAACCCACTTTCCATGCTACTCATAGTAATACTGCAACTTAATAAAAGCAATATAAAACGCAAAACCATCTCTCGAAGTAACATTTTCATAAAAAATATACGCAAGTTTCATACAAACTATTTGTAAGGGAATTAATGTTGACTTTAGAGCCAGCAATACAAATTAACAAAATGCCTATACTTCGTGTAAAGACACTAACATACGCAACGCATTGTCAAGTTAAAGAACTGCAGCCATAAAAACAGTATTTTTATGTTAATCGGAAAAAAAAGAGAAAGGATTAATGAGGGAAAACGTTAGTATAATAGAATAGTGTAAAAAGCGAAATTTTTGTCGAATTTACGCTTTTCCTGACTTGACGGTATAATACATTCATGATTCATGTCAAAACATCAGAGTTGATATGGGTTGAAGATACTGTTCCACATTCTTCCAGACCTAGTTTATTGAATTTTCATGAAACTTATAGATTCATTATTATTTACATCTTCATCACTTTGTCTACACTTCCATCTGATTGGATATCTCAACATCACGTGAGGACGAATGAAGAAGCTCTCGTTGTATTTCTGGAGTTATCTAAAAAAAATTGCGTTTCAAAGTATCAACCCTTTTGGATTATATGTAACTGCAAGGATAACACAGTTTCAAGAAATATTAAGTTTCATAAATTTATGTATATATGTAAATATCTTTTTAAAACAAATTCAGCTTTTTCAACCTGATCATGAGTGTGCATACGACAAACTTCAAGTAACGCTTCTTTTTGTTCACTGGATATATCTTGCTTGTACCTAAATGGAAAAAAACATATTTCTCGTCACGTTGTCGGGAAACTCAGTAAGAAATATTCTTCATGCTGAACAGCTTCTTCACATTTTCTCAAAAATAAATGAACAAAAAGCAAAATAAATTTTCACGATGAAAGAATAAACAAACAAACAAAAACCGACAAAAGAAGTGTTTTGTTGTTGATATTATCGCAATGCTATATTACCTTTGTACAAATGTTAAAAACATTGATGCCACAAAACTGGTAGAGTTCGTTTATCGCTCAAAATCTGAAAATAATAATTCGCAAAATTTCAAAGATGTTACTTAAATTTGTACGTTACCAAATTCTACTTTTGCGAAGTAGCGATTAATGTTTGTGATTGATTTTTTATTGTTTCCGAAGAACAATGAATATAGTTGGCTCCTTCCTACACCATCACTACTCTTTCACCATCACTACTCCTACACCATCACTACTCCTACACCATCACTACTCATCACAACACTCCTTTCACCATCATACTCCTTCATCACCACTCTCATCACCATCACTCCTATCACCATTTTTTCACCATCATTCCTCCGCTCATTATCACCATTCCATCACCATCACGCGCCATCACAATCATCGCATCATTTATCTGCCGTCATCACGCCAAATCACTATCCATCATCGCTCATTTTCATATCATATCATTTCCATCGCAACATCGCCGTCATTTTCGCATCATCATCATACGCCATCATTTATCACTCGCGTCATCATCGTCTGCCCGTCATATCATTCGCCGTCACATCATTTCGCCGATTATTTCATTCGCCGTCATATCATTTCAACGTCATTTTCGCCGACAGTCATATCGCTCATCATTCGCCGTCATATCATTCGCCGTCATATCGATATCGCTATTCATCATATCATCTGCGACATCGGCGCAATCATCATTCGCGTCACATTTACTCATCATCGTCATTTTATCGTCATTGCGCCAGATCATAATCACGCATCATTTTCATCGCCGTCATCATCGTACTGCGACGATCATCTGCGACGTCATCATTTCTGCGCAGATCATCGCGCCATTCATCGCCGTCGATCATCATCATATCATTCGCGACATCATCATTCGGAGTCATCATTCGCCATCCTCGCGCATCATTTTGCGTCGTCATTTTCTCGATCGTCATTTTATTCGCCGTCAAACATACGCCGTCATCATCGACTTTGCGATCGCTCATTTGAGACGAATATTTCATCGCATATCGTCATTTATCATAATCACGCCAATCATAATAGATCATATCCTCCACGCCGTCGCATATATTTCTTCATTCGTCATACGCCGTTTCCAACCATGCGTCATTTCATCATGATCATTTATCACCATGACGTCATACCGCCAACGCCGTTTATCATTTCGCCATCGTCATCATCATTTGATCATGCCGATCACGTCAATCATCCAAACATCGTCGTCATCATCACTGCATCGTTATCGGACATCATACCGCCGACGCATTATTTTTATGGATCGTCATCATCGCCCATCATTACCGCCACGCCATCATCTCGCCGTTAAACTGCACCATCATACTCCGCCGTCATCGCCTCATCATCATCCTGCCATCATTACTCCCAACATCATCGCCAACACCATCACTTACATTCGCACGCCGCCATCATCCATTCCTACACCATCACTCCTCCTACACCATCATACTTCCTACAACATCATACCACCTACACCATTACTTTTCCTACACCATCACTCCTCCTACACCATCATACTTCCTACAACATCATACCACAAACACCATTACTCTTCCTGCGTCATCACTCCTCCTGTACCATCATGCAAGCCGATATAACCAAAAAATTTTGACTTTCACTCATTCTTTGGGAAACACGCAAGATACGTTTGACAGCATGGCTAACTCACCTCAGAAAATGGAAGACCACAGCATCAATGACACGATAAGGTAGAGCGTATTTTTTATCAAGAAGAAGCCGTAATAATATACTGTTTGCCCCTATGCAAAACACAAAGCACACTTACTTTAGCATGTCTTCCATCAAACTTCAGAAAACAATTTTTTTGTGAGTGATAAGCAAGAAGATTTGTTCTTTGATAACTTTTGAAATTATTTCTTTGTCAATGTATTAAACTATTTGGAAATTTTCTGTGGTAAAGAGTAAATATTCTCTATGAAAACAAGTGAATGAACCTCTCTCATTATCTAACCTGAATAATACATTTCTGCTAACTTTAACATGGCCGCACTAGCATGGAGGACTGGTATGCTCGTCTTGGTGACTACACTGCCCATAATAATTGCTTCACGCAGGGTGCAGGTGCCAGACTAAGAAACAAACATCAAAATAAATGACATAAGTACTCATCACGCTTAACATGAGCCTGCTAATAACTGTTCAATATCACATACTTCACATAAGGGCAGCAAAATACCCTTAAAAAATGCTGCTGGCTTAAACAAAGCTTTCATCAGAGCCTAGGAAAGTAAAACAGATTGTACAGTTAAAAGGGATCTAGTGCAAAGTTTAAAAAGCAGTGTATATACAATAAGGCAAGTAGTGATGACATAATTAGCATAATTTCAGTATTTTACCTGATACAAATGATAATTAAGTCTCTTATACTCAGCAATATCATCTCGTACACGAGGCAGCAAGATAAGATTAAAAAATCTGATGTAAAAAACGTAATGATAATAAAAATTACTTAGCGACACTTTTTATCACATAACCACCAGGATTGTACTAGAGTGTACTAAAACAACATTCATGCACCTTTGAGCCAACTTTGCATTGAAGTTTGAGACAAAAATTCTTGTCGCCTGATACATGGCAGCTGCTGTCCAATTTTCTGGATGGGTTATATAGACAACCTATTTATAAGGAGAAGGCAAAATAAGAAAAGAAAATTTGTTTTTACAGTTATTTATCAACTTTCAAAACAGCACAAAGAGAGCATGTAAAAATTCCATTTAGTTCATTTTTATGGGATAAATTTCCCATGAGCATGAACAGACTAGAAATTTCATGAAAACAGACATGTTGCAGCATCTAACCTCTTCCCAATTCTTTAAAGATGGTATTATTTTGAATGCTTTAGGTAGTTTTCCTGAGCGATAATTGCTGAGAATGTCCCCAACACTATAGTTGAGATACACAGACAAGGTTTATGAAAAACAGAGTCATAATTTTTAATGCTTCAAAAAGGAAAATACGCAAGCAAGGTTATGGATGTGGATAATTTTGCACTGGTTTCTAAACTCCAATTTTGTTGGTAATCAAAGCTACAAGCAAAGTGCTGTACAAACTCTGGGGTTATGGCTCTTGTAAATCCAAAAGACATAAACCAAGACATTTCTCCTACTCACCCAGTAAAAACTTTCACAAGTCGTTCATCCATAGGTGCGGGAGCCAAACTTTGCTCAGACATCTGACTTTCAATCTCTGTTTTTTTGTCCTTAATTTTCTCCATAATAATGTCAGCAAGTGTTTGTCTCTGTGGTGGTTCTTTTGACATAAACATCTCCAAAGCCTTTTCATCTTCCTCGTCAACATGCTTGATTGAAATTGCAAATAAAAAAATGCGCTTTTTAACCAACTAATTGTAGAGAATATGTTTGGTAGTAAGATTTTCAAATTAAGATAAAAAATTACTTATGGGAACCACACCATAATGGTCACAGACTCACAGTGCTCTGTCCAATGAAGTAATAAGAGTTAACTACTATCTAAAATTCAACATGTGCTGCTACTACTTGTTTTTTATGTCTCAAGTAAAACAACCTACCACATCTTCATAATACTGCTCCTCTCTCTCTGAGAAATCTTCTTCCTCACTGCTATCATCAACGTCAAATTTAGCCTTGACAACATCTTCATGAGATGTCTTCGTGACTAATAAAGACTTTTTTCTCTTTGAAAAGCTGGCCCCAACATACTCAGCTTGCAAGTCATCTTGTTGTTTTAACGCCTGATCGATAATCTTTCTGGACAATTTCTCATTGACACACTGATAAAAACACAGAAAACAAAAACTTTAAGATTCAAAAAAATAAAATAGATTACATAAGAAAATGATTAGAAGGTTGAATACTGAAAGAGGAAAAGATTGACACAACATATATCATTTTGTCTTTAACTAACCTGAGAATTATTTTCACTTTGTCGCGGTCGTTCTTTGCCCGGGCGATTTCGACGTTTTACAGTGTCACTTTCAGTCAAATCTTGCACAAGATTGCTCCTTTTGTTGTTCAATGCTTTTTCTTTTCCCATTTTATGTAAACGTTATCATCCAAATGATGTTTTTAAACTTTTCTTGAGCCCTTTATTATACTCCATGTGCAGTGAAAAATCGCCATATTGGAATTGTCTCATAAAACTGGTTTCCATACACCAAAACAACATAGACGTATGGTGAACGAAAATTTTCTTGTCGACTACTATAATACAATTTAATCGTTTTTAAACTGTAAGATTGTATTCGGTAAATATCCAGACAGCAAATGCGTTAAAAACATTCTTTATCATAACAAGTAAGATTAGTTTGTCGTCAGTTAAAAAGGTGAATGACAGTCTTCCATAAAAATGACAATAAAGGCTATGAATCCATTGTACTAAAAAAATATAACTTCACCTCAAAATCTATGAACATACAAGCGTGTAGCAGAATGATATTTCCGTGTGCATGTTATCTTTTTACATTTTAAATGTGCAAACAACAGCGCCATGAATACAAGGAACGTCCATACTCTAGTGACTAGAGTCTAGTCTCTAGTGGTTGAATAATTCCAAAAATGACATTGTTTGTCACGAAAGATATGATTTTTTGAGACACGTTTCCTTGCACACTAAAAAGTAAATAAATCTTTCATTTATCACGTGTCAGCCTTTTGATCATGTAGATGATTTGTTACAATGGCATCTGTTGTAATTGAGTCAGAGATTTCGGGTCCATTCGACTGACTGTCGGAATCCACTGCCTTCACATGATCAGGGAATGTAAAGGCTTCATTGGATGAAGGAGATTCAAGGGGCGATCGTTCTTGTGGAGTATCTTCTACTGTAAATCCTCCAATAGGAATATCTTCGACAGGATGATAATCTGATGTGTTTTTTCGAGATGAGTGTATTCTTTGTAGTGTTGGATAGGGTGGTACAATGACACTTGGGGACGTCGGTGGTGTACGACTTAGAATAACAGGAGATAATTGTACGTGTCCATCACTGTATCTAACCATCTCTGCATTAATGATTTCAGCATTAACTATATGTCCTCCGTGAGTGGTTGATATGGCCGATGGTGGGCGATCCATATCATAATAAGACTTGAAACGCCTGTTGCTATTAAATTAGAAGACTGCATTTTTCAAAATGTTCATAAATATCTAACAGCATTATGAAATATTATAAAATACAATTTACATTAGTTAGCAATTTTAGATCACTATCATAGTTTATAAACTTACGAAAGTCCACAGACAAGAATAATGATGACAACAGCCATAAACAATGCGACACCACCAAGAACAAAATTTAGAATGAGATGAATTGAAGCTAAAGTAAAGAAAACAAAATTTTCATGTTGAGTAAAGAACAAAAGTGAGAAAATTCCATTTTTGTCTATATTCTAAGTAAAAGATAAAACGAAACTGCTAAAACTTCACTATTATTTTGCAACAGATCTAATAATTGTTGAATGCGCTCATTCAACAATTATTAGATCTGTGATTCATCAGTGCATTTAAAAACGATAAAATATTTTCCTACTTCCTTCATCTTCTTTTTTACAAGGTTTTAATGTACTTTGGGGTTTTTCTGCGACATTTTGCTGCGTTGTTGCTGTTTGTACAACTTGTTCTATTTTCTTGTCCATGGTTTTTTGGGGAGTTATAATTTTTTCAACTGTAAGTAAGTCATGAGTTGGAGGAACTGCAGGTAATTTCCCGTTTATTAGTTGCATGTCTCGGTAAAGATCATGTGGTGGTCCGCATTTTGGCAGCTCATAAAGACAATCCTCTGTAAAAATAAAGAAAATAGGATGCTTTTAGTTTCAGGCAATTCAGGCAAATGACGACCAATAAGGAAATAGAAAATAGGACCATTTTTACCTTTTAAATGATCACAAACGTAAATGTGAAGTTTCATCGTATATTTCCTACAATGAGTATCTTCATCGAAATTATTTGTTCTATTGAGAGTTAAATCATCACCAGTGCTCGTTGCTGATAACGTAAAACAAAAATTATTTTCATTAATACGGTTGACATTGAACTTTCATAAGTTTAGAGCGAATAAAAGTAATGGAAAACAGAGTCCAAGGAAAAATCAAATGCAAACTTACATATGAAATAATAATGTTTTCCTTTTTCAAAATATGGTTTGAAATAATGATATAAACCGTCCATATGAATGAAATAGAAAAAATGCCTTTTGACTTTCATTTTGTTGTCACACAGCAATATTAATCTATTGACTTTAGGATCACCTGTAGTATTTACCTAAAAATAAGAAAGAACAATTATACAACCATGTATGTCAGTTTTTGCCTGCTATGGCTCGTAAAAAGTCAAACCTTCACCAGCTCACTAAGACAAAGCAATGCAATAAAGTTATAAGCAATGCAATAAAGTTAATATCACATGTAAAGACACCGAGAAGTACATAAGAAACTCGAGTTTCAACTGACCAATACAAACAATCAAAATGCTATCACAGTCTCCAGTTTTGGTGAGAGATGCATAATTGTGACACCAATAATAAAGCGACATCAATTAACGGACTGCATTCACTGAAATGACGATAAATATGCCAGTACATTTTTTCACATCTCATCTGTAAAAAATTCATATTACCCTGCATTTATCGAAACCGTCTTTATCCACCTGCCATACGTTTTCGTAGAACAAGGTATCATCAGGCTTGTCAGGCATCCAGTTATTCATAGTGATCGTTGGACATAGCAATGTCCAGCCATATGTATCGCCGTGTTGAAAGTCACTGTGAATAACTTTCACGAAGAGTTCAGATGCTCCATTTTTACGAACAGTTTGGAATCTGGAAAGAGTTCAAAAACATCTACGTACTGTGCTTATATTGATCTAAATGCAACGAACAATTAAAGTCATAATTCACAAAACATTATTTCTGCAACAAGACAGTAACAAGATGGAGTAAAATTTCTCATGGATCATCGTCTCTATCACATAAATATAAGAAGAATAAGTACGTTTCTCGTAGATCATCCAAATTAACATATAGCAGGGAAATTATCTGTTGGAGCAAAGGAATATAAGAGAACTAAGTAACAGGAACTGTTTTACTTCATAGATAGTAAGATACTTCTTTGACAAATAAAAATTGTCAAAATCAATTTATTTACAACGAGACCGTTAAAAGTCCTAGTAAATTATATTAGATAAAACATCATTTTCTTAGCATGCTAAACTAATGAGAAATTGTTCTGAAGATAAATTGCTGCTAGAGGAGATAAGTGAATTTAATTGCACATATATTATATTATATTTTTATTGCACATTATATTCTTTGGTTTATAAAGATCAATAAAGCCATGAGTTCAGTCATGTTCACACCAGCAGTACTTTGCCTAGAATGTCATCAATCCTTTTGAAATATCTTTTAAAAAATACACACAGCCCCCGCGATTGTCTAGGCCTTTACGTAGTGACATTTGACTGTAGAATAATATATAGCTATAACACAAACAGAAGAGCTCTATTTTTATCAATTACAACAATATGTCAACGCTTGAAAGATTAAAGCAATCAATTGAGTAATTGATAATTATTAAAGTGCCTCTATTGTTTGGTATCGACATACAGTTTTCTAAGACTGAAAAAAGATGACAACCTTGTAAACCTTAATGCCCATGTGGCTCTGAAAAGGACAAAAAAGGAAAATTTTTAAGAATAAAGCGGTGCAGTTTGAAGATATTAACTAAAACCATCAATATATCAAGACAGTTTTGAGAGTCCCTCTTATAAATCCCTTGCTGACTACTCTCATTAACATCATAATTTCATACAAAAGCTTCTTTTTCTTAGGATAATCATATGATTTATTTTTCTCCTCCAGGTTAGCAGAATCGCATCATCACTTCATCAATAACCAGAATTGAGACTTAAACAACTGAATAGAATACTGAAATAACAGTTAAAATAATTCTTTCAGTTCTTTGACGTCCTAAGTTATCAATAAGGTAAAAATAAAGTCTAGTGTACGAAAACCATAAAAAGATTTATTTTTAGAGATTATGTCAAATAGCCACATTCATTATTCACAAAAAGATCACACAAATACAGCAACCCTTTGCGACGACCATGCCTCGGATATAGAACTTGGTGGACGATTGTCTATTGCTTAATATGCAGAGCAATTTTATTAAATTATTGGTACTAGCGCAAAGAATTAGCAAAGCATAAGAAGCAAATCTAATTGAATACAACAAAAATAACAAGATTAGATCGATTAAATAAAACAATTGTCACCAGGCTCCCGGCTTTATACAATAACTTTGAATTTTTTGCCTTCTTTCGATTTTAAATTTGGCTTGCTTCCAGTAACCCAATCTGGCAAAGCTTTAAATTTAGGTTCAAGAGATGAGGATTGACAGCTCGCCTGGGAACTTACATGTACGCCGTTAACTTTCAAGCCCAACAGGGGAATGGGAGCAAAAGCTTTTCTTTTAGTTTGACTAACATTTGGAACAAAGGATCGTGCATTTTCTAGCTTAAATAATTCATTCTAAACTTTGATGAATTGAAAGCTTTTGTTGTTTACAAGTATCGCAATTATTATTGCGAAGGCAACATCTGTTGAATACTTTATATTTTTAGTACCAACTCCATTTTGTTATATCGTTTACAATCAACAGCAATATTTTAATTTGCATTTTATTATGACGATATTAAATGTTTGCCCGGTATAAACTGTTAAACAGCAAGACTTTGGAACGAAATACTGATTTCTTGCACAGCTTTGCGTTAATTAAACTCAGCTATGTGTTTGAAAACGGATACCATGAGGGTTATTTGAGCCAATTTTATAAGGACATATGTATATATATGGTAATGGCAAAATGCAGCAGTGCACTGCATTATTATAATAATATAATTAAAACATTACGACTACAAAAAGTCATGCATGTCCCAACTATGTTTGGAATATTTAGTTATGACTATTCGACATGTATATAAATATGTAATTCAACATAATCTAGCATATAGACGTCACTTCACTAGAAGCAATACGCAGTCAGCTACATAGAACATGGCTACAGTAACAAATACTTTTAAATTAAACCAATGTTTGATCTATTAGTCTAATTTTAGAGTATGTACTGAGAATGAAAATTACATCGTTGAACTAAATCTTTTTTGTTCAAACGGTCAAGTGGATCTTCTATTATATATCAATAGACATTATCGACACATTTTGAATAATTTATTATTCAATAAAGAGAGTACTTGAGTAATTTATTATAAAAGCTTCGGTGAAGTGATTGAGTATTATGACGACAATACACACGTTATAAAACAATAGATGGAAAAAGGCAAATAAATCTAATATCGTTGATAGACATATGGTTCTTACTAAACACTGTAAATCTCTGTGAACACATTAATATACTTCAAGGATATATTGACTTCCCTTTCTGAGAAGAACATTGTTTTAAACACTTCATATATATATATATATAAATATATTGCTCATATTGGTTAATAACTAAAAATTGATGTTCTTATTCAATGATAAGAGAAATGCATTGAAATGAGTAATAGACAAAAGGTCGACTCATAAAACCACTACCAAAACCATGATTAAATGAAGTCCAGCAATAGCATTATAAATTTTTAAGATCATATATTTACGCAAACGCGAAAAATACACTATCATTATGCATCATATTGCATGTCAGTTGTTTTTATGAGTAAGGAAGACAACAATTGTTGAAGTTGTATAGATAACTCGTTGTCACTATATTATACAGATAATCCCTGACCAAATGCTTCTGTAATGAAACTCCAGTTTACTCCAAAGAAGGTGAAAATTCTAGGCGCATTCAATTTTGTTTACAATATAATAAAGAGAGTTGTGGATTTTCGTTTGCTCTAACCGTTCATCGAACTTCAGTGATTGCTGCTTTTAATCAAATATTCATTATAACCTACCGACAATCGTCTTTATGCCAATAAAGCGGTGGATACCAGAGACTTTTTAAAGCATAGCAGACTGACAGATTTAAGAGCAATGATGGAATAACGCGTCTCATGATTCTACATTAGCAAAGAACATGGGTAGCTTTATAAAATGGAAAATTCTTCTGCGGCAATTCCTATGAAAATGGAGATAGTCTACAACCACACAGTCAGTGACTCAATGTTGCGTTTGTTGACCCGGGGACTCGCGTGGAAAGAAATGCGAGAGTCGAGGAAGACGAGCCGCGTTGTGTGTGGCTCTTCTTCAGTGGAGTAACGCATAAATATAAAATAAATAATATAAATTTTAAATATAAAATAAGATTGTATCCTAGAATCACCTGGACACTTCTTTATGGTTAATGCTTCAAACAATAGTCAAAAATGAATTGACTGACGTTTATTGTGTTAATGTTTTATACACACATTCAAGAATTGTGATATTCATGACATTCATCCATACAGTTGCTAAGGCTATGTTTGCTTTTGAATCGCTTAAAGAGTATTTGCATGATTCTCTTTGTACGTAGAATAATAATAACTGGATGCGTTTGTATAAAAAAAAACAAAATATACTTTAATCATACGGCACGGGTGAAAAAAATATGGATAAAAAGAATCACTAAATGCACGATTACACAAGGCTATCTTCAAAATATCCTATTTTTTCTATCACAGGGTAAAAAAACATAATCATCATTATTTTCTAGAGATTCAAAATAACGATTTCGTCTATGACCATCTTGCAACCTCTGAGTATACATATACACATTGATTACAAAGAGGTATAACTAGCTACGCGTCTATAAAGTATTACTTGACATAAATTTGAGTATATGAAAACCCGAGGAAAGACCATGTAATCACAAAAAAATGACTGTCTTTTATATGTGAGTGGCTGCTCGAATCTCTACAGGAGGAGAGATTACTTTCACATATTACATCTATTCATAACTAAATAACCCAATCTCATACTATCGACTTTTTGACGACATTTTAACACCACGTTGGCAATATCATTCAACGGTTTTTTAAATGTGTTTTTTTAAGATTTTAATTCCAAAAGATTATATTCGGCATGTAGAACCTTTAAGGGACATAAGCAAGTGATACAATTCATTTCCTGTTATTCATCATCCAATCTCTCCAAGGTATGTCACTAAATTCTTTGAAAAGAATAACATGTCGTCACGTGTGCGATATGATCATGAAATTGTTTGGAGGACAACGCTCATGCTTGCTAATAACCAATGGAAAATGAACTTTGACTGCATGGTATGTCCCAGTGTAATGTATTTTGTATTGCAAACACCGTGTTATGTGGAACGAGTTCTTTCAAAATCGTTTTTTGCATATAAAGACAGGCCTAAGGGGGGAGGGAGGGAGGACTCCATTGTCGATTAACTATTGCAGGTTGGTTCAATATTTGCAAATTTTACGTCATAAATACGTAAATGGATTGTCAAGAAATCTGTTCTGAGTTTTTCACCAAAATTCCTTTCATCAACGTAAGTGAGTCCTGATTGGTAAGCTGAACTTGCATCAAATGAAAAACTACATTTGAAAATCGACAAATGCGATTCATTGATGGAGAAAATTTGACTCAATTGCATGCTTAAGTTTATCCCTATAAGCTGATGACAACAATACAGATTTTTGTCTATTCTTTTCACTTATGAGAATATTTTCTCAGTCGGATTATTATGTTCGATGGTTCGACAAGTCGCAGTCTGTATCTATCATCGCAAGGTTTATTACTTTTGACTTTGGATGAACAACAGCTGGAAGTGAATTCTAGATTTAGTTTAGCAGTTTTTGATGACAAGTTCTACAACCCTTATCTTTCCTCCCTACATTACCGTTTTTAAGAAAAATATCTTGCAAAAGCATAATTTATAAATTTGTGCAGCATATTATTACTTCATGAAACGATGTAACTGCAATACTAACTCACCAATATTGTTTTTGTTTGCATTTTGCTTACAGATGGTTCATATGCAGACATGATCGCATGGCGTGTGTGAAGACAACTGTCTCATTTAATTAGTCATTTTATTAAAGTCAAGACAACTAACATATGATTACAAAATTAGTAACAGCTAGATAACATAAAACAAACATCTATACGATAGCAACATGTGTTTTTAGCAGACTGAAAAGTTTCAAATTTCGGGTGCGCAGTTTACAAAGAAACAACCAGTTTTGAAGCAATATTTTGTAAAAAAAATGAAAGCTGTGCCATTTAAGCTTAAAATGTATACATAAATTTTGAAAAATTTGCAACCAGGATTTATGTTAGAAATAGTGATAAACGAAGTAAAGAAAAATTAAAACCACCGCCTTACTGAGCAGCTATTATTTTATCAAATATTCTTTAAGTAAGTTAATTTCCTTCTAAAATATTGTGTAAATACACCAGGTTTTGCTGATCAAAGACAAATTACAATGTAATTTGCCATACACCGACTGCAAATATTCCCTTTACCTATAGCTGAATATATGTATAAAAAAAATGCAACATAAAGATGCACAGTACAAACCTGTTGTTTATATATGGTATATTTATTTACATGCTCAGGAAAAATGTATAGAGAATGCATTAGTTATATAGACATAAAATGAAATTTGATAAATAAAGCTATTTTGTTTCTAATCGAGAAAAATCTATTTCTATTATATATATCATGTACATTATTGCATAAATCCATGCAGTGCAACATGTATTTCATGTTTACTTTATAATCTTCGTGTACCAAATGTTTTTTTTCCAAGCTTATGCAGATAACCCACGACGAATATAGAATTTCAATAATCTTAATTAACAGCTTGTTACCATTGAATTGAGACAATATTCAAGTTTGACTGCATGCTGGTATGGTGTTTGTGATATATTACACCGACCAATCGCATTATTAGACAAAAAAAATCGGGTATATGACAATTAAAAATTTTGCAAAACATTTGTGAGAATGCTCGTTGATTGAGTTAGATATTTAAAGTATCGATTAATGAAATATTTTTACCCTCCAACACAACGTTGCAATGAAAACGAGACAATAATGATCCAATATGTTTGAGCCATATTCAAACGTCTACTTCAACTGGTAACTTTTTAGAAGTTTATGGTAATTTTACAAGAGTGCTCGATCAAGCTAAACTTTCGCGATTAAAACATGAATTCTTAGGTATGATCTAACTTCAAAACGAGTTCAATCAGCCTAAATAATGAACAACAGATCATAAGACAAACAAGCAATAACAATAGCAGGTTCTATTTAAAAAATTATGATGAATACAAGATAGCCCGTTAAAAACAAATAGATTTGACATCGACAATATTTCTCCCCATGAGCACAAGTATCACGCAGGTCTAAAGCTACATTTCAAATAAAGGAGAAAAAAAAACAAAACTTGGGCTCTTGTTGAGATATTGTATAATTCTATAACCATTTTTGAATATATTATTCGATAAAGTGAACGAATTCTATGCATGCCGAACTGCAATGGAAATATAGCAGCATGTTGCACATGTGGCAAAATGAGTTCTTTAATTAATAATCACGACGATGCAGTTAAAACAAACAAAATGTTATGTTAACTTGTTAATTTCACAACGGTACAAAGTAATCCTTCGAACATCAAAGTATCAGTCAAAATGAAAGAGTTATAAAGATATTTGTCTTTGTAAAAAAATACTTTCAAGTAATCTCGCAGCAATATAATAAAATTGTTGCAGGTGAACTGTTTATAGTGTCAGATCAGACAGTAATGGTCAATTATTGTCATACTGTCACACATAAGACAAATTTTAAAGGTAATTCACTCATATTATTGTAGTAACAACTCAGTTTTCAGTTGGACAGTGCTCGTTTCATAAACATTTTGATAATTTTATTGAATTTATATTTTATGCAGTGTTGTACTGGGTTCTGTACTTGTTTCTTTATTTTGGTCATTTAATTTGTGGTTAGCGTGTTTGAAATCTTTCCGTTGTTAAGCTGACACGAATTTCCTTTGAAAGCGTGAACGCTAAGCCATGGAGAATGTGTACGAGCCACAATGACCAACAAAAAGATGACACATATATACTTCAGAATGCAATTGACCCCCTTCATTTCTTAAAATGTCAATTGAAATACACTAAATGTCATGGCGATGGCACGTATGGCATATATCTACACCAGAAAGAATGCGTAGATATATATTGCATTTGGTTTTTTTTTTATTGAGGAAATGTGAGTACCCTGGAAGTCAAAGACACGAGAATTTTAATTATTTTAATGAAATATATTGTTACAAGACTCCCACAGTACCACAACCATAACGCTTATAATGGAATAAGGAACTGATTAATTTGGTATTAAATGATAAATCAATAATTTTTGGCATAATCCACTGTTTTCAAAACGTTCTCACGAGTTTGAAGAAAGTTAGAATGGTTAAGCTTTTCATGTTCGACTTACTCAGAAAAAAAACAGGATATTCAATTAAAACTTCCTCGATAATTCATTGGACAATGATCACAATATATATACTAGGAACTGGTGTGGACAAAATACTTTAGATGCTGACATTTACATATAAGATATATTTAGTTGCTATCCATAAAATTAAACGGACGCAGAAAATTAAAAAAAACCTAGAAATAGTCGAAACACGTTTAAAGTCTATCGAGTTTCAAAGTTTACAAAATTTTAAATGTTTGAACGTTATCATAGCTATAAGGTCATGGATGACTTAAAGTAGGTATTTAACATTTCAAGATTTGTAAATTAATATCAGAAGATTGCAAGCTTTCTTTTATAGGCAAAATAAGTACATGAAAGGAGCATTAGAAATATTTTGAACAAATATATATTATTTATTCATATAATACTGGCTTAATATATCAAAATTTTCAAGGTTACAGTTTGTTAGTAGAGTTTGGAAAGAGTACAGTAGTCAACGGGTTGCAACATAAACTACCAATTTTTAAGATCACGAGTCAAAAGCTAAGAAACAACATTCCTTTAAAGTGCATTATATTATTTAGTTGATGAAATAGAGTTCAGTTGGTGAGCAAATTTAGAAGTCATTAAAGCATAAGTTTTTCTAAATTATATTTGGTCAATTTCAACAAGAGCACAAAGATATTTTATCTTTCATTCTAATACTGTTCAATGTACATGAACAATGTAAAAATAATTCTCAATGGAGCAAAAGTTTCTCCAGAAAGATCTTTTTTGAATACGGTTCTAGCCTATAGAAAAATACTTGTACGAAAAACGATCACTAAAGTAGGAAAAATGACAAATATATTGGCTTTGCATTGCGTGGGATGATTGATATTACTTAGCAAACAAGTATCAATATTGCAGAGTATTGCTTAACTTTAAGTGACATATGTTGTTCCGATGAGTCCCATCAATTATCCCACGGTTTCCTCAATAAAATAAAGTATTTTCTACCAAACATATGTTAAAATACTTCACGTATATAAAATTTACGAGGGCTACTAAAAACTTGTTAAAATAAAGTGACTTTTTGTTGCCTTTCATTGGCAACAAATGGCTTGCTTTTACATGCCTCAGTGATAAAGTCAAACAGAGAGAGTCTTTTAATAATTGTTGTACTTGACTAAGAGGCGGTCGTAAAGTGCTTTAATTGATCAAAGTTAATTGTCGAGAATGGCGTCGTGTCTGCTGTCAGGGTAAATTGAGCATATCAATGTTAGAGAAGAGTTCAGAGTTTCGTGTGTCGAGGATGGCCTTGTACGAATGTCTTTCACGTAATGTGTTAACGGTATATTGCCGATAGCAATAATGTATTATCATTGAATCTTACACACTGAGCCTACAAATATAGCTAGAAGTTAAACTAAAGATGTAGAAAGGCATAAATATTTAAGATGCCAAGTAAGCACTAGGGTATACCTATAGCAAAAAAGTCATATTATTGTAGTCACACAAATGACGAGCATTATAGCACAAGTTCGCAGCACGATACGACATGAAATCTGATCGAATACGTCACGCACCAAACGACACCAATACTGGATTATAGTTTATTTATAACCATCTATGAAAAGATCGTGCCTTATATTTGCTCAACTTTGTAATAACATTCTTATTATTGTCAAACTGTGAAGATTAACATGGAAATCTCTTTTCAATACATTGCTGGCAAGCTAATGCCAACACTAAATCCTCTTTTAAAGGAAAATTTCTCGTATAACTATGCAAATCTTAATCAACAATACATGCATGAATTTCCTATATGTTCCTATGATTCCAAATTTCTTTTTCCAGTGAATATACAAATATTTTTATACAAAATCATATTTTTCATGTTACTTGTAATAATAGTTCGTGAGATTATTGATATGATATGAGTGTAATGAATGAAGCATTGTAAATGTAGAAAGTTTATCTGAAATTCGATACAGACGACAATCCTCCACAAACACTCAATATTCTATCTAATTCACAACTATCCACGAGCCACGACAAGATAAGTCGTGTCAGTTATCACTCATACGGTTGATATCACAGCTTGACATAATATAATAATCTAACAAGAAGTTTTCTCTGCCTGCTGGCGTTGTGATGAAGGCTCCAATAACGTTTGATTTTTAGCAGGGCAAATCTACATTATTGGTGTATTGTTAAACCTTCAAAGTTTTCGACGCAAAATCTCGCAAAATACCGTGAAGCGAAATGCGCGTCTCAAACGTGGTGGTATTGATATGTTTCATGGTTGTATCAGAATGTATTGCGTATTATTATCCACCAGTATTCTGGCATTATCAAAATTGTGTGTAAGTTAGTTGGATACATTCTAATTTTTATATAGTTCATAGTATACTTAATTTAGTTCTTTTGGAATTATCGGACTGACATAAAATATATAAATTTATTACAGGATGTGATTTAGCAATTATTGTATGTTACACAAAACATAAATGTGCGTCCAAATATGTTATATAGCTTTTTTCCAGGCTCTGTTTTTGTCAAAATTATATATGCATGTCATGAGATGTAAGAATTAGTACGATATTGTTGGCGTTTTGTCTCATCATTATTCAGCTATTGTAAAGTTTTAGCAAAGATGGATCTGACACAGATATTTACCCCTGTAAACTTGAATGAAATTTGAAACCTACTACACAATATACATTGAAATCAAATGAAATTCAACTTAAAGAGAAGATGGTTTCCAGGTTGAGATTTCAAATGTTATTGTCGTTTCGCACAAGCTGTGTCATACAATGCCATAAAACATTTGATTTTTCTATTATACAGCATTGCTTTATGTTAAGTATCATTATTTTAAAGAAACGTAAGCGCCGTATGGAAACGTGTTATGTAGTTAAGGACATAAACTTGCTTATATTTTGGTATAGAAATAAGATGATTTACAACAATAGCGTAGGTATTTGTTGATATAGGGATCATAAGTCACATATATTTCTTCTACATGTGGAATATTTTTGCCGAAGGCAATTACATGATTTAAATATTCAACGAACCGATATTGGCAATTGGTGAAATAAAAGTGATGCTTCCAAAATTGAAGCAACAGCAGAGTTCAATCTTTCATTATATTGTCTACGATATATCAGCGACATGCAACAATCAAGACAAATATTACGCTTGCATTCCATGCAGATTATCGTATGTATAGACGGATATTTAACATGGAATGTATCACTATATGAATATATAGAAGAATAGAAGATTTTGTAGTGTCTTAACACTTGATTATCTACACGTCTGCATACACAGTGTATTTATAGCTGCCAGTGCAACTTTTCGTAACGCAGTTTCTACAAGTAACGCAGTAACTATGAGTGTCAGTTTTTATCAATGCGTTCACGTTGCTTTATTCCTATACCTAATAAAGGTACGCTAAAGTTAAGCTGGCTGGAGTATTCTCGGCACCTATCGTATTTGGATAAGGATTTCCAATAAACTAATTTGTACATACGTAGGTTTATATCTGAGCCAAGCAGTCGGGGTCATGATATATGCATGAGCAATTTATTTCAAATGACGTGAAAGTTAATACAAATAAATATGATTGGCTGACTGGGTATGAAATACCATTTTTCTGCAAATTTGCAATTACAACTGACGAATAATAAAATAATAAAAGAGTAGCTAATATTTATCTGTAAGCAGCGGTTCATTTTTTGTACTATAGACATAAGGACTACGAGTTATTATGTTTTTCATCCAAAAATCAAGATGTGGCAATATAGCTAGTTTTTCGTTGTTTTTGTGTTGCAATTTTTTTAAACTGTGTAGCAAAAATGGCCTCAATTTTTTTCTGGAAAGATATTCAGCAACGCAATTATAGCTACCTAATGCTGCTGCAAAGCCGAGTTGACTTTCATTAACTTTCATGTTCCAAAATTTCGTGATGCGTGATATTTACTCAGCTGCGTAAATATTGAATGACAATAAAGGAATGCACGGTTCTTATTGCACTTTTGCTCTCACACTTTTTTGCACTTTTTTAGCATTTGTCTTACTGGCAACAACTAAGATCGATAGACAAATTACAAAATAAAAGTAAAAATCTACACAATTTGGACATCATTCAACAAATTCATCATGAAAATTCCCATACTGCCTTTGATTTTCTTGTAATCGTTCAGCTTTTAAAAAATGTTCACACTCATAATTTTGCCACGTGCCTAAACAATTTACTGTTGCGCTGATTAAGAAAATTAGCATGGCTGACCATGAAATAACAAAATGCTTAGTTAAATCATCTACTATTTTATTTTAGTGTTAATATGAGTCGCAGCAATGATATTTTTGGAAACGTTAATATCCCTAATTAGCTTTTCTACACCTTCATGCAGGTTCAATCGTTGTCAATGTCAATGAAATTATGAAATATAAAACTAAAGCATGCCTCCTTTTCTTTTTCTATAAGATTCCGCAAGCTTCGAGAATCGTTCGGAAATGAAACGAAGGAATACTTCATGAAAGTTCTACCACATCAACAAGTCAGAATTGTTTGCCCTAGTAGTGCAGCCATAAACGATTGGGTTGGTCAAAGAATATCAAAAAGATTCCAAAACTTTTACTTAGTTGACAAAAACGGTTACGATAACTGCAAGGTCAATGATGATGTAAATCCTAGTGAAAACAAGTTACTTCTTCTATGTGATGATTTTAAACGAGTTCGTTATCGAACATTTAAGTTCCATCCAGGAAGTAATTTAAATGAACCCCGCTTCATTCCTGGGCGACATTATTATTTTATAGGTAAGACAACAGCAAATGAGATTAGATAGAGCACCTGTACCATATATGAAGGTAACACGGAAGTTATAAAGTAAATAAATGGGAAAATATAAGAAGATCATTGTGTACTAGGCATCTTATATCAGCGCTCTGATTTGATGATTAAGTTTGAAAGTTCCTGTGAATGACTTCTTCTTTCCTCTAACATATACACTTGTTATGCAAAAAGGGAAAACGAGTTGCAACTCTGTTTTAAGCGAGAAAAGTTTTTAGAATCTTGCCTACTTGGAAGAAAATTTCAGGAAATTTCCATGCAACTTAAGAAAAAGTACATCTGTTAAATCCACCAGCTAACCACTCTATATTCTCGATAAAGGAACGGGAAATGGGGACCGACAATCATTGAAGTCAAAGTCTGGGGGTCATTGCAAGGAATATCACATGAGGTTGCATATTTATGTTTGCAATCCAAAGAAAGGTTGGTGGCTTTTTTCTTACATACTTCACTTAATCAGTTTCCTTGCACGATCAACCTTAATTTACAAAACATTGCCGAGGAAGATTCTACTTCTTTCCAAAACTAAGTAAGCATTTCATGAAACACGTAAAAAGCTCGATAAAAGTTGTTCGTAACATTTATAAAGAGTATGCACAATCTTGCGTTATTACAAATAAATATGCTCATGCAAAATTGCATTTAATCGGCAGAAACATGTATATGGGAACAACCTTACTGTGAACCAACGTATGAAGTCCATCGTGCGATGATCAGGTACAGTCGCAAATTGCCCCCACCAACTGAAGGGATAGCCACAGTACCAAAAACTAAAACTGCACCCATCTCTATTACCAAAAAATCGAATGTTGAACATTTTGAGGGATCAATGAGTTCAACCGAACATTCTCACACACCAACAAAAGAAAATCCTTTAGCTGAGACACTTGTCAATAATAACAAGGACTGCAAATATAGTGATGAAGATGGAGGTAAGCGGTTCATTATTTCACAATTTAGCATGAACCCGAGAGTCGATACACTTGATATTTCTTATTTCTTTTAAGTAGTTCCTGATAAAATGCCAGTTTCGTAGTAGCAAAAGGAATTTGTGTGACTCATTTCCATTGAATTATTAAATGGCTTATATATTTACAGGCTGAAAGGAGGCCAATTATGTTGACCAAGATTCACTTCTACATCTTGAAAAAAGAATTTTTTCCTTTCATTGTAGATTCGGTTCACATGGTTCTAAATTTTGTTTTGGGTGGCGTGATATTGTTCATGGCTGTTGTAATTTTCATTCTCTCCTTTGGACTAGCGTAAGTTCTTTTCCATTTTATCTACATAAAACATTTGTGCAAATTATTCAGCTAGCAAAGATAAATCAAAGATGTGCGATTTCTTCGGTTGAAATCAATTTCCACAAATATTGCCAAGATCTCATATCTGCATCAAAGTTTAATTAGAACACCAAAGTCATAAGGAGCAAAGACCTCACTTCCAATTATGGGACTTGTGTGAAAAAAATTGTCAAGCATACAAATGGACGTATTTCTCTTTTACAGACGAAAATCTGACTCAGCTAGACCATCATCTGGTGCGTTCTCAGTAATCTCGGCACAAGAACCGAACGCAAATCTTTATCAGGAAAGTGCACGTTTCGTGAAACCTGTTTATTCACCAGTATCAAAATCACCTCCACAAACACCAATCAGTATCAACCCACCACTCTACCTCGCTCCTATGGCCGAAATCCGACCACGCTCGGCGTCTAATAGAAACGGATATAACAACGCCGTGTATGGTCAAAGACAAGACAGTGTTGAAGTGCCAGCAGAACAAGTTGATCCAACATCATTGCTCCATGAGCAGCTAGCAAATACTGCAGAACCCGTTTAAAACTGGTTGAAAGTCGGTAAAAAGCAAGTGAAAGTCCAGATGGGTAGGTGTATTGGTGAATGAAATTTTCAGGAGTATTAGAAGTATAGCATAGTTGATGTTTCATGGAACAAAATAAAAGTTGCAGCAACTAGCATATGAATAAGAAGAAATGAACAATTAACAGTATTGCAGAAAGCATTGTACACGATTAAATAGATGTTTCAAAAGAATTAATGTGACATTTTTCCCAAACTTCCCCTTTGCGTGCTGTTAAGACTAAACTCACATTTAGCCTGACACGTAAAGTTTTGATCAGACGAGAAAAAACTCGTTTGTAAATATGTAGACATAAACAATTCGTATTAGCTAGCTAAATGTACTATATAGTGAGCATTAGGTAGAAAATGTAATTGAAAATGTAATCATATTTGAAATAATCATGCAAGTTTAACAAATCGTGTGGGTTTACACAGAGCTCCTGAATTCTACAATAGAAAGTATGAATTGACGAAAGACTTGTTAATTCATGGTACATTTGCATGTACACGAACAAAAAGTGTAAAGTCACCTGACCATTAGCATCTACTTTACACCGATTCGGATTTTATGCAAGTACATGCAAGTACCACTGATCTGATAATAGACTGGGTATAGCTTCTATAGGTAGCAAAAGTGAAGCCTAATTATATATGCAAAATTCACTTCCGGGTACCACAAGAGATACAAATTACTATAGAAATGTATGGCGGATAACGTTTACAAACATGGATTTTCCAATATTTAAGGCCCTTTCGTGATCTTTTACTTATTTCAAACATCTGTCATGGATAAAACAAGTTGTGTTAATCAATTTGACATCAAAATGATACCGATATCTGTAAAATATCGGCGTTCGTGTTCAATTGAAAATTGCGCGTGCAAGAATCGAATTTGCCCCATCGTTGCGAAGGCAAGATAATTCACAGCTCATTTTCCAAGTTCAGAGGCAGTTATGATCTAGAATGAGTTTCGATGCTTAAAAAATTCGTTTAGTACCTTTCTTTTATCATTCTTTAATATCTAGACATTGTTGTATGTTACTTTTGCCGTGACTTCATTAGCAGTGTACTGTTGTTGTAGGAACAAGACAAATTTACTAAGCTTTCTTCCTCTCTTTATTCTTATTTTCAATTCTGTTTTTATTTTATAAAAATAATAAAATCACCACACCTTGCTGTAGCATTTGTAAATGGCCATGAATAAGTATGGTTGTTATTGACGAAAGTATCCAACATTTTTATCAATTGCAGTCGATACCGTAGCATCAGGAATTGTGGTAATGTGGTAAACTGCCATCTGAAGTTAAAAGCACCTTTCTGTTTTATTGCATACTTGAATAACAATAGCTGTTGGTTTGAATCAAAGTACTCATGTCTTTTAAAGACAGGAAAGCAGATTCACTTTAATTTTTTTTAAACCAACAGCTTCTTAATAAGTAGGGCAGGTGGTTTTCTTTGGCAGCATCTGCCTATAAAATTAGCCATGTATGGTATTGCAATCACTTTAAATTCAGAAACAATGGAAAAGCTGTGTGCACTACAATAATCTTGATAATCATCACAGTATATATTTTGTCTACAGAAGTAATTTGTTTCAAACCAACAGCTATTGTTATATCAACATGAAACAAGGCAGGAGGGTGTTTTCAGCTTCTGATGGTAGTTTATTTGACGGGAATACAATTTCACGGGAATACAATTTGCGAAGATCATATCTTCATTTAATTTCAAACACCGCACTGCATAAAACATTCTTTCATAATACAATTTCTGTTGCTGAATCTTAGTATACAATGCAATTGATGCACATGTTATGTCAACAACTATACTCACTCCATTGATGAAGGCCATGTCCAAATGTATCAGCAAAGCGTGGTGTTTAAATTATCTCTGTAAAATAAAAACAGAAATGAAAATAAGAATAAAGTGAGGAAGAAAGCTTAGTAAATTTGTCTTGTTCCTACAACAGTACCCTGCTAATGAAGTCACGGCAAAAGTAACATACAAAAAGGGCTAGATAATAAAAAATGATAAAAGAAAGGTACAAAACGAATTTTTTAAGCATCGAAACTCATTCTAGATCATAACTGCCTCTGAACTTAGAAAATGAGCTGTGAATTATCTTGCCTTCGCAACGATGGGGCAAATTCGATTCTTGCACGCGCAATTTTCAATTGAACACGAACGCCGATATTTTACAGATATCGGTATCATTTTGATGTCAAATTGATTAACATAGCTTGTTTTATCCATGACAGATGTTTGAGATAAGTAAAAGATCACGAAAGGCCTTAAATATTCGAAAATCCTTGTATATAAAAGTTATCAGCCATACATTTCTATAGCAATTTGTATCTCTTGTGGTACCCGGAAGTGCATTTTGCATATATAATTAGGCTTCACTTATGCTACCTATAGAAGCTATATCCAGTCTATTGAAAGCTTAGTTATAAAAATTTACCATCGTTTCTCTTTATCACAACAGCACAAAGGTGCTATACATGGCTTGTTCTCATAATTCAGAAAATCATGGCTACGATAGTTCGAGATTTGAACGAGCTGTTGACGATAATTTTAATTGTTCAATTTGTTTGAATGTTGTCAAAGATGCACGGATGTGTCAAAATAATGAACACATATTTTGCCGCTATTGTATAGAAGAACATTTACGAGTTAATGCTCAACGATGTCCCGAGTGTCAAGAAAGACTGACCATAAATACGCTACGTCGAGCTCGTGTTATAAATAACATTGTGTCGAAGTTGAAGATCAACTGTGATTACGCAAATCGTGGTTGTCTTGAATATACAAGTGTTCAAAATCTTAAAACACATGTTGAGAATTGTGGCTTTGCACCTGTGTTGTGTTCCAATGAACATTGTGGTCAGGAGATCAACAAGAAAGACATGATCAGTCATGAAACTGAAGTGTGTAAATACAGAAAGATATTTTTCGGAATCTTGGAAAAAAGTACTACAATTTACGATGAAAAAATGAAAGAAGTCATGCTACTTGTGAAACGAAGCGAAGATGAAATCATAAAAAAGATGGAAGACCAATTTCTGAAAACGAGTAAAAAGACGGAAGCTTTGAAATTTTATCAGGAGGCACAAACGAGAGAAACGCAACAAAACATGAAAGAATTACGTAAAGAAATGAACGAAACTAGGCTAGAAGTTGATAAAGTTAAAGAGAATATTTCCATAGTTGCCAGAAATGTGGAAGTGTTAAAGGACTTGATGACGCACATGTTGGAGAAGATGAATGTGACAAGTGAACTTGAGCAGAAACTTCCATTGGCAATTGATAAAGTTATAGATAGACCACGAGAATATATTTTTGTTGCAGGAGATTCTTCATCAATTTGCTTCAGTTCAGAGTTATTTTCATGGGAGAAAAAATGGGTTGAACTAAGCCACTCATTTCTTACACAACATGGTGGTTTACTAAGCTATAGGTTACGAAAATTTCATACGGGTGGTTCATCATTTTTCCATGATGAAAAATTATTCCTTGTTGGAGGTGGATGTGCATCAATACTGACATTGGATATTACTCAGTTACCTCTGAAATGGGAAAAATATCCAGTAGACCTTCCTTACTTTTGCAGTAATCATAAAACAGTTGCTTATGAAGACAGAGTCTTGCAAATTGGAGGACATTTTCCGACAGGAGTTTCTGATTTAATCAATGAACTGCTGCTTACCAAAGAAACTTGTGTTGTGAAAGAGTTGTGCCACATGCCTCAACCAAGACAATATCATGGCGCTGAAGTTATTCGTGATAAGGTTCTCATTTTTGGAGGAGAAGATATACATGAAAGACCCTTAGCCACAGTGTTAGAATATGATCCAAAGACAAACACATGCAAGGTAATGCCATCTTTGCCTCATGCTTTGACAAGAATGGCAACAGCTCGTTGGGCTGATAACGTTTTCCTCGTTGGAGGTCGTGATCTTTCCAAAAGATATTTGAATGATGTTTTAATGTATGAGGGTACAACTGGCAAAATTACGGTGCTGCCACCTATGCTTGAGAGTAGATCAAGGTGCTGTGCAATTGTGACTGGAGGTATGCTTGTTGTCATGGGTGGTAAGAACAATACGTGTGGCAGCTTAAATTCGGTAGAGTCTTTTAAGATAGAAAGCAATTCCATTTGGGAATATCTTCCCGTGATGAACACATCAAGATCAGGATTTATTGCACAAGTTTTGCCTCCAGAGATGAATTACATTGTGACATTTTAATGGAACGACCAGATTTTTGGAACATGTAACTACTACATGTAACTAGTTTTTTTAGAACATGTAACTACATATAACTACTAGTTTTTACATTTTAAAGGAATGACTAGTTTTTTTAGAACATGTAACTACTACATGTAACTAGTTTTTTTAGAACATGTAACTACATGTAACTACTAGTTTTTACATTTTAAAGGAATGACTAGTTTTTTTAGAACATGTAACTACTACATGTAACTAGTTTTTTAGAACATGTAACTACATGTAACTACTAGTTTTTAGAGCATGTTTCGGCATGCTTATGCCATCTTCAGTACATAGAATGAAGGTGATTATGCTATTTACATGATATATATATATGTGTATGTGACTATCCCTGATTGTGATATACAGTAAGTTAAAAAAAAACCATCATAACTAGATACATCAGTAGTTATAAAAACAACAGTATTAATGTAACTATGAAAAAAAAAATGAAATAATTCATTTAAGTAACAACTCAATTCTAAAGTGCAATGAACTGTCTGCATTATCGGGTTGTATGAAATATACACCTATAGCGTTACACTGGCGTAGCCCCAAGAATTTGTTGCAGTCATACGTGTGATAAAAATGGAAACGCAGTGAGCACAGAAGCAAAATGGATGAATCGAAGATGTAACAGCAATACTTGTACGAGTTTTTATTTGAAAAATTTTTTACTAGCTTTCAAAATTTCCATAACAAAGATTTCCATCTTAGTGGTTCGGAGCAACTGTATAGCTATATAGTGCTTGGTATGCATTAAATAATACAGCAATATGGAATTAATGATTTTACAGCTTGAAAATATATCAATTTGACAACTGACAAGGACAATACGGCGCGGTCGTAAGCCCTGAAGGGCAAAGGACGATAACCTTGCTACCTCCAATTGAAAGAAGCATAACACATAAGTTATGTCACTGATTTACTCATTTCCATACAATAGCTGTGCATTAGTCTGTCACCATCTCCGATTACTAACTGTGATTATAACAGATGGCAATTGGCCAAAAGTAGGCGGTTCTTCGCAGCACGCTACCAATATATTATTATAAGATGGTCATGAATGACCCTTTAGGCGATCTTCCGTTTACGATAGATCAGCGAGCAAAACAATACACTGGTCAGTTATTGCGCAGATCTGCTTCAGTGCAACAATGAATTTTTGGCAATTTGAACTCATACTATACTTCGGATTATTTTATGCTGTTAGAGGAATACCACAGTACTTCTATCCACCAGTTTTCTGGCATATGAACAGTTGTCCGTAAGTAGTATTTGTAATGTTTGATTGTTATCGATACCAGAGCCTATGTCAGATGCTGATATCAAACATATATTTTTATTAGTTTGAAATGACTGGTGCAATGGTAAAACACCGAATACAAGAGTCAGCTTTATCTATAACTCCACTACATTAACATTTGAGTAGGATTGCATGCACAGTAGTGCACTTCAATGATTTCCATCTATTAATCAATACCATTCACATAATCAAAGAATGATATACGATATATGAACTGTAGGTTAACCTTTAGCACGGCTGTTGGCATTTTCTTTAATTTTCCCCGGCAATAGCAACGCCAACATTGTTTACTTAAGATAAGTGCAGTCAGGATTCGATTGCCAACGCAATCCCCCTTACTTTCCATTAAAATGCATATTATTTCTTTGCGCCGTCGATACGAAGCTTAAACTTGTTGTGTCTATTCCTGAAATCGATGTTGAGCTATGCCATAAGCATTTTGATGGATATGTGCTAGCTCAATGTGTTCGTACATGATACATATTTATGCTAACAAAGTTTTTAAGCAACGTTATGCTTCATCTATTGTCTTTAACTATAACAATCAGGAAGAAACAACTGACCAAGTCATCTACTCAATATCACAATCAATTTTAATCATTGTGAACTACTGAAGTAACGTATTTACTAGCATTTATTCACTGGTATCGGGTTTAAACGAACGATTTTGATAAAGTTTGCATCCATGCTGTTAATATATGACGCAGTTTGAAACAAACCTTAAATGGATAATGAAGAGCAGATAGATAATTTAAACCAGGCTAAACAAGAATTTATCCTAGTTCATAGGGGTGAATAATATCGACCGTATCGTCATGACTATATCGAGAATATCATAAAGCTATTTAATTTCCGTACTTAGCGATTTCTCTGTAGCGTTTGTTCTGGAGAACAAAGATACGAATGTATTATGCATTAGTTCTAAGAACCCATGCAAGCATAGCTTTCGTTATACATTATAAAGGGAAGGATTGAAAGAGAGAAATATCGGTTGAACATGCAGTATAGATAGTAATTGTTCGTATGAGTGTTTTTATATTTTTATATTGCTGCAGTAATTTTTAAGCACATACGTGTCTTTGTATATTATCATAAAATCAAGCAATTGTTCTTGTAACATAAAAAGAAATCTTAATGGAAAATAAATATGCTTCATGTCGTGGGATGCGTATAACTTACGGTAAACTGCGAGAATGACATAGAAGTAATAATAACGAGAAAAAACAATAATATGCAGTGGTTTTTTGCTAGAATGAGTAAAGCTATTACCATTTACGTACGTTAATACCTTTTCAGCGGTGGTGCATTAAATTTAAAGTGACTATATTCGGTAAGAAAATATACATAATTAAGGATGATACAATGGTTAATAACGCAAGAATCATTCGCACATACAATAAATTTAATCATGACGACGAATACATGATTCAAATCGTTCGCAATTCTATACTTTGTTAGAACATTTTTTCTCCATGACAATGTTTATGGTTAGATCAATTTTCCAACTTACAAAGCTACAGTTAATATAAAATCGTATACTTTTACCAGGATTTTCTAATCATTTGCGTTTGTTCCTCAGAACTCTTAATTTCAACTTCTGTCGCAATTATTACTAAATAAAACATTTGACTGTTGCAATGCATGGTCATTTGTTGGTCTTGTAGGAAACATTTTGGTGTTTTGGCTTAACACTGTTTGCATGAATGACGCATGCATCTTTTCATCAATGTCATCTGGATTGAAGAATTAGTCAAAATTAGATTTTGTCGGAGTCACAGTGAGCATGCAGGCAGACGAAACTGGGACGCAAGCCTTGCATGACCTTGTGAACTAAATTAAAATTTACACATTCTGGCACGCCGTCAATATACGCAGGTAGTCCATGCATGTTTTGTTTTTAACTTTGGAAGGAAGATCTTTGCAATCTTAGGGATCTTATTAATGCCGGATATATTGAGCAAAATGATCTTTTTAACACCGTACTTATTGAGCACATCGAGTTTTTTTTAATAATACGATCTCTACACAATTGTGCAAAAAGGACATATAAAGAAAATCTAGAGATTTTTATCTTTAAACTGTGTCCGTCCTCTTACCATATATAGCTATTTGAAAAAAATTTTGCCCAAACACACTGTTAAATTGTGTATTTTCTACAGTACAACGACTTAAATTCAGAAAATATCACCTTTAAGAAATGCAATAAATAATATTCTGTGGAGCAACAAAACATTGGCTGTTGCATGATTTTGCAACATTATACGTTAACGTGTACATCAATTATTCAAAATTAAAAAACAGCTAGTATTGCATAGCTAGTATTGCGTTTTAGTGAATATTTATAAATAATTTGCCTTTGATCAGACCCGTGTCACATTAGTGGATGTCATTTATGTATGAGACGGCCTACTGAGTCAGCCAACCACACGCGAATGTTGGCGAAATAATTGCCATTGATCAATAAACCCCTGAATGAGAATGTCCATTCACTGTCCAAAAACACCGTAGTCCATACGTTGGCTAACGTCAAACGAGTACACAGGTGACCAATGCCACCGTCATTAAAGGAAACTTGCGTTATTTCCAGATTCAACCAATCTTTGCATATGTTTTCTTATAAAACCTTTCTTAGAACAAGGCTACATTCAGTTTCCCAGTTTAAACTGTGGCATCATATGTGGCATCAATGAGTAAGATGAATGGGATTACACACAAATATTTATTTATTGTTCTGAGACAGATTAGCACAAAAGTTGAAAAGTAGCTAAAATGTTTATTGCTAAACATCATCCTGGCGTTTGTAGTATGAAGGATTGTGTTGTAATAAAGATCAGATGTTTTGTGAAAGAAGAACGAATGCATGTTTAATGTAAAATAACTTACGTACATCTTTAGCGATAAACATGATTACGGCGGAAATCGAAGTTGGTATTGTAAACAAAAGATCATTAAAAACTAATGTCGGCTGGGTTCTACGACATGCCTCGCAGTGAGATCATATTTAAGATAAATCTTTTGTCTTCTATCAGAATGATGTTTCAAAAGTGTTTCTGGTTGCTCAAAGATGGAGAACGACTTTGTCAACGGGGTTAGCCTTCAAATCAAGCAATTGTTGCATGCCAAAAAGACATTATTGACTAAGCATTTATTAAACTTGATTATTTTTTCAGAGTAAGATCCAAATGGTTTTCATTACTTGGTTGTTCCCACTGTGTCACATTATCAAAACATCTCAAATGCACATTCAGCTCGTGCTGAACAATAAATTATTTCTGTCATATCAGCGTTTGATGGACTGCTGTTTCGTTGTAACCTTGATGCTATAGAAAATGGCAAAACCAATTTCCTTATAACTTGCTGATAACGTGATCCATACGTAATAGAATATTGGTTAAAGAGCACATGCATGTAGTATCTACCGTAAAATAAGATTGATAGAAGCCATTTTAATTTCTATTTTTCTCTATACTTGTCACCAATCGTTGATTGACGGCAAACGTATGGCATAAATCACATTTATGACTCGCCAAAACTTTATATAACCATTCACATTACTCACAGCTAAAGATATTCCCAGTAGTTAGAAAGTATTTATCATAACTTGCACGTGCAATGCTAAAATTACAGCTTTTTCAAAAGCCCGTTGTAAAGTGTAAACCAGATTCTTGTGAAATCAAAATTTTTGGGTTAAATAGTCAAACAGACATATTTTTTGTCATCAACCATGGCCATCTTTATTATGTTGTTAGTCATGAATATTTGTTGATTGCTAGCGATAACAAATGGTAGCAGACACAATAGGCTTAGTTCAATAATTCCATTCTTTTTACAGTACATAAAATCACACTTTGTTCTTTTTTTCAAAATGACTAAAAGCTATTAATATATTTCCCACGGGCTTTTTTGTTTGAGGATGAGCATATAAGGTTTCAAGAGCAAAAGAATGCTATATATTAAGGAGACAAAGCCATCGCTAGTTTAAACATGTAGAATGTATATTATTAAACATTTTTTATATATTAAACATTTTTATATCGTCCCAATTTTAGAAATGATTTTTGATAATGAATAGAAATGATTTTTAAATTATACTACTCGAAACTGACGACATGAGTTGGCAATGGTCATTCAACAAACAAATTTATAATAGGATACTTCAGAATTATCCCACTATAAACCCATTAACTGAGGATTTTTTTTCTGGAAGATCCAATTAAATCCGCGAAAGCACGGCGACATATTCATTATCCGTTCAATAATGTTAAGAGCATCCTTAAACCTAATCCGAAAACATTAATAAAAAGCATTTATACGTAATCATTATCACGATATATGTTAACACTACATGTTACAAATGAACAACAATATAATTGAGAAACTATTCCAAGACTTTAGAAGACACGAGTGCAATGGAGCTCCTTTATGTTCCGTTCTGTAAAAATTAGCGTAGTTCAATCATATTTGAAAATAAGAATTGTTTGCATTAAATTAATAACAATGCTTTTTTGTCAAAGAAAGACAAAAAACAGAGCTTTCTTTGAAATTGTTTTTATAGTTCCTAAATGTTGCTTTTTTAAGATTTTTTCCTGAGAAATAATTGTTGCAATGCTTTCAGATTTAGCAGATTGGCTGAAACACACCTGACAAATTCGACAAAAGAATTTTACATAAAAGTTTTACCTTATACGGGAATGAACATTGTTTGTCCCAGTGAAGCGTCCGTTAACACGTGGCGATCACGCCCTTTGTATACGGATTCGCTGTATGAAAACCTGTGGCACGTGAACAAAGCGGGATACGACAAATGCGAAGTGAATGACGGCGGTAAACTTCTCTTGGTGTGCAATAATCCCAGTTATGTCAAAAAATTGCAGTTTGGATTTCATCCGCGATACTCAGCTAAAGAGCCAAGATTTATTCCGGGAAAACATTACTACTTTATAAGTAAGTGATTTCATTTTAGCAATAAATCCATTTCTATTCAAGTGGCTAGTGTAAGGTCCGTAAGTCCCATGCCCAACTAACTTTAATCGACTCTGACTAAATGATCAAAAAAACCATCACTTAATGTTTGTATATTGAAGGTACAAGCGTTGGTTATCCTGAGGATCTTCACACCCGGAAGACAAGTGGGCCTGATGGACATTGTTTAACCAATCACATGAAACTTCACATCTATGTTTGCAACCCTAAAGTTGGTAGGTAGCCAGACATGAAGGAGTCAAACATGTAGTGTTTCAAGTGTGAAAAAAACAAAACTTTTTGTGAATATTGCAAAATTAAAACTCATTCCTTGTTGTAATGACTCTATTTGAAGAAGTAGGTACATGTAAGTATATTACAGTATGTTTGTAATTCAGAGACATGCCTCTGGGAGCCACCAATATGCGAACCACCAAAAGAGATTCAATACCGAATGGAAATGATCAATGGTGTACTACAAAGACCAAGACTGCCAAGCCCACCAACAACTGAGAGCACATCACCAATAACTAAGTTGAAAAAAATAACAATTACTACGGGAGCAACATCTGAAGTTTTGCCCCCCTCAAACACTGCAATACAGAGAAGAATGTAAAGATGAAGGTAAAGATAATTTAGACTATTAACTGGATCTCTTTACCATGCTATGAGAGTAACTAGCTCGCTCAGTCAAAATTATCTGAGCATGCACAGTCCACTCAACCATTTGTCAGAGTTTATGGTCATGACATAGTAAAACTGGATTTACAAGTACCGATTCTAGAGTAAATAGGTCTCTTACTTTAAATCCAGCACAAAGCGATTGTGTAGCTGTGATTCTTTCATTTTCATTCGAGAGTATAAAATGTAAGTTTACAAGTTTAGTAGCTTAATTAGTTTTAAATTAAAGTGAACTATGAGTATACTACCACCTATTGATCTCATTTACCAAGACAATTTTTTTTTTGGTTCGTTTTATAGCTTCCGTTCATTTGGTGATGAATTTTGTTCTTGGTGGTGTCATACTGTTTTTGATTCTTATTGTCATATTGTTGGCTTGCGCTCTTTCGTAAGTATCATTGTATACTTGAAAACATAAAGCTCTACTATGCTGTCCACTAGGACTATTGATTACATCCTTGAGAAAAATGGTTGGTTAAGAGAAATTGCATCTGAGATTTATTTGTGGCATGAAAACATAGTAAAGCTAAGAAGTAACCTAAAATCAAACAAAGAAACGAGCACTTCCATTAATAGAAATTTAGAATGTAATTTATAGTTGTATTACTTTTGTTTTACGTTGACTGGTCAAATAAGGATTTCTATCGGCAATCATATTGAAATGGGTTGTTTCTTAACTTACAGAAGAACGACAAAACAGTGCACATTGAAAAGAGCCAAATCAACGGAATCAAAACAAACAAGAATGTGCGAAAGCGTTCCAGTGCAGCTACCACCCAACATGGTACCAATTGGATCGGCTCACGGTGATTACATGGTTTATACAAGACCAGCCACGTCTGATTCACTAAGCCAGGCAAACATAAGGACACCATCTTATCATAACTATGAAGCACCGATGTTTTGTTTCCCGGATGTTTCATCACAGAGGAGTAGAGGAGACTCAATACAAAGAAGCCTGGCAGGCTCGACCCATGCAAGATGTGCAACAGAACAAGGTCTCTCAGACGTGTGATCAAATTGATTTGATGTCATCGTCACTATCAAGCCAAAGTGGATCATTCGCCCTTGCATTTCAAGAAAGTTTTATGGTAAACGATAAGGAAGTGGGATTGAAAAAATATGGGCTAGAAATCAAGATTTCAAGAGGCGATCCTAAAAGGTTTCAGCGAGTTTCGTAAGTTGATGTTTACATTTGATAGAGCAAATAAATAGAGATAGATGAACAGAACTGAGTAAAGTAGCATAAACAGATTTTTTAGAAACATTAGTAAATATCTTCATAGAGCTGTAGGCTTCTTCTCATAAAATGACTGCAATACACACCCATTCATACACTGTAAAATCAATAATTGTACGTTTCCATGAATTATTTCCTTAAAGTTACATTTGAGAATACTGTAAATAGTAATTTGTACAATCCATAGAGATAAGTGTTTTCCCAATTAAATGTTTTTAAAGGTGAAAAAATGCCATTTCGTCAAAGGTATACATATATTTTTAAAAAACTTGGATACGGTTGTTACCCGTATCCACGACCACTATATCCCCAGCATCGCTTATTGCAACACCACAAGGATTTTTGAAGTATCCCACGTTTTCACCATATGATCCCAAGTGCACAACAAACTTTCCCTCACTGTCAAACACTTGAATTCTATGGTTGTGATTATCACAAACCAAAATATTGCCTTCGTCGTCCACAGCAACACCTTCTGGGCCGTCAAACTGAGAATCCCTGGTACCTGAACATTTTTGCTATTAGTAAATTTTACAAGCGTGTAAAGCGTGAATATTACAATAATTTTCGTAGAATATTGCAAGAAGCTTAGAAATTTACTAGTTCAAAATTCAAAATCAGACTGGCTATTAGGCTTAAACAAAACAAACGCAAAGGAGTGTGTTATTTGACAGTTTTCATTATTCAGAATCACCTAAAATATTTTGTATGTCCTTCGTACCTTCCTCGCCAAAGGACGTCTGAAACTCAAAGTCCTTGTTAAAAACTTGAATTCTATCGTTGACACAATCCGACACAAAACAAACACCTTTGTTATTAAAAACTAGGTGATGCGGATAAAGGAATTGTCCTTTTCCACTGCCTTGAGCTCCGAAGATGTGCAGTAACTGGCCATGAAGCGAAAAAAATTGAATGCGATGATTATTCTGCTCCGTAACGCCTATCATCTCTATCGCATTTGAATATGCTACCCCGCATGGACAGGATAGTTGTCCTAAATATACCAGTAAATACTTTGTTAAAATACGCAAAATATGAAATTATTTCACAAATGATTTTGCAACAAACTTTGACTTATAACACCTTTATCACTTCCCTGCGACCCAAACAGCCTCATGAATCTACCATCTTCGTTGAAGATTTGCACACGATGATTGTCTGAGTCGGCAACTATGATATAACCTTTTGAGAGTACGCAACTCCTTTGGGGCTCTTAAACTCCCCTTCATTAACTCCCTCATTTCCAAACTTGAACAGAAAGCCTCCGTGAATATCAAAAACCTATTGGGAGGTTTTCCAAAAAAACAATTAACAACAAAAAACCAATTCATGTTTCACAGTAATTCTCAATAAAAATATTTTGAAAGAACGTCATCAATAACTTGTAACAATAAACGCGTTGTGAAAAGGCATTATACATGGCATAAGGTGACTTCTCATTGCTCTATCACAGAGAAAGCAAAAATTGGCAAAGTTCTACCCAACGTAAAACCAGATTTTCCGCCGTATGAAGCTATGTTTCACACAACATGAGCTTATCTAACATGTAATACCACCATTAGTTAAGTTACTTTTACATCCTTTTCCAAAAGTGATACGCCATGTTTATCACAAATGCATTAGACCTTTGAATTTTTTGATTACCTGAATACGGTGATTACCCTCATCGCTGATGATCACGTATTCACGTTCATTGTCAATGGCAACACCCCAAGGCATCTTGAATTCTCCACCTCCTCCTCCTTGTGCACCAAATGATCGTGTTGTGTTACTTAGACGGTGATAATCAACACGTCCGCTGACCATAATATTGAATGGACTACCTTTAATTGGCTTTTCTCTCAAGTTTACGTGAATGGTGTGTTTACCACGCAGCTTTGGGATGTAAGACACGAAATATGTGCCATCGTTGTTGTCCACAACTGAGCCTGCAATAATGAAAAAGCATTTCTCCTACTCTTTCTTTACATCCAAGAATTTTCCTAAATGTTCTGCCGTTTTCTAGCAATCCAATTTCATTCCAAAGGAGCTGCATGAAAATAATTTCAAAGAGCGAAGTCTACCTTCAAACTTCACACCATCTTCCTGCTCGACATTGACAGAAATGCGGTCACCACCATATTCATATGGTTTTCTGTTGCGATCAACGGTTGTAACTTGGAAGACTGCCTCAACATCTGCCTTAGCTTTATGAAGGCCAATTCCCGTGGCGGAGCAGAAGAAAGGCACCGTAGAAAAAGCTCTAATGTGACCTGCATGCTGAAAACACAAAATGAAAACGTTTTACAGCTCGGGCACTGTAATCTTCATTAATCCATCTAGATAAATAATACGGTAGTCAGCATATTTTACACTTACCTGAATAGCTCTACGAAATTCATCGGTAAAGAACTCATATTCAATGGAGTCATCCTCCAATGGTTCAAATTCCATGTGTGTGTTTTGTAATTCACCAAGTCTTTTCGTAAGCTGCTTTTTCACGAGCATAACTTCGGCCTCATTACCGTGTTCTAAGACGTTCTCAGAGAACTGACAACTACTAGAAATGCTAGATAACAGTGTCTCCAAGTTCTCCTTTTGCAAACCAAGATTTTTGCACTTAATTCTACACTCATTATCTACGAACACAAGAAGTTCTTCTTCTTTCTCCTTCAAAACTTCGACACATTTTGAAAAATTCTTGGTAATTTCCTAATTGGAGTACAAATATACTTAGGTCGAGTTGTTTACTATCATAGTATATAATATAACAAAAGCATATAAGCCCTACAATTTGTCTAGCTCAAAATAATGCAGTAAAATAAAAGTAAAATGTTAATAGTAAAGAGTTTTAGTGTTCACTAAAATGACAAACTTGTAAAGCATACCTTGAATTACGCAACACACTCCGACAACTTACTTGTTGAATTCCTTGCCTTTTAGCATTCACGCGTTCAATAAGCCTCGTGACATTAGAAATGGCTTTCTCAAGGGATCCTATTTGAGAATTCGTGTTTTCGACCAACAACCTTACCTAAAGCAACGTATAACATTAATTGAAGAGGGCATTTGGACTAAAATTGTGAATGGTATTATTTTACTATGTGTTGAGCTGAACATTGATATTCTCAAATACAGTAATTGTATAAAATGCCAAGTCGGAAGTTACCCAACAAAAAATAGAAAATATTATACTGCATGACACTGTACCTGTCTACACGACACAACCCACCTGTTGTCTCTGTTTCATACTAACATCTTTCAAGTAGCCATAATCATGTTCTCTATGCTCCATAATGAGACATTCCCTACAAACAGGATCGTCACATGTTTTGCAATAATATTTCAATATTTCACGATCATGTTGACTGCAATACAACGGTCGATGCATCTTTTCTTGAACACTTGCAGTTTGCATATCCTTCAGGGCAAGGACCTCGTGATCTTTGGTGAGTTTGGTCCGCTTGTGAGCGGCAAGACATTGTTCGCATAAAAACTCGACACAATCCCCACAGCGTGCTACGGCATGGATGCCATCTTGACAATTGGTGCAGTCTATCGGCTTGGATGCAAACGATTGGATAGAGATGAAGTCCAGCATGTTGTTAATGAAGAAATTTGTTGGAAGCTCTTGGACCCCACCAGGTGGAAGGTTGATCTCGTTGCGGCATGTAGGACAAAGAATTAACGCCTCGCCATCTTTCGAAATCTTTTTTAGGCATTTTTGACAGAAGGAGTGAAGGCATGGTAGAATTTTTGGCTTGTCAAATGTTTCCAAACAAACAGGACATTTCAGAAGTTGCTCCGATAATTGGCTGATATTGACTGTCGCCATGGAGAATTGAATTTTTTGATCCTGAACTAACTTCAAATAATTATCTTTTTATTGGACTGAATACTCTCTTCATTCAATAGCTCTGCGTGCAGCATGAGCTTATGCATTCACCTGGCTTGTTTGATAACAAATACACGTCACTATGAAGCTATTAGGTACATTGTCAATAAAGATCAGCATCTTTTCCTCTCAACGATTGCTTCAAAATGATAACTTAGCTATTACGTTGCTATATTTTCTCCAGGTACACGCAGCACGCACTACTGCATTTCTTTACTGTGGAATTGTTACAGCAGCTCTTTCGACTATATTCTGCAGTAAAACAATTATGTGGTGGACACGATTATATACTGGTTCTGGTCTGTATTGTTGAGTAACAGTAAAATGACTTGTTTCCTTCTTCGAAAGCTTACATTTTCACTGTTCTCATGTGAAGCACAATTGCTACAAAGTTTGATAGCATGGCTGCTTTAAGTTTGACTTGTATTTTCGTTCGCATCATAATTTCATTCAAAGATTAAAATAGAAATGATTCATTTACCTTAATTCCAGAAATGTCTTCTGAAAAATGCTTTTAAATGTAATTCTGTTCACCTCTACTTTGATTGATTGCACGTGTTTTTGAGTGTCATCGAGGATCAATGTCAAAAATTTCATCGTATATTGTAAATGGATAGTGCAGAAAATTATGTGCTTAAAAATTCCTTCGCATTTGCAGGTGGTACAACTTTTAAATTCAAAATAGCTTTCTTTACACCTGTCATATAAATATATATAGCCATTTAGTATTGCTCTCTCTAATTCGCACGTCTACAAACAGTTTTTGAAAAAAATATATTTCTAAGTCTTCAAAAATTGCAAATCTGTCTTTTGAGATAACAAACTTGTCAATTGCACTAGCCCACTGATGTTGAAATACCCTAAGTGTTTAGAACGTAATGAAAATCGTTCGAGCAAGTGCCAAAAGCACTATGCTTATATTTTCCTATTAATTAACAATTTAGTTGAACATAAAAAAGTTGATTGGCTCAATTGTTCTTACATTTTCCTCAACCCCCCCGTTTTTCCTGCTATTTCAGAAAAAGCAAGAAAGCTTTCTTATTTAAAGAAAGTAATGCAGGGGCGAAACTAGGACGCTGGTTGGGGGGGATATTGATGAATTCAGCTCTGTCCAAATGATTTGTTTAGAAAATTATTGCCATTTCAGAAGAAATCAGTTATGTAGACCTAAAAACATGAATACCCCCCATAATTAGCGTTAAAGTTTTGCCCATGGAAGAATGATAATTGTCACGAATTCACGCTATGGATGTATCGGCAATTACATTATAACAAGCACGTTTTGCATGCAAATTCTCGCACTGCAAAGATACATTAGAATTTTACAGTTGTTACACAAAACATTCTGAATGAAGAATATTTTCACTTATTCCTTCAGAGTAAACATAGGGCAAAGTTTATCGTAAATTTTCGTTGTATTCAACGAATTGTTGAATTTACCATAAAGTGGCATGAGAACAATGCATGCACGACAAGCAAAGGTTTGTTTATCGCTACAATATTCCCTATTACTTCAACTGCTTCGCTGTAAAAAATAAAACTCTGAATTCTTGATGCATATTTTTGAATTCACCATTGAATCGAATGGTAAATCAAGAACGTTTTCAGGTCGTCACAACGTGTAGGTCGCTACAAAATTAATTATCGACTATAATACAAACGAAACTAACCTTTAAAGAAAAAATAAAAACATCTCTAACATTACCATTGATATTACGAGTAGCCTAACAAAGTGTTGATGAGTTTGATATGCATCATGTAAAAACAAGCTAAAAAACACAAAGAGCATGCCATAAATATATGACTGAAAAGTTGCTAAGGAGATGTTTGCAAATACAACAATCGAAAGTTTCTACCTGCAAATGAACGGGAACTAATCCTTCTACAATCTCACGGAGAAGCCGCCACATTTTCTGCTAGTCCTTGTACTATCCCTCGTTAACAACATTCCTTGGAGTAATCTTCTCACAATACTTCATTTATATACAAAGTTTGCATAGTACACTTTGAATCTTGTTGCAATCTCTTGTAATTTGATGTAGTATTTTTGACATGCGTGTCTACCGTCGGAATGGTGGATTGTTCATGTTTCAAAAACAAGGTGGATTGTTTATGTTGACAAGGTCCACATATAAAGATCTAAATTAGAATTCCAGCCTTGAGTACGTGAACATTACACTCTGCAGAACTAAGCAAGAACAGATTTCCTCATGACGCTCTACACATAACAACTTTCATTGAACTTTTTACTTTGTGATGAAAGGTAATATAAATGAATTTGTGATCGGCAGCAAGAGACATGCTGATCAGATGGAGAGAATAATTGCCAAGTAGCACAATTATGCCAGATAACTCGGCAACTAAACAAAGTAGAATATGATTGGTCAAACGAAAAGTCGGTCGTCTACCAAGACACCCCTACAATTTGATCCGCCCCCTTGTAGAGTCACATGTTATCCTTTCGCAATTGAACATAAAGAAGAAAAAATCTACAGATTTATTTCTATCAATGAAGAAAGCGAGGAAGGTGATAGTTAGCAATATTAAAGATGTCTGGAGGTGGAAAAGTGAAAGCGAAGGGAACAAAATCAAAGACTCGTCCATCAAGAGCCGAACTTCAATTTCCTGTTGGTCGTATTCATCGTCGGTTGAGAAAAGGCAACTATGCCGAGAGAGTTGGTGCTGGTGTTCCAGTTTATTTGGCTGCAGTTCTCGAGTATTTGTCTGCTGAGTTAGCAGGAAACGCAGCTCGTGATAACAAGAAGAGAATTATTTCCAAGACATTTACAATTGGCCGTAAGAAAGGATGAAGAATTAAATAAATTGTTGTCAAATGTCATTATCCCTCAAGTGGAGGTACTGCCTAACATTCAAGCTGTTCTCCTACCCAAGAGAACTGGAGAAAAGAAAGCCTAAATGTCGGATAGAACAAACCAACAACGGCTCTTTTAATAGCCACCAAATTTATAAAAGAACAAAAGTTTCGAATGCCAAGTCCTGTCTTGTACACATAAGTATGTAATTCGCATATAAATGACAAAGTCAAAATCCTAGAACAACAATAAGCTAGCGTCCTCGAACTCCTGCTATGCAAATAGTTTAGTGTCCACTGGCCGTGAATACAATAGATTTCTAAAGTAATGGATAATGGTAATCCTTCCAAATTTACAAAGCGGCAGTAAATCTGCAGGCTGGCTACACTACTGTCATCTCTGAACATCTCTTCTGAACATAACTGAAACGCTCGATCTCTTACAGTAACTCTAAGTTAGAGTTACTAAGTTTTTCCTTTGAATAGAAGTTGCTTCTATTGAAAGGAAAACCTTCAAGAGGCTATATGCTAAGACCAGACAACTGTATCATGTCATTCCAAAGAATATTCTACCAATCGAATTGCTTTTCAGGTACTTTCAGTAAGATATTCTTGTACATTGTACAAGAATGAGCTGTCCGTCAGATTAACAATAATTGATCCACCACTGTTCATGCTAAGACTTCTATCATTTCATTGGATAAATTCATGAAATGAAATACGATAGGAGCTTAAATTAATCAATTATAAAACAGGATATGTATCTAGTTTATAGAAGTCATTTCCATTGTAACAAATAAAAATTACGTAGCACAATGACGCAAGAAAAATTATGTTTTTTTCTTTGTGCAATAATGGTTTGCACAATGATTTCAATTCAAAATATCAGAGCAAGTTATGCTAATCATATCGTAGACATTGATACAGATCAATGCGTGTGGAAAACAGACGAGAAATTCCTCTCCATTGCTTTGGATTCAAGTTTAATTCGTGAAAGATTTCATCCAAATTTTGACTTCTCTTCCATCAAGCTTCAGACTCTAGCGAAAGGATTGTCGCCAGCTTACCTCAGAATAGGCGGAACAAATGGAGATTTTCTTTTGTTTGATCCAGATGAAAACAGCCACCTCTCAACACGCACATTCAAGGAAAATTCTGACCAAAAAACTGCTTATAATGGTTGGACAAACTTCACTATGACAACAAAAGACGTGGATAACTTGTTTTCATGGGCTTATAACAATGATTTAAAAGTAATTTTTGGCTTAAATATTCTCCAGCGAGATTCCAAAACTAATCTATGGAACTCTACCAACGCTCAACAGTTGATGAAGTATCTTATAAGTCGTGGATTTACTTGTGATTGGGAGCTAGGGAACGAACCGTTCGATCTCCAGAAGTTCAATAGGACAATAAGCGGAAAACAATTAGCTGAAAATTTTAGAATCCTTCGCAAACTACTGAACAAATATCCTGAATATGGGAACATGATTGCTGGACCTGACGTATCATCTCCATGGAAATCACCTTTGAGATCCTCATACTTTAAAGAATTCTTGGAGAACATTAATGATAACATAGATGCATTGACCTATCATCAATACTATAACAATAACAAGGCTACTATTTCAATGTTTTATGATGTAAGTATTCTTGATAGACTCATTAAGGAAATAAACACACTAAAACTTATATTTGAAAACTCCAAAGCTTCCATCAAGGAACTTTGGTTGGGGGAGACATCAAATACCTATGATGGGGGTGTTCCAGGTGTATCAAACAGTTACATAGCTGGCTTTATGTGGTTGGATAAGTTGGGCTTGGCAGCTAGAAGTGGACACAGTGTTGTAATAAGACAAACATTTTATGGAGGTTCATATGATCTTGTTGATCAAAATACATTTGACCCCTTTCCTGATTACTGGTCCTCTTACTTGTACAAAATGCTCGTTGGACAGCGTGTATTAAAAGTTGTTGAAGGTATGTCTTTGGGTCGAGCTCTTCGAGTGTATGCTCATTGTATTTCTCAGAAATCAGGCTACACTTCTGATAGTATTGTACTCATTGCTCTTAATACTAAACATACTGAAGCAAAGATAATATTGACAAAAAAATTTGAAAAGTTGACAATACATCAGTATTTGTTGACACCATGTGAAACTGGCAACCTTACATCTCAGAAAGTGAAATTAAATGGCAAGCTGTTGGAAATGTTAAACAACAAAACATTACCACATCTTCAACCTAAACCCATATCAGCAGACAATATCATTTTACCACCAGTGTCGTATGGTTTCTACGTAATTCTTGAAACACAGCTGCAGGTTTGCAAGATGCCTTGCAGTAAGAAGAATTTCAAAGCTAAGAATGTTTTGCATGTTTAATTTGATTCAAGTAAAGAATGGAAAAGTTTCTTGTGCATTGTTGAAAATGAAAGTTTAGCCATTTGGAGAAATAATAAATGTAGCTTTATAATCAATTTATAGAAAATATTAAACTTGGTTACATATCACAGCAACTTTTACAAATGGATTGCCACTACTAGCAATCCTACTATTCTACTACATTTTTAGTATGAGAGGATAGACTTGTTCAACTGTGATAATAATTACTATTAAAAATACAGTTTATATATCTGATAAATTTTGCATTGTCTTATAAAAAAAGTTAGAAGTGGCTTCTACACCTTCTGCAAGCTACATTTTGTAAATTGAAAATTCATTGACTATTCAATATTTTAGTGATGTACAGTTTTGTACACATCTACCAGAACTTTGATTAAACGGTATTTTCTGGTTCAGGCAACGTTCATACTGTAGTAAGAACGTACAAGAAAACAACGAAATATTGATGGGAAAATATCATTCAAATCCAGGATACAATTCATAGCTAAACCGTGGGAATTCGTCACGAATGCTATGCACGAAACCTTGTTTTCAAATGCTTTTTGAGCAATTTTATCTAATTTTTTCACAGTAGACTAGACGAGAACCATGCACATTGCTTGAAAGCCAACGATTTGTCGATATCAAAGAAAAAATATCAACAACACGAGCAATAATAGATCTCTAAGTTAACAAAGAAAAAACTCACACTTTTCGTTTGCACTTTCTACCAACAATGACTGGCCACATAAAGGATGAAAAAAGCTGTAAAATACGCCAACATTTTTCTTCTCGAAACGACCAAAGGCAATGGCTGCCTGTCCTTTTTTTGCAAAAAGAGCGGGAATATCGAAATGTTAATAATTATTGTTACATCAAGTAACGCATACACACCCAACAACCGAGAGTTTATTGGGGGTACAAATTCCTTGGGTACACAAATGGTACAAACTAAATAAAATTTAACAAGCATTAATTATTTACATAAGTAGAAATTTTTAAAAATTTAGTACAATGTATTTAACATCCATCTCGCCATGAATGAGGGAAAAAATCGATCAGTAACTGTGGACGACAATCGAATACCAATTTCCCGTCAGAAGTTCGAAGTTAGTAGATGCCTTTTTTTGTAAGGATTATAACTTTCTCTCTTCGTCTCTATTTTAGATTATAAATTAAGTTAGTGAGAAATGCCTACGATGACTGCCATTCACATTCTAATTCAAACATTTCTTGAATCTCTGTTGAAGTCAATTCTTGAATCTCTGTTAAAGTCAATTCTGGAATCTCTGTTAAAATCAATTGTAGAATCTCTGTTAAAATCCTCATCCAGAGGTAATGCACTCATTGGCCTCTCGTTGTACAGTTTCGAGGTGAATGCCATAGGCTTTGACTTGCGTTTACTAAAAGAATAATCACTCAATACAACAAATAACAGATAATAATAAGCTTTGGTCAATAAAATGGATATCTAACGTTAATCAAATACAACCAACGACGATCAATAATCAGCATAAATATCATTAAGGGTGAGTAGATGATAAACATTAACAATAAGGATCAATCATTAAGGGTGAATAGATGATAAACATTAACAATAAGGATCAATCATTAAGGGTGAATAGATGATAAACATTAGCAATAAGGATAATTGAGGATATATAAACTTTCAGTGAGGTCTTACCGTCGAGTTATTAAGACATAGATGAGCGACAAAGCCAGAATCAAGACTATCAACGACATAGTGATATGAATAATGATATGTTTCCTGGGTGCTCCCCACACTAATAAGAAAAGAAAATTCAACTGTCAGCTTACTACATGCTGCCCTTCAAAAAAATATACATTTAAAAATATCAAACATACTGCTTTCTTGAGATGAATGCTGCTCAGCTTTTGAAGACAGCGAAGTTTTTGCCTTTTTCTTCAACATTTCAATTGCTTGCCTTTGAGATTCCGTGGTACTCAAGATACGGTTTTTGTGGTTTAAGTGGTTTTTGCTGTTGATGCGGGCAGAGTCATATTTAACTTTGTGGTAGTCGTTGTAGCGAGCGTAGTAGAAGTTGTAGTTGTAGTTTTTTTGCCGACAGATGAGTATGGACATTTTGGTTGAATGAAAGGACAAGGATCTAAACGAAAGTTTTAAACTTAAAATTTTCCATTTTTTGTTCAAATCATCACCCAATTAAGGACAGCAAGAAACAGATAAAATTTCCTCCAAAACTCATTTTCAATAAAGAAAGAAAATTGGAATTTAATTGTTCGGAGAAAGATATTTAAATACTAGTAAACAGTAGGTATTGAGAACAAAAGACTTTCTGAAGTTGACTTACTTCATTTAAAAGCTTAATACAAACCTGAATCATGACAAACTTTAATTTTCAGTTTCATATGATGTGTTTTACAGCGTCCTCCACTTAAATTATTCACACTTTCCTTTGAATCATTTGACGTTGCTAGAAAAAATTGTTCTATAGCTTGAAGATGTGAGCCAGAAAACATTGTCAAAGACTTAAATGGTCGTAAATTGTCGGGAAGCTAGGACCGAAAACGGGTTTTTTGCTTTCGAATTTTATCTTTTTGTTTTACTTCTCATAAAATAAACCAAGCAATGTTTCAATTTACTTCTTCTGACAGTGTGCCTTTTTCTGACACTTATAATTTAAGACAACCTTAAATACGTTTTATACAATTTTTATTGGTTTATATCTTTCTGATTGAACTCTCTCATTTACTGTTTCTCGTGTATCACGAGCAAACCATCCATGGGCTTCATGGCAAACAAGGATTATCTGCTTCACTTGATTAACATGCGACGCTCTAGTGCTTAACTATCTCGGGGTATCGGGAGGCATGGACCGAAAACGCGATATTTTGTTTTCGAAATTTGTCGTTTTTCTTTACAAGAATTGTTCTCATAAAAGAAACTAGAACATCCAAGGATACTGCAAAGTTTCTAACAACTTCTGCCTTTTTGACTTATAATTCAAACCAACTCTAAGCATGTTTATAAGTTTTTTACTTGTTGCGTTTTACAATGAAACATTCTCATAAATCTATCGTGATGAACGAGAGCCTCCTTATACAATATAACTCTCTCATCGTGAACAAAAGCATCCGAGGGCTTAACGGAAAAAGGGACTATCTACTTTTTTTATAATAGTTTCTGCAAAGATAACATTTAGTACGCCAAGCAATTTTTATCGTCTAAATTGAACCTCGCTTTCAACCCTTATGTTATAAAATTTTGATTCATTTTGGATAGTAAATTTCTTTTTACCTTACAATATTTTCATGATTCAATCTGGAAAGTAACTTCCCTTCTCGAAAAATTTTGATATTAAGCAGCACATATTTCGGATTCAAAGGAATTCTTTTGATCGCACAGAAACAGCCGTCCAATTTATTACGTACCTAAGCGCATATAAGCATTTCCAAATAACGTACAAAATTTCCTTCGCGTGATCAATTTACCGCCTATTTAAACAATGTATGTAATAAAAAGTTACCTCGACAACTGAAGCAAACCCTCCTTTTTCCAAGCATTTGCAACACCTCAAATTCATTGCAAACTCTTGAATTTCTCAATGCGTAGCCGAAAGGATAATGCATACAGTTTGCAAATACAACAATCGAAAGTTTCTACCTGCGAATGAACGGGAACTAATCCTTCTACAATCTCACTGAGAAGCCGCCACATTTTCTGCTAATCCTTGTACTATCCCTCGTTAACAACATTCCTTGGAGTAATCTTCTCACAATACTTCATTTATATACAAAAAGTTTGCATAGTACACTTTGAATCTTCTTGCAATCTCTTGTGGTGATTGCTTCTTCTTCACTTTCGAAATCAACATTCTACTCCTAAAAGAAAGACGCTTGTAGTTATTTTTACATATCTTCAGGAACATCATGAACAGTTCCCACTACAATATACCACATGAGCCAACGAGCTTCCAAACTCTATATGTGACTCACTGATATTTCATTTGAACATATCTTCAGTAGACTCGGTGTTATTAATAGTTCTTTTTATATTGGAGCCTCGTCCTGCCTGGAGCTTTTACTGTCGTAAACATGCTTGGAATCATTCGTGCTTTTATTACTGTTCAACGAGTCCTCGTCCAAAATTCTCTAGTGTACGCTAGGTGCTTCAACTACTTTGAATTCATCAAGCTATCTTTAATTTGGCGTCGTTGTTTCTCCTCTGTCATACTAGATTTTGTTTCACTGTTGGAAGTTTCATTTTCAAGTATCTCTTCTACTTCAATCCACGAATTAGAATATCTGTCATAATTATTACAGCATTGTTTATGCACAAAATATGCAGATACAAAGTTATGGAGAAAAAATAAAAACATCTCTAACATTACCATTGATATTACGAGTAGCCTAACAAAATGCTGATGAGTTTGATATACATCATGTAAAAACAAGCTTAAAAAGACAAAGAAATAAATATATCATAAATATGTAATTGTTATGACTTCTACCTTTATAAATAATCGTTAAGAATAACTAGAATTAGATTCACGAATGCCCCAAAAGTAAAAAGCATCTCGTAACGATTTTATTGCCCCTATTCTATATAAACATTACTATGTCCGACCATTTGATCGTCCAAATTTTGTAATTTGATGTAGTATTTTTGACATGTGTGTCTACCGTCGGAAAGGTGGATTGTTCATGTTTCAAAAACAAGGTGGATTGTTTATGTTGACAAGGTCCACATATAAAGATCTAAATTAGCATTCCAGCCATGAGTACGTCAACATTACACTCTGCAGACCTAAGCAAAGAACAGATTTCCTCATGATGCTCTATACATAACTATCATTGAACTTTTTACTTTGTGATGAAAGGTAATATAAATGAATTTGTGATCGGCAGCAAGAGACATGCTGATCAGATGGAGAGAATAATTGCCAAGTAGCACAATTATGCCAGATAACTTGGCAACTAAACAAAGTAGAATATGATTGGTCAAACGAAAAGTCGGTCGTCTACCAAGACACCCCTACAATTTGATCCGCCCCCTTGTAGAGTCACATGTTATTCTTTCCCAAATGAATATAAAGAAGAAAAAATCTACAGATTTATTTCTATCAATGAAGAAAGCGAGGAAGCCGATAGTTAGCAATATTAAAGATGTCTGGAGGTGGAAAAGTGAAAGCGAAGGGAACAAAATCAAAGACTCGTTCATCAAGAGTTGGTGCTGGTGCACCAGTTTATTTGGCCGCTGTTCTGGAGTAATTGTCTGCTAAATCCTTGAGTTTGAAATTTATAAAAGAACAAAAGTTTCGAATGCCAAGTCCTGTCTTGTACACATAAATATGTAATTCGCATATAAATGACAAAGTCAAAATCCTAGAACAACAATAAGCTAGCGTCCTCGAACTCCTGCAATGCAAATAGTTTAGTGTCCACTGGCCGTGAATACAATAGATTTCTAAAGTAATGGATAATGGTAATCCTTCCAAATTTACAAAGCGGTGTAAATCTGCAGGCTGGCTACGCTACTGTCATCTCTGAACATCTCTTCTGAACATAACTGAAACGCTCGATCTCTTACAGTAACTCTAAGGTAGAGTTACTAAGTTTTTCCTTTGAATAGAAGTTGCTTCTACTCAAAGGAAAAACCCTCAAGAGGCTATATGCTAAGACGAGATAACTGTATCATGTCATTCCAAAGAATATTCTACCAATCGAATTGCTTTTCAGGTACTTTCCGTAAGATATTCTTGTACATTGTACAAGAATAAGCTCTCTGTCAGATTGACAATAATTGATCCACCACTGTTCATGCTAAGACTTCTATCATTTCAATTTCACATTGGATAAATTCATGAAATGAAATACGATAGGAACTTAAATTAATCAATTATAAAACAGGATATGTATCTGGTTTATGGAAGTCATTTCCATTGTAACAAATAAAAATTACGTACACAATGACGCAAGAAAAATCATGTTTTTTTCTTTGTGCAATAATGGTTTGCACAATGATTTCAATTCAAAATATCAGAGCAAGTTATGCTAATCATATCGTAGACATTGATACAGATCAATGCGTGTGGAAAACAGACGAGAAATTCCTCTCCATTGCTTTGGGTTCAGGTTTAATTCGTGAAAGATTTCATCCAAATTTTGACTTCTCTTCCATCAAGCTTCAGACTCTAGCGAAAGGATTGTCGCCAGCTTACCTCAGAATAGGCGGAACAAATGGAGATTTTCTTTTGTTTGATCCAGATGAAAACAGCCACCTCTCAACACGCACATTCAAAGAAAATTCTGACCAAAAAACTGCTTATAATGGTTGGACAAACTTCACTATGACAACAAAAGACGTGGATAACTTGTTTTCATGGGCTTATAACAATGAATTAAAAGTAATTTTTGGCTTAAATATTCTCCAACGAGATTCCAAAACTAATCTATGGAACTCTACCAACGCTCAACAGTTGATGAAGTATCTTATAAGTCGTGGATTTACTTGTGATTGGGAGCTAGGGAACGAACCGTTCGATCTCCAGAAGTTCAATAGGACGATAAGCGGAAAACAATTAGCTGAAAATTTTAGAATCCTTCGCAAACTACTGAACAAATATCCTGAATATGAGAACATGATTGCTGGACCTGACTTATCATCTCCATGGAAATCACCTTTGAGATCCTCATACTTTAAAGAATTCTTGGAGAACATTAATGATAACATAGATGCATTGACCTATCATCAATACTATACCAATAAGAAAGCTACTGTTTCAAAGTTTTATGATGTAAGTATTCTTGATAGTCTCATTAAGGAAGTAAACACACTAAAACTTATATTGGAAAACTCCAAAGCTTCCATCAAGGAACTTTGGTTGGGGGAGACATCAAGTGCCTATGGTGGAGGTGTTCCAGGTGTATCAAACAGTTACATAGCTGGCTTTATGTGGTTGGATAAGTTAGGCTTGGCAGCTAGAAGTGGACACAGTGTTGTAATAAGACAAACATTTTATGGAGGTTCATATGATCTTGTTGATCAAAATACATTTGACCCCTTTCCTGATTACTGGTCCTCTTACTTGTACAAAATGCTCGTTGGACAGCGTGTATTAAAAGTTGTTGAAGGTATGTCTTTGGGTCGAGCTCTTCGAGTGTATGCTCATTGTATTTCTCAGAAATCAGGCTACACTTCTGATAGTATTGTACTCATTGCTCTTAATACTAAACATACTGAAGCAAAGATAATATTGACAAAAAATTTTGAAAAGTTGACAATACATCAGTATTTGTTAACACCATGTGAAACTGGCAACCTTACATCTCAGAAAGTGAAATTAAATGGCAAGCTGTTGGAAATGTTAAACAACAAAACATTACCACATCTTCAACCTAAACCCATATCAGCAGACAATATCATTTTACCACCAGTGTCGTATGGTTTCTACGTAATTCTTGAAACACAGCTGCAGGTTTGCAAGATGCCTTGCAGTAAGAAGAATTTCAAAGCTAAGAATGTTTTGCATGTTTAATTTGATTCAAGTAAAGAATGGAAAAGTTTCTTGTGCATGTTTAAAATGAAAGTTTAGCCATTTTTATAGAAAGAATAAATGCAGCTTTATAATCAATTTATAGAAAATATTAAACTTGGTTACATATCACAGCAACTTTTACAAATGGATTGCCACTACTAGCAATCCTACTATTCTACTACATTTTTAGTATGAGAGGATAGAGTTGTTCAACTGTGATAATAATTACTATCAAAAATACAGTTTATATATCTGACAAATTTTGCATTGTCTTATAAAAAAAGTTAGAAGTGTAGTAAGTACGTAGAAGAAAACAAATTTTGCATTGTCTTATAAAAAAAGTTAGAAGTGTAGTAAGTACGTAGTAAGTACGTAGAAGAAAACAACGAAATATTGATGGGAAAATATCATTCAAATCCAGGATACAATTCATAGCTAAACCGTGGGAATTCGTCACGAATGCTATGCACGAAACCTTGTTTTCAAATGCTTTTTGAGCAATTTTATCTAATTTTTTCACAGTAGACTAGACGAGAACCATGCACATTGCTTGAAAGCCAAAGATTTGTCGATATGAAAGAAACAATATCAACAACACGAGCGATAATAGATCTTTAAGTTAACAAAGAAAAAACTCACACTTTTCGTTTGCACTTTCTACCAACAATGACTGGCCACATAAAGGATGAAAAAAGCTGTAAAATACGCCAACATTTTTCTTCTCGAAACGACCAAAGGCAATGGCTGCCTGTCCTTTTTTTGCAAAAAGAGCGGGAAATCGAAACGTTAATAATTATTGTTACACCAAGTAACGCATACACACCCAACAACCAAGAGTTTATTGGGGGTACAAATTCCTTGGGTACACAAATGGTACAAACTAAATAAAATTTAACAAGCATTAATTATTTACATAAGTAGAAAATTTTTAAAAATTTAGTACAATGTATTTAACATCCATCTCGCCATGAATGAGGGAAAAAATCGATCAGTAACTGTGGACGACTATCGAATACCAATTTCCCGTCAGAAGTTCGAAGTTAGTAGATGCCTTTTTTTGTAAGGATTGTAACTTTCTCTCTTCGTCTCTATTTTAGATTATAAATTAAGTTAGTGAGAAATGCCTACGATGACTGCCATTCACATTCTAATTCAAACATTTCTTGAATCTCTGTTGAAGTCATTTCTTGAATCTCTGTTAAAGTCAATTCTAGAATCTCTGTTAAAGTCAATTCTAGAATCTCTGTTAAAATCCTCATCCAGAGGTAATGCACTCATTGGCCTCTCGTTGTACAGTTTCGAGGTGAATGCCATAGGCTTTGACTTGCGTTTACTAAAAGAATAATCACTGAATACATCAAATAACAGATAATAATAAGCTTTGGTCAATAAAATGGATATCTAACGTTAATCAAATTCAACCAACGACGATTAATAATCAGCATAAAATATCATTAAGGGTGAGTAGATGATAAACATTAACAATAAGTTAACAATAAGGACCATTGTGGGTGAATAGATAATATACATTAACAACGAGGATTAATCATTAAGGGTGAATAGATGATAATACATAAGCAATAAGGATCATTGTGGGTGAATAGATAATAAACATTAACAATAAGGATCAATCATTAAGGGTGAATAGATGATAAACATTAACAATAAGGATCAATCATTAAGGGTGAATAGATGATAAACATTAGCAATAAGGATAATTGAGGATATATAAACTTTCAGTGAGGTCTTACCGTCGAGTTATTGAGACATAGATGAGCGACAAAGCCAGAATCAAGATTATCAACGACATAGTGATATGAATAATGATATGTTTCCTGGGTGCTCCCCACACTAACAAGAAAAGAAAATTAAACTGTCAGCTTACTACATGCTGCCCTTCAAAAAAATATACATCTAAGAATATCAAACATACTGCTTTCTTGAGATGAATGCTGCTCAGCTTTGAAGTCAGCGAAGTTTTGCCTTTTCTTCAACATTTCAATTGCTTGCCTTTGAGATTCCGTTGTACTCAAGATACGGTTTTTGGATGACGTCGTACGTTGTAAAGTGGTTTTTGCTGTTGATGCGGGCAGAGTCATATTTAACTTTGTGGTAGTCGTTGTAGCGAGCGTAGTAGAAGTTGTAGTTGTAGTTTTTTTGCCGACAGATGAGTATGGACATTTTGGTTGAATGAAAGGACAAGGATCTAAACGAAAGTTTTAAACTTAAAATTTTCCATTTCTTGTTCAAATCATCACCCAATTAAGGGAAGCAAGAAACAGATAAAATTTCCTCCAAAACTCATTTTCAATAAAGAAAATTGGAATTTAATTGTTCGGAGAAACATTTTTAAATACTAGTAAACAGTAGCTATTGAGAACAAAAGACTTTCCGAAGTGGACTTACTTCATTTAAAAGCTTAATACAAACCTGAATCATGACAAACTTTAATTTTCAGCTTCATATGATGTGTTTTACAGCGTCCTCCACTTAAATTATTCACACTTTCCTTTGAACCATTTGACGTTGCTAGAAAAAAATTTTTTTATAGCTTGATGATGTGAGCCAGAAAACATTGTCAAAGACTTAAATGGTCGTAAATTGTTTTTGCTGAAATTTTTTTATAATACCTATGAAGTAATAAGTCTTTCCACTTAAATATTTGATTTTATCCTGTATCGCTCTTTGTGGTGCAAATTTCTCAGTAATAAACCGAAGTTTTTTTGCATCGCCATCACACTTTAGTAAAAGCCGATTTAAACTTGGATTTCTCTTCTTGTTTACTGTACACGTGTCGTATCCCTCTTTATCCACTAGCATCAAGTTCTCGTACATCATAGACAAGTGGGGACCTGTAGCACTGATGTCATTCCACAGCGCAATGTTTGGACATACAAATGATACACTTCCGAATGGTTTAACATTAAATTCATAACCAGCTTCGTTTTCTTTGTTTAACTTGAATCTGCAAAATGTATAATAAAATTGAAATATAAACTGTTGAAGACACATGTCTTCGTTTCTTTTTAATCCCACCAATAAAGTAAATGGTTAGAACCCAGGAAGATCTCCATCAGAATACAAACATGTAATCCCACTTATACTATCATTTTGTTTCAACACTTTCATGATTAGAAATGTCAAAAGTGGAACACTTTTTTTTTCAGTGACAAATTTGCACTGCATGACCAAATACAGGTATGCTAGCCCACTGATCATGTTTCAAAGAAAATGGTTGACTAGAGCGAAAAGCTATTGTGTAATAAAAAACGTAAATAAACTCACAAACATTGAGCTTCCATGTGGATTGATGCCAACGGAATATGAGGTGTGTTTGGACACATTTTGATGGAAAATTTTACAACTCATGATATGAATGGAAAACTTTAAATCTCAAGCTAACGTCATATGTGTAAGATATATATCAAACACTCACAAAACCATAACGTAATCATTTTAAATATAACGCTTACGTTTTCTCGACCAGCAAGTCAGCAAGTTGCTTTTCAATCATCTAGTCTATAAGCTCTTACAAGTTATAACATTTTATGCAAGTAAAAAATTACCTGCAATTGTTAGGAGTCCAAAAGACGGAAGGATAATAAAAATATGATTTGACATGGTGCAATAGACACAACAAAATCAGGCAAATGATAATGTAAACTTGACTTCCAGGTAGACCCATCTTCAAGAAATTCTCGTAAAAATAATGTAGAAGGAAGCTGCTAAATTGAAAATATACACACAAGTTGAAGAATCGTGAAAGTGATTGTCTCTAATGTTAAACGTGATGAAGGAAGTTACAACATGTGTTCTGATATTAATGGCATAATGAAGAATGCGGAGTCCGAGTACGGAATATTTCCTTTACTAATATAACACATATATTTTGGCAGATTCTGCATTTTCAACTCTTTGCCCACAAAAGTTTTTTTTAAGACGAACGCAATATTTAGTGAGACTGTAATCTTCCACTGTAACAAAGTGCAGTGTCTGTAATAAAAGTATAGTGAGTAATATAGAGAGTGGTTTTAGTAAAGAGAGAGCCAATATTCCGAGCTCACGTTTTAAAAATGCTCTTGCATTTTTGATTTCGCACTTTCTTCGTTATATGAACGAAACGCTTTTAATAATCAATCACTTTCCACGGTGCCTTCATACTTTCGATTTCGAAAAAAATGCGGAATATATGAATTCACACACGCATACATCTCATGATTTGAGTAATCACAATATAAGCACAATATGTAGATATATATATACGCAACAATGAAAATTTTACTTCTTTCTCATTAGAACATGAGTTTCATCGATTAAACCGAACAGCAGAATATCGTCAACTCAAATGTAAATTTGCACTTGAGATAACCAACGTCTTGATTACTTCCATTATTCTGATATTCAGGCAAGTATTTTTAAAACATGTCTAATTTCTATAACTACAAACAACTGTACACCAACTGCCGTGGGTTTTGACAAATATAAGTACATAACAACAATCTACAAACTTTGGGGACTTTAGGAGTCCTTGTCTCTGTCGACTTAATCTGTAAAACTATCAATATCACTATCATTTTAGTAAAGAACAGAAACACAAATCACTGCACAGTTATAATACAAGAGCCATCTTACTGTGCAGTGTTTTATTTAGACCTAAAATTACCATATGTCAACACAATTCTATACCTTAACCACAGATTCTTGAAATTTGGTTGTTTGAATATATGCACTTGATTTAAGAGAAGATCAAACTGAAAGAAATTGTTGACGTAGGTCTTGTTCTTGTTTAGTTTTTCGATAGCAGAAATAATTTGACCATAATTGGATGATCGCTGATTCAGATAATACATGAGACTTTTAAATTAATTTTGTCACTGAACCATGTATTGTACATTGTTTGATAACGTCTTTAAAAACCGGTCTTTTCAATTTGAAATATGTATGTCAAGTCAATTATATATTTATAAAATATATAAGGAATTATATGTTTATTGACATGATAAATATACAATTGAAATAAGTTTCTTCACTGAAAAAAATTAAGACTAAATTCGTATGATGTTGAATCTACAGTTTCCACAAGTCTCGCATTATTGGTATTATGTAACATGACAGTTGTCAAATATAATCATCAGCTCTATGAGTGTAATTGTCATGACGATATTTCAGCCAGCTCAAAGCACCATAAATATATGCCAAACTTAGCATTTCCTTTTGGCGATTACAACTTCACAATTTCGTAAAAACCTCTTTCATTTTGAGAAATTTCAACAGTTCTACTTTATCCACAACAAACCGAAACAAATATGGCTATAAAAGTGGGGTGGACTCTGATTGATGTGATGTAGAATATCCAATATTCACAAGTAATAATTCTTTCAACCAACAAGAGAGATCTTATCAAATATCTCTGTCATCCTTCATCACTATCATGGCTGACTGAATGTAATCACAAATATATATTGCCACTTTCCCTTAAATTTCCCCTCTTTTTCTAAAAAGTTTTACTCCATGTTCACTTATTGAGAAAACAATAATTTCTGAAACTGGAATGAATGATGATATTCTGAAATTTCATAAGGGCAGAACCAGTACTAAGGCTGGGTGCGCCACTATTTGTTGGCAGTCGAAATCTTTTTATAAATAAGTATTTCAACCAGGGTACACATACATTCAACAGCTTTAGGATTTTAAACCGTCTTTAACATGCGATGATTGTAATTTGCCACTACGACAACAACCAACATGAGTTATTTCAACCACACAATGTAAGTTTCAAATGATCTATAGCGGGGGGGAGAGGGACATTTGTAATCCACCAAAGAAGTGATTTTATTTGTTAATCATCAAATTAGCTGATGACACAATATAATCCCATCTTGTTGTCTCAAAAAAAGATTTATTTTACAGCTTTATGTCGTAAGATAACATAAATACTTCAAGAATCAGTTTACAAAAACACTTGCACACGAGAAACATAAGAATAAAAATCTATGTTTATAAAAAGAATTACTGAGTTAATTTTCTAATTTACAATATGGCACGCGTTTAATTTCTTCACATCACGTTTTATTTATTTTTTTTCTTATTTCCTGGACTTTGCATGCGCAAATATCAAATCCAGAAAATGAAAAATGACGTCCAAAAAATATCATCTCAAGCCTGAGTTCCCATGTAACACATGCAGGAATAATTTTCTTATTAATATTGGTTGTTTTTATAAGATTGAGACAATGATAGAGATAATTCTAACACCTGAGGCAAGAAAACATTCGACAAAAACGTTCTGTAACTGTCTGATCAAATGAACTATTGCATTCGTGGTCATTAAAAAAAATGGGGACTTGCCTAATCCTTTCAAGTGGATGTTGCTCAAATAGATGGAGAAAATTATGCTTTGATAGTTGTAGAATCAAATGAAATATACACGCTACCCTCTTTTTATTATCAAATCCCCTCTGGCAAAGTAATAAAGCAAATGCAAAGTTGCAGACGTGATAATGTCTCAAAGAAATCACATTTCACAACCTCTTTCACAGAAAAGCCTTTTATGACAAGTTTTCTGTCTGAAATTTTTATTTTTGACGGATGTTAGAGGTGTCAGATACAAACAAAATATTTCTATTTATGAAAGAACAGTTAAAAAGCTATCGCGCTAGCCTGCAAATGCAGTTTTCGAGCTGAATATTTCAAAGAAAAGATTTCATTCAAATGTGTAGATTTTTTTATTCTTGTAACTGTCATTAAGAGCTCAACTGTATTCGAAAAAATTTTTATGTCATTAGAAATATATTTGAACGCAGACACCTAAGTCACCTTGGCAATCAATGATAACATCTGCGCAACCATTTTTACACTTTGCAATATTTGTCATATTTGTGGAAATGCTATACGGAGTGGCGCATCATTGCATGCAGCGTTTGAATCGTCAAAAATTTGAATCGTCAAAATGTTTACGATTTGAAGGCTACATGCAGTGATGTTTCTAAACACAACAGCCTCGTTTTGGAAATAAAAACATAATTTTGTAAAGATAAACGAATCGGTATATATCTTTTGCTGACCCCCTCACAGGTCATATATTTTATTTGTGTACATTGTGTGTTTATGTTTATACAATGTAAAATTTGCAGAAAAAATTTCACAAGAAAGAGATTTTATTATGCGTCATTTATTCGAGATTGAAAATGATATTAAAGATTTGCAAATAAATGATATGATGTAAGTCATTTGACGCATGAAAATTTCAAACAAGCTCGGGCAAAGGCACATCGTCAACTCGATGTTGACCTTGTCCTAGAGATGAAACCTTCAAGATAATCGAAATAAGCCAAAACAAAATCCTAAACCTAGAAACATCGACAATAAAATTTGTAAATTAAAAAACATGGAAAATATAATTTTCTATACTCCTTACATTTTCTGGTTTAATTTTCTATTTGTTTAGGTTAATTAAGATGCTCTCAGACCAGCTTTATTTCCTAACAAATTTTAATCCCTGCCATGAAATCATTGAGCATATATCAGAAACTGAACACAGGCGTGTTTTAAATATAGTAAATTCGTTATTTTAACTAAAATCATACATCGTAGGTTTATTTATTGCGAACAATAGGAGCTGTGTACACATAAGAATGTGATGAAAGATTGCTGCTATTGTGACACTATTTCCGTGACTTTTTATTAAAATTAAGAAGAGCAGTTTGTGTTTTGGTATTTTTAAATCAAAGGCACGCTTTCATTTCATTAATTAAAGTGTTGAATTTATTGGATTTTACATTGTCATATATGCAATTCATGACAAGACAGCGAGAAAACTGCAAGTATCTCACGTGGATACACACAATGATTTAATGTTTTCATGCTTTTACACATCATATTTACATTGAGAGTCAACAGATAAAATTTAGGGCTCCCTTTTATGAGACTGAATCGAATAATAGTTGACAGATGCACGATCAAGAGCATTAATGTAAATTTTGTCAATGCTCTTACATAATCACGTTTCAAGATCACACATCGTTCATGCAAGATAATCAAAGTATAAATAACTTTGAAAAATTCCTATACTTAGACCAAAAAATTCTCTTTTTAAACAGCATAAATAATATAATTATAAAATGCGCAAATTATTTATTAAAAATTATAAGAGAGATGGATATAGCGATGGACGTATGGAGAGGAGGAAATATGGAGTCAAATGAATGATATTTAGAATAATATGAAATTAAATATTTTTTCGACAAACGATTTTTGATAACTATGCAATGTTATGTTTAGCCAAAACAAAGCTAAAACGTCACAATTTTAAATAATTTGCGCGCAATCGTTTGTATAATGATGGTATGAAAAATAGAAATAAAAGACAAAAATTTAATCAATTATTTAACGAAATCACGTACTAAACTACACAAGCATAAAGATGAAAATCAGTATCAATCCGGCAAGCATAGGGCAGCAATTGAACAATTAACTACACGCACATTAAATTAAAGACGCATCATAAATATTGAAAATTTTTACACATAGATTAAAGCTAAAGTTAAATAATATAACTTACACAAAAGTAAGTGCAACGACAGCAAATCTTCAGCGCAAACCTTTCACCGCTGCTTTTCTGATACAGTTTCGTAACAAGCGCAAGATCTTCACCTTCGTTCTGGTCAATAAATTTGTTGACAAGCTTTCATCAATTATCAAAGTCAAAGTAAATTTGAACTCCAATATCCAGTTTCATCATAATGACGAACCAATCCGGCCTTACCCTTTCGACGTCATAAGCCAATAGAGTGACAATTTAATCCTACACAAAATTACATAGCAATCGTGATGTATGACATTTGATGATTGTAATGCAACAGCAAACAAAAACGGAATGACCTGAGTAAATGGAGAGGAAACCGAAAGTATTCAAACAAAAAGAAATCTAATGAGCAAATACATTTTGTCTGTCAAAGGATACGCAGTGATTTGATTGTATCATTGTAAATATATGCATTTGATATTAAGGTTAGCTGCCAAAAGCATTTTTCCCATGCATGTGTCATGTGTGGGAAATTATGATTAGGAAACCAAAAACGGACATTCGTAACCATATGCTAAGCAAAATTATTCAGCTTTCTCCTTTTTTAATCGATGTACGACAGTCGATATTGTAACTAAAAATATGAAACAACAACATTGTCATCTTTAGTCAATTATTCAATATAAAATATAATATCTGGATACTTTCTTGATTCTTCCATAAACCACCAACTCAAGTTCATCCAAAGAACACGTGCGTTATAACCTCAGCCTACACACATGTATTTGCAAGCAAACGAAACAAGGTGCTCTTTATTTTGAACCGAAAATGAAATATGTTAAAAAATTTTGGTCACAATCAAGCCAATGCATTGATACAAGTAGTCATTAAGTTCTGTGTACATCGACAATAGGTAATGTTTCATTTCGTAGTAACACACAATTAACACAATATGTCATGTATAAGAACGATTCCTTAAAGTTCCCAAAGGTAATTTCTAAAGTTTTCAAATTGCAGTTTTGCAATTCCTATGTGTATAAATTCAATTTCATTTCATGATTTGATTGCTTATCGTGGTTAGGAACAGTCTTTCATGATTTAACTCGCAGAAAGACAATATGACTTTTAAAAAAACGTATACACATACCAAACGATGCACGTCTATTAGCTACATTCTCTCATCTATAAACATGAAGACGCCATATAGGAAGACAAAGGAGAAAATTTTTGTTTTTTATAAATGTACAATGAAGGACGAGAATGACAGGATTTTTTACACAGATATCAAAAGAAACCACCCTTGGAATGTGCTGCATAAAAGATGGATGTTATCATTTATATGTTTCCTGTCTTTTCGCAATTTCCGAATCCATTCAAAAAAGGATGTTTGTTAAATGAGAAAGGAATAAACACATTAAAGTCAGACCAAGGGAGTCTGTTTGCTATCGATAAGTCCATAAGACAGCCAGACAACAAGAAATTCAAATAATCTGAACAAAATTATTTTACATTAAAATCAACTTGATCAATCAAATGGATTTATGTCGCGTTTTTTTTCACATTTAGTTGGCATTATATACACAGGGAATTCTGCTCGAAGTAATCCTCTTAAGCTCTGGTGCGTTTTTATTTTTGTGCGTGAGCAACCCTATACAGCAGCTTGCCCATTTTCACCACACGAGATTACTTCAATGGGATGATAATAAAATCCAAAAACATACATTTGTGCATCAGCGAGTAATGTATCATTGCAACTTAACCAAAGGAAAATATATTACTTACACTGATATAAGAAATTTTTTTAAAAATTCATCAATTCATCATATAAAGTAAAAACAACTACAAGAGATTGGAAAAGTATATTTCGAGAAAGCTTCAATATTGTATTTGAAAAAGCTGTCAGCTTATAGTTTACTTGGAACTTTGGAAATCACACTACAGTTTAAAACTTTTAATTAAAAATTTGATTTACGCTTTATCTTGGACTGTCAATGTACGGAAAGTGTTGTCTTGGCGAATTTCCTATCACGCCTGCAGGCCTGCCGTGTGCTTACAAGGAATGAAACTAACCACTTTTGCAACCAATGCACTAAATAACACGTCATGATGCATATATATATTTGCGACAAAGGGCGTTGTGGCTAAATGGATCAACTCCAACCGAGGTGGCCTATACGTCTTTTTATCTTCTAAACATACTTTTGCTTTTATGAGAATTTTTTTATAACAGAGTAGCCAAGGGCCTCGTGGCCACATGTCTAAGGCGTCTGACTTCGAATCCGAAGACTGCAGGTTCTATTCCAACCAAGGGTGTCTGTACTTCTTTTTATCTTCTAAACATACTTTTGGTTTTATTGAGTATTTATTTTATAACAGTGTAGCCAAGGGCCTCATGGCCACTTGTCTAAGGCGTCTGACTTCGAATCAGAACTTTGCAGATTCGACTCCAACCGAGGTGGCCTGTACGTCTTTTTATCTTCTAAACATACTTTTGCTTTTATGAATATTTTTTTTATATCAGGGTAGCCAAGGGCCTCGTGGCCACATGTCTAAGGCGTCTGACTTCGAATCCGAAGACTGCAGGTTCAACTCCAACCAAGGTTGTCTATACTTCTTTTTATCTTCTAAACATACTTTTGCTTTTATGAGTATTTTTTATATTAGTGTAGCTCAAGGCCTGGTGGCCACATGTCTAAGGCGTCTGACTTCGAATCCGAAGACTGCAGGTTCAACTCCAACCAAGGTTGTCTACACTTCTTTTTATCTTCTAAACATACTTTTGCTTTTATTGAGTATTTATTTCATAACAGTGTAGCCAAGGCTCTCGTGGCCACATGTCTAAGGCGTCAGACTTCGAATTAGAGGTTTACAGGTTCAACTCCAACCGAGGTGGCCTATACGTCTTTTTATCTTCTAAACATACTTTTGCTTTTATGAGTATTTTTTTATATCAGTGTAGCCAAGGGCCTCGTGGCCACTTGTCTAAGGCGTCTGACTTTGAATCAGAAGTTGCAGGTTCAACTCCAACCGAGGTGGCCTATACGTCTTTTTATCTTCTAAACATACTTTTGCTTTTATGAGTATTTTTTTTATATCAGTGTAGCCAGAGGCCTCATGGCCACATGTCTAAGGCGTCTGACTTCGAATCAGAAGTTTGCAGGTTCAACTCCAATCGAGGTGGCCTATACGTCTTTTTATTTTCTAAACATACTTTTGCTTTTATGAGTATTTTTTTATATCAGTGTAGCTACAGGCCTCATGGCCACATGTCTAAGGCATCTGACTTTGAATCAGAAGTTGCAGGTTCAACTCCAACCGAGGTGGCCTATACGTCTTATTATCTTCTAAACATACCTTTGCTTTTATGAGTATTTTTTTTATATCAGTGTAGCCAGAGGCCTCATGGCCACATGTCTAAGGCGTCTGACTTCGAATCAGAAGTTTGCAGGTTCAACTCCAATCGAGGTGGCCTATACGTCTTTTTATCTTCTAAACATACTTTTGCTTTTATGAGTATTTTTTTTATATCAGTGTACCCACAGGCCTCATGGCCACATGTCTAAGGCGTCTGACTTCGAATCAGAAGTTTGCAGGTTCAACTCCAACCAAGGTTGTCTATACTTCTTTTTATCTTCTAAACATACTTTTGCTTTTATTGAGTATTTATTTCATAACAGTGTAGCCAAGGCTCTCGTGGCCACATGTCTAAGGCGTCTGACTTCGAATTAGAAGTTTACAGGTTCAACTCCAACCGAGGTGGCCTGTACGTCTTTTTATCTTCTAAACATACTTTTGCTTTTATGAGTATTTTTTATATCAGTGTAGCCAAGGGCCTCGTGGCCACATGTCTAAGGCGTCTGACTTCGAATCCGAAGACTGCAGGTTCAACTCCAACCAAGGTTGTCTATACTTCTTTTTATCTTCTAAACATACTTTTGCTTTTATGAGTATTTTTTTATATCAGTGTAGCCAAGGCCTCGTGGCCACATGTCTAAGGCGTCTGACTTCGAATCAGAAGTTTGCAGGTTCAACTCCAACCAAGGTTGTCTATACTTCTTTTTATCTTCTAAACATACTTTTGCTTTTATGAGTATTTATTTCATAACAGTGTAGCCAAGGCCTCATGGCCACATGTCTAAGGCGTCTGACTTCGAATCAGAAGTTTGCAGGTTCAACTCCAACCGAGGTGGCCTATACGTCTTTTTATCTTCTAAACATACTTTTGCTTTTATGAGTATTTTTTATATCAGTGTAGCCAAGGGCCTGTGGCCACATGTCTAAGGCGTCTGACTTCGAATCAGAAGACTGCAGGTTCAACTCCAACCAAGGTTGTCTATACTTCTTTTTATCTTCTAAACATACTTTTGCTTTTATGAGTATTTTTTATATCAGTGTAGCCAAAGGCCTCGTGGCCACATGTCTAAGGCGTCTGACTTCGAATCCGAAGACTGCAGGTTCAACTCCGACCAAGGTTGTCTATACTTCTTTTTATCTTCTAAACATACTTTTGCTTTTATTGAGTACTTATTTTATAACAGTGTAGCCAAGGGCCTCATGGCCACTTGTCTAAGGCGTCTGACTTCGAATCAGAAGTTTGCAGGTTCAACTCCAACCGAGGTGGCCTATACGTCTTTTTATCTTCTAAACATACTTTTGCTTTTATGAGTAATTTTTTTATATCAGTGTACCCACAGGCCTCATGGCCACATGTCTAAGGCATCTGACTTTGAATCAGAAGTTGCAGGTTCAACTCCAACCGAGGTGGCCTGTACGTCTTTTTATCTTCTAAACATACTTTTGCTTTTATGAGTACTTTTTTTTATATCAATGTAGCCAAGGGCCTGGTGGCCCCATGTCTAAGGCGTCTGACTTCGAATCCGAAGACTGCAGGTTCAACTCCAACCAAGGTTGTCTATACTTCTTTTTATCTTCTAAACATACTTTTGCTTTTATGAGTATTTTTTATATCAGTGTAGCCAAAGGCCTCGTGGCCACATGTCTAAGGCGTCTGACTTCGAATCAAAACTTTGCAGGTTCAACTCCAACCAAGGTTGTCTATACTTCTTTTTATCTTCTAAACATACTTTTGCTTTTATTGAGTATTTATTTCATAACAGTGTAGCCAAGGCTCTCGTGGCCACATGTCTAAGGCGTCTGACTTCGAATTAGAAGTTTACAGGTTCAACTCCAACCGAGGTGGCCTATACGTCTTTTTATCTTCTAAACATACTTTTGCTTTTATGAGTACTTTTTTTTATATCAGTGTAGCCAAGGGTCTGGTGGCCCCATGTCTAAGGCGTCTGACTTCGAATCCGAAGACTGCAGGTTCAACTCCAACCAAGGTTGTCTATACTTCTTTTTATCTTCTAAACATACTTTTGCTTTTATGAGTATTTTTTATATCAGTGTAGCCAAAGGCCTCGTGGCCACATGTCTAAGGCGTCTGACTTCGAATCCGAAGACTGCAGGTTCAACTCCAACCAAGGTTGTCTACACTTCTTTTTATCTTCTAAACATACTTTTGCTTTTATTGAGTACTTATTTTATAAAAGTGTAGCCAAGGGCCTCATGGCCACTTGTCTAAGGCGTCTGACTTCGAATCAGAAGTTTGCAGGTTCAACTCCAACCGAGGTGGCCTATACGTCTTTTTATCTTCTAAACATACTTTTGCTTTTATGAGTAATTTTTTTATATCAGTGTAGCCACAGGCCTCATGGCCACATGTCTAAGGCATCTGACTTTGAATCAGAAGTTGCAGGTTCAACTCCAACCGAGGTGGCCTATACGTCTTTTTATCTTCTAAACATACTTTTGCTTTTATGAGTATTTTTTTTATATCAGTGTAGCCAGAAGCCTCGTGGCCACATGTCTAAGGCGTCTGACTTCGAATCAGAAGTTTGCAGGTTCAACTCCAACCGAGGTGGCCTATACGTCTTTTATCTTCTAAACATACTTTTGCTTTTATGAGTATTTTTTATATCAGTGTAGCCAAAGGCCTCGTGGCCACATGTCTAAGGCGTCTGACTTCGAATCAGAAGTTTGCAGGTTCAACTCCAACCAAGGTTGTCTATACTTCTTTTTATCTTCTAAACATACTTTTGCTTTTATTGAGTATTTATTTCATAACAGTGTAGCCAAGGCTCTCGTGGCCACATGTCTAAGGCGTCTGACTTCGAATTAGAAGTTTACAGGTTCAACTCCAACCGAGGTGGCCTATACGTCTTTTTATCTTCTAAACATACTTTTGCTTTTATGAGTATTTTTTTTATATCAGTGTAGCCAAGGGCCTCGTGGCCACTTGTCTAAGGCGTCTGACTTCGAATCAGCAGTTTGCAGGTTCAACTCCAACCGAGGTGGCCTATACGTCTTTTTATCTTCTAAACATACTTTTTCTTTAATGAGTATTTTTTTTTATATCAGTGTAGCCACGGGCCTCATGGCCACATGTCTAAGGCGTCTGACTTCGAATCAGAAGTTTGCAGGTTCGACTCCAACCGAGGTGGCCTATACGTCTTTTTATCTTTTAAACATACTTTTGCTTTTATGAGTATTTTTTTTTGTATCAGTGTAGCCAAGGGCCTCGTGGCCACATGTCTAAGGCGTCTGACTTCGAATCCGAAGACTGCAGGTTCAATTCCAACCAAGGGCGTCTATACTTCTTTTTATCTTCTAAACATACTTTTGGTTTTATTGAGTATTTATTTTATAACAGTGTAGCCATGGGCCTCATGGCCACTTGTCTAAGGCGTCTGACTTCGAATCAAAACTTTGCAGGTTCAACTCCAACCGAGGTGGCCTATACGTCTTTTTATCTTCTAAACATACTTTTGCTTTTATGAGTAATTTTTTTATATCAGTGTAGCCACAGGCCTCATGGCCACATGTCTAAGGCATCTGACTTTGAATCAGAAGTTGCAGGTTCAACTCCAACCGAGGTGGCCTATACGTCTTTTTATCTTCTAAACATACTTTTGCTTTTATGAGTATTTTTTTTATATCAGTGTAGCCAGAAGCCTCGTGGCCACATGTCTAAGGCGTCTGACTTCGAATCAGAAGTTTGCAGGTTCAACTCCAATCGAGGTGGCCTATACGTCTTTTTATCTTCTAAACATACTTTTGCTTTTATGAGTATTTTTTTATATCAGTGTACCCACAGGCCTCATGGCCACATGTCTAAGGCGTCTGACTTCGAATCAGAAGTTTGCAGGTTCAACTCCAACCAAGGTTGTCTATACTTCTTTTTATCTTCTAAACATACTTTTGCTTTTATTGAGTATTTATTTCATAACAGTGTAGCCAAGGCCTCGTGGCCACATGTCTAAGGCGTCTGACTTCGAATTAGAAGTTTACAGGTTCAACTCCAACCGAGGTGGCCTATACGTCTTTTTATCTTCTAAACATACTTTTGCTTTTATGAGTATTTTTTTTATATCAGTGTAGCCAAGGGCCTCGTGGCCACATGTCTAAGGCGTCTGACTTCGAATCAGAAGTTTGCAGGTTCAACTCCAACCGAGGTGGCCTATACGTCTTTTTATCTTCTAAACATACTTTTGCTTTTATGAGTAATTTTTTTATATCAGTGTAGCCACAGGCCTCATGGCCACATGTCTAAGGCATCTGACTTTGAATCAGAAGTTGCAGGTTCAACTCCAACCGTGGTGGCCTATACGTCTTTTATCTTCTAAACATACTTTTGCTTTTATGAGTATTTTTTTTATATCAGTGTAGCCAGAAGCCTCGTGGCCACATGTCTAAGGCGTCTGACTTCGAATCAGAAGTTTGCAGGTTCAACTCCAATCGAGGTGGCCTATACGTCTTTTTATCTTCTAAACATACTTTTGCTTTTATGAGTATTTTTTATATCAGTGTAGCCACAGGCCTCATGGCCACATGTCTAAGCGTCTGACTTCGAATCAGAAGTTTGCAGGTTCAACTCCAACCAAGGTTGTCTATACTTCTTTTTATCTTCTAAACATACTTTTGCTTTTATTGAGTATTTATTTCATAACAGTGTAGCCAAGGCTCTCGTGGCCACATGTATAAGGCGTCTGACTTCGAATTAGAAGTTTACAGGTTCAACTCCAACCGAGGTGGCCTATACGTCTTTTTATCTTCTAAACATACTTTTGCTTTTATGAGTATTTTTTTTATATCAGTGTAGCCAAGGGCCTCGTGGCCACTTGTCCAAGGCGTCTGACTTCGAATCAGAAGTTTGCAGGTTCAACTCCAACCGAGGTGGCCTATACGTCTTTTTATCTTCTAAACATACTTTTGCTTTAATGAGTATTTTTTTTATATCAGTGTAGCCACGGGCCTCATGGCCACATGTCTAAGGCGTCTGACTTCGAATCAGAAGTTTTCAGGTTCGACTCCAACCGAGGTGGCCTATACGTCTTTTTATCTTTTAAACATACTTTTGCTTTAATGAGTATTTTTTTTATATCAGTGTAGCCACGGGCCTCATGGCCACATGTCTAAGGCGTCTGACTTCGAATCAGAAGTTTGCAGGTTCAACTCCAATCGAGGTGGCCTATACGTCTTTTTATCTTCTAAACATACTTTTGCTTTTATGAGTATTTTTTTATATCAGTGTACCCACAGGCCTCATGGCCACATGTCTAAGGCGTCTGACTTCGAGTCCGAAGATTGCAGGTTCAATTCCAACCAAGGGCGTCTATACTTCTTTTTATCTTCTAAACATACTTTTGGTTTTATTGAGTATTTATTTTATAACAGTGTAGCCATGGGCCTCATGGCCACTTGTCTAAGGCGTCTGACTTCGAATCAAAACTTTGCAGGTTCAACTCCAACCGAGGTGGCCTATACGTCTTTTTATCTTCTAAACATACTTTTGCTTTTATGAATATTTTTATTTGGTCCTATAAACTTCTTTTAGGTCATTTTTAGAGTTTTTAAATCGCAAAAGTTTGTGAAATAAATTACTCAAAAACCGTATCTTTTAAAATCATTAAGAAACAGCTATAATGTAAAAATAGAATTTTTCATATTTGCCGCTACATGATTGCAACAAAAGGCCTCACACATTTTAGCTGTATTCAATTCCTTAAATACATTTTTTGCAATTCGACCTTCTCAATTTATTCTCGCGTGTCTTTCTTGTAAAGTTATAGTTTTACATGTCATTATTGTCAGCAAGAGATCGGCATAGCCCTGATCAAAAACATATCGGCTTCTCAGTCTTTGAAATAACGGCCAGCGTGTACACATTTAAGATTCAAAGCGATATTTTGATGGAATATGAACTCGACTATATGTACCAGAGCTGATTATATGAGATTAATATTTCTGATCCTTTTGAATAAAAAAAGCACTTGGTCTATAACTTTTTTACTTCAACCTGTCCATAAACGTAAAAAGAGCAGGTAGCAAAGACCAAGACAAAAGAACACGTCTATCGTAAAAAGTGAGTTTAAAAACGACCTGTTTAACACTCGTTTGTGGAAGACGTAAAAGAGATATGTAGAGACATACAACAAGATACAACAGCATTAGAGTATATGTACTGACTCATTGACATTTTTTGTCCCAAATCAAGGTACGTATGCACCGAAGGATATATTCATAGGAAATCGGTTAATCAGATAGGCAAAATGGAGTCTTTTCATGCACATTAAACAGTTCGTGGCCAAAAGGTGAAACTACAAACGCAGTAATATTCTTGATTTAATTTGAACTGCAAATTGAAATTCTTTTATTGTTTGTTATTAAATGTATATCAATAGAGTCCTAGCCTTCTGTTCTCACATTTATTTGATCGACGTTTGAGGCTGATAATAAATAAGATGCAGTCTACATCCACGTGTCTCATAAATAACCTACGTCAGAACCCATTACAGAAATTGCAAACAAATTCACTAAAGCAAGGCCAAAAGCAAAGATGGAGGAATATTTTTTATTTTGGTAGAGATTGAAATTGTTCAGAAGTGTCAACGTTTACGTCACGCTCTTTCTTATTCACACACTTAACACATCAGCTTCAATAAAGCAAAACATCATTGTTATAGTTTGAAAGAATTAACGCAATTTCTTTTCCTATATTTGTCGGACTGTATAGAAGCTGTATAAAGTTGTTAAAATAAAACGTCAGCCCAAATTCATAATCTTCACTTAACCAAAATGTCGTAAGACGCACATATAGCAATATTCCAAACAGGAAGCCTATCCATTCCAGTGATTCCTTTTCATATCATAAAATGTTACCAATGTTGTCTTTTTCCAAATTTACAACTTTTTCCAAATTTTTATTTCTTTTCAAGTATTATAAAACAAAACAAAGATGAAAGCGTTGTTCATTCTATTCTTGTTGCTGCCTGCGATGTCTCTAGTTGATTCACATAAGAGGGATTTTGAACAAGTAGATGAATCATTTGACTCTGAAAACATGAAATACATCCCAGAAAAGCAAAGAGAACTAGACGACAAATATAAGCTAAATGAAGAGAACAGCATGATGAAAAAGACCATTGCTGCAATACATGTAAGGACGAAAATTTTTATGTAACTAATGCATTCTTTTGTTAGAGAATGAGATTTACGACTCCAACAAAAGTATAAAACATTACTCTAAGAACAATGTAAAACATAAAAACAATCACGTTTGATGATTTGAACATTTCAGCAACGAGATGGAGGAATGGAAGACGACAATGAAAGTTATGACAAAGAAAATAGCAGAGTAGAAAAATCTAAATTTCGTCAAAAATCAAGTCTTGTCGAAGAAAACAGATATTACAATAAAACGAGAGATGTTGATCGACTAAAACAAGAAGATTTTGAAAAGATGAAATATCAAACTTATGACAGTTTGCAAAAATCGGAAGAGGACGATAAATCCGATTATGACGTTAATGATAACAACGATGATGAAAAAAATGAGTACAAAAATGATGGCGCCTATCTTAACGATGATGATGATGACAATGACGATGACGAAAATGAAGACAAAAATGATGACGTCGATGATGATGATATTGATGACAATTATGATAGCGACGTGGATGATGACAACAATGGCAACATCTACGATAAAGACATTGATGACAAAAGTAATGACGACAATGACATGAATGATGAAGACCATGATGATGACGTAGAAGGTGATGACAATAAAAAGATCACGAGTAGAGAAAGTGTAAGTTAAAGTATAATGAATTTTCTCTGATGTAACTGATTGAATACAAATGTTTTGTGTTACGTAAACTGAATCAGCGGCAAAGTCACCAAATAGTATAAATTACCAATCAACATTTATTACCAATCAACATACGTTACCAAAGCTGTTTCATTAAATTGAAAGCGCTACTTTTTAAGATGAAGAAATCGACAATGAAAATAAAACAACGTACGAGAAAAAAGTTTCCATGGTTGTAATATTTGTATATTATATAATTATAAGGTTTTATGTTAAACATATAGTGACGTGTTGTTTTTCTTGTTAAAGTATTCAAACGAACATAGAGAAAACAAGAAGGAAAGCACGCATAACACGGACAAAAAAAACTCGATCAACAATAAAGAAAAAAGTTACGAAAGCAAAAATTATGATAATGAAGAAAATTCTGGAACATTACATCTTATCAAAAACAAGGCCGATAAAGGTATAAACCACGTCAACGAGAAACAAAATGATACGGAAGATAAACACGATAAAAACAATAAAGAAAAAAATGTGATAAAAGATGGAAACGATAACTCAAACCTAGACTCGCCAACTTTAGAGGTTAAAATAAAGCAGGACAATAATTCAGACGTAAAAACACGAAAAAGTAAGATGAAAATACAAAATGGAAGTTTGAAAACCCGTGCTAACAATAAAACAGCAAAAGATGATGATGTTGACAATTCGAAAAGGAAAACTGAACATAAAATGGAAAATCATTCAACTCACAAAAATAAAAAATCCAGAAAGAATTATAAAGTACAAAAGGGGTTAAACAGGAAATATGACAACGCCATGAATGAATATTTCAGGACACAAAAGCAACTAGCAAATACCATTCATAAAACCAAAGATGATGAAAAACCTTTGAACAAAACTGATTTAAGCTTTTTAGAAGCAAATGAATTCTCAATTGAGAAGACAAAAAACGTAAAAGATGACAAAGAAAAAATACCGAAAAAAGATAGTAATGAATCATAGGAAAAATTATAACAACAAGACAAAGTCAAACGGAAAGAAACTCAGTAATCTCAAAGTTGAACGTGAAAGTAGTCACATGACCAACTTTTCTGACAGTAACAAGATGCAAATATCATCCAGTCAAATAAACATAAACAACTCAAAGAGTCGAGTTCACATGTTTCCGAGTCACAAACAAAGGAAGACCCAGGTTTACAGGAGAGGGAAGAGGATGAAAACGAGTCACATGGTGATCATAATAATGATAAAAATTCCGCTAAAAACAAGTTGATACAGAGAAAAGTGGAGCAACTGAGCATGAGCAAAGACGATGAAAGTGAAGAAGAGGCGGTAACTTTAGGAACAGATTGGATCAATAACGATAAGAAATTATTGGATATGATGGGTGATAAGAAGATGGACGATGAAACCAAGAAAAAACAAAAAAAAATTACGAATCAAATGAAATACGATGTAAGCAAAATGGAAAACCACAAAGACAAAGAAAAACAATATGAAGATTATTTTAACGTAAATAAAGTTGATGTCGTGAACAGTCTTCTTCGTGTTGGATCTAATGGTGACAGTACTAGTGATTCAAATGGAAAAGATGATGATCATGTTTACAGAGGGAAAACTCCAAATGACGTCGTAGAAAAATTGGGTTATAAGGATACTACAATACAAGGTGAGATGATATTATATTTAAGTTTTTGTAAACGAGTGTCTATTACGGTACAAACGCTCTAAAATTTATGAAAGAAAATTACAAACACGTCTGCTCCTCCTAGACAAGAAAAACAACTTAGAGAGATTACTACAGAACCTGGTACCCACAGGAAAACTTCCAAAGCTGCCGAAAGGCTTTAAAGAACTATCGAAAACAAGTGGGCGCTTCGCACATAAAGTGGACGAAAATAATCGCGTCACAGTTACATCAAACGTTAAAGAACCAATAAAATTGTTTGATGGAATGATGAACATAGGAAATGGCATGCTACAATTTAGTTATCACAACAAAGAAGAGAAAGACGAAAAATGGCAGTTTAAAGCAACAGGTGCGCTAATATAACTGAGAGCATATAACTGAGAGCATAATGTGAGCATTTTTTAAGACACAATTTGTCTAACTATTCCTTCTTACTAGGAACGTGGATGAATGGTGAACAGGAAATTAATGTTGTTTTGGAAAGTTCAAAACACGATGACCATTTCACACTTATGGGTACAGGTGACTCGTTGGCACTGCAAGATTACTTTTCGATCTATGTAACAAATGCAGCGTTTGCCAAATCTGGAATAAATATGGCAGTGTTTGAAGAAATGACCGTTTCAAATGCTGAACTTTACGTCGTGTTCAATAACTTAAAGAATATTGTAAGTCTGGTATCCGGTAACATAACATATGGAGATGAAACGAAGCCAATACGTTGTCAAACTTTTATCGAAAAATTTCCTGGGAAAGACCCCGTATTTGCTATACTGATGGACTTCGCGCCAGGCTCGGGATATTCCGTATTGAAGTCGTTGATGAAGGATGAAATAGCCAAAATCCCGTTTGTTAACAACTTGTTGTCAGGAAAAAACTTGTTTAAGGTTTGATATTTTGTCGATTAATTTATTATTTTGAAAACATCATCTTAAGTGAAGAAATGACTAAGAGCAACTGCATACTCTTCATTGAAGGTGGCTGAAGGTGGATTTGGTTTTGCTGCATCTTCCAGTGATATAGAACGACATCGTTTGAGCGTATTTGGTGAAGGAATGTTGGACCGAGATTTAGATTCACATATTACACCAGGGATAACATTAACGATACCTATTTTATTCAATTTTCAAAATTCCCAAGAAACTCACGACATAATAACACGACTATCTAATCATACGGTCTCTTTCTTTCCCACTAAAAGCACAAGAATCGATTTATCAAGAATATTTAAGACACTTTCAAAGTCGAAACAACCAAAAATATCCAATCTTGGGTACTTGGACGTTAATGACGTGTTCTTGAAAGAACTGAAGTACGATCTTAACGCTTCGTTATACACAATCCTGGGATCTACAACTCGTCAGTTAAATATTGCACCAGGTAATGAAATGTAGCCAGGGGATTGACTTTAGGCCATAGATATAACCCACATTTATTATCCAAATTAGAAACGACACTTCTTAGGTTTCTGCATTGGCTATTCAGTATTTTTGCATTGGTACATTGTATTCTTTTGCCTAGGAATGATATACCTAGACGAAGGAAATTTGGAATTTCGTCAACAAGTACCGCACGATTTTTCTACATTGGCATTGTATGGTTCAGGAAGTGCAAAAGTTGGCCAGGCAAAGCTCAATATTTCTTTGCACACGGACGTTCACATCAACAAATTGCTCATCAATGGTGAAGCATATGCCATTTGGTCACCAGATATTGCGTCAACATTTGGCATAACCATGGAGATAGATGATGACGTGCGATGGATAATGGACAACAACCAAATGCTAAACATCAATCTTGAGAATGTTCATATGTTTACAGTGGTGAAAAATGGTGAAAGTAGCTCAGTGCATTTCACAGGATTTTTACAACCCATCTCATGGAATGATGTAATTCAAGTAGAGATTGTTGTATTTTATGACAGCTTACTAAACAAACGCCGCATGATCACAGGCTATTTGTTTCATAAATTGCCGCTGACATATGCTATCGACGCTCTCGGTTTTGGCAAGTTTGCAACACCAAGGTTTTTGGACAACAGTAGAAATTCGATGCTAGTCATATCTCCCATAAACACACAATCCATGTTTATTAATCCAGCGTTCAATGGCCTTTCTTTCATGCAGGGTCTTTCATTGGTAGGAGAATTTCGTCTACCAGATGTTTGCACATTAAATGTGGTGTGTGAGTCAGCAGTACAGTTTCTGGGCACGGAGAACTGGTACCGAGTTCAAGGCCTCGTATCGTCACGTGGCTACAAACTTGTAGGGAACGTCGACCGGAACTTTATTTTGGCAAAAGACTTAAAATTGACCAACAACATTTTAGAATTCGCTATTGGTAAATACAGTGATATGACCATTGCAACGGAAATGAATTTAGAGAATAACAATCTCACTTTTCGAGGATATGTGAACTTTGAACCGAACGGTATGAGACTACGCATGAGCAGTAACGATGTCTGGTCACATCCATTTGCTAGAAATTTTCTTACTTTTGACCGTCTCAGCTTCGACACACCATTGATCAGCGGTATAACATTGAACGAGCTCAAAATGACCGGGGAGTTAAAGTTCGGTTTGCAGGGCAGTCTGTACGCCATATTTGCTCCTGCCTACGTGACTTTTAAATTGTCTGAGAAGAAGATGGTTAGTTTCCGGGCAAAAATGACAAATATTACCCTGGAGACAATTATTAATGCCCTTAATTTCAAGTCAAGTCTACCGGATGTGTTACTTAATTCTCGTTTTCACCAGAATCTTATTGTAAGGTAGGGAAATTCTAAGTACGAGAACGAAAATTAGACAGAAGTTGAAGTTCAGTGAGAGTAGATTCAATGGAATATTCGACATTTAATTACAGCAATATTTTTTATAGTCTATATGGTCACATTTCTAAACCATTTTTTTCTGGGTTTTTTCAAGTTGGTGGCAAAAACATCAAATCAAAAATAAAATCATCTAATGCTTAGTTAGAAGTTATAAGCTACGTTAGTAGCCGAGTTTCAAAACGTTCATTATTATTTTTGCATTAGATTCATGCCTAAAGAGAAACCTGAAGATCAAAACTTAGATTTCTATGGTAAAATGGAAATGTTATCGCGTACATTTATGGTTAAATTACAGCTCGATAGAAAAAAACGTATCACAGGCATCACATCTCATTCAGAGTTTCCATTGCTTTTGGATGGTGGGCTAATAACAGTTTGTGCTGACCAAAATCATAAACGGTTCGGTCCGCGGGCGATGTTTACGATCACACCCAAATCGGCAACATTCAAGTTAGATGGATTTGTAAATTTCATGGGTCTAGCAGAAAGAACCAAGATAGATGTTGGGGAATTTGGGACGCAGTTTTCTTTAAGAGGAAGTCTTTTTGGCACAACTAAAACAATAACTTCTTTCATGTCTCCGGATAGTCTAGCCGAGAATGGACCATATATTGTAAGTTCATATGTCAAGAATTGTAGTGATTTGAAATTCTTTTCCCAAATTTTTTTCTCAACTATACTTCACACTTGAGACTATAATTTCTTTGACTCAGGCCTCCGCTTGCCTACCGGACATTATACCTCACGTGACCACACGCGTCAATTTATTGTTGGCAGCAGCTGCTGACCAGGCAGAACAATACATAAAACAGGCGATAAGTCACTATGAAAAAGCGACAGAATATCACAAGAAAGCCCTAGAAGACGAACACGAGCAAATTTTCCTGTTAGACGAAGGGGAAAATGATGTGGAGAATGACAACAAACAACTGTTTATAGCCGAGGAACGATACAACAAGACTTGCGTTGAGAAAAAATGCACAAAAAGTAAGTTCTTCAATTTAAAATGATTCTAATTTTTATAACCTTATTAATGAATCGGTAAACGATAACCTTCAACAGCATAAAACCAAAGGCTCCTTTCAAACAACGCAAAAGGTTTTATCAATATGCATTCTTCATAATGCCTTCAGACTATAGAAGGTCAATTTTCCAGCAATATCTTAATTAAACTGAATAAACGAAATGAGTCATTATAATCTACCAATTCATAAACATGTATGGTAACTTTATTTAGCCTGCATTGGTTGTCCATCCTGGATCAATTGTTGTGATCATGATGTTTTTGGTAATTGCGTTAAATGTCCCACGTGGAAACCATGTTGCTGGCATGGCAAAAATCCTATTTGTAAAGCTAAGAATCACGCTTGTCGGATTATGAAAAAATTTTCCGCTGAAAAACTTCAGGAGATTGCAGTAAGTAATTGATGTTGCGAGTTAAAGCAAAAGGTATCTTAACTATAGCGATTTCTTGCTATCTATAAAGTGTTTTTATTGCTTGAGAATTGATTTCGAACAGAAGCCATGAAATTATTGAACGGCACAAGTCGTAGTCAGCGACTTTTTCTATACACAAGCAACAGGAATTGTACATTGTCCTGTCATTCATAACAGAGACGAGTGTATGTGGACAAAGAAAAGAAAATCGAGAGAGAGAAAGTGGTTTGGAAATCAGAATACACGAAGGGCAAGACGGAAGCAATTTTGGAAGCAGCACAACGGGCCTTGAATCTTGTTAATCAAGACTCCGTGTTGAGACTTCAAGCCTCTAACACAATCAAAAGATATGGACTAGAGAAACTTGTTGATATTAACAGTGTCTGCTTTCACACGACATTAAAAACACTGGCAACAAGTTGCTTAACTTTAAATATCAATGCAACGTTTGCCAATGAACACGTGACAAAAAGTCTTCCATATTATGGATGTTTGAATAAAGAGCTCGCGAGTAAAATGGCCAATCATATAACTCAATATATGCTTCGAGATAAAAGCAAAAACGAAGGTGTGTGACAATAACTTATCTTCATCGAATGAAAATGACTGATTGTTGTTTTCAACATAATAAACGTACTTCTAGGGGAAAAAAGAATACTCCACTACCTTTCACATATAAAAAAACCCAAATTGCATTCAATAAACTCTAACAGTTTAGCAACAAGTATTCGTCCAAAATGCTTTGTTTACATTAATTCCCTGTTCACACTAATGCCCAGTTACTTTTTATATGAGTGCCTAATTTCAACAGCACTACACCAATCAGCCATTTGGGTAAAAAGTACATTTTTCGTACCTAGTAAACTCAAAGCACACAGTGGCAGAGAAAACGAAAAGTGGCGATCAAAGAAGTGGAAACCTGTTTGGTATGCCTCTTTATGAAGAGAAAGTTGATTTACCAACAAATTCACGGGAAGTGACGTACGCTAGATGGAGGAGAGATGATGCAAACTTGAACAACGATGAAGAAATGAAACCATTCTGGTCGATTCGAAACAACTTTAAAACACACGTGCTGTCATTATTGCAACAACGTGCCGCTGTTCCTCGCAGTCCGCTAAAGAAAAAGTGGCAAATACCCGGTAGGCATGTTGCCGTAGATTTTAAAATGATGATAGTTTTTATTTGAATTTAATAGTAATTAAATTAGCTAATGCACGTTATGATTATTTGCCTAACACAGCTAACGCGCTAACTGCAAAGATGTTAATATTCCATGTTGTCTCATTTCAATGAAATGTCTTAAAATCAGTAAACTATAGATGCATAAATCCCACTCATACAATCCCACTCAACTGTAACGAGTAAGTCCTGTTCCCAAGTGCACGAGTTACCAATGTACTACGATGGTAAACGGGATATTGTTACTCTAACTGAACAAAAGTTTTTATAATTTTTTCCTGATACAACAGCATCAAGGAAAGGAAAATGCAGAGTCTATCGTCAGTTGGTGGAAATTTGTAAAGACATGATGGAAACTGTGAACAAAATGTTTCAATCCTTTAAAGATGGCAAAGGGAAATTTAACAAACGGCTTACGGAACTCCAGTTAGGATTAAACATAACTATTAATGATCTTGAAAAACAAGGTACTTAAAACAACTTATAAAGTTGTACATGAACATAGTATAATATCAACAATGATATCATTTCCAGAGCTATGTAATGAAGAATGCATGATAACCTAAAGCTGCAGTGAATCTATAATCATTTTTATAGTTATGGATATTCCAGAAATGCAAGATCGATTGTCTGATATAGAAATGAACATACGTAACGTGGGCTCAGGTACGCAATTTGAAAGCTTTGATCTCATGATAAATTATAATCATTATCTCCCAAAACTTTTACATATTCATTATTAATCACCATCCTCAAATCCTCGAGCAAAATCAATTTTACTGCTACTGTATTCCCCCAACAAATTTACCAATGCAGTAAAGCAGTACAAAAACATGGCCGCTGTTTATAAAGATGCACATTTTTTACCGAACAGTAGACAGAGGGAAACTTGGAAATTTAATTTTAATATTTTTCTATTTCACTATACCTTTTCAAAAGCTGATATCATTTTCTTTCTTGAAAGATGGTAAGAAAACTCGGTTTGTCCATGTATTTGATCAGCCTGTCAAAAGTCAAGCATTGAAGACGATTTTAAAATTATCTTAACTATCAGAAAACGTTGAAATACATCAGATAGCAACACAACATATTGAAGTTTTTGACCTCGAATTGTAGTTCAATGACAATTCTCAACATAAATTGAACATATACGCCAAACAATTTACTTTTTCGCTTCGTACAAAACTAAAGGACAGAAACACAGCCTTTGGAAAATATAACGGATTAACAACCAATCCACCTCAATTCGGGTTGCCCGCAGCGCGAAAGCCTGAAAACCCGCATCAGCTCGTGCTATTTTCATCACCTTTACCATGATCATTGAGTTCTGTAAGGTCTTATAGAACTCAATGACCATGATCCTCATTTGACTACACAGGAGTAAATAAATGGAAAAAAAACTGTGAATCAGACCAAGAGGATCAAAACAAAATGGCTATTCAAGAATGGGTTGCCATAATGGAAGAGAGAATTCGCAGATTAGGTGGACAAGGTGTTGACAGATTTCTCTCCAATCTTTTTCGGGCATTCGAGGGTATGTTTCTAGGAACCGACACTCCAAAAAGAGGCGCTCGAAAAATTCTCAACACGTTGCACTCCATTCGTGAAATATCTGCGGTAAGTAAAAAAAGGCAGTATGTCTGTGTAAAACTTTGTTTCGAAGTAACTTTAGGGATGATTATGTTTTGCTTATATTCGTTTCAAGAAGTTTTTCATTCTACATTTAAATTGTAAAAATGTTTTTGTTTACAGATGTTTCATGACATATTTGGAAATAGTGAAATCACTTTGGAAAAAGCTGGAATTAGAGCAGAAATTGTAATGTCGAAGTTAAAACTGATCAAAGATACGCAAATGTTTTGCGACAACTAGAAATTGAGAAGCATCATTGCTCCATTATACACTTTTGTTTATGATATTTCTGAAGAGGCCAAGATTGCTATTTGCACAAACTTTACTTGTGTCATATCATAAAATTCTTGAACTTGACTAGGTTATTTAGATTGTCAATATCATCTCAACATGTATAAAGAGTTCGGTCAAATTTCTCTTGGTCAGTTCTTTATATTAAACTCGAAATTTTTAACATGTCTTTTAACTACGGACGCACAACCACTAACATCACAACACAAACACCAACATACATAAACAGCACTACACCGTACATCAATATTAAGACTTAACACCAGTATACATACATACCACAACACATACACACCAACATCCAATAAAATCACTATACGTTAACACCACCTTAAATTAATATCCTCATAAATGAACACCACCACACACAAATACCAAAATACATATACACCACCATACATAAACACCACCATACATAAACACCACCATACATATACACCACCATACATAAACACCACCATACATATACACCACCATACATAAACACCACCATACATATACACCACCATACATAAACACTACCATACATATACACCACCATAGATAAACACCACCATACATAAACACTACCATACATAAACACCACCATAGATAAACACCACCATAGATAAACACCACCATACATAAACACCACCATAGATAAACACCACCATACATATACACCACCATAGATAAACACCACCATAGATAAACACCACCATACATAAACACCACCATAGATAAACACCACCATACATAAACACCACCATACATAAACACCACCATAGATAAACACCACCATACATAAACACCACCATAGATAAACACCACCATAGATAAACACCACCATAGATAAACACCACCATACATATACACCACCATAGATAAACACCACCATACATATACACCAAAATACATATACACCACCATACATAAACACCACCATACATAAACACCACCATAAAGACACACCACCATACATACACACCACCATACATAAACACCACCATACATAAACACCACCATACATAAACACCACCATACATACACACCACCATACATACACACCACCATACACATACACCACCATACATAAACACCACCATACAGTTTTTAAGAGGAATTGCTAGTGAGTAAATCAGGAAGATTTTATCATTTTTCAAACTTAATTATAAAAGGTTAATTAAGAGAGGCCACATATTTAATCAAAAAAATGATAAAAAATCGCCTAACTACACAACAGACGATCTCCGCGAGATATAATTTCAGCCAGTATCTACGAGTAAGAGCTAACTTTGGGCAACTTACAATGAAGTTTAGGCCATTTCCCAAATATCGTATTTACCAATACAGATTAAATCCCAACACTTCATTTCAAACAGTTACTAGTTAAAAACCTAACAATGCTCAATACGAAGCAATGGCGAACATATAAAGCGGTGATGGCAATACATCATACATGCACTAAACTAACTTTGAAATTTTTACAATCTCCATATATTGAGTATGTGCATTAGATAATAATACATTCACAACACTGGTGTAAAAATAAAATCACTTCTTCCTACAATCGCGATTCCATTCGGAATCCGAATCTGTGTCCGACATGTCTTCTGCACAACTTTTTCCTGCGATGGAGTCAATACTGGCACTCGAAATGGAGGGAGTAATAAAATTTTTAGGTAAGGCAGAGGGCGAACATCTCTCTCTTGGAAGAAATGTTGGAGTTAGAGCTACGGGTGGATGGAGACCATTGGTAACATCATGATCATCACTAGAGTTTGGAGACTTCTCGTTCCCAGGTACAATAAAGTAAACTTTCAGCTGCAACGATAATAAAAATTTCTATCATTTATATCAAACATTTCTACTAAAAAAGTTGTACACACACATAGCATTTGGAATTAAGATTATTATATTCGTTGTTCATATTAACTTTCCTTAATTTTACTTGTTTGTCATCATAACCATTTTTGTTGCTACACTCTTAAACATGCCACGTCTACAAAGTATTCAACCTTAGCAGTGTGCGGTGAGATGAAAAGTCGATATTCACATGATTGTTCGTGTTTATTTTGAATAAAAAAAGTACAAATATAGAAGTAGATAAATAAGCGCATTAGAAATTACAGTTTTCAAAGTTCTTGGATAAATACATATTATACAAATTTTTACAATTTAACTTCATGAAGTTGGTTATAACAGTATCTTTCTAGATTACGAATACATGAATGTAAAACAACTTGGCCATGGCATTATGAGGTAAGTGCAAAATACATCAGTGTCGTATGTGTTACATAATTAATGAGGAATTGACACAATTTATTACCTTCTGGTTTTGTTGTTAAACTAGTACAGAAAAAAACAATTCAAAATACTATATTTTGGTGCATTTATCCATCGTTGCTTTGGGATGATCAGAATACATTAACAATCAGTACAGTCATAAATACGCAGTATGAAAATATCATGAAAATGAAAAAGAAAGATGAAACAATATCCTATAAGCCACGTTGAAAATGCACCAAATTGCTACATGAACGATAAAAAACGCTATTCGTGGATAAATGGATAAAAAAGTATGTCAGTTGTTAGACATATGTTTGCTTATAATTTTTGTTGCCACACAACACATTTGTGTTACGAACACTCTCGTCCTCCGAGTCCGTATCAGACAAATTATCGCTTCCGCTGTAGTTGTTATTAGACTGCTCTTCGCCATCAAAAAGTAAGGCAAGATCATAGGATTTACGCCTGAAACTCCCGCAACTCTCTCCATCATCGGAAATTCTTCTTTCCTCTTGGTATGGAGGCGTCTCGCAGCCAATCAAATCGGGGATTTTAAAGAACACCTTCACCTGAGAGACAGAGAGAGAGAGAGAGTGGTAACTACATTGTATCATAGTCGATGGAAAGAACTGAAAAACAATCAATTTACAATATTTTTCTTGGTGCTAAGTTCAGCACAATGTTATTTTTATTATTGAAAACACTTGAGAAAAACGACGATTTTTTTGAGAGCAAACATGTTTCGACATTATCAGAATGCCATCTTCAGTGCAGAATGATTAGTGTTAAGTAATATGATACATAATATGATATGAGTAAATTAATTACAATGAGTATTAAGTATTAATAACTATAACGTAAGTTCTAAAATAAGTATTAAGAATTTATAACAAAAGTATTATTATAAAGTAAATATAGTGTGTGTGAATGGATATTAAATTATTGTGTAGAGCTTCCTTGATTGAGTGAGAAAGTGGATTGATCAGTGTCGATGATTTTAAAACAGGAAGGTGAGAATTTGTTTTACATGAAGGAGAGGCTTGAAGATGTTTGTAGATAGAGTTTTGTCTGTGTGAGTATGTTCCTTTATCCTGGTAGATGAGAAGTTTCACAATGTAACGGGAATTACATCCGCACATGAAAATTGATAAACTACCATAGATTTGGAAAGTTCGGGTTCGGGAAGTTTCAAATCTATGGTAGTTTATCAATTTTCATGTGCGGGATGTAATTCCTTACATTGGTGAAACTTCTCGCCATATCTACCAGGATAAAGGAACATACACAGACAAAAACTCCACTATCTACAAACATCTTCAAGCCTCCTTCATGTAAAACAAATTCTCACCTTCCTGTTTTAAAATCATCGACACTGATCAATCCACTTTCTCACTCAAAATCAAGGAAGCTCTACACATTAATAAAACTAATCCCGATTTAAATATCCAAGTTCACCACTACAACACTATATTTACTTTATAATAATACTTTGTTATAAATTTTAATACTTATTTTAGAACTTACGTTATAGTTATTAATACTTAATACTAATTAATTTACTCATATCATATTATGTATCATATTACTTAACACTAATCATTCTGCACTGAAGATGGCATTCTGATAATGTCGAAACATGTTTGCTCTCAAAAAAATCGTCGTTTTTCTCAAGTGTTTTTTAAAATTGCTGCTAATTAGAAATTATGGTTTTATTATTGAATAGATCAAATGACAGGTTAAATTGAGACTAGACATATATTCAATCCACTGCGTAGGTGATAAACGCAACCACGCTCAAAAAGAACAAACAAGGAATTTCCACAAACACATTCAATTTAATGAAATTATAAATTATAAACTACACTTCCTTTTCCAAAAAATGTTAGATGTTTCACGTGTTGAGAATGACGTTGATTGGAAATGAAGGTAAAGACATCTTTCAAAATGAAATGAAGAAAGATTTTGGCTTTAATAATAAAAAGATCATTTCTCTGACATTATTTCTCTCAATTTCTCTCTCTATCAAACTCAGGCAAAGTGTAAAAAGACAAAGATATTTCATCCAACGCCATTTTTTAAAAAAATAAAGCCATAATCATAATAGCGATCAACGAGAAAGTGACATTTGTCATATACGTTTAGTCATAACTACTATTCACAATGAGACTTCACATGAACAATTTTACATCTTTCATAAGATGTCTTTGTAGTCGTTGTATTACTGTCGTTATTCCAATTATATTCCAATGCTTTTGATATCATTCATAAAGAAAATTACAAAAGACATGAAAAATACCTTACCTTAAAGTCAGGTGAGTAGATTTTATTTTTCTTATCTTTATTTGCTTTATCTAAATCTTCTTTGTGTAATTCAAACCAAGACGTCGGTTCTATTTCGTTTTCGTTTTTGTCATGATGAGTGGTCATGGATGCTTCGCCTTCACTTGGTTGAGGAGTAAGACCAGACACAAAAAAAGTATTGAACCAAAACTGAAACATCAAGTCCTAAAATGAAAAATTAGACTTGATTGGACGCAATTAACTAAATCATGACGCAATGAGGTAGCTGCTTCAAGATTTTCAAAAAGATTCTCGTCATTCTGTTATCATTTTTGAATATTTGATAGACAGTTCTCCAAGCAACATTTTCAGCATTTTCAGAAGCAAGCATTACAATAAAAAAATAATGAAATTTAGCATAGTAAGGTGATCTTACCTTCATACCAAACTTTCTGTCTTTGCAAAAAAATTGGACTTTAATGTCTCCACAGACGGGTAAAGGTTGTGGTAATTTAAAAACTATATTTTTGAACCTTTGGTCGGATTCTATAAAACACAAAATCATAAACATTTTTCGTAAGTTAGTAACTTGTTGCTCGTCATTTGCGAAGAATTTCATTACATGAAGACTGAGAAAATTCTTCGTAGTTGCTTCGAGATAGTTAAGATAATCTTTTATAGCAATAACGATAGGGTCAATAACAAAATTTCATACTCATTTCAGAGCTTATTCAAACGTTATCCAGTTTCAATTATGTCAATCCCCCCCAAGCCCTCAACAAATTACAAACTTAAGTCTTTTTTCAACAATTTATATATTTACCTCTGGTGATTTTGAAGAAAATATCTTTACGTCTGTCTGCAATACATGAAAGAGTGGAGCTGAAAAATAAACAACGATCTCAATTAAAAAGTTTATCAATGAAAAGAAAAAGTACAAAAAATTAGAAAGAGTTTTGGCTAAAGAAGATGACATAAGATCATAGGATATATAGCATGACCAGACTGTCTCAAACAATGTAAAGATTTCGATTTTTCTTATTTATCCAAGAAATGGACAATTAAAGCAAGGAACACAAAAGCATGATTTTGAAGGCGTAGGAGAACGGCTAGCTATAGAGAATGGTAATAAATAGTAATTCTAAATATAGTACTTAAAGGTGATATGTCCTAAAGGGTGATATGCACGAAAATATGATATGTACAAAAGGCAAAAAGATATAATGTGGAAATATTTGAGTTAACTTATTGAGTTAATTCAGATGACAATCCTTAGTGATTTTATCAAACACTGACTTGAGTGAATTGGTATTGTGAAGGATATTTTGTCATGACAACTAAACATTTTACATTTAACAAAACTTACCACAAGTTCCGTTGCTAATGTTGGGAATGGTTTCCATAATAAAGTTTGTAATTAGCAACGTTGTTGGTTTATATATAAGTTCATGTTTAAGAAGATGACTATAATAATGAATATATCTTTTTTGACTTGGTATCGTAACACCTTTTCCATTGGATGTTCGAGCATCACCATAATATTGCATGGCTTGAACACAGGAATCAAAGTAAGCCTTATGGAGGAGATATGCACATATCATAACACCTGTACGACCCTTGTAATGGAAAATTAACATATATTCAGTTAAAATGACCACCATGTTGCTAGAATGTGTACTGAACTATGATATTGAGACTTGAAATGAAATATTCAAACATATAAATAATACATGAAATAAACTTTGGATTACATGGAGCACAGAAAAGAAGTAAACAAAAAAAGAAGCAAAATTTATTGCCCCAATATAGAAATTATAGTATTTTGAGAGTAAAGCTTCTCCCAGTTCACTTTATTAAAAAATAAAATTATCAGGAAATGCGTAAAACAAGCAAAATATGTTTCCAAAATCAAAGGTGAGCCTTTTGGGCAGGTACTTTGTTGTGCCCTGTACTATATAGCATCACCTACCTTTCCTGCTTTGCAATGGACAATGGCAACATTTTTTTCATCAGCATTAAGAAATTCATCCATATCTTCACAATATGGTTTCATCAGTTGAAAAGGAGGAGCATTATGGTCAGGAAATCGATAACGTGCAACTACATAATGCATTAGCAAAATCAAGAAGTGTGTTAGAAATACTTTGAGTTAATTGAACAGTTTACTCAGCAGTCGGTGATGTGCAAATAAAATATTGTTACAATGGTAATGTTTTGCCCCAAATTCTGCGTTACACAAGACATAAAAATCTCAAAAAATCTCTAGGTCATTAACAACAATGGTGAACTCAATTGCTCACAAATTCCTATTGCAAAACATTTCCTTTTTGCCATTTTATAGAAATATAATAAGCTGTAATACCTCTATTATTAAACTTTCCCTCATCATATTTTTTTTCAGAACACCTAGATCAAACAAGCTAGATGTTAAGGCGATTAAAGAAGATATGTCATATTCAATTAAACGCACAGCACATCATTGGCTAGTTAACTATTGCTATGTATGTTTCCTTGTAAGTTGAAATATTTAAGCATCCAAAAAGAAAAAAATATGTTTAATTTCTAAAAAATAAAATGTTCCAATAAAATGCAATGTCTTAGAAACAAGTCATTCAATCTCCATGGCAACTTGAAGAACCATGTACGTAGATAAACACATTTTTTTTTAAATGTGACAAGTTAAATATGCCTTAGGTGATCACTTGAATCAAGATTATCTCAAGGCTTCAAAATATGTCAAGGGTTAAATTGACTGAAATAAAAAAAAACATACAGATTGTAAATTTTGTAATGATCCTTGTGCTTTGCTTCCAAGAACCTGTAAATAAAATATATTTTATGTAATCATATAATGAATTTAATTTGAGAAATAATATTAAAATGCCGACATAAAGATCAGTAAGCTACCTTAATATTTCATCAATATGATTTCTGTAAACTCCTTCTATCTTATCTGATGGAAAACCCATGGCCACAATGTTAGGTTTAATATCTTTTTGAAGAGTTCAGAAATATAAAAACAAATCAATGTTTTGTTATTATAATTATCCTTCTGTATATTGAACATCAAAGTGTAGATGGAAGATAAGAAATGAATGTACTTGACCTCCTTTCAATTTCATCTAAAAGAAACCAACGTATTTGACTTCCCTATACTATAGCTATAGTGAATTATAAAATTGTTTCACCTTATACTCATAAACATTTGAAAATATTCAAAATATTGTTCATACTAAAGTGTTATATCCAGAAACAAAAGCCCCTCTTGCTAAATTTAATGCTCATTATAGCAAAATTTATCGACAATAAAGCATAAAACATACAAAAACACATCATCATAAACCGCAACAAATGTTTAAGTACACAATTAATATATTAGCCAATATTACAACAATTACTTTAAAGTTGTAAAACGACGTGATTACTAAAGACTTATTAACCATTTGCACCAGACTATTTAATAATCACGAAATTATGACAAAGTACATCAGGTATCGTATTTTAATAGCAGGTGACAAGATTTAACACGACAATTTATTAGTCCGTACTTGAAATCAGAACCATGAAAATATTCCACAAAAAAAAACCCCAAAACAGTACAAACAAGACAAGCATATAAAGGAATTGCTTGAAATGAAATGCATAACACCTGTAGACACGCATCTCTATTTTAAAAGACAGTTTGTTTTTACTAAGAATACGGAAGTAAGATATCTTATTAAATCGAAATTTCAATTCAAATACCTAAAAACACAAGAACATGTACTACATTCATAGGACTGCAAATGCTTTGAAAACGTCGCATAGACAGACATAAGGATACAAGATAGATCCAAATCAAAGCCATCTTCTTTGTATCTTCGTTTTTGTTTACTGACTTTTCTTTTTAAAAAATCCATCATGAAATTGATACCACTGACACGACGTCTTCAATCCAATCTCCTCAATTTCTCGATAGCTTCGCCATACAATGAAAATTGTTTATCACCAAAAATATTTGTATTAGTAGTTCCAGCCAGTAGCTGCTCATGAAATCGAAGAAGAAGAAAAGAGAAAACTACCGATTATCTTGGTAAATTAAGCGAGCAACTCATATAAACCTTAATCAAACAGACTCCATTTTGTAACCAGAAGAAAGTAGAAGTTGTGGTATGAACAGATGAACTTCCGTTTGCCTTATATGGTAAAGTTCGTTTAAAATGAAACAAAAAATTTATGAACCAACTAGAAGGCTGATGTGGAAATACAGTTCTACAAACAAAGACTTTTTATGCTATGGAAATTACATGTTCTTGCAAATCATATTCGATTGATAACTTTATTTTATTATAAATATGTCATGAAATAATAATAATAACTAATCACGACAGTTTTAACTTTTTACAATGAAATATGACGAATGTATTTTAGACACCTCCCCCCCGCTTTCCTATGACAATTGACAACATTCACAAATTAATTTTGATAGAATTTTTGGAATACTTATCTAATTAATTTAAGCTGAAGAAGAATAGTTTTACGATGGTAAATAAGTAAGGCAGAACCTTCTTGGTCTTGGCTAAAAGACTTACAGTTATCGTGGGTAGCCTTTTCGCAGGCTACTTTTGATAACTTCACTTACTGCCTAAACCTGGCAAATAGAGAGATTTTCAAGTTTCAGAGAAGACCGGTGTATAAGATAGTCAGTTGAGAGAAAAAAATGAAATTTACAATTGCATCAGATGCCATCATGAATTCTGGAATTATGTAACCATCTTTAGTCTTCTTATAAAGTCATCCTAATACCCGCATGACCATATTTGGTCCTCCCTTTAATCCATCCACATGTGAGCCTTCCTTAACTCTGATAACGTTGTAACAACATATTGTAGCATACATCACAAACTCTGACTGGTTTCGCTGACGAGGGCAATGGCATCAAATTATCGGAGCATGAATTGCAGTAGATGCCGCCACAGTTACGACAATGGTGCTATAAAATTAGAAACTTAATTTGATACATTCCACAGAAGTGGAGAAACTGTCATGGACTCATAGCAAAGTTTCCTTATACAGCAGCACAAACTTATTTTCACAACTTGCACAAGCACACATTTTCATCAAAAAAGTAACTTCTCTTAAAACGTACCTTCCTTCTAGATATTGAAAATACTTGCTTACATAGCTGACAATAATCTGCGTCTTTATCGTCAGCCCATTTCATTTCCTACAAAAAGAAAAGATAAAAAACTGATTGTCGTTTATCAGCTGTTGCAATCCCTGTTATTTTGCCAATTAAAGATACTGAACAAAGACGTATGAACAAGTAAAAGTCTTCAGTTAAACTGCATGAAAACTTGGTTCAATCATCTGAATTTTGAAGATACTTACGCATTAGCCTGGTTAAATTTCACATCTAATTTCATATTAAATGATTTAAAGATTAGCGAATTAGTCAACGACCATTCAAAATCCCAAGATAAGTGAGACTACATACATAATTACCAGGAATATGTGTAAGAAAATGTTGGATCTTTTACCAGGAGTATAAGTGTAAGAAAATGTTGGATAGTTTACCAGGAGTATATGTGTAAGAAAATGTTGGATCTTTTACCAGGAGTATAAGTGTAAGAAAATGTTGGATAGTTTACCAGGAGTATAAGTGTAAGAAAATGTTGGATAGTTTACCAGGAGTATAAGTGTAAGAAAATGTTGGATAGTTTTGCAATCTAACGCATGAATTAATTTTGTATTTCCTTGCAACGATACCTTCATGCTTTGATGAGCTTCTTTCATTTCAACAACTTTCAAATGGGAACTAAACACACGCAGTATAGAAGTATCTGAAAAATTGAATATCCTTGAGGTACGCAAGAGCAAAAGACCTCACCTGCTTAATGTATTTCCCATCTCTACTAAAGCCTAAAAATTCAAGAAGAATTACAAAATTTATACCATTTGAAAAAAATATTTGACAATCCAACATACTGTTTCTTGTTCAAAAAATGCCTTTTTTAAATCTTCATGAGTTTCTTCTAAGGAGAAGTATTTCTGAAAAATATGTGATAATTTATAATATATGACACAAAAAAACTCCAATTCACACTTATTACACTATTGTAGTAAGTATTATCCATCGTTTGTTTATTCATCACTACTTGCATTGAACTATGATTATTTTAGTTTATATTTTGGATAGTACAAAACTGTTCCCCTTCTCTGATGTTCATTCATCACTCCCTGCTCTAAACGTCGTAAAATTAGTTAATAATTTATATTGTGAAAAGACAGTTCTCGTTCTCTGTAAATCATTCATCACGATCCATATCAGTGTCGAGAGCACAACGCTACAAATTCATCGTCAATAACTAACTTGTTTTAACTCTTCATATTCTCGGACACGAACTTCCATTTGAGAAAGATTTTCATTAACTCGCGTCAACTCTTCCTGGAGCCCAGACCTCCAATCCCGCTCGATTTTCAAATCAACTTCAAGAGCATTTCTATGAAGAAATTTTATTGTAGAAATGTTAATATTATAAATATCGCATGATTTTCAAGTTCTCATTTAGCTGACGTTGACACTCGATGATGAGTCTGCCGAAATGCATTGTGTCTTTCAGCTTTAAAAATAGTTCTTTTAAAATTGTTGGGTCAGTGTTCTGGTTTTAAACAGTTCTTTTAAGAACTATTACGTTATTATTTTGACCATTCACCATGGTATTTGCTCTTTTTAAACAATTTTCAAACCATTAGTCAAATGCAGATAGATTATATATCAACAGTAAGATAACCATTCTTTTCTAAGTCAGGGAAAAATTACTTTGAGTAATCACACTGAGCACGTACCTTTTGCTTTCACATATCACAAGTTGTTGACTGATTTGCTCCATCGTCTCTTCTAAGCTGTTTTTTTCTTTCATGAGTTCGTTAAACCTGACCGTAAAAATCATCAAAATGCACAAGATTGCCAATATATAAACTTTCAGATATTACTAAACAAGCAGTACAGGCTCACTACAATTTGTGAACGAAATTAACGAAGTTTACCATACGTATTGTACACTATCAATACATATATGTTTATTGTAATTCTTGCTCTGATTACCTATAGTCCATTTCTTTAGATTCGCAAGTAGTCCGACGACATTTCTCTTCCATATCATTCAATTTTTCCACGTAATTTACAATCTCCTTTTGACTTTCCTACGTGTTTATAACGTGTACATTTTCATTAATATCGAAGTGCATTTATACATATGACGATGATAACAAACCGCATGCCTTTCATACCTGCCATTTCGTGTGAAGATCTAAATTAATCTTCTTTATATCGTGTAATTGTCTCCTCAATGATATCAATGTGTCTTGTTTCTCATGAATATCCTTCTCAAGCAACTGCATCGCAATCTTAAAAAAAAATTTTAGTTTATACCTCGAGAGAGAGAGAGAGAGAGAGAGAGAGAGAGAGAGAGAGAGCAACTTAAAAAGTTACATACTTCACTTTCATTTTTCATATTTTTCATAAGCTGCAATTCATTTTCTGCTTCCTAATCGAAATTTTAATAAGAAACAATGTAAACAAAGATAATTACGTATAGTGGGTATAAGCAAAAACATGACATCATTGCTACAGTAAAAATATATTACCTGCACCAATGATGATTTAAATGTTCCGTAAATTCATATTTCGATTTAAATTCAATCATGTCATCAACTTTGGTTAGATTACGCACAAAAAGCAGATAAATTTTTACAAACAGTAAATAGAGCACTATTCAACAGTAAAAGTTTGGCCATCACTAAAATGCAGGTAACTAGTCAATTATTTTAAATTTTTAAATATTCACCGTGTGCACAAAACTCAACGCATTCTCGAACAGAAAACTAGTATTTTACAATCAACAGAGTAATAAGATTTACAAAAAACATTAAATACATAAATTATAAGTTAGCAGGACAGAAACATTTTCAACCCAATACATACCTTTCGTAGGCTCTTTTCTACATCTAATTGTTTTTTGACGTCATCATACATTTCATTTAAACCTTCCCTATACCATACAAGCAAAATCGCAAGTCCACAAAGGCTAGCTCTGTTGTTTGAAATAGGCGTTCATTAAAGTCTGAGAAATTAATGTCTGTCCATAGAACAATTATCTACTGCTTAACATGTCACATAATTTGCATGTCTGTTGTATAACCTACATGTCTGTTATATGACCTGCATGTCTGTTGTATAACCTGCATGTCTGTAGTATAACCTAAATGTCTGTTGTATAACCTACATGTCTGTAGTATAAACTACATGTCTGTAGTATAAACTACATGTTTGTTGTATAACCTACATGTCTGTAGTATAAACTACATGTCTGTAGTATAAACTACATGTCTGTTGTATAACCTACATGTCTGTAGTATAAACTACATGTCTGTTGTATAATGTAAATGTCAGGGGCCCGTTGGACGAAGACTGGATAACGTTATCCATTGGATAGTAAAATTTCCAAACCTGCAAAAAAGTTGTTTGTATTTTCTTTACGATATAAAAATTTTTATTATCTTGGAAGCAATATTTTCTTTTAGTGAATGCTCACTTCAAATCTTATATATTTCTCTTTTAAGAGGTTTTTTAAACGTTCAGAAAACTTTGCTATCGAGTGGATAGCGCCATTCGGTCTTGGTGCAACCGTCCCCTGTTGTATAACCTACAAGTCGGATAACGTCCCCTGTTGTATAACCTACAAGTCGGATAACGTCCCCTGTTGTATAACCTATACGTCTTTTGTGTAACCTACATACATAAAACAACATTTTATCATGAATAAACTACATGGAATGGTTGTTTCAATAATCAAATTGATTTTATACTGACACCTTGACTTTACATAAGTTTCCCGTTCAACATTAATGTCTGCTTGAACAATCTGAAACCATAAAAGATGTATGAAAAGAGAGAACCTTTTCAGAATGGTAAAAAAAAGCCATGGATTTCGAGATTACAGTCTGATATAGAATGTTGGTGATTTATTCCACCTCAAGTTGTCGTTTATGTTGTAAGACGACGCTGCTGCTACCATTTCTTAAATCATCTCGTTCATACATAACTGTTTTCAACTCAAGCTTCACTTTACCAAGCTAAAATTTATACAATACAAATAATCTGGCTGGTCATGCACACTTTTCTTCTTAAGAATAATAAATATATAAACTAACAACGTATTATGTATAACTAAATAAAAGAAATAATAATGCAGCAAGTTACTGAAGCTAGGAAACCCAATCAGTTTCATATCATATATGTTCAAGTGAAGCCAATAAAAGTAGTGAAAATGGGATGATTTATTGGAAATTAATGAACAACAATAAATAAACAATCACCTAAATTTAGAAATTAACATATGTAGTACCTCTTCTTTCTGTGATTTATCCTGTTCCTCTAAATATTTCACCTTTGCTTGAAGATCTGCCACTGTTGAGCTGACAATAATACATAAGTCCATATTTTTATCTGCGTAAGTACTGTGATGGGTAACTGAAATTTGCCACTAGGCAATATCAAGTAAACAACTCATTTCAAAATGTCATTAATTTGTTTTTATACCCAAATTTACAAAGTGTACCCCAAATAAGCAATCCTTAAAGACCAAAGAATACAAAGAATTATTTTGAAGATAAAAACCCACGTTAGATTTCTGTTTATTTCTTCAAGATAGGCTTTTTGATCCAAAACTAATTCCATGTCAACGCCTGGAGCAATGTTGCCTGAGCTACATGATATATGTTAATATTATGCATGGTAAAATATTTTTATAATAATAGAAATATTTAAACATTAGAGATTTCATATGTGTAATGTTTATCAGTCAAACCTGTTTTCATTTTTCTCTTCTGGTCTTTCCAAATAGTTGCCTTCTTTCAAATAGTAACTCAAATCAATAACATTTCTCTGGACAACATGGAATACATCATTAAAGATCAATTTGTGATGCACGGTCTTTGCAAAAATCTACAGTAAATCCTACCTGAACATCTAAATCACCTCCCTTGATGCAAATATTACAATCAATGACATTCAGACTAACAAGCAAACCACCAATAACAGCACCTTCTTCACCCATCAGTGTTGCTGATGATTCATACCATTCACTAAAAATGAACAAGTACATATTATTTTTAGGTGATCTAATTCACAACATAACCATATGATAATAAAAATAAACCTTAAAATGTCTTTTCTAGTAAGAAGATTGTTGATATACTCTGCAACTTTTTTCTGCATCATAGCAAGGCGAAGCCATGCACGTCCTCGACCCAAGGATGTCCTAAAGACATGGATTTTAATGTTACTCTTTTCATAAGAAATATAATCATAGATTACACAGGAATTTTAACAACCACACTCACTTCAATCCAGGAAGGTTTCTGACACTTTCTGTTATTTCAGCCGCCTCTCTATCAATTTTTTCAATAAACTCTAGAGGACCCCAATAATCTTTACTAATACCAAGGAAATTTCTTTTCACTTTATGAAGCAAAGAAAACAAACAGGATGTGAATGTCGGTTACATGCAGCAAGGTGTTTTAATGACACAGGTGTTTAAGCCTTCCTAGTAATTCAACTCTGCTTAGTAAGTACACACTACATACATCATTAACTTTAAGTCATTACACAATGCTATGCCACCATTGACTGATAGTACAAGACTAAATTGTAATATGTCTTTCTAAAGAGAAATAGTTATTTTTTTCCCCTAGAGTGGATTGTATTCTTTCCTTTATTTTGCATAATATGAGACCTACCTTTGAGGCCATGCCTTAGAACATGCTCAAATATAACAAAGAATTGTTGCAAAGGTCCGTGATCTTCGCCCAACGTCCGTCCTAATTTCAAAGAACTTTCGATTAAATTCTTGATGCACAATTTAGACATGTTCAGCAGGTTTGCCCGTTCTATGGCCGCCTGTGCCATGCAACGTGATCCAGAGGAAGATGCATTGCTGGCAAATTTCGATGCTACAATGTCAGAAATATTTTGTGTTTCGTCTCCTGCCATTTTGCTATTTCAGTAACTTTGATAGGTGACGTAAGTCGTAGTAAACATTAATACGACGTTGACACGATTATGTACGGGATTTTCCGATGCTATATTAAACATGAAATTTTAGTTAAATTAAAAATAAAAACTTCAAATTAATTGACCAAGAACTTAGTTAATTCAATATCCAAATTGATTTTTTCTCCAGTCTCCTCAACACCTTCGGGTAAAATATATATTTTCCCCAAACCAGTTTTCAAAACGTTTCTTTTATCTTTAACCAAATACAAATGTTATAATGTGTTTTAAGTTATTAAGAGTTTAAGAACTATTAATCGACAACTTTTTGAATTTATAGACCCAAAACCTAGGCCTAGGTTTCAAAAAAACTGGAAAAATCCGGTCTTGCGCAATCGTACTTTTCAGAGTGCCACGTGGGGTTGAGTGAAAGAGATCGAGAGATTGGATTCTAGCGTTTGTGACTGAGAATATACGCCACAGAAGTGACAATAGAAGAGAAAGGTTTTTTGTTGGAAATAACACATATATATGGTTTAAATTTTGTGACTTTGAAGTTTATATTTATTGAAGTGATATGTTGGCGTTATTTTCTGAGTCTGGGATTATTGACCGGTGAGAATGTTTGCGATTTTGTCTATATGAAATGTGTCATTTTATCGGGCAATTTTCACGTGTAGCATATTCAAACGTGTGATAGTTTCGTTTGCATTGATTTGTTTCTACTTTTCATACTTCTAGTCTTTGGTCTCTATCATTAAGATTAAATGTGCGTCTTGAAATATTAAAAACAGTAAATGAGTCGGCCAAGTTTTTAGGCAATCAAATAAATGCATTTTTAGACTCTTGAACTATTATAAAATGGTACCAAAACTTCCTTTTGTTGTATGAAAATCTCAGCTTTATAACTACAATTATGATACGTGTATATGCCAAAATGGTGTAACTTTGTTGCAAACCTAGAATTATGTTTGAAAGAGATCTTAATTCTTTCCCTGTTGCTCAGAATTTATTTGGGAGCCATTCTAAAGACGACATTTATGAATTGTGTTTAATGGCAGTGAATAACTCTTTTGTTAAGTCACTTTTTTATGATACAGATGGAATTATCATCTGTATCATAAAAACTTGTGGACATTTTATTTTCCATCAATCACTTTTATGAGTCAGTAAATTACATTTGTTGTGACTTTTGTCATTTGTTTTTGTGATGGAGAAAAGGTGAAGATCGATTTGAAAGTTTGAAACTGTGTTTATCAGTTTTTAGTATGGGAAACAATTTATCTTATGCTGTTCTACTTCGACCATCATTAAGTAACTTTAGTAAATATGTCTCAATTGCCAATAGCATTGAAGTCAAAGGTTACTGAACATATCTTTAGTCTTTAATGCTAGTTGAAAAGAAAGCAATTGTTGATTTTTTTTTAAGGCATCTGATGTTTGATCAAAGTGAATGTCTCTCGGAAGAGTCTGATCTATACACAGCATATAATTCACCAGCAAGTAGTGGCATTGATGATTATAATGTTGCAGCAGAAGTTGAAATGTGAGCTTTTAAACACTTTTGTTTGAAACAGTTTTTTCATCAGTTGAAATCTACTTTCAATTGGTTTACTGAAATATATTATATCCAAGTTTTAAATATATTTTAGATAAAGTAATTTTTAATGGCAATGACTTTGGTTTTTATGATAATAAAATCCAAGAGCTTTATAGGTCAATGGAGTTACACATGTGGTTTTTGAATTTTAAAACATATCATTTTGTTATTTTAGTGCTAGAGATCTCAAGGATGAAGACTATACAAACTTCTTATCTTCAGATCCACTGATGTGGACTAATTTGGCTGATCTTGATTGTTCATTAAATGTAAGAATGGTAGGCTGCAAAGTTAGGACTTAAGCAACAGAACAAATGGTCTCTTTAGCTTGCTGTTCTTTATTGATGTGTATTTTTATAGTTTTAAGATAAAATAAATGCTGAAGTTTTGAAGCCAATTGACATTATCAGATCTCTTATGCCAAGTCAAGAGCATTTTTAAAAATCAATTTCAAACTTGATGTCAGATATCGCTGTTTAAGTCTTTTTGGAAAATTAGAGTTATGTTTGAACAAATTTCTGTTTTTTAGGACTGTAGGAATAGGAACACAGAGGGATCAGAATCTGAAAATGTTTGCTCAGGTACATAACAACATATCTATGTTAATATAGAATCAAACTAAACCCAAATGTTTACTTACAATGAGTTCATGAGTTATTAGTGCAAGATGCATGATGTGTGTATTTTTTCTGTTTTAAACAAAATATGCAATTCTTCATCTTGAAACAGTGGGCAAATTAACGGTGTGCAATGTGCAATTTGCACATCATTTTAGCTAAAATGAAAACAATTGCACATCACTTTTTCAAACGATGTGCAAAAATCTGTGGTTTTAACGAAAAACACTGTCGTAAATCATGTGAATTTGTTCACGTTTAAAAATATTAATTTAGCAATTACCACTATATAATAAATAACGTAATATCGATTTGATTATGCCTCTAAAGAAACACTTTTGTCAAAAAAATTGCACATCGTTTTTTCTGAACTAATTCGCACACTGTCTTGAAAGGTTTTTGCTTCAACTCTTACATCATTTTTTCAAAATAAATAAAGTGATCACAATATTATGTCATTGCAGATTATGTATTTTTGCATTGAGTGATGAAATATGTCTGTTTAATGGAGAAATTTATTTTATTTAGATGATTATTGGAATAGATGCAATTCATGGGTGAATAGTACAACATCTGATGTAGAGTCAGATTGTGAAAAATATTCTTTGCAACAATCTACATCGAAAAAAAATGAAAAATGTCAGAAATCAACAAAAAACATCGAGAGTTTATCCTGGTGAGACATGAAGTTTTTACATGAAGTTTTTGATCAAATTTATGTTTGAAGTACAGACTGACCCTATGCTAGTTGTAATACATAAGTTTATATGTTGTTTTAGTGTTTCTGAGGAAAGTTTAACAACATAAAAGCTGTAGTTGTTTTCTTTCTTTCTGAATTCTTGTTCATTTAAAAAAAATTGGTGTTGTTAGGAAAGAGATGACATCATCACAACAACGACAGACAATAGAACATCTTACGCAGGTCGTGTCTTCAACAATGGGACTGCGAGAGCAGCTTGATGTCATCAGAATTGTCAATCCTCAAGCTGTTGTCAGTGCAACTGATACAGAGTTTGAAATAGGTGACACATGCTATGTTCTGTGTTTGCTTATGAATCTTGAAAATGTCTTCTTTGGACAATCTATACAGACTAAATATTTTATGTATAGAGCATGTTTTGACTAAAACTGGTGAAATAAATGATTGTCACAATGATAAGGTTTTTTCCTTCAGTCATTTGCGGATTGTTTGGGTCAATTTTCTTGCTATCATTTACGAATGGTATTTTTGCTCTAAATAATTTTCTCACATGTTTTGAAAACTATTGATTTCCAAATGAAAATGACTTTTGACAGTATTGTATATTTCATGTTCTTCGTGTTTACATCCTATATTTTAACTTAAGTCGTGTTGCATCACGTCTACAAAATCGACAATTTATTGTTACATATTTATTATAGATTTGGAATTGCTCAATTGCGAAAAATTACAAAAGATACGGGAGTATGTTCGTCAGCACAGCTCACAAACATGTAAGTTAGGAGTGGGCAAGTGACATGTATGTTTGAAAATTGTTTTTTTGTGTGTTTGCATTATTTTTGTATTTTTTTAGCACAAAACACAAAGCACATCAGTGGTGAACGTTCGGTAAAGAAAACTAAGGTAAAAATGACCTGTCTTTAAGTGGAAATTAGGATCTTTCTGTAATCTTTTGCATCGGTGTTTGTTGGAAATCAAAGTTTATTTTTGTTAAAGATTTGATTTGCTATTTATTTTATTGAAGTGATTCTTTTGTATTCAGAGAAAAGATTTAAATCACCACAGAAGTATGTCAAAAGCAGACAAGCAACAACGAGCCCTACTAACTCGGGTTTATAAACAATTGATGAAAGAAAAACGGAGCGGACTTTTTAATAATGAACAGGTAGTTCTTTAAATTGGAAGAAGTATTTTCCTGTTTGGCAAGTCTCTCCTATGATTGTGTGTATTTGAGGCAGTTCAGCAGTTTTGTTTCTGCTTTAATTTGAAGTCATAACTCATAAGTTATCATACTGATGTATCATCTCACTAATTTGATATTTGCGTATAGATGACTTAACTTAAGTCTTCGTATATTGAAATATTAGAAACATTGCCTTTTAGATCCGAATCTGGTGTCATCCAGTGTGATTAGGCTCTATCATTTTAATGTTTTTTGTAGGATTATGCTCAATATATATTTTTGTATAGGTTATTTCCATGTCAAAAACAGCGATCGATAAAGAAGAGAATGGAAACACTAATGATAGTGTGAAAGAGGATGATGACGATATGGAAATTGACATTCTACATTAAAATAAATGATTTGCAAGCAAATGATAGAATGAAAAATAACAATGTGTATGTATGTGTCATTTTTTCCAATCATGTAAGAAAATGCGAAATGCACTTTTCACTGTTTTTTTATCATAAGACTCGATCTTTCATATTTTCACGTCGGTATGTTAGTGGCACATACGTGTTTTTTCCACGTAGTATTCGATATTAATCAATCTTTCCATAAATTGAATTTATGGATGAACACCATTGATGATCAGATGGTAAACATGTCCAATATGTCCTTTTCCCTTTCTCTGTTAAATTCATGGTTGCCAATTAAGTTTTCCCTGAAATAACTATGTAGCTGCTAAAAAGTCACAAGATATCTCATTTCACTCAAGATCATGGCACAAGAGAGAAGCATCACTTTTTTTTATTAGTTATCAGGACCTCATGCCGACCCAAGAAGAGTGATAGTTAACTTAAAATACCAACAAAAAATTTAATATGATACGCAAGTCGCAATAGGAATATTTTGTTAGTTCTTCATAGTTATGTCCAAGAAATGTTAGTTCTTTTCAATGAAAAGTTATGTTCATAGTCATGTCTGGTTGTGTCTTCTTTATCCAAGTCTCCGATGTCTTCAGAGTTCCCGGGGATCTACTATCTCACCTCGCCGAAAATTAAGCCAATCAACGCTCGCTATTTTATATATAGACCAATCACACTTTCTTACAAAATTTCAACGAAGACCAAGATGGCTGAAAGTGCAGAAGAGAGTGATCTTTTGCGAATAACTCCATTGTAAGTTTTGTGGTTTAAATGACTTTTTTGTTTAAAAGAAAATAAATTTTTTCTACTTTCGAATAGAGTACTAAATAATTACAGCGACTAAATCGTTTTTTGTTTGTTTGATCCAACAAGGGGTGCTGGTCAAGAAGTTGGAAGATCATGCCATATTCTAGAGTTTAAAGGGAAAAAAGTCATGGTGAGATGGACAAATGTGTTGAAAAGTTTCAAATTTTCAGTATAGTAATAATTCTTTGAGTGCATTTAGTTGGATTTTGGTATCCATCCTGGTTACAATGGTCTCGACAGTTTACCATTTGTAGATGAAATTGATGCAGAAGAAATTGATCTTTTGCTTATAAGTCAGTAAGTAATAAAGTTATCTTGTACATCTACAGAACATGGTTTTTCCAAAATAAACATGCTAATTATATGGGAGATGGAGCTTTGAATAATGTTACTCCACAAAAGAATTGTTTTTTTAAACTGGGGTTGCTAAACTTACAAACATAGAACATGTTAGTCTTCACCAAATTTATGTCTTTTCTAGATTTTAAAAAATTGAAGTATAGCAATTTACTTCAATAAATATTGACATTTTCATGTTTTTTGTTTTGTTTGAAGCTTCCATTTAGACCACTGTGGTGGTTTGCCATGGTTCCTTGAAAAGGTGAATTATTTTTACTTCAAATATGATATTAAATGTTAATTTTTAAATCTGCAATAAATTTGTTTTATTAGAATACATATTGACATATTTATTTGTTGTATTTAAAGGACAATATGTCATCTGCCATATAAAACATACTGTAGACTTTCTTGTTATTTTTATAGACAACATTTAATGGACGTGTTTTTATGACTCACCCAACCAAGGCCATATACAGGTGATGGATGGAAAGATGGTACTTAACAATAGAATAAATGGTTTGAACCCAGGAATATCGTTACATGTTTGTATATGTAGATTGTCCAGGTTGGTATAGTCCTGAGAAGGACTGTTTTTGTTGTTGTTAACTGACATTTCGACAACCTTAGCGGTAGTCATCTTCATTTGTTATCATCATCATGAAGATGACTACCGCTAAGGCTGTCAAAACGTCAGTTAACAATAACAAAAACAGTCCTTCTCAGGACTATACCAACATGGACAATCTACATCTACAAACAAGTAATATTAACAATGTTATGAATTTTATATATGACTTACATTGTACTAAATGTTATCATAAATTCATAATCATATCTCCTATTCTTATGCAAACATGATAAAATCATTCGAATTTTGATGTTTATTAGTTTTTGAAAAAGCCCAAATAAACATAAGTAAATCTTTCATTACATCTTTTTCATTACATCTATTTACTTTCTATTTTCTATTAGATGGCTTTTGTCAGATTTTGTGAAAGTCAGGTAAAGAAAACATTTTTTATTGAAATGTGGAAGTTATGTTATTAATTGAGAAATTAAACATCTTTCTGATATTACATACATACTATCATTTTTGATTGAAGCTCAGTTTTATTTTGACATCAGATCTATGATAATCTATTTGGTTCCTTTAGTGTATATTTAGATATATTGTAATAATTTAGTATCAGTTTCTTAAATCATAAATAAATTTCCTCAACAGCAATATGACAGCAGATCAAATGTTGTTCACAGAGAAAGATTTGGAAAAGAGCATGGATAAAATTGAGACTGTACATTTTCATGAGGTAACTTGCCTGTAGACAGATACATGTTGTCAGGACTTGAAAATTGTTTCTGGAACTGATGCTCATCAATGTGTTAAAACAACATTGAATGCAGTGCTGGTTGCTTTGAAACGTCATTTTTTGGGTACATGACGCTGACTACGCCCGATTGACTATAATTACAATGTATTTCAGGAGAAAGAAGTGAATGGTGTAAAGTTTTGGTGTTATCATGCTGGACATGTGTTAGGAGCAGCTATGTTTATGATTGAAATTGCAGGGGTGAAGGTACATGACTTGAGTTACTCCAAAAAATGAATTCCATTTTCCGTGTCTTAAACGTTCAAGAAAACATGATGTGTTTTTCTGTATCACTTATTGTTTTTTGTGAATGAAAAATAAGCACAAGATGCGTTATCTTTCTCTCTCTTGTCGAGCTTATTAAGATCAGCTTGACATATCTTTTTTATTTACAGATTTTATACACCGGTGATTTTTCCCGCGAGGAAGACAGACATTTGATGGCTGCTGAAATACCAAATGTTACTCCTGATATACTTATCACTGTAAGACAGAGTAAAAATATATAAACGGCGATAAAATTTCACTACGCACTACAAATTGAGTTGTACGTAGATTCGATCTGATGGTGAAATTTTTTCTCTTTTTAGGAATCCACATATGGTACTCATGTTCATGAACCCAGAGGTGATCGGGAAACACGTTTTACAAGTAGGATTACTTTTTAATTGTATCATTCTCTCCACAATTTTTCCACTTATAACACTGATTTATTGACAACTGACTGCACGTCTCCTCAGCCATCATGCAATCTTATAAAACTGTATCTTAAACCCATTACAGACACTGTTCATGATATTGTTAACCGTGGTGGTCGTTGCTTGATTCCTGTTTTTGCACTTGGCCGTGCGCAGGAATTGTTGTTGATATTAGGTCAGTGAAAAACATAAATTTTCCTGTACAAATTTGTGTGAAACACTCTGTGTGTTTGCTTTTGTTCACGTCTGTGTGTTTGTTTTTGTTCCTTGTACAAATAAAATGGTGTGAAATATATACGTAGGTGTATTTTTCAGATGAGTACTGGCAAAATCATCCTGAATTGCATGACATTCCTATCTATTACGCATCTTCCCTTGCAAAGAAATGCATGTCGGGTACTGTATTATTTAATCTTTAGTAATAACATTGAGAAACGACGTCTTGCGTCATCAGTACATTGACATTTTGCATGGTTTTCACTGTGGACATATAGCTACATCATAGTTACCTTAATTTAACTTTTAAACTGTGCTGTCAATATGAGATTATTGACGCAAACAAAAAGATATTGTTCTATTCAATGTTGCGAAAGTCGAATTTTTCTAATTTTTTCCATCTCTGCAGTCTACCAAACATACATTGAAGCGATGAATGAAAGAATACGAAAACAGGTTTGATTTGTTATAACTTAAGTAGTCATTGGGAAAGATCTCGTTGGACATTTTATAATTTAGCTAATAAATGGGATTTGTTGGACAACGATATTATTGATTAAATAAGTTTTGCATTTCAAACCCTATTCCATTTGTGTTATATTTTCTTTTAGATTTCTATATCTAATCCATTTGTCTTCAAGCATATCTCCAACCTAAAGGTAGGTTTGACGATGTTTACAGTCTCTATATAGAGAAATGGGAGTGTGTTAAAAAGTTCTGTTACAATAACATGACTTACATTAAGCTGAAATAAAGATCATATCACTAGCACTACGTTGTTACTACGTATATATTTCCATTGTAATACCAAATTTCTGAAATACATCGATTGAAATTGACAGAATATGGAGCAGTTTGATGATATTGGTCCATCCGTAGTGATGGCAAGCCCTGGAATGATGCAGGTATCTTGAGTTGAATAGCTGAAGCAGTTAAAAGGAGAGGCTAAGGGGAGACAGTGATTTATTTAGTTGTATATTTTGAAACTCGTGATCTTTGATTTTGTTTTATAGAGTGGTTTGTCTCGCGAGTTGTTTGAACTTTGGTGCACTGATCGTCGAAATGGAGTGGTTATAGCCGGTTATTGCGTTGAAGGGACCTTGGCTAAAGTAAATTCTCTCATTCTGTACCGTTTTCTGGACTTTTTTATGTTAATGAAACAGCATGAATGATATTCTTTGTCGATGGAATTCCTGATTTATTGCCAACATCGTACCTGTCTTTCAGTTCGATTCCTGTCACTTAAATGCTCAAAACGTTTGTAACTCTTAAACTTTCCTTTTTTATGTGGTAGAGTTTGATGACAGAACCAGAAGAAGTGCCTACAATGGCAGGGCAAAAGTTGCCAAGAAAATGTTCTGTTGGTATGTATTTACGTACTCATATTTATACCCTTGTACTGTCTGGATGCTTATAGATTTCTTGCTTTGTTTGTTTTTTAGACTATATATCGTTTTCAGCGCATACAGATTATGAGCAGACAAGCGAATTTATCAGAATATTGGAACCGCCCCACATCGTACTGTGATGTTATTATTGTGCATTATTCTAAATAAACATTTGCAAGTTTAGTTTTGTGAATGAATTTGTGATAGAAAAGATTAGTTTTTCTCCATGGCAGAACGAGTTCTGCAGCAATAAAATGAAATATTTGTATTCAATATGTCACAGGTTCTCGTGCATGGCGAGCACAACGAAATGGGACGTTTAAAGGCTGCTATTATTCGCGAGTATGAGGACAAGGTAAAATTGTTCATATACTTATAGACAATCTCTCTATAAGTATGGCACTTATAGACAATTTCTCTATAAGTATAGACACTTATAGACAATCTCTCTATAAGTATAGACACTTATAGACAATCTCTCTATAAGTATAGACACTTATTGACAATCTCTCTATAAGTATAGGCACTTATTGACAATCTCTCTATAAGTATAGGCACTTATTGACAATTTCTCTTTTGCACAGGGTACCCATGTAGATGTTTATAATCCTGCAAATTGTCAAAGCGTAGAGTTGTATTTCAGAGGAGAAAAAATGGCGAAGGTAATTGTAAAAAACAACATTAAATATTTAACTTTATATTCTGGAAATGAAACATGTATTTTTTATGTTGTTACTATAATTTCAACGAGGAGTGAGTTTTGTATTACATTGTACAGGTGATGGGATCGTTAGCCTCAGAGCCTCCATCACATGGAAAAAAGATCTCTGGTCTCTTGATCAAACGTGGTTTTAATAATTATCATTTAATCGCTCCTGATGATCTCCATAGTATGTTTCTACGTATATCGTATTTCTTTAAAAATGATTGTTGTTTTGGTTCATGTTTTTGTGATTTTTTTTATATTTATCTTCGTAGATTATACAGATCTTGCTACCAGTTTAGTTACTCAGGTATTATATTTATGTCTCAATTATCTTCAATTTATCGTAAATTTATCTTAAATTTATCTTAATTGTAAATTAATTTTATCATAAATTAAAATTTAAAATTTTTCTTAAATTATTACTTTACGTATATTAAAGATCTTTATAGTTTGTTTATATGATACATCACATGAACATATATCATTAAAATTTGTATTTGTATGCTTTACAGAGGCAAATCATTGCATATCATGGTCCTTTTTCTCTACTATATCACTGTCTTATGCAGTTGACCAACGATATAGAGTTGTTCGAACAACCGGAAAATTCTACTCTGAAAGTTTTTAATGCTGTTACTGTAACACAAGGAAAAAACTGCGTAATAGTTGAGGTAGGGAAAGATCTTTTGGCAAATGGTATTTATGAAAATCATTACTAAATCACCGTCCTTTGACTTCTATTTGACGCCTGTCTGACTTTTACTTTTTTTCCGAGAATTATGCAAATCAATTTGCACGATTCTTAGAATAAAAATCATGCTATTTGCAATATGTGTTTTGCGTGGACCATTGCAAGATCCATGAAAAATCACCAATACCTTACGTAGTGTAACATACATTTTGTTTGAAGCTAGGAAAATCGTGGAATTTAAAAAAACGACTCGCGTTTATGTTATGAAGGCATAAAATGATCAAAATATCTGATACTTAGCAATAATAGAAAATATTCAATTGATATTTTTCATTCTTATGTTACAGTGGATTGCCAACGCTGTTAACGACATGTACGCGGATGCTATTTTGACCGTCATACTGCAAGTCGACTCAAATCCGACCGCTGTTCAAAGTATGTGTTAGCTATCAATTACCAATGTACCAAAGTTCAGTGATGTAGCTATGCTATAGAACTGTCTTGTTTAAAGCTGCTTAAATAATTCATTTAGAATTTGCTACACATGACACTGGAATATGTTATGTGCAGTTGACTCAGTTGAATAAATGATTGTGTCTTGTTAGAGAAGAGGATTTATTTCATCAACACTTACATTTTATTGCATTTCTAGTGAGCAGTCAAAAAAAAGGTGACACTGGAATCTTCAAACAAAGGTTTGCCCGTGCAATAAAATTGCTGCAATTGTGTGAAAAACTTTTACAATTGATGGGTTTGTTATATATAGATTGGTAAAATTACTAAAAGAAATGTTTGGACATGACAACGTCACAGCGAGAGCTGAGCAGATCTCTGTAAGACTCGATGAAAAAAGTGCTTTAATCAACACTAACACAAAGGTGAGCAAAACTGAATGTGTTTTGACGATAATAAGACCTTTGAAAGCTACTTAAAGCACGATTTCCACAAATGACTTAATTCGGTATCAAGCCCCAAGTAATTATTTCTCTTATTTAAGATTGCTTTGATTTATCCAGTTCAAGGATTATGATTTGATTTCACAATTTATTGACACCAAAAAGGAATGAAAGCAATTGAATGCGTGCATGTTCACATTATCCACTTTGATTGTTCTTAGGAGATAAAATGTGACGATGATTTTACACGTGATAATATTCAAGCGATGGTAAATAGGTTATCCCGAGTCTGCGGAACATGATGCAAGATCAGTTTGATGTACGTATGTCAAGATAAACTAGAGTTTGGTGTGGAAAATTCGTGATAGTGAAGAAGTATTGACTTCTGTAGAGGAGAATGTATTTCATCGATAGAGCTATGTTAAAAATTTCTTCATACAGTTTATGCTTTAGATCGTGTTTTTTCAATAGTTGGTTTCCATTACATTTTTGTAAAAAAAATTACTTTACATCAAGTTTCTTGTCAATTTCAAGAGTAGATGTGCTGAAACGGTTTTTCCTTACAAAACAAACCAGAACATCATAAATCCAGGGTGTTGATAGTGAGGACAGTGCACTTATGTTGTTTGTACAGCAGCGTTTGAACGAGTGCCGGTATTATTTGAATCTTTCACATTATATAGACTATTCATAGCGAAGCCATGTTTGATATGAAGATCTATTGCCTCACCGACGATCGTCTCACATCTGTCTTGAGGAATCTAGATAGAGGTTGAGAAAAAATACAGATTTATCTATATATCTAAATGTATATTGTGACTATATATTGCATACCTGAGAAAGAAAATGTAAAACATTTTCTGATGATTTTTTTGTCAAGATAACTTGTCTAAACACCAGCAATATGGCGACAGCAACATAGGCAAGGATAGTACAAGATCCTGCGACTATCTTATCCCAAATTCTTTAACAAAAAAATTGTATAACGGGAGATAACCAGCAGTTGGTTTACATACTTAGTCGTCAGACCTTTTCAACAATAGTTAGAAAATGTTAAAGACATACACAACAGTGAATTTTGAACCTTTCTATTGAAGGATCTTGTAAATCTTCTGCAAAGAAACTCGAGAACCAACGTTGACAAGGCAGTAGTTTTGAAACACCCATAGTTTTAAGATGCCACCAAACTTCAGGATCTTCCGTTGAAATTCGTTGTTCAAACATTTCTGTGAGTGCATTCAAATGAGAAGCATGTTTTTGTCGAAGTTTGAAGAATTTCGTGCTCACCAATAGGCTGTCGACCACGTTTTCAAAAATGCCAGACATAAGTTTACCAATTGACATCAGAACCTTCATTTCACCTTCTAACGTCTTAAAACAAGAGAAAAAACGTTTCATTCAGTTAAATAATAAAGTTCACTTGACGATCCATCAAAATTGTTGTAGCATATGATAAAACTGTTGTGCATTAACAACACACTTGTTGAGTCAGAATGACGCAAAATCAAGAGTCACTTCAGATACATACATTTACTCAATCTTTTGAATCACATAAATGAAAAATTCTTGGCAATGTGTACGCAACAAGCAGACTCAGATGCAAAAGATACTGACAGAAAACGATTTCAGGTTTACATTCACAATGTGAGGTTTCTAAGGAAACCTCAGACATTTTCTAGTAAAGTACCTCTGATGGCTGCATAAATCCCATTTCTCCTTCATTAAGTAAATACATTTGCACAATATGCATGGGAACATTGTCCTTGAAGTTGTCGTTGGTTTCATGAAGTTGGTTAATAACCTTTAGAGTATGCAACAAATGTTCAACTTGTTCTTTTTGCTGTTGTTGCACAAATTCATGAATCTGTTGATATGGTGGTAAAACACCTATATAAAGATACATATGCTGCTGCAGTGCTAAAAAATTTAAGGAAAAGCTAGTTAAGATAATTGCTATTAGTACCAAGCAGAAGTTTCCACACCAATGGTCGTTTAATTGCTGGTAGTCCAAATTGCACACAAAATGTTGATAATTTATCAAGATCTGTAATATTAAAGTTAATGATAAAGGACACTTTAAAATTCCAAACATTGCAGCTAGCTTTATATTACACACTTTATTACACATGACATAAACTATCACTTGCTTTAGATGTCTACAAATAATTCTACCAATAATTGCCATACATTTTGTAAGCAAACAAATCAGCTTTTAAAGTAATATTCACACAAAGAAATTGAAGTCAGTGTCTGGCTTTGCAGACCAAACACAAAGTTTTTTTTTTACCTATTTCGTCATCTTTCAAGAGCAGTTCAAGAGCTTTGCGTTGTTCAACTCCCCGTAATCCAAGGTTTTCGTAATACAATGATCGAAAATTTCTCACATTTCCTTTTTTTTCCAATGCATTCGACATTTCATGATTTTTCTAAGGAAATTTCATCGTACTCTTGTTCAATTCATTAGAATAAAGTCATGGAAAGTAGAAAAATAAATTATAATATTTACCTTATGTATGCAATGTGAAAAAGCAACTCTATTAAAAGTTTAAGACAATTCACTAATATGTTCTGTTACTTAAGTATAACTAACCTTGCAAAAAAATTTGTCGATTCTTTCACATGTAGTGTTTACATTTGACTAGGAGACAAACCAACAAAGTGTTTTTACAAAGAAATATGAAAATTTGTCATAAATTTTGGATAAATTAGCATGCTTACATAAATTAGCAATGATTATATTACGTTGTTTTGTTTGGTATTGCGAAGCTGGTTGATAAAGAAAGCAATATTTATTTTTTATTGAACGAGTTTCTTCCGACAAACCGCATCTTATGAAGAATGAATCAAACTTATAAATCATTTAGGGAAAGAAAATCCTTCGGTAAGTATACTTGTCTGTATTTTATCGCGCTTAAAACCGAAAGTCAGATAGATAAACGATTTTTACGATTCAATAATCAATATCGTTCTACGATTTTCAATGGAATGTTTGGGACTGTTCGTTTTAGCGGCGAGAAAACGCGATTCTGATGGCATTACAAAGCAGTATCCTGACAAAATCCCAGTAAGTGCAAAGAACATAAGATACTCATAATACACTTACAACAATATTTTGTTATACAATACGCTATACGGACAAGCTGTGTTGTGTTTACTTACTATACTCTTGTCAATGCAAAATTACAAATGCTTTTTGTTATAGCTTGGATTTTCACTCATTTTCATTTTCATAAGACGAATATTTGCCTTCTTGCCTTTTTTTATTGTCTTGGTTATTCAACTACTAACTTATTTAGGTGATTGTTGAAAAATATGTATCAGAGAAAAGTTTACCAATCTTGGACAAAATTAAGTATTTGGTTCCATCAGATTTGACCATGAGCAATTTGGCTGGAATCATAAGGTTTGTGTCACTTTTTAACATTTTTTGGACATTGTGAAATGCATCACTACATTGTCATTTGTTTGATGATTATGTTATAATTGCATATATTAAGCTAAAAAATAGGACATTGAATCATAACATATACAGACATAACAATGCTATAATTTTCAGTGATATATTGATTTTTGGAATAGAAAACGACTTCAACTTAGCCCAACCCAGGCGTTTTATCTCATGGTGAATGAACGAAACATGGTAAGCAACAGTGTTACCATTGGTGAAGTATACCGCAGTGAGAAACATGAAGATGGCTTCCTCTACATGGTTTATGCATCCCAAGAAACCTTTGGTTGAGACAAAAATTTTGTAAATACTTGTCACTGGGAATGGGAAAGAAAAAATAGCTGACATAAATTTATTATCAAAAAAAAACAAATTGATGCATTTTGGTTCTCAATGGGTCATGTAATATATTAAAACGTTGTTTTAAAATTGCCACCACAACCAAGTCTCTATTTTATTATGTTAAATGATTTATGCTGTACATCAATTTTTAGAGGGTAAGAAAATCTAAAAATACAAAAATTTCTAGTTGAGTTCAAAAGAAAAGCGGGGGGCCCATGTTTCTACTTTGTGGTCTTAGAGCAATAAGGGGAAGATGCATTTTCCATAGTATTTACTCTGTCTGATTAATTACTCATTTCAATGGAAAGGAGATGTGTTTTCAATGGAAACCAATTAATAACTATGAATTCCCCTCCCACACACTGTTGTTTAAACTGTTGTCTAATTATGATAAAATTATGTAATGAGCTGCTGAAATTTCATAATTTTTTATTTAATCTTCAGCTGCCAGTTTTCACTTAGCTGTTTGCATCTTACAACTTTATAAACGGGTGGCACAATGAACATCTCTCCAATCAAATATGCAAGATCTCAATTATTCACATACTTTACCATTCTTTAATTGCGCACTTTTAGCTAATTTAAACAATTGGGTAAAAACAAGAAATTATTTTGTGCACCATTAAAGTTTCCTTTGAGTGCTAGACCTTGGACGTACGTGTTCTTTCCACATGCATTAATTTTCAAATAAGAATAAATGACAGCAACGAATAAACTTGCATTGACTCAAGGATTTTGACATTTTTATAATAGTGAGTACATTTTGTGCGCTGGATTTTGCACCAGCTGCTATTGCTTGTAATTGTCAATTGATATTCACTGGAAATGTCCTGTTGATAGCGCACTATTTTCATACTAGCTGAGGCAAAACAGGGAATTTTATTTGCAGAAAATAATCGAGCATGAGATTAGTAGTGGGGGATGTCAAGATCAATTTTTTACTACTTTATGAAATGGCAACCGATATATTTTAAATATTTCGAGTCTCGTCAGTTAACGTATCTTGGTGTTCATATGTTTTTATAAATTGTTTTAAAGTACCTGTTCGCAGGCTGGAAGTGTTTTTCTAGGGAGAAATATGTAATCATGACGAATATTAACTGAATATAACAGAGAGTAAAGATTATAGACTTTGCATAAAAGACTGCAAGTTTATCGTCTTAAATTTTCTCTTTAGCATATTGCATGCTTATTTCACGGATAGAATTAGTCATGTGTTGCTTGTGAACAAAGCAAAAGCTTATCGAAATTGTTTTGCTCTTATACATAATATATTAAAGTGCTTTGGTTGTTGAGCGTTTGCTATTTTGATTAGTATTTCGCTTATGTCAAGGGTATTAGAGTTTCTGGTTTTGCAAGCGTAGAAATGAACAAAACAGACCTGTCAATTCGTCGAGATTCAGGAAATTCAGGCACAGCTAGCTCGCCCACAGAAGACACACTTAGCCCTACCAAGACGACGCTCGACTACTCGAGAAAGCAAGAAACTAAAAAGAATGTTTCTGTCGCTGTTCCCGGCGTGATGAAACCAAAAGCACCGATAAAGAAGAAAAAAGTTGCTCCTACCATCGTAAGTGAATACAAAATATTGTCTACTGCCTACCTGCGAAAATTGTTATCACAAAACAGTAAATCAAGCATTAAATATCATGTTGATTTTATTCAGGATGTAAAAGATGAAATATCGAAATGTCGCGAAAAAGGCTCAACTCGACTCGATCTGAGCAAAGCTGGGGTAAAAAATTCATGTTTGTAGTGATTCTTTAGTGAAAATGGTATATGGTGTGGTTGCAAACAGCTGTATTATATATTTCGAGCATCGATATTTGTTACGATTCTAGAATTCGATAATTTATCATAGCTATGCATCTCAACACCAGATGTGGGCGTATGACTTCTAAATGATATTATAAATTGAGACTATGGATCGTAAAAAATTCATTCTCCCTATTGAAATTATGTGAACGACTCCGCGGTGATTTTTGAATTTATGCAACTACGATGCTGCATGCATTGAGGTTTTCCTCAGGTCACACTACATAATCAATCTGAAGGCACCGCATGTGTGTGTTATGTCTGAATCTTTCGACTTCCCTATTGGCTTACAACTTATAATACTTCCTTAAGCATTTCCATAACAAACACGCATCACATGCTTTTCCCTTTCTGTATTGAAAAGATTATTGTTTATCAATTGAATTGAAGGAAGTTTTTAGAAATAGATTTTTGATACAACGTACAATACAGCTAATATAGGCTGCTGCCCTCCTTCAATGTCAAACAGATTCATGTCAATTGACAATAAAGAAATAATTAATCTACCAGACAATAACTGTCTGTTTATTTAGGCCATTTACAATAATATTTTGTACTAATTTATACAGTATTTATGTTTTATGTATGATTACAATTATTCATCAATATGTGTGATACAAAAATTGTCTTATACTTGCAATTTCAGTGATATCATTTGAAAAATTTTCTTCTGATGAATATAACAAAGATGTTTAGGGGATGCTTTCAAGTTGTGCTCATAAACATTTCCAATTAATTTCTTGCATGGAAAATATTTGTACAACCCATTTATTTTTCCACTTTTCTAAGTTAACTTTTTTGTATGATATATTTTTCAGATTCACCATCTTCCTAAAGACATAAAAGAGGTAGTATAGTATCTCTTCAATAGTTGCTGTACTATATTTAGCTTCTATGATTAGTAAGCTTTTGACAGGGCATTTTGTCTGCTTGATACTTGTATTATTTCATACTCAAAATATGCATAATACATTCAAACCACAAAATTTATGCGAATCATAGTCAACATAGTGACAAAAAACTTAGTACAATGATATTCACAATGATTTAGTTGAAGAAGTTGACCGAGCTTTTTGTATATGGCAACAAACTGGAATCACTTCCCATTGAAATTGGCACGTTGAACCATTTAAATACTTTGGCATTAAATGAAAATAGTCTGACTACCTTACCAGGTTTGAAAATTCAATTTAATTTCAATTTTTCTTTTCTGATAAACCTCCATGATTTGTTTTTTCTAGATAACCTTGTAAATTTGTCTAGTCTAAAAGTGCTAGATCTGCGACACAATAAACTCAAAGAGGTTTGTCATTGTTGCTTTGAAAACATGTTTTTCATTTATATTGATGAAACTTTTAAAGTTGTTTTGTACTTTAAAATTCCTTTAGATTCCTAGTGTAGTTTATGAACTTGTATCATTAACTGTCCTTTATTTGCGTTTCAACCGCATCACCTATGTTGATCCTGCCATCTCTAATTTAAGGGTAGGTTTATTTGTTAAAAATATTTCATATTTTTACTGCATTTTGGGATTTGAAATGTTCAGCTTTTTAATGACAAATCTATTTGATATTTTTAGCTCATTACAAAATTGAGTCTGCGAGAAAATAAAATTCGTGAGATTCCATGTGAAATAGGTATTGTGGGCTTACATTTTTTTGGGTCGATAGAGGATTGAGGTTAATTTAACTTAAGGAAGAAATTATGTTTGCATTGAATTTTTTTCAATGGCAAAGTCAGTGAGTAATAATAAAAAAAAGTTGTTGCAATTGTAGTCTGGTATAGCTTGGTTATCATAAACAAATGAAATTCCAAAATGTGGTCATTTATTACTGAATGACTCATTGAAATAAGTTTCTTTTAAGGTTATCTTATCCATCTTATGACATTAGATGTTTCTCATAACCATCTTGAGCTTATACCTCAAGGTGAGGATTGAATGTTGTCTTCATGAAGTTTTCATGACTCTGTCAAGACTTAGGAAATTAATGGCTTTTGTGTAATTTTTGCTTAGAAATTGGCAATTGTATCAAAATGATATCATTGGATTTACAACATAATGAGTTATTGGCCTTGCCTGATTCCTTGGGAAATCTTATTGCTTTGACACGTTTGGGGCTGAGGTACAAAACCATGTAGTTTGTTGATTTGTTGATGATGATATGATGATAAATGATAACCCTCCCTGCTTTTCCCACAGAAAGTTTATAAAACAACTTGAGAATTGATGTTTTTGTGATGAGATTCAGCGCACTATCAGAATGTGGCCTTTTTTCATGAGTGTGGGTTTAAATTTCCAGATATAATCAACTGTCAACAATTCCACATACTTTGGCAAATTGTACGTTTTTGGAGGAATTTAACATTGAAGGAAATCATGTAACCGAATTACCAGTATGTACATGTACATTATATGCTTATGCTTGTATTTTGTGAACAAGTTCACACAGACTAGTGTAGATGTTCCATAGTTTATGACCTTTGGGAACAATGTTACATAAGTTAAAGATTAATTTGTTCTATCATGCAGGGAAGTCTCTTGGCAAATTTCAAACAACTAAACTCAGTAACATTGTCTCGAAACAAATTTGTTAATTTTCCATCTGGTCCTCCAAAGCAACTGGAAACTGTCACAGTTAGTTCTGTATTGTTGAACATTACCACAAACTGCATTATCTAGTATGTTTTAAAATCATTCTAGTCCTTCAATTTGGATCATAATTCTATACAAAAAATTCCTTTTGGGATTTTATGTCGTGCAAAATATCTGGTGAGTTTTTTATGTTATTGAAGGTATGTAGTGATAAATGGAGAAAAATTGTTAATATTCCCAAAAATAGAAACATATAGAACTTTTTTGATTATGTTTAGAGAGCTTGATAATAATGTTATATTTTATAGTGCAAACTGGATCTAAGTAACAACGTTATTTTATCTCTGCCTGTTGGTGAGTTTGATAAACCAATTTCACTTCACTTCAAGAGAAATTAAAAACAAAATATTAATGTAACAACGGATATCCTTTCATAGATTTTGGTACATGGACAACTCTTGTTGAGTTGAACCTTGGAACAAACCAAATTACTAAAATAAATGGTGATTTCAGTTTACGTAAATTGTTACATTTCAAAGTTTGAACAAATTCATTTGCTAATCAATACGTGCTTATTATTTCTTTAGATGATATTCATTCTTTGGCGAATCTTGAAGTTTTAAATTTGAGCAATAACTTACTTAAGGTAAATTAAAAACTTAAATAAGTATTTTCGAGAACATAAAATTGCAAAAGCTTGAATAATTTGATTAAGAAACTACCTCGTGGTATTGGTGCTTTAAAAAAACTGAAGACACTTGATGTGGAAGAAAATCAATTGGAAAGTCTGCCTACGGAAATAGGTTTGATATATATATATATATTACTTATTTATTATATATATTTTCTGATGAAGGCTCAAAGCAACGAGTCGAAAGCTCAATAAAACTCACTTTAAATCTGGAGAAACTTTTATCTTTTATATATATATTACCGTCTAAACTGCCCGCATTACAAACGTTTGCTGAAAACGTTAAAATATTTGAATTTTAGAATGATTTAATTTTATAATCAAATTTATTGTATGATTATTGTCAACTTCGGGACTGTGCTGGATTAGATGATTGTTTGCATGCCATTTGTTAATTCAATATTTTAAAACGGACTTGTTAAATGCTTAATGCTGACTAAAATTGGCATTTGTTTTTTTCAGAGTATTTAAAAAGTTTAGAGATCTTAAATGCACAATCTAATCGTTTACAGACACTTCCTAGATCAATAGGGTATGTATGTATATGTAAAGCCTTCTTATTGTATGTTTGTGAGTTCTATGTATCGATCTGCCATCAAATAAATTTGAACACAAAATTAGTTAACTACTTTTAGGAAATTTTTTGCATTGTAGTAACAATTTGTTTTTCAGTTACCTGAGCAACCTTACGAAACTTAGTATTGGTGAAAACGTTATATCTTATATTCCTGAAGAAATAGGTAAACTGTCAACAAAATATGGATAAAGTTTTACCTATAGTCACTGCACGATTAAAGTTGGTATGGATATGAAAGTTTTTTCTATACCTTGGTTATGGTATGAATATTTTAAATGAAACGATAGCAGGGCTGTAAAATAATGAAAAATCAAATTTTGGGCTTACAAAAGTCAGCCATCATGCGGTTATGGTTGTCTAGTTTCCATGAAAGGATTTGTCTCCTTTTTTCTCAGCTATTGGTTATTGTCCCTTTTATTCAATGCAGCAGTTTTTGTGGATGGCATATTTCTTTGTAGGAACTCTAGAAAGTTTAGAGCAATTGTATTTGAATGATAATGAAAATCTTCATTATTTACCCTACGAACTGGCGCTTTGTTCCTCTCTTCAAATTATGAGTATCGAGAACTGTCCACTTTCTCAGTATCCCCCGGAAATTGTAGTTGGTGGTCCATCTATGGTCATTCAGGTACTCGTTAACGTATAAGTATTATATTGCACGACTGGATTATGTAGTAAAACAAATTTACATACTGTACATGTCTTGACATAACTTCGGTTTGTTTTTAAGAAAGAAAGTTTTATTTTCAAGTCATTGTATATCTGTGGATAATGTAGTACGTTTTACATATATGCATTTTTGCCAAGTCATTGTATATCTGTGGATAATGTAGTACGTTTTACATGTATGCATTTTTGCTAAGTCATTGTATATCTGTGGATAATGTAGTACGTTTTACATGTATGCATTTTTGCCAAGTCATTGTAAATCTGTGGATAATGTAGTACGTTTTACATGTATGCATTTTTGCCAAGTTATTGTATATCTATGGATAATGTAGTACGTTTTACATGTATGCATTTTTGCTAAGTCATTGTATATCTGTGGATAATGTAGTACGTTTTACATGTATGCATTTTTGCCAAGTCATTGTATATCTGTGGATAATGTAGTACGTTTTACATGTATGCATTTTTGCCAAGTCATTGTATATCTGTGGATAATGTTGTACGTTATCGTCGATTTGCACGTATCCAAAATGCAACAAAAAAAGTCACTGGAAAGTCTGCTTATTTTTTTTGGTATACCATATATTTTAAGTCTCTTTGGCGAAATTAAAGTAGCAACATGTATTTTTTAGTACCTTCGTTTTCAAGGACCTTATCGTGTGATGTCAAATGATCCTAACCAGGTACCCGTGTCTGATCTCTAGTCGTTCGTCATCTGTTTGGTGATGTAAGTGCATGTTGTGTGGAGGAATGAATCTGGAAAATGCTTCCAGTAGATTGTTTTTATAGTGGTTTTACGAGTCTTAAGGGTGATAAAAAAGAGCCACTGGTTGGCTGGAAGAAACAATAGTATGTAAAAGTTAGCGGTCATTTTTCAACATGCAGTAATAATCATGTTGTTGAGGATGATGGCTGCAAAATAAAATCCATTTTTCCATCTACTAATTTAATACCTCCTTAGATTTATGAATATTGTTCTACTGTAGATCATTACACAATGTTCTGTGCTAAGTTTGTCTGCGAATATCATGGGAAAGATATCAGAAAAAAAACGAAGATGATATTTATTCTGTTTTAGTTTCACTCCTTTTATTCACAGACGAGAGTAGTTGTTCAACACAGCTTTCAATAGGTTTAACAAGAGTTAAAAATTGTGGTAATCTTTGAGCTAAGGACGTTGTTGTTTTGTTGTGATCAACTGTAGATACATGTGTATGATGTAGAAATTTTTTAAATTTGTTGTAACCGTAGCGTACATTAAAGGATTGTATATTTTGTGATGGATATGTATGTTTTATTGTATTACAATAAAACTTTACTTGTACATAGCTGTAGCATTTTCAAAACGAAAAAAAGCAATTTAGATCAAAAAATAGAATACTTATTCAAAATGTGTGCCATTCAAGTTTATTTCGAGAAATTACTCTAAATTGTTTGATGGTTTAACGATTAGAAATGACTATGGGTGATTGTTCAAGTCCAAGGGTAGAAATTACAATGAAGTAGGTAGCCTAGGCAATAATAAAGACTAAAATATGCACAGACGAAATGCGCTTTGCGATTCAAATGAACGTTTGTATCATGAGGTCTTTTAGGAGTAAGCCAAGATATAGCTATCCAGTAAATCATTGGTGATGACGACAGAATCATTCGAGTGGCAACCTAAATAATAGAAAATTGTTCGTGAAAATGACTTTGAATTTCATCTCTCTTTATCTAGAAGTTATAAATTGTAGCTTATCAATTATGAAAACACGTGTTTTCTTGATATATATAGTGAAAATTAATCTCAATACCCCATTCCTTCCCATAGAATAATTTACTAATCACTGAATAATTTGTGTTATAGTTACAATAGTTATAGTTTATATATGTGCATATAAACTTCAAAAAAGTCAATAAGTGGACAAGTATGCCAGCCTTAGGCACGTTTTTTTATCAATTTGCTTACCTGAACATGCATTGATGTCACACCAAATACAACAAGAAATAACAAATGCACAGTGTAGACAAAGATATTCAAAATGTTGTTTTTATCTGGCATAAGTAAACCCAGCGTCCAGACATTTTCTCTTCTTTGTTGTATCAAGTATTCGCGTATACCCCAAACTGACATAACGATGATTGGTAAAACAAGTAAGAAGTTAGGTATCTGTTTAATTTCATAGTAATTCAAGAAACCGACGTTCCAATAATGTTTTTGTATGTAACGATAGGGTAAAGGTACACTATCGTCACACCATACGGATTTAAGTTTCTGTAATGGATTTTTACAAAATATATAATAACCATAGCCTTGAAAAATGACGAAAGGTAAGAGGATTATTGCCAAAAACATGAAAGTTTTCATAAGATTTCGCGCTATAGCCTTCAAGCTTGTTATCCTGTCTTTAGATTTTGCATCGCGATATGGTATTGTAATGTTTTTTAGTGCCGTATAACAGATGAAACCGCACGAAATCACGCCATTAGATCGTGTAGCACTGCCTAGTGAAAAGATCAAAGAAGCAATAAATAGTTCATTTCTCTCCACGAAAAACATGCCCCAAAATTGGGTCATGGCAAACACGCTTTCCGAATAAGTGGCAGTAAAGAATACACTTGACGGATTAACACAAAAAAGAACCACAACATTTTTAGCGAGTTTTGGATTCTTAAAAAGAGAGTTTGTCAAACAGAATAATCCCATAGATGCGACAACAAATGAAAGAGTGTTTAAGAACGTGGATGCAAGCAAAAGCAATGACTTATCAGTCAAGTTAAGAATTAGTTTAAAGGGTTGTAACGTGAGGCTGAACGTATATAAAAGTGTAGGAAATAAAGGAAAGAACGCCATGTTTTGCTCGAAACGGTAACCATGTGTGGCAATGTCAAGAAAGTATACAGAATCCCATTTTGAAAATCCGCCCAACATTGAGGAAACGATCAGGTTGACTGTGTTGTTTTGCGCAGAATTCTGATCACTGCTAACGCTGCAAGCCAGGTGCTCTTCCGATGTGTCGTAATCAACTATCATATAATTTGAAAAGCTCTAAAAATAAAAAACAATCTGTGTTTCACCGCTCTGACACAGTGACACTCATCCGTCCCGTCAGGACCTAAGAAACTCGGTTGTGACATCACCTATGTTGTCCAAATATTCTGTGAGATGGTAATACAAAGAATCTTATGCGACATTAACGACCGTGAAAGCCTAATCCTTGACATTACTTAAAAACTTACCTGCATCAAAATACCAAACGCTCTGGAAAGCAAAGCAATTCTTAACACTTTTCTTACACCTGTTACGACCGCCATGTTTTATTTGAAATTTACACTACTTAGTGTAACACTTTTTTTTAAAGTTTCAACGTTCACGGTTCACACTAGGTGTACACGTTGCTTTTTTTCTTCTTTCTTCGTGGTTTAGTCTCATGTTATTTCTGTCGAGTTAAATACAACTAAATTACATCTTCAACAACAGCTGTAATTCATACAATAATGCATCAAAGAATTAAACTTTGGTGCCCAGACAAGAAGTCAGCATTCAAAATACGGAAACACATATTGTGCTCCCTAGGCCTCTAAAAGACAAATACTACACGCGGCCACGGTAAAGAAATATAATGGTGGATTTGCAATACACGATTCAAGTTTCCAATATATCTGATGTGATCTCTATCAATCCTCGTTGTTAAACGAAGAACTTGACCACAAATTTTTTATTTGGAAGAAAAAATTTGTCCGGATAACATATAGTGTATGTCTCTGGAGATTCTTGTGGCTGGATTTTGGATAAATTTTGTCTAAATTATCGCGAAATCATGGAGAATCCACCAAACCAAACTGTTTACATTAATAATTTGAACGAAAAAGTAAAGAAAGACGGTAAAAAATGTTTGCATTCCATACGAGGATAAAAATTGTGATAGGCCAATGGTATATTTAATTAATTGTTCTCTTATTTTAGAGCTAAAAAAATCGTTGTATGCAATATTCTCTCAGTTTGGTAATATCTTGGACATTGTTGCATTGAAGACTTTAAAAATGCGAGGCCAAGCTTTTGTGGTCTTTGCAGACATTGCTAGTGCAACAAATGCTCTTAGATCGATGCAAGGCTTTCCTTTTTTTGATAAACCTATGGTAAGGAATTACCTTTATTTTTACGACTTTTAATTTACTTTCAAACTTCCAAGAGATTATTTAGTCATTTAAGTGTACAATTTTTGCTTCTAGCGAATACAATATGCAAAGACAAAGTCTGATGCCATTGCTAAACTTCAAGGAACATATGTCCCGAGAGAAAAGAAGCCCAGAGAAAAGAAACCTGATGAACCCAGTAAGTTAGCCTTTTTTTAACTTTGTTTTTGACTCAAAAATTTGTTGAAGAAATTTTTGTTGTATATTGCCTTTGGGTGAAAAATATACAGCATGTTCAGTAAAACAAAAAAGTTTTAAACCACAACAATTGTTGTTCCATGTTCCTCTGTCCTTTTCCCTCCACACACTTTTTCCACAATGGTTCCATTTATTTATTTTAACTTTATAGAAAAGGCATCAACAAAGAAAGCAACCTCTAAACAACAGCAAAGCAGAACACAAGCACAAATGTCAGCTCAACCCAGTGAGTTTGATTTAAAACAAACTTAACAAGAATTTAAGAATAGGCCGAGGCAAAACACAGGGATAGTTCTTTCATTTACTTCTTTTTATAGACATGATGTCCCATATGATGCCAATGCAACAACCTGATGCTCCTGCCTTACCCAACAAGATCCTCTTCTTGACACAATTACCTCCAGAGACCACTCAGATGATGCTGGCCATGCTGTTTAACCAGTACTGTATATTACATTGTTGATTTTATTTGTTTTCAAATATTTTATGTTTCTGTATTCTGATGTTTCTGAGTTTCTAAAATATATTTGAAGTGAATGGCTTTTCACAACATCTTGAATACTAATTGTACAACAATTTAATTGGAATTGATTTGAAAATGCTGTAAAATCGCAAAGGAAAAAGCATGTAAGCATACCTAACCTTAGCTAGTTTGTTTATATATAAAATTTTTTCATAGATTTCCTGGTTTCCGAGAAGTGCGACTTGTTCCAGGTAAATCGGACATTGCCTTTGTGGAATTTGAGAATGAAGTTCAAGCAGGAACAGCTAAGGATGCTCTACAAGGATTTAAAATAACACCTACAAATGCTATGAAAATAACTTTTGCAAAGAAATGAAAAATGGCAAGCATTGACAGGTTTTACATGCATTTGTTCCTTTTATTTGTCATTTATACAATATGGTGAAGGAAATAGCTATTATTAAGATTGCTGTAATATTATAAGGAGGAATTCGCTACAGAGTTTTGAAAGGCTTTTTGGGGAAGTGCAAACAAAAACTATGCCTATGCTTTAAAGGAAATGCCTACAATTTTCCCAGTTGCTGAGTTGATATTTTGTCAATTTTATCTTTAAACCATTTTAATGAACCATTTTAAGAAAAAAATTTGCTACATGCAACACTATGAATGTGGTAATGTTAGAAAAGCTCATTCATTATGTTTTGTACTGTGAATTTTTATTTAATTCCACAGGAATCATACCAAATTAATTGCAATATTGTGCTTCTTATTGTGTACATTAAAAGCTATGGAAAACTGAAAGGTAGAAAAAAATCAGACAGATGTCACATACAGACATAACACATAGTTAACCATAATAACATGACAATTTGGATTTAAAATACATGTTGACGTCACCATGTTGACGTCAGCGTACTGACGTAAAAAAATTTGTTGCAATTGCGCATGTAAAAAAAAAACAAACAAAACAAAAGTATTTTCTGCAACAGTTTTTGTTATACCACCCTTGACTGCTGTACATATTTATTTTTTATAACCAAACAATCTTTTCCATAGTAATATTTCTAGTTTTATGCTAAAGGGGGAGCCCCTGGCATTTAATTCCTCTGTATTGTCATGCAAACTAGGTTTAGAGGTTTAGAACTTTAGGACAAGTTGGAAATTTTATTGCCAGTTATATGATCAAATTTATATTTAAATGGCCTGATGATATATTTTGTGACATAAAATATTTGCAGGAAACATTAAACGATGTCCGCATATGTAAACGACTTATTGTTAAGTCAGTGTATAAACAACTTGTTTTATCATATTACTTCGCATTTGTTAATTAATTAACACGATAAAAGCAAACGTGAGATATATGGAATTGGATGACCATTGTATCGTTGTAACGCTGTTGTTTGTGGAGGTCATTGTTTGTGTTGGTGTAACGCTGTTTTTCGTACAAGTCGAATTTTCATTCACATTAACTGGTATTGGTCCGTCCATTCTTGAGCAAGGACATTTCGGGTCCACATAACGCAAATTTTGACCAAAAAGTTTGTTACACAATCCAGTGCCATTACCGTACCACTAAGGTATTAGAAAATAAATTATGATTTTATACACTCGTGTCATCGTGTCGTTATAGTTGATGTTGATCGTCCAGGTTAGTGTAGTCCTGAAGACTGTAGGGACGGTTACCTGTAAGAATGTTGAAACGTCAGCGAACAGCGATAACCTTCCTAAGAGTGCACTAACCTGGACGATCGAACTTTGTGCCTTGTGGTAGAATGTAATGTTTAATTATTATTATTCTCGATCATTACTGAGCATGCATCAAACTAACGTGCGTAAATCTGAGATCATAGCTTTGATTGAATGTAAAATATACCTGCTCAAAGGTACGACATGTTGAATTCTTAGGACAGGAATATGTTGAGTTAGCGAATTCAAAGTCATCCAGCCATTCCTCTACACAGGTCTGCTCATTTTTGCAGGCTTCAAACCAAGCATCACAATAATCTCCACAAATTGGCACATTTCTTATTCTGAGATCACTAACTTTTGATTGCCATCGGATCAATCGAGGTTCGCAGTTGAGGGTACAAGACGCTCTTACGAGATATTCATCGCATTGCTATGTTTAAACATAGAGATCTTTTTGAAAAAACAAACTTTGATAGTTTTGATGGAATATTAAAAAATATTTTTAAATCCTGTTAATCATGAAGTGAAACTAACAGAAAAAACATTTCAATGTTGCTATTGGTCAGAAAATGTGTTTGACTTCGATTATTCTTATCACATGCATGATCACACAAAAAATTTCAATGAAGTGTCCTTTTTGTTCCATATACTGTGTCTTCACACACATTAGAAACTATTTATGTAAACTGACAATTTTACTAGTCTTTTGTTCTGGAACTTTACATGCCAAAATGTGTGAAACTTCATGTTACTCTTGGAGTCAAGTTGAGAAATTAAACATAATTCTTAATACTTGAAGTTCAGCCAAGCATGAAATTTCAATATATTTGGTCTGTATTATACCTAACCTTGGAAATATCCTTGCAGTGGCCCCAATGAAACCCTAAAAGCAGGCGAAGTCGTGTTCTGTTGAACTCGTTCGCAAATTCTGGAGTACAACAAGTGTTTTCACTGTAGGCTTGGCATGCTGCGTATTCTACGGTCGCCTTTGACGAGATTCTTTTATGAAACGGACCTGGAAGGCAGATGTCCATTTTTATCTCTGTAATAGTGGCAAGCAGGATAACAAACTGCAATATCTTCATGATGTTGATTTTAAAATTTGAGCAGTTTCTTCAATAGAAATTGGCATTAATTAAAAATCAAGACTCTTGACTTGTGTTCATATTTACGTCGTAATCTGATTAGCATTCGATTATTCATTTCATTGAACGTCATCAAGTAATTGTTAAAATAATTTCCTTAGTAACCTTCGCCATAATTTCTGTGGAAGTCTTCTTTTGTTAGATGTCAAACATATTTGTTTCTATCTGCTTTTTTCTAAAGCATGTTGCCATATTTTTTCAGAAAAGTATCATGCTTCGCCATGTTTGGAACTCATATAACTTTCTTGTTATGGTAGACATATTTCTGTCTGTGTTCTAAATAGTTGCTTTACATCAAAGGCAATTAGGATGTATTCCTTCCAGATTATATATAAAAGAATTGTGTCCACATCTTCATACTTAATGGGCAATAAATGAAATTAATTCATTGTATTTTGTAATCGTACCTAACAAGGGATTCATACTTCATCTGTAGAGAACTCTTAATAAAGATAATATTTCATTAGAGCTTTATTTTTTTATTGTTCAATCATCCATTTAAACCCAAGTGCTGAGTACAACTATAATCCTATCGCTTAGTTATATAATCAGAGTAATTCACTCATTTTGTATGTCATTATAAATACGTATGGGCAGCAAAGAACTAGGTTAAGTGAATTTTTGTGTTATTTTGTGCATTAATAAATAACCACCGCATATTCATTACTTGATTACAAGATTACAATGACAAGAAGAATAAGATAAAGTCCTTGAAAAGACCATTTCCATGTTAACTGCGATATGGTGTTACCGGCGGAGCATGTCGAGTTTTCATTCACATTAGCCGGTATTGGTCCATCCATTCTTGAGCAAGGACACTTTGGGTCCACATAACGAAATGATGTACCCCACATTTTGTTGCACAATCCTTCTCCACTGCCATACCACTAATTCATTTCAATAATACATTTAATTAATTAGTACGAAAGAAAATAAGTCACTATACTTGTATAAGACACTCTTTGTAAAGACTCAAGTATATTTGTCAACGAAATGTAAATGCAAGAGCACTTCTTCATACTGAGGTCTTCAGTTGCAGAAAATACTCAAATTGTATTGCGACTTACCTGTGCAAATGTACGGCATACTGAATTTTTCGGACAAGAGTACATTGAACTTGAATAATTGAAACCAGTCACCCAATTTTCAACACAAGTTTCATCGTCCTTACAAGCTTCATACCAAGCATTACAAAAATCACCACATATTGGGACATTTTTTATTGTTCCATTGGCTACATGCCATCTGTATAATCGTGGTTCACATTGATAGAAACATTCTTCATCGAGGAGGAATCTCTCACATTTCTATGAATCAATAAACTCGTTAGCAGCTTACATTTTCTTATAAGAAGATTTTAACCAATCACCCCCCTTTTTGCTGCCTCGAGCTTTTATATCACAATAAACTAGCGATTACAGGCAAAATATCAACCCTCCCCCCCGACATAAACATCATTAATGATTCATATGATTCTCAACACATGCTTTTGTGTTGTAAATACGAAATTTTATCCCAAAATTACGGTATTTTTTATTTAGAATACGTCAATCTCGGGATACTTGGAAATTTTTCATTTTTGAGAAAAATTGTTAAATGTTCCAATAGAAAAAATGCAATTTTCCATAGATTGTTGTAGCAAATGCTGTGTTAAATTACCAAACACGATAAGACATGAATCGCCATAAGTTTGTGGTATAAAAGATGAAAAGCTGTGGATTACTTACCTGTGAAATATTTTTACAGTGACCCCAATGAAAGCCATACAAATCGCGTAGTCGAGTTTTGTTCAACTGGGTTGTGAAATTTGCTGTACAACAAGTGTCTGAACTCCATGCTTTGCATTCCAAGTAGTCTGTATTTGCTGGCGACGATCTCATTTTATGAAATGATGTTGGCAAGCACTTTTCTCCCATCGTATTTTCTATACAAACATATATTAAGAGTAAAAGTAATGAAGACATAAATTTTTTCTTTGTCGTTTTCATGATGTTAACGTAATGTAAGCGATGGAATGAAACCAATAAAACAGAACTTCTTAAATTTTGTAACTTAAGATGCTGATCAACCGAACACATTAAATATGCGTAAAATTGGCTGATGAAATAATTTATTATAGGATTTATGTCATGATAATAGTCATGCTTTTTAGAACATGGTGGAATTACAAACTTCACATTTTCTACTTAATATGGTCAAATACGTATAAACAATAAATGATTCTAGACTGTAGATTCATGAAACGAGAATCGAATTCAGTTTTCTCCGTGTTAAATTTTTCTGTTGGTCTTATATTTTAAAAATATATATACCGTTTCAAACTTTCAATATAGTAACAATCGATGGGGGAATGTAACGAATAAATGTCATTCTGACGTTGTATAGTTTGTTTTGTCCGTTGAAATCTACTCAAGCTGAGGATGTCATGATTAAATAAAAATTACGTGTTGGTGTGATGCTGTTGATGGAGCATGTCGAGTTTTCATTCACATTAGCTGGTATTGGTCCATCCATTCTTGAGCAAGGACACTTTGGATCCACATAACGAAATGATGTACCCCACATTTTGTTGCACAACCTTCTCCACTGCCGTACCACTAATTCATTTCAATAATACATTTAATTAATTAGTACGAAAGAAAATAAGTCACTATACTTGTATAAGACACTCTTTGTAAAGACTCAAGTATATTTGTCAACTAAATGTAATGAAAGAGCACTTCATACTGAGGTCTTCAGTTGTAGAAAATATTCAAATTGTATTGCGACTTACCTGTGCAAATGTACGGCATACTGAATTTTTCGGACAAGAGTACATTGAACTTGAATAATTGAAACCAGTCACCCAATTTTCAACACAAGTTTCATCGTCCTTACAAGCTTCATACCAAGCATTACAAAAATCACCACATATTGGGACATTTTTTATTGCTCCATTGGCTACATGCCATCTGTATAATCGTGGTTCACATTGATAGAAACATTCTTCATCGAGGAGGAATCTCTCACATTTCTGTAAATCAGTAAATTCGTAGTTACAGCAGATCAATAATGAAATTAGATGGAAATAAAATGCTTGAATTTTATCCAATCATTGCAAGTGGTTGGGATTTTTTTTTAAAGACTTAATTACGGAATTTTTTGATTATTGAAAGGGAAGTTTGATGTTTGTTTTAAAGAAGGAAATCGACCAATGAACACTTTTCACTGATAAAATTCAATATCAAACGAGGACTGGCACCTTACTTAAGACCTGTTGGGGTATAACTGCGCAAATCATGAGAGCTTGAAAACAAAAGTTTGAATATTTTTATTGGAGAATGCTTGGGATTTTTGCCGAATTTAAGCCGGTAACGCTGCATTAGCATTTATAAAGTATTCTTTTACAAAACACTTATTTTGCACATATGTGATATAAAAATGTTATAACTAACAATAAATACTTAGTCTTCCGTTACCCATAGGCTATAACATCGCCCATATGTACACCATTATAACACAATACTTATATAACCTTAGAGCAGTTGAAGGTTTTGCGATTTTGGGTTGCAAGAAATCAGCAGAAAACGTTAGCTGAGGATATTAAGAAACTTACCTGTGAAATATTTTTGCAGTGACCCCAATGAAAGCCATACAAATCGCGTAGTCGAGTTTTGTTCAACTGGGTTGTGAAATTTGCTGTACAACAAGTGTCTGAACTCCATGCTTTGCATTCCAAATATTCTGTAGTTGCTGGCGACGATCTCCTTTTATGAAATGATGTTGGCAAGCACTTTTCTCCCATCGTATTTTCTATACAAATTCTGGAGTGCAACAAGTATCTTCACTGTAAGCTTGACATATATGCTGCGTATTCTACGGTCGCTTTTGACGAGATTCTTTTATGAAATGGACCTGGAAGGCAGACGTCCATTTTTATCTCTGTAATAGTGGCAAGCAGGATAACAAACTGCAATATCTTCATGATGTTGATTTGAGCAGTTTCTTCAATAGAAATTGGCATTAATTAAAATCAAGGCTCTTGACTTGTGTTCCTTTTTACGTCGTAACCTGATTAGCATTCGATTATTCATTTCATTGAACGTCATCAAGTAATTGTTAAAATAATTTCCTTAGTAACCTTCGCCATAATTTCTGTGGAAGTCTTCTTTTGTTAGATGTCAAATATATTTGTTTCTATCTGCTTTTTTCTAAAGCATGTTGTCATATTTTTTCAGAAAAGTATCATGCTTCGCCATGTTTGGAACTTATATAACTTTCTTGTTATGGTTGACATATTTCTGTCTGTGTTCTAAATAGTTGCTTTACATCAAAGGCAATTAGGATGTATTCCTTCATCTGCAAAGAACTCTTGATAAAGATAATATTTCATTAGAGTTTTATTTTTTTATTGTTCCAATCATCCATTCAAACATTTTAAGTGCTGAGTACAACTATAATCCAATCGCTTAGTTATATAATCAGAGTAACTCACTCATTTTGTATGTCATTATAAATACGTATGGGCAGCAAAGAACTAGGTTAACTGAATTTTTGTGTTATTTTGTGCATTAATAAATAACCATCGCATATTCATTACTTGATTACAAGATTACAATGACAAAAAGAATAAGATAAAGTCCTTGAAAAGACCATTTCCATGTTAACTGCGATATGGTGTTACCGGCGGAGCATGTCGAGTTTTCATTCACATTAGCCGGTATTGGTCCATCCATTCTTGAGCAAGGACACTTTGGGTCCACATAACGAAATGATGTACCCCACATTTTGTTGCATAATCCTTCTCCACTGCCGTACCACTAATTCATTTCAATAATACATTTAATTAATTAGTACGAAAGAAAATAAGTCACTATACTTGCATAAGACACTCTTTGTAAAGACTCAAGTATATTTGTCAACGAAATGTAAATGAAAGAGCACTTCTTCATACTGAGGTCTTCAGTTGCAGAAAATAGTCAAATTGTATTGCGACTTACCTGTGCAAATGTACGGCATACTGAATTGTTCGGACAAGAGTACATTGAATTTGAATAATTGAAACCAGTCACCCAATTTTCAACACAAGTTTCATCGTCCTTACAAGCTTCATACCAAGCATTACAAAAATCACCACATATTGGGACATTTTTTATTGTTCCATTGGCTACATGCCATCTGTATAATCGTGGTTCACATTGATAGAAACATTCTTCATCGAGGAGGAATCTCTCACATTTCTGTGAATCAATAAATTCGTAGTTACAGCAGATCGATAATGAAATTAGATGGAAATAAAATGCTTGAATTTTATCCAATCATTGCAAGTGGTTGGGATTTTTTTTGAAAAACTTAATTACGGGACTGAAAGGGAAGTTTGATGTTTGTTTTAAAGAAGGAAATCGACCAACGAACACTTTTCACTGATAAAATTCAATATCAAACAAGGGCTGGCACCTTACTTAAAACCTGTTGGGGGTATAACTGTGCAAATCATGTGAGCTTGAAAACAAAAGTTTGAATATTTTTATTGGAGAATGCTTGGGCTTTTGCCAAATTTAAGCCGGTAACGCTGCATTAGCATTTATAAAGTATTCTTTTACAAAACACTTATTTTGCACAAATGTGATATAAAAATGTTATAACTAACAATAAATACTTAGTCTTCCTTTACCCATAGGCTATAACATCGCCCATATGTACACCATTATAATACAATAGTTATATCACCTTAAAGTAGTTGAAGGTTTTGCGATTTTGGGTTGTAAGAAATCAGCAGGTAAACGTTAGCTGAGGATATTAAGAAACTTACTTGTGAAATATTTTTGCAGTGACCCCAATGAAAGCCATACAAATCGCGCAGTCGAGTTTTGTTCAACTGGGTTGTGAAATTTGCTGTACAACAAGTGTCTGAACTCCATGCTTTGCATTCCAAATATTCTGTATTTGCTGGCGACGATCTCATTTTATGAAATGATGTTGGCAAGCACTTTTCGCCGTTTGCATTTGTTAGACCAGCAAAAAGAAAAAACAGAATTATCGCAGACATTATTAAACTTTCTCTCTGTGTCATTTGCGTGATGTAAACGTTACGTAAGCGATGAAATGAAACTCCTCAAAGCAAAGAGAAACACTTTTGTCACTCACACCCACTCAATGTTTCAAAAGTCAAAATCATCTAATGCATAATTTAAATTCCGAGTGAAAGAAAAGGATTGCGTACATTTCTATAGTATATTGTCAACCGACAACCTTGTCTAAAGAATTTAGTGGTCCTAATTAATAAAATTTTAACTTCAAAATAATGCTTAGTTATAGGGAAATCGCACTGCAGATAATCCAACACAAGATTCCAAATTCATAAAAAAAAACCAGGAACACCATTAATCAATAGTAGCTACTAAAATGGTGGAGAAATAAATGAACTTTGGATGAACTGTTGACGAATGACAAGCCTTAGGAAACCACAAATATATAATGTTGAACACAGTTTCAAAATAATATCATGACGACTCGTTGACTATTGTTGAATGACATGTGAGATACTTTATAAGTAATAACTAATTATTGTTAGGGAAAGAGCTATTACAAAACGCTATGTTTTGATTGGTCATGCTGTCAAAAATTTTCTTTATGTTATACTATGGTCGTAGAAACAACAAATTTATGAACAAGTAAAAGTCAGTGATGTAATTAGAACCACTTATTAGTAAATTTTCCTCAGTTTGTCCTCACTGTGCGGTGACAATTTGTATGGAAAAAATAAGAAATCTTTATATATCATGGATAAGTGATAGTATTGATATTGATACTGAAAGAAAATTTGAACTGATAATTTTTCACCATTATCGTAACATTTTACATTTCACCACTGTAATGGTGCCTATGTGAGTTGTTGATTCGAAACCGCTGACCAACCTTAATCCACTGCTTATAAAGAGGCAGTAGTTTGGTTATACATAATCATTTATTACTATAGCTTACATATGACTGTTGGTTATAACAGAAAGAAACACAATGTTGATAACTGCTCCTTGCAAAAGAATGATATTGTATGATTTACGAGTCATGGAAGCATTGCAAGACGCTTTGGAATCGAAAATGAATCAATAAATGACGGCTGAAAAACTACAATTATGAACACAAATTATACCGGAAAGTGTAGATGAGCAACTTTCCAGGAAGTCCAGTCAACATTTTTTCCGGCTTTACTCTATTTTCGATTATAAACGTTAAGCACTTACACGAATATATCAATAAACGTTTGATAAACTGCATGTAATGTTACTGTAGTATGCCGGTGCAGTTTAAAGGAAAAAATGGATACTTTAAAAACACAAGAATTATCTTCTTTGCCGTGTTTTTTCCAATCTTCTTTACAAGTATCGTCGAAGGTATGTGTGCACGATTATCAATTTGATAAATTAGTTATGTGAATGTGAAAGAGTTCATTCCAAGAGTCAATAGCATTTTGATTTTGTTAATATTATTATGCATTTGATGTTTATTGTTTTAGAGTTTTAGTTAATTTAGTTTAGTGTGATTGTTGTGTGTGTAGTCAGGTGAATCCTTTCTGTACAGAAATAAGCATGAGACAAATGTGGACTGGTTTGCAGTTAAGCAGACAGTGCTGGTACTGGTCAATAGTTTAAATATTTTGGTTATGGTTGTTGGTTAGGTAAAGTTATGTATGCAATATTTTTACTGTGCTAGTACGTTGTATATATAGCTTTACTGCTCTATGTTCATCATTAAATGTAGCAAAAACATTGAAAATTAATGCTGTAATTGAATTTTATTTTACATCATTATATTAACATTGATTACTTATGAAAATATTACTGATATTAAACATTGAAAAACTGATGTACGAAATCCTGTGATTTTTGTTTTTTTTATCAGTTCTGCTAAAACTTAAAAACAATGTGAAAATTTTTATGGAAATGTCAACATAAAGCTACTCCTAATCAATAAACTTCTTAATTTCAACAAAAATTACTTGACTAAAGGTATTAGAACCCAGGTTTCAATTTCAAAACAATATTTATAGGCCAAAAATCTTAACATTGATGTATCTCATTGTTTTTTCTTGAAATGCAGGTATTGTCCAAGTTGATATATCTAATATCTCTACCATCCAAGGCTCTCCAACAGATATCTCCAAAAGACACTACAATGTGACATTGCGATGGCATACAACAATTTCACCCAGAAATACCACCATTGTACCAACATTCAAGATTCTCGTCACTTATTATCAAAGTGTTGTCAAAAACATAGTAAGTTTTTTAAACTGTTGTAAATCTCTCTATTGTAAATCATAATAATCTTCTAATGATTAAGATTTGGTTGTTTATTTTTGAGTTCTTTTGTAAAAGATTGCGAGAAAAACTGAGCAAAGATTTCATTTTCTAATTAGATGGTGTGGATTATACAGGATAATAAAATATTGTCACGGGGAGAAACATTAGGGAAATGTGACAGTGTGGCCAATAGAGAACAAAAAAGGCTGGCTTATCTAAAATTTTTGGCATTTTTATTAAATAAAGACATTTCAAAAGTTGATCCCAGATCGTTGTTATTTAACCAGTTTTTTTGGAAGATGTGCATCTGATGACTGTATCTATGTACTAGGCATCCTACTTGCATATTTTACATTTGTTTAGTTTGTTTAATTGTTTTTAACATGAATTAACATTGTAGTTCTAAGTACTAAGCTCCAATTTTTTTATTCTTACTCTAGACGAAACTTGTCATTGATTCTGTTAGCAATAACAGTTTTATGTATGTATTGAAAAATGTGAGAGCAGGGAGGAATTACGTTCTTAACCTGAAAGTTTACATTAAATCATCGTTTCACAAGGAGCTCAATACTACTTTTGACGTCATCAGAATCTTTGATAAAAGTAAGAATATAATTTGTACAAGATTTGGGCCAAAGAAGTTCTTAAGAAGAAAAATTGACGTTCAACTTTTATGATGATATGCTTTATGAAGTCGTTTTAAAATAACATTCACAGAGATTTGCATCATAATTTACTACGTAAATTTTTCATGTTTAGATTTATTTTTGGTTAGTGGTAGTAAAGGATATTTAAACATAGATTGGTCAGTCGTCGAAGAAGCTCGTCATTCATCTTTGCCTATTTATTATAATGTCAGTCTCTGCTCTTCAAGAAATTATCCACGTGCTTGTAAAAACGTCTACACTGTTTGCCTAGCACGTTACCAATATCGCAATCATTCAGCCAAAGGTGTGTTTTATTTGTTGTTTTGTTGCCTTTTTATTTTCTAAGCTAATATGTGTTGACAAGGCCAAAAATCTAGATTGGAGCATAAATAGATGGAAGTTTCAACATCAGTTCATTCCTAGATGGTGAAAAGACATATCAAATATCACATTATGTTTGATGAAGATACTACATCACAGACAAATTGCAATTTTACAATTTATAAAAATTGCTATTATGTTTTCAGGAGAGGTTACACTACTGGAGAAAAACTGGCATGAATTTCGCGATAATGATTTCTTAAACGTCCGTAAGCCTCTCAAGATATCGTGGGATAGTAAGAGATATCAGTTTAGATGCGCCATCTATCTGGACGTTTGTAGACCTTGGCGCAGTAATTTCCCTTATGTTCAGTACGTTGCTGACTATGGCGAAGGTCAACGGATAATTCGGTCTAAAGGAATACGATTGCACAGTGGTAACGTAATTTTTCTTTTTTTATGTTTATAAAATCGAAAATTCATGGAGAAGATCATTCTTCCAGTTCAATGCACCAGACCTTCAGCTTACATTGTAGTGATAAATCTCGTTTCTCTCAGTTTGCATAATTATAAAGAGAAAACTGCTAAACTGTTCTTCTGTAAGCCTCTCAAGCAAAGGGAACAATTTAATCTACTTTAGAAAGTGTCGTTTTTCCCCTGTTTGTCCAATCAAAATTTCCTCTTTGGTAAGTAGAAGAAATTCATAATGGCTCGATTTTAAAAAGAGATTACACTTAATTGTCAAATATTTTGTTTTAATATCAACTAAGCTCACGAATTCCTACTTGTGGATTTTAAAATGAAGAATAAATTTATAAATTAAGTAAATTTGCTATATTCATTTTCAACTATTGTGCATTTAGTTTGTATATACGTTATCAGTTTTTAGAGTTTCTTTGTTTTTTTTTTGTGTGTTTATCTAGGTTTTTCGTTTGAGAGGCCACAACTTTTCGATGTTACTATTCTAAGTCAAGATGAAGATGATATCAAAGTACAATTGCACTGGCGGCTGGCTAAAACTTGCTTAGAATCGGTCGCTACTACGATCATTGTACAACTATTGAAAAATTCTGTTTCCACGGTAATTGTAGATACTTTTTTAGACTGTTTTTTTAGAATTAGTTCAGTTCTAATTTCAATGCAGTGTTGTCTTCATCTGGAGTCCGTATATAGCTACTCCTGTCTGTTGTCTTCGTCTGGAGTCCGTATATAGCTACTCCAGTCTATTGTCTTCATCTGGAGTCCGTATATAGCTACTCCTGTCTATTGTCTTCATCTGGAGTCCGTATATAGCTACTCCTGTCTATTGTCTTCATCTGGAGTCCGTATATAGCTACTCCTGTCTATTGTCTTCATCTGGAGTCCGTATATAGCTACTCCAGTCTATTGTCTTCATCTGGAGTCCGTATATAGCTACTCCAGTCTATTGTCTTCATCTGGAGTCCGTATATAGCTACTCGAGTCTATTGTCTTCATCTGAGTCTGTACATAGCTACTCCAGTCTATTGTCTTCATCTGGAGTCCGTACATAGCTACTCGAGTCTATTGTCTTCATCTGGAGTCCGTATATAGCTACTCCAGTCTATTGTCTTCATCTGGAGTCCGTATATAGCTACTCGAGTCTATTGTCTTCATCTGGAGTCCGTACATAGCTACTCCAGTCTATTGTCTTCATCTGGAGTCCGTACATAGCTACTCCAGTCTATTGTCTTCATCTGGAGTCCGTACATAGCTACTCGAGTCTATTGTCTTCATCTGGAGTCCGTATATAGCTACTCGAGTCTATTGTCTTCATCTGGAGTCCGTATATAGCTACTCGAGTCTATTGTCTTCATCTGAGTCCGTATATAGCTACTCCTGTCTATTGTCTTCATCTGGAGTCCGTACATAGCTACTCGAGTCTATTGTCTTCATCTGAGTCCGTATATAGCTACTCCAGTCTATTGTCTTCATCTGGAGTCCGTATATAGCTACTCGAGTCTATTGTCTTCATCTGTCCGTATATAGCTACTCCAGTCTATTGTCTTCATCTGAGTCCGTATATAGCTACTCGAGTCTATTGTCTTCATCTGGAGTCCGTATATAGCTACTCGAGTCTATTGTCTTCATCTGGAGTCCGTATATAGCTACTCGAGTCTATTGTCTTCATCTGGAGTCCGTATATAGCTACTCGAGTCTATTGTCTTCATCTGGAGTCCGTATATAGCTACTCCAGTCTATTGTCTTCATCTGGAGTCCGTATATAGCTACTCCAGTCTATTGTCTTCGTCAGAAGTGAACTTGAGTTCTTGTGTCATGCAGTCTTTGTCAGAAGTGATTTTATGTTGATACTGAGGTATTTCATTGCCATGTCTGTATTATTAAAGTGCTTTGTTTCTTATCATTAAAGGAAGTGAAAAAATACGGCTTTTTGAACTTCCCACCCTATGGCGAGGAAGACTTTGTGGAGGATACGCTCATTTTCTCAAAACTTGAACCATTTTCAAGATACACAATACAGTTTACATCTGAAAGTAATTTAAAGAAGAGTGAGATAACCACACATCAATTTTACACACCTGAAGGTACATATTGAGGGGTCTTCTTACAAACTCATTGTTCTTTTGAAATTTGATATGTCGTGAAAAGATTTCAGGAATGATAATAATATTGTTATTATCGTGACAAAACCATTTCATTCACTTCTTTTGATTAGTTTTATCTCAAATTTTGTTGAATACCTTAGTGTCGATAAGTGATATTCCGAAGTAATGTCTGATTTCTTGTGTGATAACTATATCATATGTCTTGGTTGTACATCCTTTCAACGTTTAATGATTTCACTGCTACAAATTATGTAAAACATATAAAACACAAGCTAGTTTGTTGGTCGTATCAAAGTTGATCAAAGGCTTTTTTTCAGTGGCGACTTCACCTCCAGATTTTGTTGGCACCATCGAAGGCTCAAACAAATGTGCGAAAAACAAAAGAAACGTATCGATATCGTGGAAGGTACGTATGATTGTATGATTGTTTTCGGCATCACTTGTTAATGAATGACAATAGTTTTATGCATTCTCTTCCACCTGGTATTTCTTTCCAGAACTCTTACTTACACAAAACATCACCATCCATTCTATCTCCATCTATCGCATTGTGGTTAGACGGTCGCTGTCTTTAACCATTAAAAATTCTAACTCGTTCCGGCAGGACTTAGAATTAAGTCCCCGTTGAACACACAAGAGGCTATTCAGATTGTCAAATCCACCAGCAGACGACTGATACGAGCACGGATTACACACAATACAATGACGTAAGAACCAGATAACAAATACGGCTAACCTGACGTTTACTCCTCATTTGACTCTGAAGATGACTACCGCTAAGGTTGTCGAAACGTCAGTCAACAACAACAAAAACAGTCCTTCTCAGGACTACACCAACCTGGGCGATCATCATTTACAAACATGTAACGATACTCCCGGGCTCAAACCATTTACTTTAAAAATTCTAACGTTGTAAATCCACCTATCACAGTGTAAAAATTTTACACTGTCACCATCTTTTACCCATGAAAAAGTTGTGAATAGATATTTTGATAGTGTTGGTTTTGAAAAATAAAAACTAGTCAAATCTAAAGAGTTTTTTAACATTTCATGTAGTTACCACCGCTTCATTTGAGAAAGGGAATTATAAGAAGCATCATTTTAAAGTATTACGTAACAAAGCAGCCTCAAGCTTCCGTGGTTGAATTAACTCTTCCCAATATCACAAGATATACTGTGAATAACTTGGATTGCGATAAAGGTTATTCGTTTCAAGTACGTGCCTGTATACATGTCAACAGCAGCTGTAGCAACTTCAGTAAAATTTATTTTATGCCATATGGTAAGTTTGATGGGAGATTTTTTTAAAAGTTAGTTATGACAGTTATAGAAGTTGCTGACTGACACACGTTATTTTAGTTTATATTTTAGGCAGTGTAAAGACTGTTCTTGTTCTCTGTTGTTCATTCATCACTACCTACACTGACACACGTTATCTTAGTTTATATTTTAGACAGTGTAAAGACTGTTCTTATTCTCTGTTGTTCATTCATCACTACCTACACTGACACACGTTATCTTAGTTTATATTTTAGATAGTGTAAAGACTGTTCTTGTTCTCTGTTGTTCATTCATCACTACCTACACTGACACACGTTATCTTAGTTTATATTTTAGATAGTGTAAAGACTGTTCTTGTTCTCTGTTGTTCATTCATCACTACCTACACTGACACACGTTAGCTTAGATAGTCATTCATCACTTTAGTTATCTTAGTTTATATTTTAGGTAGTGTAAAGACTGTTCTTGTTCTCTGTTGTTCATTCATCACTACCTACACTGACACACGTTAGCTTAGTTCATATTTTAGATAGTGTAAAGACTGTTCTTGTTCTCTGTTGTTCATTCATCACTACATACACTGACCTATAGTTTTTATTGCCCATTTTCCCTATTTACACTCATGAAAACTTTATCATATCTACGTTTTTGATGAGCAAGTTTTTTCTTTATTGCTTTGTTGTTTAAGCTCTTCACGATACACAGTTCTCCGATTCATCATGGAAGTATGCATTGGAAGTAGGACTTGGTGTTGGGTGTGGGGTTATTTTCCTCCTGTGTATTTTATTGATTGTCTACTGTTGCTGCAAGTAAGTACCTCTAAATGTAGCAGCCATTGATCAGTAAAAATAAATCAGCTCGTTTCATCATAAATTTTTTTTTAAATATTTTTGTTTAAAGAAGAAAGATGTTGTTATAAATTATCTTAAGTAAAGGTTCTATCTCTTGATGACTTTTTCTTTTTTTCAGAAAAAGAAAACCTCCTTTGGAAGAGGTATATTCTGTGTTTTGTTTCTCTTATTGCGGACAACATCACATATTTTGATATGTGGATAATTGAAAAAAAATCATGCAATTGCGTGAATGATCAGCGTATAGTAGTTAAACGTTTTGTTTTTCTTTTAGCTCCAATTCCCCGGTGAAGATTATTGCGATACAAACGAGGAAAACGAGATGAGCCGTGTAAATAATTACTCAATTCTTGGTTAGGAGTGATGCTGCTGACTATAAAGGATCGTATTTTCAAGGTAATTTAATCGTCGCGTGAAGTACATTGTATTTAAACTTTTCGTTTATCTGAAATATTTCTTTTTTTCTTTAATCCCAGCGTTGTTTCCAGATTTCTGATGCTCGTATGTTCAGTCAGTACGCATGCATATGATAACCGATGTATAAGAAAAAATGCTTGCAAATGGATGGATGGATGCACGAATGGCGACCAACCGATATTAAAGCTAATATAAGGATACCTCCATGAAGTTGAAGGATGTCAAAGCATTGTGTGCATAAAATGATAGAATAATTAATTTGCATGTGACTTTAATATGTTTTGCCTTAAGAAGTTGCAATATGCAGGCAGAATGTTGCAAAATCTTTTTTATGCAATAGTCTTATTAAACAGCAATGTTGTGACGTTTAATGACAGTATACGACTGTGACATTGAGGGATGTTATAACCGTATGCTGTCAACAGTATATTTAAATGTCATTTTACTTTCTCGTGACAATTTTATTTTCACGAAAGCGTTTGTTTCAAAGAACACAACTCAAGTGATAACAGCTAATTAACTAAATTAACAACATCTTCTGCAAGCACTTGTTTAGCGTGTGATAAAAAATGGGTACAATATACAGGATTAAATTCCTTTTTATGATAAATATTTTAGAGTACAACTGGTAAAGGTAACTAGAAGATCCAGGTTGAGGTATCAGTTATTGTTCTATAGTATGGGTACTATGTTTGTAGTCCTTTTTTTTTAGAAGAGAAATGTTTCAGACCGCTACGAGATTCAAGATGAAGGTATTAGTTTGTGTTTTTACTCTGATCTTTTAGACCTACAACAGATGGGAGCTCAACATTTATAAAGATGGTTTGTTTTTTTGTTGAGCTGCTCGACGATAAAGTGGTTTGTAAGAATGTTAGCCATGAACTGAAGTCATTTAAGTTTGTCTTTTAGATGCAATCAACGAGGACAGCGGTTAGCGATTGAGAACGTCGTTTTTTGGTACGTTTTCAACTGTTTGCTCGAGTGTTTGCAGAAGATTTGTGATTATTGTTGATACATAGTCAACTTTTACTTTATTTATGTTGAACTTTGCACTTGGCATTGGAGTATGGGACCGTGGGACTGGGGTTGGCTTCCATGAAAATTTTAAAATTGAAAAATTGGGCTTTCATTGTGAGTTGGTGAAAAAATCCCGCCCTGGAATGTTTGCCCCCGTAATCTTATGCTACTTAGAAGGGGTAAAATTTTATTTGAGAATTGAAAACGACAACAATTAACTAGTAGAAATGAGTTTATGTTCATAACGCAGAAATTTCTACATTACATTTAAAAATAAGATTACCACGATAATTTTCGATTTTAAAGCGCTAAAATACGCTTCAATACGTTTCAGTAAAATTATTCTCACTGAAATAGAGAGTTCCCTCCCTCTCTAATTTAGTTGAATAATCGTACATTATCGTTCCAAAATGGGCTTCTGCCACCTATTTTGGAATAGTGACATTTAAAGTATAATTTTGTGGTAATTTTAAGCATTTTGATAAATTCTCTCAGTTCAGTCGATTTTTGACAAGCCCGACATTTCACCCAAAGATAGTTAATTCTGTTCAAAAGTGTGGAGAAAAGGGTAAAACAACACAAAAACATACTTTGTGTGCGTCTGTGGGACATTTAATTTCCCTCGTTTTAGCTAAAGCCTTTGTAACTAAGTATGTATAAATTTTCTTTCATGGCTGGAACTTGAAGGAAAGATGATTGTGTACCCTTGTGGCGAAAGTTTGCCTGTTTTTTTTTCGTTAGTTACGGCCACTTGGCTTGAAGCATCGTAAGTCAATTTAAAAAAAAATACAGTTGTGAATTAGTACCGTAGCACTAAATATTACACAATTTTTCTTTCAACTTTGCTTCATGTTTTCCAATCGTCATTACAATAGTCGTGTAACATTGTCATTCCGATGTATGGCGAGTTTCATGATTAAAGAATACATGTAAAATATTATAACGATATATAATGCAATATTATGAATTAATTAGTATCATATCCTGTAATACATTGAACCAATCGGTGTTGTTTTATGAGCATTCTGATTGGTTAAATATGTTGTAGTTGCAAATATTAACTTAACATGTTTACCACGCCACGAGTATGAAAATTGCTTAGATGAATGGGCTGATGTAACTTCATTGATAAATTTGTAATACAAGTTTCAAAAGACCCTTTATTTCTCCAGCCGCAAGTAATGAAATTGATCAGACTTTCTTGTAGCTGCTGGACAAAAAAGCATGTCAAACCGTTCTAAAATGAGAGACTTTAATAAATTACAAAGGACAATTCATAGCTTCTCAAATGGTGAAGCGAAAATTTTATCCTTTGATGACGAACTGACGAAGTTTGAAGTTGAACTAAACATAAAAGATGGCCTCTACAAAGATGGCATTTTCACTTTTGAAGTGGAATTTGTCGATAACTATCCAATACATTCTCCATCAGTGAGATTCACAAGTCAAATACTTCACCCAAACATTGGTGATGGCTACGACAGCGGCGTTGTTTGTTTAAATTTGCTGTCGGATGATTGGCATGCAAATGATTTGGAAGATGTTGTTCAAGGTATGCTATTCCTTGTAAAAAATCCTTCCCTAGATGATGCTTTAAATCCGTTATTTTGTGACATCGAAGAGGTTTCAATCATGCCAAACGAAGAACGACTAGACGAATATAAACCGGATGTTAATTGTACTCGAACATTTTCCGAACTTGTACGACGATCTCGAAGGAATGGAGATTGAGGGAGTGAAATTTAGGAGAAATCCTGGACTTCTTCTTAAAGACAAAATTGCTTGTTCATTGGACACTGAAAAAAATAATTTAAATTCTACTCTAAATAGTCATGCAGATTGATATTTATTGTGATCCTATTACAAATTTCATTTCTTGCCATTGTTTCCATATTCTTGAGCGAACAGATTTCAAATGATGAAGACTCAATATATTTTACTGGTTGGTAAAGAATCTCCTGTTCTATTTACCTCATTTGAAACATTGCTTTAGAAAGAATCATGAATGCAAATGATTGCACTATCTTTGACAAGTTTTTCTGCTTAAGGTGGCTCTCCCGTGAGTGCTTACTTCATAATCTATTAGTAAAAGGGAGGGTAGGGTGTGTTGTAGTGTCTTCATGTGTTGTTGTCACGGGAATCTTTTCTATTATAGAAAGTTGAATTAAAATTTTGGGTTTTATTTTGTATTTTTTATGTATTAATTAATTTTTTTCAAAATTTGAAAATGTGCAAACTTTTGATGTTAAAAGTGAAGAAGGTAGATTTTTGGCATGATTTCTGTAAAGAATAGTAGCAAAAAGCTAAAAGACCCAGGAGTAATAGAGAGCATGACTGCATACTAAACTCCTGTTAGTGTATTTAATCATATCAGATGCTTAGTTTCAGTGAGCTCAAGTCTGTCCCAGACTTTCATAACACATGTGTTACATAATCATGTGCTTATGTGTAATTTGTATGAAGATGTAGTAAAGTCTACTTTTAAATACCGTTAATTAAAATCAGCATTAAATTAGTAGTGAAGCCGCTCGTATCCATCACTATTAGTTAATTACTGGCTGTAGATATTGATTGTTAGTACATATTGTATATGAATATTTACTACCATTGAAGTTGGCTGTACAACTATCGCGTTAATAACCACATGCGTATTACGTATGCAAATTGCAATGCTTTGAAGAAAACAAATGCCAACCTCTCTTGACTTAATAAACACCAACGTCTGTTCACCTTGAACTTTGTGTTTCAATCAATCACGTGTTAATTCCTTATGACAAATTACTGCGGGGGGTATAATGTGAAAAACATGGTCACCCACACCATATTTCTCAAACGTCGCCTTTTAAATTGGAAATTTATTTGCTACATGTGACACGTTTGTGAATAGTCTGGGATAATTTGCGCGATATCTATCCTTCTATTTCCCGTCTACTGTTGACAATGCAACGTCATTAGCGACCATTGTAACGACTATAATTACAAGGGTTCGGAGAAATTTCTATTACATTTCTTTCATCAATAACTAAATTTAAGAATGATGATAATATTAAACACACATGTCTATAAACAATCGTTTCAAAAGTTTGATAATCGTATGAACAGAATGAACTGTCTGCTGTTAAATATTCTGTTTTTTCCAAAGTGGTTAGCTGGTGTTACAAAGCACGGTGCAAGTGAGAAAAAAAAAGACGTTATGGAATGTTTTGTCTTCGAGAAGCTGTACCATCAAGTGTTGAATTCCAATTACCTTGTAGCTATATTTTACAGTAGTCTTTCTTGATTGACCGACGTATTTTGGAAACCATGTATAAAAACAGCATTTCAAGTCATTTTATGTTTTCTTTTTGTGACATTTTTCAGCAATTTTGACAAATCTTTCTCGACATATAATTTTTTTTTTTATTTATACACAATTCAATTTAGTCACATATGTGTAAAATTTTTGTCATGATTTAGATTTTTTTTGCCAGAGCAGATAATCATTTAGATATATTTCTATTATGAACGATGTGTATCCTTTTTTTTAGAAACTATCCCCGGGGTGTTTGCTTTTGATCTTGTCAGAAAATCAGGTTTGTCAACTGATACATACGTGTGCAGTTCAATAGTGTTGTGTATCTAAAAAACTCAGCAAGAATTCCATTATTATTTTCTTTCGCTGCCATTCACTGACAAAAATTGTTTTGTCAACATACACACCACCCTCCACAATCTCACGAATCGTTAGCAAACTTGAATTATTGTTATCAAAATTTAATGAACAAGACGAAGGTAAGTTGATCATACAAACAGACTCAGATGAATCGAAGATTAACCTATTAGAAGCAAAAACATCGAAATCCAGTTAACATGCATGCTGAGATTCAAGACTTTTGATGGCTTTAACCCCGCTTGTCTCATTTGCTAAAAAAATTACAGAAACGCAACACCTTCATTAAAATATTAGCTGTAGGCCGTCACTTCAAATCTTTATACCCGAGTAATTAATTGTGTGTGTGTTGGAAAAATTGTCTTTGTGGTAATTGAACAAGCACGAGACAACATTTTAAAAGTAATAATTTCAGGAATACACATCTTTTTATATTAACAATTTTATTGTTTGAAGGTTTTTTAAATCGACTTGGGTCGTGGCAATCTCTTTCATAAAATGATCTCCTATTAATTGAAATGACACGAAGTAAACTGATAACCTGAAGTAAGTTATTGCTATTTTATCGCTTTTCTTCTCTCACATGAGATTAAACTGTCTTTAAGTTTAACATGGGTAGTTTTGTTAGTTCCAAGGGTAAACTATCGCTTTAAACAAGTCATATCATAATGCTGGTTAAGAGACAATAGACAATTGAGTTGTTTAATAGAAACGCAGATTGTTCTAGTGAAAAACTCTGTTGTTATAGCTCACGATTCTCTGCTTCTACGCAGCAAGCTACGGACAAATACGAAGACCCCGCGAGAAAATGTCGATAAATAAGTCTCAGCGGATGTTAAGAGGAAATTGTAAATGTCAATGACCTCATAATTGGCCCGAATTGGCCTTATCTATAAAATGAGATGGCTCACGCAGTCATCCAGATTCCAGACGGACTTGTGCGCGCGTTAGAACTGGACGCAAAATATTGTAATTACATAGGTACCTACAAACATCTTTCCTGTTGCACGAAATGTTAAAGACGGAGCTGATATCGAATTATATCAACTACAAATCGCTGGCCAAAGAAGAGGTATGTAGGTTGACGTAGTTTTACACAACATTGATATTAATGATAATATTAAGATTGCACGTACTGATTAATCACAATAGTGAGAATACATAACATTGTTAAGGCATACTGCCCTGTATTACACGTGATACCTTTATACATGTAATGAAATGTTTATGGATAGTTTATTTGTATTTAGTTCATGTCGTTATTTTTATTTCTAAAGATACAATATTGAGCGTTGTACGCGAGTAAATATCGTCCATAAAAATCATGTTAGCATAACAGGAACTAAGAAACAGATGATAGCTGGCTTATTATTAGCGAATGCCAAAACTTTGTTAAAACTATGAATTAATGTCCGTTTCCCCAAAGCATCTGTATTATGTCTCGTGAATCAGAACGTTTCAGTGATCGATATATACTGAGTTAGCAATTTCTATGCATTAATATGTTATAGTTTAACGTTGTATTTCTTTGAAATACCATTTTTGTGTATCGTGAATAATTTATCACCTTGAACTTCTTCCAGGTGTCCCCAATATGCTTATAACATAATTTAAATTAAGATGGCACAAGTTATTCGGATAAATTGAGTCAAACCGGTTTTATCAGTTTAATTCCGAAATAAACAATCAATGGGTTTTTCTCAAAACAATTAGAAGTTGTTTCGTGTAAACGTATTTTACCATGACAGAGATCACCATCATGCAATGTTGACTTGTGTGTTGACCAGTATGTTACGGTTTGAGTCATTAAACACAGTTGGATCTTTTGGCATACCAACGTCTGCGTCCATCTTCACTTTATTGCATTCTAGACAGCTTTTTATTGTTGCCTTCTTCAATGATAACAATTTTTTACATTGAACAATTTACGTTAATTTTTCAATCAGATATTCTCTTGGTGCAAACTATGCAGCATAAAGTTGTTGTTTTCTTTCATGCCGGTCACATAAATAACCTATTGCAAATTTTTAATCTGCTCAATTCATGCTGTTTGCTGAAGTATTTCCTTAATTGAATACTTGATGCTTGACACGAACATTATTTTTGAGAATCGTATGGAAAATAACCATAGAATTATGCAAATAAAGTATAAATCAATTTATGAAATGTGCAAAACGACGAAATGAGAAAACCATAAAGTTAAACATTCTCGTGAAAACAAAGCGAACAGTTTGAAAACTATTATTTCAATGATTTTTTCTAAGAAATTCAAGCATAATATCTAAACACCAAGATTTGTCATCCTACCTCAAAAAAATACAATACATCAATTATTAGTGATGCTTTCTTTTCTTGGAATTTTATTGTAACCATATCTTTTAACTTCCTAAAATTTTCAACTATGAAAGACAGAGTTTATACTTTGATTTCATATCAACCAGACATCAGGTTTGATCACTTTATTCCATGTTATATTCTGTTTACGAATAGGAAAAAAAGGTGAAAAAGTATTGCATTAAGTTAAACTGCAATTTTTTCTGAGAAATTTTTGACCATGAACACAATATGAAAAAGAGAAGCGGTCAAATTATTTGGGCGGTAGATCATTTGTAAAACGAAAATAAAATATGCTGCACTTGACGGTGTAATCATTGAAGATTATCTTGTTCTGTTTTGTATCAATAATCGATACGTCTATCTATTGTTTTCAATGAAAATATTTAGCCCACTCAGCTAAAAAGCTTCACATCCTGTCTGTGCGCATCTCTCTTAAAGATTACAAGATTTTCTCTTCCTAATTCGTGCAAATACCTTTTATAAAAGAGGGATATTTTTGCATATATTGCGCAAATCAAATAAGTAGATGCTGTTTAATTATGTAATGTACATTTACGTCGATTATCATGTCAACAAATGCATGTAAATTTTGAAACACAATGCAGACTATGTAATGTCTTATAAAAACATATGTTTTATTATAATAAAGAAGTTTGATTGATTATCATGCCATATTCCTTTTGTTTTTATAATGTCGATTATTTTGTCACCATGAATACCTGCTTCAAATGAGCGAATGAATTTCAAAAGAAAAAGAAAATGAACTATTTTTTAAACATTTGCTGAAATTGAAACGAACTTATAATAACAATATAGCTAATGATAAAATCCTAACTTTTTAAAAGGGGCAAAATGTTTTTGTTGTGTTATGAAATGGAAATTTTATGATGAAATTTTTGCATGAAACCGTTTTTTTTTGCTATTTACTATAATTTAGCAAATGTTTGTAAAGGAGCCATCCATCCACTAACTTCAACTGAGTTATTTTCTATTTTATAAGGCTTAATGATGTGCGTTGTAGCTAGATCTCATTCACTAATCTTTACACAAAGTAAAACATGTAGCGATATGGCTCATTTTGTCAGTGAAATTGTAACAATAATACGAGATGCCACTGTACAATATTTTGCCTCGAGTTTGTTGTAGGGTGTCGCTACTTCATAAAGAATTTCTCTTTTTTTATTTCACCAATAAAACGAAGGAAGACACACACCATACTGTGATATTGAATTAAGTAATTGGTCCACTTGCTAACGAAAGATTACTGGTAACCTCCCGAGTTATTATTCAAAAAAAATGGTGACATATGGGATGAATTATTTCAAATGTTTGTATTTAATGCTTTTAGTTGACTATTTTATTAAAAACGACGGATAACCCAGGTGGCATTTACACTTGTTTGTTTGCCATATCAATGTTTATTTTTCTAACTTCTCTAGCATTTACAATGCATGGGGGGAATAGAACCATTTCCTGCTACCGGAGTTTTTACAACATACACAAATAATTGTCCTCATCTAATACTTTTTTTTTAACAGACTTTAAAAGTGTTTGTCTTGCTAGTGTTAAGTATCGTCTACAGATGTTTAATATATGTATACAAGGATCAATGGTTGTACATAGCATCTTGTATGCAATTTTATCATTTCTGCAAGTACAATAAATTAAATATTTAGTGAATAATATATTTCTTTCGCTACAAAAGAATACAGTTATTTCAATGTAATTTGTTGTTTATACCATTTGAAATATGAGATACGTTTCATGACAGAGGTGTAATATATTATAATGTACATGATTTATAATAAAGTCACACTTTTACTGTTTGGTTTTTAAATGTTACGTCAATGTAACAATGCTTAAGTAAAAAAATGTAAAATCTTTATCTCTTTATATTAGCGAAGCTTGAAATAAATTGTATTACGTAAGTTCACTTAATATTTGTTTCATTGCTGTATGAACTCGAGTTATCGTCTTTATTCAAGTGGGTATTATTTAATCCTCTTGTTTGACGTAGGTAAGATTGTCGCTTACTATTTTTAACATTTCATTTTGCCATTTTGCAGTTTTTAAAAAAGTGCACGTCGATTATAAATTAAACATAAAAAGATATCCACCATGGTTAAAACATTGTTCGTTCACCAGAACAACACATAACGACATAAATCAGTTATTCTTAAATTCAAATCATAAAAAATTGTGAAGTGTCCTTTTCAAACAACTATAATTTAAACTCTCATTTACAAAGAAAATGAACAATAGTAAGGAATTTCAGTGGTTTTTAATCTCATATTTTTTAACATTTAAAATACCGACAGTTTAAGATGGTTTGTGGAATGTCCATAATATTGCCTTTATTAAAGCCAAACATGTAGATGTATCAGATTATAGAAGTTGACCTTGGTCTTTTGGCCTAGAGCAATTTGCTTTCTAGTGATTTAAAACAATCGATTAATGTCATCACTGGCTGACATACCAGTCAAATCTCGTAATAAAAGCTCATTATGGAAACTTTATACGCATAAATACGTATTTATATTTAACCTTCTCCAGAAAAACATCACATATTTGAGAATCGAAGGCCAGGGTCATGAAATTTGTCATCACTATTTCTAAAATAACATGTAGCAAAAATTTCTTTCAATACAGCAACTCCAAGACTTATACGAAAAGTATTCAAGCAAAGACATTTTTGATGCATTCTCATCAGAGTTCCTGCAACATCTCACAGATTTTCAACCTCTACTGAAAAATCAAAATGATCCTTGGAAAAAGGTCGATCCTTACTCTTTGGGTTATATTGATGAGGCACCATTGTCACCTGACTCATTAAATAAGAAGACAAGACGACCACCTGATGGATATCTATGTCATCTTTGCTTTTGTAAAGGACATTATATCAAAGATTGTCCTCAGGTAACAACAGTTTAGGTAAACTGTAAAATTCAAAATCGGAGTTGTCCTAGAGCAATTGTTTTATTTGTTTGGCGATGTAGGCAAGGCCAAAAGGCGAAGGACTTACACCTTATCAAGGGAAAAAACGATGCTTTGGCGAATACAAATGCCCAAGTTGCAAGCGCAAGTGGATGAGCGGCAATAGTTGGGCTAACATGGGACAGATGTGTGTCAAATGCCACATCAACGTGTACCCTCATAAGCAACGACCACTTGACAAACCGGATGGCCTCGACGTATCTGACCAGGCAAAGGAGCACCCCCAGCATCTTTGTGAGAAATGCAAATCGTTGGGTTATTATTGTCGTCGTGCTCAAAGTTAAAAGTGTCACGGTGTCTCCCATATCTGGCTTCGCCATTTCATACTATGATTATAATAAATTTTGAAATCTAATTTAATATATAGTTCAGTAGGTACTTTAATATTTAGTTCAGTAGGTACTAGGCAATTTCTTATTGAGAGTTTATGCGTTAAACTGGCTATTTAAACTATTTCAACTTTTTAACATTTTTTTTGTACCAGTTTTAACACATGCATAAACTTTACAATAAAACATAGAAATTGCATGATAATTTTTATTATTTTAATTCGACACGTTCAGAGCCTGTTTGAAAATAGCAATGTAGCTTCTCGTAAAAAATCCTGCACAAAAACGCATAGTTTGGTAAATAGTTTTGCAATTCACCCAATCACAATTTCCATATCATAAAAAAATCGAATTTATTGCTCATGACAGGTTATATATGAAGCATTGCTGTCTTCCCCAGGCCCTCAACTTGCATTTACTTTCTAAGTGACGAAATCGTAATGGAAGAAACTGAAGGAGATATATTTTTATGAGTCAATTTGTAGATTTACGTTTTTAGAAGATAAATTTTTGAGAATGCATCACGTAAAAGTCATAGTTCATCTAGGAATTTGGTATAATTTAAAGATTGTAAATTTTTTATAGTGATTGAAATAGTTCTGTGTTTGTCAATTTGAGGGAATACTATCGCCATATGAGAGCGAATTTTTTGACAAGTGAATAGTTTTAAAACTTACTAGTTTAAATTTTTTGAATCTTCAAACTGAAATAAATATTTTACATGCACTATGCGAAGAAGGTTTTGAACAAGGATATAATGAATATTTTTATACATTGGAAAACTTAAATTTAAAAGAAATAAAATAATTTTTTTAGCAAAATTTTGAAAAAATGTGTTACTGTAATGTTGTTGGTTAATTAAGTAAACATACCTGTGTTATGATAACAGCCCAATGTCACTACGAGAATAGTGGTACCGTAAATGCTCCAATAAACGCCTCCTATCAAATCTCGTATCTAATAAAGGCCTCCCTTTGAAGTGTGGGATTATCAAAAGAACGACCTTTGTCTCAAAGACGCTGCCCCACACATGAACATTCTGATATCATAAATCATAGTGAGTAATCAATTGTGTTCAGAAACAGTATTTTTTAGACTAAATTTTGCTCTGGAATTTATTAAACGCCCCCGGCGTTTATTAGATTACGGTATCCGTACGTGTTTTCTTCTAATAGTATAGTTTTTGTTCTTTATTTCACACTGGAAGCATCATAGAGATTTATTAATACAATGTACAACAGCAAAAGAAATGACGTCTATGTTGACTTCAACGTAGGTCGGATCAAGGTGTTTGTTTTACAATAAGAATATGCAGTTCATAATAACAAATTATCATAAATTATAACTATAAACGTTATAATTATAATTTATGCATTTTGACATTACACGTTTTTCATTTAGGAATATTGTCGTTACTCTAGTGGAAACACTATTCCATGTTCCCAGTTTGCACAAATAAACTTCGTTTCATTACAAAGTTTTATAGTCGTTTAAGACATCTAAATATAGTCAACTCATCATCATTTGTGGATTTTTTCTTAAATATTGGAATGCATAATTTAGAAGAGTCTTTACGTGAAGTGGCTTGTCTTGGTGACCTACAGAAACTTAAAATGTTGATAGGAGCTGGTGCCAACTTGAATTCTCAAAACTTGGTCAATGGTTGGACAGCATTGCACTGGGCTGCTAAAAGGAACCATGTTGATATTGTTTCTTTCTTGTTGGATTGTGGAGCAAGCTCTTCCATAGCATCGTACAATGGTGAGATGCCAGCAAATGTTTCTACAAGTAGAGAAGTCAAGGAACTTTTATTAAAGGACATACAAAATACAGAGAATGATAATTTTGATAAAGGTACAGCTAAGTTTTAATAGATACCTCAGCATATGCAATATCACCATCTCATCAACACATATTGATACACAATGTGTATTATACAGTTGCTATCTCACTGTTTCAACTTAACTTCTATTTCATTTTATTAACCTACTATCTTGTCTTCCTGCAGAACTTTTAAGGGTCTTAACGACTTGAAATTTCCATTTAATTTACAAAACTATAGTATAGGCTGTCAATGATGGTGTTTTTATGTTTTTAAAGTTAGATAGTTTCTTGTTTTCCCTGCTGTCCACATTTGCAACATTTATTTTCATAGTAATATTTACAGATCAAAAGTTGGGGGTGTTTGAAGCTGTGAGTCACAAAGTAGATGATGCTACATCGAAATCAAAGTTTGTTCCCAATTACTTGCGCAATCCTGAATTTCCATATTCCGAAAGTGCTGAAGCATTTGCCAAAAGACTTGGTCTCTCCAACAGCTCTAGTTCCTTGAACAAACTATGGATCAAAAGATTGGAAGTAATTATGAAAATCAAACTGCTAGTTGTTTTAAAACATCAATTGCGAACAAGCCAATACCTCTATCTTCTAAAGCTGAAGAAGACACTCTGGTTCTAAAATGTAGACTTGCCAATAGCAACGAAAAAGATTTTATTGAAATTGAAATAGCGCATTCTTGTTTAAAGTTTGAGACGTTAGTAGCAACATGCCTCTCAGAGTTTCAAATTGATAGACAAAAGTTACAAAAGATCAGAAAGTTACCAAACACTATTATTCGAAATGATCGTGATGTTAACAGACTTATTCAGTATCAAGAGATAGAAGTTGTTGTTGATAAATAACAAAGTTTTCTGTTGGCAGCAGCCAATTGACATGTTTGATTAAAATTTTTGTGCCAAGTATTCAGTAAAAATATTTTCTTATAGTTTTGTGTGTGATGTGTATTGTAATTGTATACAACACTTGAAGTTTGAGAACCCTATCTTTGAATGGAAAGAAGCATAACAGCTATATAGATAATTTGAATTGAATTGTTATTGAGCAATAGTAGTTGACAATTCAAACAAATATTTTAAACAATTACATTAAACGGTCGATGTTTTTGCTTTTCAAATTAATGAATAATTCAATTAAGTCAGAAGGCGCGTGAATTTTGTGACTGTGCACTTTGTGACGTCTTCTTGAGATGGATAATCAGCTCTACACTTATTGTTCCGCACCACACAGGCCAGGGCAACAATCTTGCCAAGCAACGTTGTTTGTTAAATTTCAAAAGATTAATTTTAAATCAGGACTCAGGAGAAAGAGTTGAACTTAATCGAGTTCGTTCTATATTGACTTTTATTTGAATAACTAAGAACTTCCTGTAATCTGCCCAAAAAATCACCTTAATTGGAGAATTCTAGCACTTTAACAATTGTTCTCGATTGAGAAGGGAATGTTCGCCCTTGTCTGTTTTATTGTGCAACTAGCCGAAGATAGCCCGACATATTTCCGAAGTCATAATTATTCAACTGCCAACTTTCATGGCAAGAGATTTGACTTCAAATCTAAAATTTAAGAAGGCTTGTTTCGATTAAAATTTCAAGATAAGAACTTTGATTTTATGCTTGCTATTGTATCAGAGTATGGTGTGATTTGTCAACGATGTTTTTGCAATGTCCAATTCAAAAATTGTCGAAATTGAACGCAACGTTGGTGGAAGTTTTGGATTTAGCGTTATCGGTGGAGTTGATACGGATTTACCACCAATGGTCTGTGCTTTAGTTCTTAATGGTTCAGCCCAACTAAGCGGAGAGGTATTTATCCATTATATTTTTTTAACTTTTTGTATTATACATATTTTTCTTAAAGCTCTAATTTAAATTTAGCTACTGCTTTGAACAAACTTTTTAAATTTAGCTACTGCTTTGAACAAACTTTTTAAATAGTTATGATTTCCATTTGTTTCGAAGATGTTTTGCTTAATGAAAAGTGCTTAACTTGAAAATTGTGATAAAATATATAAAGTTTGCTTTCTCATAACGACTTCTGTTTTCACTGACTTTTATAATTTTAAAATGAGGATGTTTTATATTCTTATTATGTTACAAAGCATCTGTCAACAACCGGCCTTTTGTCGTATTTAACTACAAATCTTTGTGGTTTTAACATACAATCTGTTGTAATTAGAATATGAAATATTGTTTATAAGAAAAGAGTTGACCATATATCGCGTGTTCTGTCTTTGGAAAAGAAAGAGGTCATTTAATTGCGACGGTTTTCTTTGGAAAACTTTCATACAAACTTGAGTACAATATGTTTACAATTTTAAGAAATATTGGACTGAATATGACTGACATCAATAAATTTATAAATCGATTGTTTTTCGTGTCAGAAATCGATTTTATTTAACAATCTTATATTCATACTTCAATAAGTAGGTGAAATATTTTATGATTCTTTGATATGATAGAAAGTTTACATCAGTATGTGATTGTGTTTACATATTAATTATCATTTTAATTTCTACTACCATTTAAGGTCACGTTCATTTGATAAAATAAAACACGGTTTTAAAAGGCATTAATGTTGCACAAGCATCAATGTCTGTGTCACTATTGTTTCTTAACTAGTTAAAATTGTTGAAACATACTGTATGCTTTGTTATTCTTTAAACGATAAGATGAAACATTTGCTAATTTTTTAAGGACTTTAATACTGAAAAGTAGAAATGTCAACATATTTATTGACAGTGTCACTTTGTAAAGCAAAAAAATTCAATATCTGTTAAAATATATCTTCTCTCATTCAAATAACTGAATTTTAATGTTTGGTCTCCATGATTTTGCCTGACTTTTAATTTATTTTCAATTTTTTGTTGCCAAATCATATACATAGTCAGGTTTTTAAAACCAAATAACAATGAAAGCAACCACATACAACTAACAGAAATTTTGTCTTTAAATGCAGATTCATGTTGGTGATGTTTTAGTTGAAGTTAATGATGAGTGTGTCAGTGTTATGCCTGCTAAGCAAGGTGAGAAATGGAATTTTGGGAACATTTTCACTTTGGTAAAACATTACAAACTTTTCTCAAGTCAAGAAATTCTACATTCATGCCTTTTGACCGTCATTAAAGAAAACCTTTTACTTTTCATTATATTGATAAGCATGTTATTTGAGCTTTGTAATTTAACATGTTCTTTGAAACCAGTTGTGATACTTTTTTAATATTTTCATGCAATCCTATGTATAACTGCATGGGCTCTCGGGACATTTATGAAAAGCTGGCAACCAGCGACTTACTGACTCTTCTTACTCTGAATAAATAAGAATATGTGAGATTGTAAACTTACTAAACTATATGAAAAATTGAAGTGGATACATTGCATACAACCTCTGCAAAAGAGCTCTGACTCACTTATCGTTTTGGTTGAAGTAGATTGTTTTAATTAATGTTCATTCAAATTGTACTTTACAGTTGTGGAAACAATAAGAAAATCACCAGATCTTGTGAAATTAAGATTAAGAAGAGGTATTGAAATCATTTGATAAAATAACATTTATGCTGTATATTAGTTGGTTTCAGCATGATTTCTGGGTTGCCTCGTTCATTTTGACAACATATCAGCATCTTCAAATCTTACCAATTCCTTGATTTCTGGATTTGTAAAAAGTACTAATTCAAGACGAGTTAATGGTGGTGTTGATGACGTATTAACTATTTGTATTGACACGTTAAAGTAATCCTCGTGACTTATTGACTTATTGAATACACTGTTATGGCGCAAGGATTTTTTTTGTATCATGGATTTTTATTGATTTGTCGATTTTGCTTTGTTTTCTTTACTTTTATAATTTGAACAATTATCGACGTATTTCCGACAGCTTTTCCGCTTTCCAAATTGACTTGGAAGCCTGGAAGGTGTATTGGCAATCTCTTGTAGTTTCCTGAAATATTTCGAAGTATTTAGTGATCATTTCTTTGTATTTGTGAATGGCTTTGCTTGTCAATCGAAACTTTAATAAGGTTTGCTTTTAGTTATTGACCGTCGACTTGCTAAAGATAGTGTATATTTCACATTATTCCTTTAATTCATCATACCTGTATTAAATTTTATAAACTTGTCGTGAATCATCATGTCTAGACTCTGCTATACCGTCTGCTTGTTTTACTTAAGTGATTTAATTTTTCTTTAAATGAGCAGGTGACCTAACGAATACACGTTTTTAACTATATACATATATTCAGTGGATTCAATCATTATATTCCGTATACTGTGTAAATTATTATATATAATGATATTTGTAACAAAACGTGATTGTATTTTTTATCGATATCAGAATTGCCACCGCTCACAGTTCATCATTTCATTTCCAATAGACGTTTTCTTGTGTGTTTATTCTTCAACGTATAACAGTAAAGAAATTCAAACTAGTAAACCGTAGAATTTGCTGTTTTCAATGAACTTGAAACATTCTTCAGGCGTAAATTAAACGTGACTCATGCTTTAGACAGAGCTTTAAAGTTTCATATTACACAAATTTCGTGTATTTGTTTGTATACAGGAGTTCGTAGTTCATTTTATTGCAAAATTTTTGTACGCTAGGTTTTAGTATGAACATGACTGTCTTAGCATTCACGGAAGGAAACGAGGCCCTATGATTTTATTGAAACGTGGTTAAACAATTTACAAATTGAGCGATATAAATATCAATAAATTTTATTATTGATGATAATTATCAAAGTTTACCTGCTAGTTTTACAAACTATGATTATTATTGTCGTTAAATATTTTATCATTTATCATTGTGGATAGTCTTGTTATCTTCTATGTACACGTATTTCGCTATTTTGTACATTTGACGTCTGAATTTTAAACTCCAGCTGTGCTCTAACGGAAGTGTGTTATCTTATTCTCTAATTTATGTGTTGTCTTTATTTTTTACTTTATATTTCATATACTGACTGGTATATAATTGCAAAATGTTTTACTTTTCAGTTGTTTCCAACAAAGTACTTTAACTTTTAATGTCGAAGGACTATTGATGCATAATTATAAATGTAAATCTCGGATGTTGATCTGGAAATCCTTTGTTTCTCGTAGATCCTGCAGCGGCCGCTCGTGCCAGGCCTCATTTAAGACGTTACTCGGTCGAAGACCCTAAAAAGGCAAGTTTTCAACATCGAAACATCAGCAACTTTCGTCGGACAGCGTCTCTACCCACCAGAAATTCGAGATCAAAATTTTTAAATCCCAATCAAGAAAGCACTGTGGTCAAGGAAAACAACACAACTGGAAGAATGACCAAGGGTAGACCCAGGGTGGTTGGAGAGGCAGACTCACTCACTGGAATTGAAAAAGGTAAAGATTTAAATCGCAAGGATAAAGAAAGCAACATTTAAAGATGAGGACGTTGGTCTGGAATAATCAAAAACTTGTGTTTCTTCATCAGATCACTTGTGATGAAGGAACTATACTGAGTTTCATAGTTGGTAAACATAATACCATTTGTAATGAAGACTGAAGAATGCGAAAACTCAAGTTTCAACATTAGATTACTGAAAATGAAGACCCTAGCTAGACTGGAGTAAATATGGACTTGAGTTTTCACAATAAACTTCTGCTAAGGGCACTGCAATGCACAGTATAAAAATTATGACTGATCATTCCTGTAGAATCAATAGACTGCTCAGTAAGTTCAGATATCTCACACTGCTGTACCTTATATAGGTACGGATGGGATATTTCGACGTCGGTCAAGTGAGCGCAGTGGCAGTTTTAGTAAAGTTTTGACGTCATTTCCTGCACATCCTGGTCCACCCCGCACGATAGAAAACGCAAAACGGACAAATGTTCGTTTTGCCTCACGCAAACTTGACATAAAACGAACGACGTCAGAGCAAAATACATTAGCACCAATAGGATCTTCGTATAGTGCCAGCTTACCGGAGATCGATGTACATCATGTAAAACAAGGCAAAAGATCCGCACAGAATCAAGCTTGGGAAAGATGTTCCAGTACTGGGGATGGATTGCGTAACGAGTGGTCTGCTTATGAAATGACATCCCACATACGTAGGGCTGATCATCAAAGTTTGACTAGTAGTAGTAAAAGCTCATTGCCGAGTTCATTGAATCAGAATTCGAAATTGTTTGGAGAAGATTCACCGATAACATCATTAACAAGAAGCCCTTACTCCTTTCGAAAATTTCAATATAACTCAATTGACGAGAATGAAGACGTTGACCTAAGAAATAATGATAAGATAGATGATGGACAACAGATGAACAATACTGATTTAAACGCTCAAGAACTTGCGAGGAAACTTTATGAGTTTGACGGCTTTGATCGAAATGAAATCGCCCCAATGTTGTTTAAAAAGTAAGTCGTGGCTTCAATAATTATAAAAGGATCGCTTTTGTTTTGTTTTGTAACACTAAAATAATTTTGTTGAATATTTTTAGGTATTAAGGCTGTGTTTGTTCGCATAAATTAAGAACATTCGAGACTTTTTTTGTTCGATGAATACTTGTTTTACTTTTCTTATAGTTGTAGTTATGTTATCCTCAATTGTTAGAGAGCGAAAATTTTGCCTGTTTTTAAAAGTTATTATTTGACACTTGCTTACAAAATTTATCAACGGGCATATGGAACGCTGTATTGAAGAGTTTTATTGACGTCTTCGATAAATACAGGCTGTTATTACTTGTCAGTCGAAGAATATAAAATTTCATTTAAAAGAGCACTTTATATTTAAGTGCTTTTTAAAACAGCCATAGTAAATTATTTCCGCGTGGTTTTGTGTTTTGCATATAGTATGTACTCTATCTTTCGTTTGCTTATCATTAGCTTTGCAAGTACAGGAAGTATATTGAATTTATATATATATTGTTGCTTGGTAACATCAAATAAACACTTACCATAAAGGAATAAAGTAAAACTAAAGTAAATAAAGTAAATCTTTTGTAAAACTGTAGTATTTTAAAAAGTAACTGTTTTGTTTACGAATGTATTTCACGTTCAAACTAATTTTCTGTGCGTGTATCGATTAGGGATCATTACAAGGTTTTATTTTAAAACATGCCCCACCATCAAATGTAAAGGTTTGAGTTGACATTGAAAATGCATGGATTCGGAACACAGATTAATAATGAATACTTAATGAATTAATACATTGTTTTGTTGCATGCTTTATCAATTTTATAACGACAAATCATTGAAAAGTCTATCGTAAATTCCTAACACTTTTGGCATTTAAAAAATTATAATGGAGCATTCTGAAACCAATCTAACTGTAGGAATTTCCACTCAAGCTTTAAACACATAAAGTTTGATATTGTTAAAATTTGACCGTCTGCAAATTAATTTCATTAAGTAACGTTGCGTTATTAAGAAATTGTAAGAAATGTTAAGAGATTAATGACTACTAACTAAAATTATTCATTTCAAACTTTTCATCAATTGTCGACGTGCTACTTGTAATATGTAATTTAAAATGCCCCTTAGAGGTATCCATCTAGGACGACTATCTATAGCTATAGTTTCCATTTAATGACAAACAAACATTCATGTATCCACGATTTTTTGTTATTTTAGTGATGAATTTACGAAAAACGTCGCATTATTATACATGAAGAATTTTGACTTTAACAACAAGGACATCGTTGAGGCATTGAGGTTTTTATTTCAGTTTATTTTCTTCTCTGTGTTTTAATATCCAATATCTCTTTCCCTACAGCCCAGAAGAATTACGTAATTTCTTTCGCTTTCCAAAGACCTTCATCATTGCTAAGGAGAAAGCTGTGACTTCCATTGTTTAACTTTTAACATAGAATTTATTTTCATCATGTTTTTTGTTTAAACTTTACTTTGATCTCTTATCTTCAACATGCAGCCCCTTTGGAGCAGGCCTATACGCATCATTCCCCGAACACCCACCAGTTCGGTAGTATTTATTTTTCTGCAAACATAAACAATGTTTTTCATTTTAGATTGTTGCTTGATCGGCTTAATCTGTTTGGTGAAACGCAAGAACGAGAACGAATTTTGGTTGCATTTTCAACGTGCTACCACGAGTGCAATAAACCATCATATGGTTCTATAGGTAATTATTGAACCATCATATGGTTCTATAGGTAATTATTGAACCATCATATGGTTCTATAGGTAATTATTGAACCATCATATGGTTCTATAGGTAATTATTGAACCATCATATGGTTCTATAGGTAATTATTGAACCATCATATGGTTCTATAGGTAATTATTGATCATATGGTTCTATAGGTAATTATTGAACCATCATATGGTTCTATAGGTAATTATTGAACCATTATATGGTTCTATAGGTAATTATTGAACCATCATATGGTTCTATAAGTAATTAATAAACCATCATATGGTTCTATAGGTAATTAATAAACCATCATATAGTTCTATATTAGGTAATTAATAAACCATCATATGGTTGTATTGTTAATTTAACTGTTAATGTTACATATTTGTGTCATAATTTTATATAAAGGCAAAATTCAGCAACTACAATTTTCTTTGTTTTTTATTAGATGCCGTTCACGCTTTAGTTTGTGCCATTATGTTACTAAACACTGACTTACATGGTCAGGTATCTACCATTTTATATCAACGTTCCTTTATCAAGCTTTTGAAAACTTTAATCAAATCAAACATGGGTGTGTTTTTTTATTTTTCTCTCTAAGCAAACTATAAATCGACGTATGAAACAGGTGGATTTTGTTAAAAATCTTTCTGGAATGTGCGATGGCAATGATTATCCTGCTAACTTACTCAAGGTAATATACGTCAACATAAATTTTACTTATGAAATGACTTTGTTTATAAAGACTGTTCTCGTCCTCCGATCTTGCTTCATCATTACAAACGTTAACATAATGTATTTTTAGTCTCTGTACACCTCGATCAAGTCACATCCTTTGGAATTTCACAGGTAAATACATAAACAATTTTCACGTGCAAATTATCTCTCTTATCATTGCAATGATTGAATCTTGTGCAGGGAAGATATACCAAATCATACAATGGAAAGCCACAAATCCAACGGAAAAGAAGTAAAAGTAAATTTTCGATCACAATTATTTTTCTTCTCATTTCTAGGAAAGCCATAAATTGATAGGACAATCTATATAATCCTTGTTAAGATCAATCAAAATATCCCTTCGTATTTTATCAGTTTTATTTTTAATATCAGGACTCAAATGGAGGAAAATTTTCAGGCAATTCAGCACTGACCGGGGTAAGCTCATCATATCACTCTTTACAAATAGCTACAATATACTGTATGGTCATATACTCATGGTTGTTTTTGACTACTTAGTTCCAATCAGACGAGGAAGATGTAATTTACCGGCAAGGTCTATTGTATAGAAAATTAGTCGTAGACAGTGGTGGCAAGAAAGGTAAGCTTCTTTTTGGAAACATAGATCATGCGAGGTTTTAGCTAAAGATCAGAAATATTCTGGAATAAGAAGTTAGAGGATTTTTAGATGTAAATGTAGGAAAGGCCTCTCTATATACAGTATCAGTTTACTCATAATAACTTTAAATTAATCAATAAAATAAAAATTATAATTTTGACCGTATCGACCGCACAAGGCTTACGTACTTGTGATGAAGTATTTGTGTTCGTATTTAGCGTCGGCATGGAAACGAAACTGGCAACCATTTGTGGCGACTTTACGTGGAATGGTGATGTATTTACACAAGGTACATTGATGTTAATGCAATAGGTATTATGTAAGGCTTCGCTGTCTGAGATAAACCCAGTCTGCATTGTAAATGAGTGGCGAACTTAAGCTACATGGGTAGTGGTTAAGCTGACGGAAGTTTTAATTGTATCATAAGTCAGTGGTCTATTTTCATTAATAAAAGCTTTTGAACATGTACATGAACATGAAAAATGTTCATATGACAATTGTATTACGAGAAAGAAAAGGGATACGATGTCAAAAGCAATGTTAGAACTTGTTAAGAAGTTCATTCAACCAGTTGTCGAATAATGTATGAATGAACTCAATCTTTAAATATTTATTTATTTATTAGCCTGATGAATCGCGTAGTTTTAACGATACTCGTTTTGCTGTGGGCGCTCATCACGCGTTTGCAAGTCCTGCGTTCGATTATAAGAAGAAGTCGTTTGTACTTCGGTTCATCACCGCTGACTGGAAAGTACTGCTATTTCAAGCCAGGTAGCTACTCAATATTATACGAGCCAGGTGTTACGGGGCATGTTTTGAGTATTTGAAAGTGTGACAATGATGTTATACATCTTAATGTCTTGTTTAAGTGTGTGTATTTTTCTCAATGAGTAGTATTTTAATAAATGTTTTTGACTTTCATTTGTCTTTCAGAGACAAAGCTGATATGTTTGCATGGGTCGAATGCCTGAATCTAGTTGCTGCCACATTTTCCTCACCACCACTTCCGGCAGCTGTCGGGTCACAGTATGTATGACGTAATCACTACTATGTATAAGAAACTGGTACTAGTAGGAAGATTGAAGCCGGAAGTTGGTTCATTTGCTTTTGTTCTACAAAATCACACTTAAATTTGTGTTTTCATTTGTTTTCTATGTTTGTTTTACAAATATAAATACTATCAAATGGACAGAAAGACTTGTGAAACATTTTAATCGCTAAAACATAAGAAACTAAATCAACTTTACTCCCAGTTGCGTTAACTTCAAGTGACCTCATGGCAATATATGAAATAGTACTTTTTTGAAGAAATGTTCGTGATAACATTTGCTAAATACATCAATATTCATTTTATAGCAAGCGGTTTCAGAAACCTGTTTTACCTTTTTCAAAAACTCAGCTAACTTTGGTGCGTATATTACAAAGAATTTTGAATTGTTCTAGCAATTGAGTATTCATCATTTTTTAATATAAATGTCCTGTTTAGGCGGAACAGTTGTCCAACCACGAGGCAAAGGTAAGAAATCATTTTTCGATATTAGTGAACAAAAATAAGTTTTGCATATAAGTAGCTATTTCAACGAGTTTTCTATTGCATGTTTGCAGACTTCTAGAGTTTTCCCGAGTCGTTAAAAATATTTAAAACACAAGATCTATGTATTATGTCAAAATATTTAGTCAAAAGTATTTTCATAGTCAAAGTTTTTTCAAATTACATCTATGTTACTTCATCTTGTAGTCAAAAGACATGGCAGACACTCTAATTGATCATTTAAACAATGAACCTAAAGGCGTTGATGTTAGACATCGTGACATAATTGAATGGCAAGAAAAAAGAGATTTCTACGACTATGAGGTACATAAGCATTAATTACTGTAGATATAAAGCACACTACCTAGACATGTTAGTAGTTAGTTTTTACGTTGTTGACCACGATAGTGCATTTGTAATTTAGTCTTTGTTTAAAACATCTAATAAAACTTGGATTTGACTAAAATTAATCTTCGTGGGTGTTGTCGTGTTTTCAACAAAATCAAAATCATCTTGATTTTCATTCCTTTTTAGTACAAGCGTTATCGTTCGTATGCGAATATTTTAAAGAGTTCAAAATTACAAGCACAGGCTCCAAGGAAGGTCACAAGAAAATCCAGTAATCCCGAAACGTTTGGGAAGAAAAATGGTTTTCTAAACGAAAACTTGCGTAGATTTAATTCTTTGGACAATATAGTAGAATCTCCTGAAGGGAGCGAAACGAGAAAAATGAGCCACCGAGAGAGTTATTTCATGGCTATTCATCCCGGATAGTATGGTTTGTTGACAATATTGTTGAATAGCATTGTCATTTGTCGTTCTGTGCTTCAAATAAGCTCACTCACAGAATCCTACCTTTCAAAGAAAATGCACAAGACAACATCTTGGTGAGAGTTTTCAAATGCAAAACATCGCTAAAAGGCATTATAATAAAATTGCAGTTTTTACTGTGCCGTCAGAGAAACGGGGTTATATGGTGCGATTCCTTATCAAATCTCTGAACTTTAGTTCAACCCTCAACTTCTACCCAATTAACTAACGAGCCATAGTTGATTGGTTGATCGGTCATAACCGAGGGGTTAATTATGACAGAGAATCTATTTTTTAGCAAAGGTATGTTAAAAAACGATGTGTTCCCATTGCCTGCAATGATGAATGAAATCAAAGTAACGATCTGTCTCATAGAACGTTAACTATGAGCGTTAAAAACAAAGTAATATCTAGATTACTTTTTGTTTTATTGGTAGTATGAAGTGTACAAAATAGAAATATTTATTCCATTTTTATGTGAATTTTTGATAAAATATAAAGAGTATTTATTTCTTTTAAAAGAAGAAAGTTTTTGGAAATGACGTCATCTTCGTTGTGAGTGGGTTGTCAGAAAAAAAAAATACGCAAACCTTGGTAGTTTTAAGGGTCAGTTATGTAAAAATGATAACCATCTTAGGATGGATAATTGCTTCCTATATTTTAGGGAATTTCAAAATCTATTTTGATTTCAGTGTTCATGTTTCTTCTTTTGTTATCAAGAGTCAGAAGATTGTGGTTTAAGTATTTTTGTAACAATTTCTATTTTTCAAGAAAGAGATTAGTTTTAATAAAAAAAACAACGATACACTCTACCAGATGCAATACATATACAGTATATACGTTACTTGCATAATACATATATCTTGTGTTTTTATTGGGGGTGCAGTGGTAACAAGTTGGAGACTAACTTATCGTAGTTATCATAAATACGTCATTGTACGATAAATTCAGTTAGTAAAATCATTTTGATAAAAAAATAGGCTGCTCTGATATAACTACAACAACAATGGTCTTCCCATGCAAACTGTCAAATCGTTACTTTGGGAAAGTCATGGAATTAAGCGGAAGTCATATTGACCTTAAAACTCTTCCTAATTACATCAATGTAATAAAGCATTTGGAGTCACAATTAAGTATTTATGCCATGTCATAATGAATGTGCCATTTCTTCATCTCCTTATACTCAAGTCACAGTAAGGATGATACATAAGAAATCAATATATTTGATCTCCTTTACCTATGTCACATTATTGATGTGCCAGATCTCCTTATACTTATGTCATAGAGACGACAATACATAAAAATTCAATTCACATAATGTACTTCGCTTCATAAAACAATGATAGTATGCATAAGGAATCAACAAAACTGTAGCATATGCAGTAGCCATGTTCCAGTAGTGGAAAAATTCTTGCTTCTAATGCAACCCATCATTTTTGCTCTTGCCATTGTTCTTATGGGGTAATTTTTTCATGGCCTTGTCTTTACACATTAACGACTGCAAACTATGACAAACTGTTAGAAATTACGATGTTCCTGTTTATTGTTAACAAAAACAACAGGTTTATCTTCAATATAGTTCTAATATTACAAAACAGGCACTTTAAACACTTCCCAAAATTTCGTTTCTCAGAAGTCGTGGACAGCTTTTAATAACATTGCCCACGCCTTTTATAAAAGACAAGAAAAGATTAAACAACTCCATGAACAGTACTAAGATGTTTCATTGTTGAAATGCCAACGAAGCTATAAAAATAATTCCTGTCTTTTAAATTTTAATATTGTGCATTCTTCTCAAGTTTTGGGCGTTCTTCTGGACCTTCTCTATCTATCTTAGACTATCTGCATCATGTACATCTGCTCACTACAGTTTCGAAAGTAAATTATGGTTCAGTGTAGCACAACGGCATGTGAGTGACGTCATTGTACTTCACATAATGATTCACGGGAAGTGTAGAAGTTGCTTTTTATTGAGAAAATAATATTGGGAATCCCAAATGTTACCGGGGCTTTCCCATATATTTCAGATGTGACGAATGTACAAATTGAGTATGTTGCAGAAACCATGTCCTTCAATACTGCTTTTTCTTGCGTTCTGAAAGAGTCTACCGGTGCTTTTTGGTTTATTTGTCTACTGTAAACTAACCGTGAAGTGTTGTTTTGTATACGGAATTCCAGGGGAAAGCTTCTATTAAACAATCATCTAATAATTTCACTATTTTTGCTAGAGGTACGTAGAAATGGTTTTATGATCTATTTAAAGTCTTAATCTTCATGAAGGTGGAAAATAATTCAATGGTACTATGGAGATCGTTTTGATTTCCCTATTTCGACCTATGGATAACTAAAGTGCTGAGTTATTTTTCTTTTCAAAATTTCAAATAGCTATGATTTGAAATGTGACAAATTCATTAACACGAATAGACTAATCAAAACATTTTGTTCAAGTGTGGAAGTTTTGAATATCAAATGAATTCCAATAAAGTATATATTTAAACACGAGTCATCATTTCAAAGTTATTTACGCTAGAATATAGGCGTGTGGCTGTATTCCGATGCTTCACAACCCCCCCTGGCAAAGTGACAATGCTTTGCAGTGCCTAACCATCTCATTGCCATGTTTGTTTTCAAAATTTGGAAGCAGTTTGTCAATATATTTGTTGTTTGCTGATGTTTAGAAATGTTATTGTTAGTTAACACAAATACAATTTGCAACCTCCATGTTTCTTGTTGAAATGTACACAAATATTTAATATACATAAATGTTTAAAAAGTGTATATGTATAAAGTTGCCTCATACTAATTTGAACATTTTTGCATAGGTGTTCATATCATAACTATGGCAGAAGGGGACTCAATGAGTATGAATTATCTTGAAAATGTTAACACTACAGATCTTGTGGAAATGCTAGGAGACGCAGCTTCTTTATCAGAGATGTTGTCAGCACCTTTTGGCTCCAAAAGTGGTAGGTGGCAAGAGGGGATGATGATGGATTGGTCCAAAGAAACATACCCAGTTTTTAACATCATTCACAATGTTATTTTTTCTACTAATGAAAGAAAATTGGAGTAATGTTGCTTATATGCCTATGGAAAACCTGTTGAAAAATGCAAAATTTGCATTATTGAAGGTTTTTTCATTGAAATCCTGTGCAATCTTGCATATGCAACATTCAAGACAAGAATTTTGATGGCTAGATCAAAACAAAATAATTTATAATGTAATGATAATTCATAATTCATTTCTTCTGGAATACAGAGGAATAAATAATATATTGATTATTCTTCTCTGAAACTTTGTTAAATTTCAATATTTTTATGTAGCTGAACTTGAAATTCTGGAGCAGCCCAAACAGGTTTGTTCATCCCCCATCAATTTATAGATTATGTAAACATTTAGAATTCTCAAAATCCACTTTTCCAAGATTGATTTATAATGTTCTTGTGTTTGTTTTTAGAGAGGATTTCGTTTTCGATATTCATGTGAAGGTCCTTCTCATGGTGGCCTGCCTGGTGAAAATTCCGTCAAGGGAAAGAAGACATCCCCTACTGTACAGGTATGGTTGAAAATATTGGAATGATTACAAATGAAAAGTCTATGACCTAAAATGTCTACATCTTTATTTGAATTGTAGATTGTGAATTATCATGGAAAAGCTCGAGTGGAAGTTTCATTGGTGACAACATCTGATCCACCAACTCCTCATGCTCATAGCTTAGTAGGGAAGAATGTAGATGGAGCATGTGTAGTTGAAGTTAGTGAAGACACTGGAATGACTGCAGTGTGAGTATTTTTACTGTTGTATTTTCTATGTTTCATTATCGCTGCTAGGAAATTGTATTGTTGTATTGCATGCTGCTTTGTTGCTATATGTGAATTGCCTACATATTTAGTAAAAGCTTTTTTTGACAAGAATTTAGTAATTATCTGAAATGCAAGTAGGTGGAGATGAGGTTGTAAAACAAAATTTGTTGTAATGGTTTGTCAGTATGAATATTTAACATCCAACCAGAGACTTATCTTTCAATAACAAACTGCTGCTTTTACTCAGTTTTCAGAATTTGGGAATTCAGCATGTGACCAAGAAAAATGTCAAAAATGTGTTGAAAGAGAGACATCTTAAACGACTAAGTCTTGAGAAGACATCTATAAGTCAATCATCCAATTTGTTGTTGAATGTACATACAAATGTTGACAGTGAAAGAATTGCTGAAGTGATCACAAGTAAGATGCAAATTTTAACAAATTTCTTTTTTTATCACGTAGTCACATTATTTAAGGCATTTTGATATCAAATAATAAGTTGTTACAAAATCCATCAGTCTTGTTTCTCTTTCAAAACGTGATTTACACAGTCACATAGTTTCGGGAGTGAAAACATGATTTTTTGTATACATTTCATAAGTCTAACATTTTCATCAAGAATTAAATTTTCTTCAAGCTCAAGTCCTTACGTAGGTACTCCTGTGTAGTGTCTTCAATAAAGGATTTGATCGTGAAATCTGAGTTCTTTGCTCCTCAAAGTAATGTCTTCATCACTAGTGATCTGTTGTTATAACATAAGATCTTATACATTCCACTCTAATGTCTTCATCTGTCATCACGAGTGATCTGATGATAATTTAAAGTTGAGTTCTTATAATTTCCAGTCTGTTGTCTTCAGGAGTAATCTGATGTTACAAATTGTGATGTAATATACCCCAGTCTAGACGTTTCCTCATCAAGAGTCATTTGATCTTAAAACTTGAGCTCCTATATTCTCCAGTCTATTGTCTTCAGTACGAGTGCTCCAATTTTGAGACTTTAGCTCTTATAAAAATCTGTTGTTGGATGAAGTTAGTGTTCAATTGGCACCTTTGACCATTGCCCTTTTCAACCTCATTAATTTTAGATGAAGAAATTGCGAAGATCGATCGAATTGTAGAACAAGAAGCCAAAAACATGAATCTTAGTTCAGTACGGCTTTGTTTTCAAGCTTATTTACCGAATGAGAACGGATATTTTGAAACATGTCTCAATCCAGTTTACTCGAATCCAATATATGATTCAAGTTAGTAGTTTATCTTATTACTATAGTTTACTTGTCAATAGCCATAACCAATCCAAATGGATTAATTGACTCATAAGTATTGATACCTATCTTTCCTAAGTGTCTATTATGAACGTTGCCATGTACAACATCTGACGCTAACTAGCTCTTCCAAGCAGTCGCTTTATTTGACATAGAGAAAGACTGTCCAAGCTTTTATCGTCTTGTTTTATTTTGTAGAGGCGGCCGCTGCAGCCGAACTGAAAATTTGTCGAGTTGATAAGCAATCAGGTTTCGTTCAAGGCGGTGAAGAAGTTTTCTTACTATGTGATAAAGTACAGAAAGGTATAATGTAAAAAAATTTATTTCCATTTTTTTATTTGTGTTGATGGTGAGAAGGCCAAAACAGTGCTCATAGTACCTAAAATATAAACGTAAGTGTAGGTAGTGATGAATGAACAACAGAGAACAAGAACAGTCTTTACACTACTTAAAATATAAACTAAGATAACGTGTGTCTGTGTAGGTAGTGATGAATGAACAACAGAGAACAAGAACAGTCTTTACACTACTTAAAATATAAACTAAGATAACGTGTGTCTGTGTAGGTAGTGATGAATGAACAATGATGAAAAAGAAAAAAGATTCTTAAATTGTGAATTAGCTAATGCAATTTCTCCGTTTTTTTCCATTTATTAGAAGACATTGAAGTACGATTTTATGAAGAACATACTGGTGAGATTCACATCTTTTCAAAGGCTACTTCGCCTGAGTCACTTAAATGATCATTTCGTTTCAGATGATGATATTGCAAACATAAAAGAACCCTGGGAAGCATTAGCAAAGTTCTCGCATACTGATGTTCATCGACAGGTAAAATATTTTGTCGTCGGCTGCTTTTTGACTTGCTTTTTTCTAACTCCAGATAAAGGCACTTGACTAGAGAAATTATGGTTAGCACTACATTAAGATTGTTTTTAATTTCTTGTATTTGTCTTTGTAGTTCGCAATTGTTTTTAAAACACCGGAATACTGGAATACGGCTATAGAAAAACCCGTGACAGTTTTAATGGAATTACGACGAAAAAGTGACAACGAACGAAGCGCACCTTTTGAATTTGTTTACAAGCCACGAGAATTTGGTAAGTTTCACTTGTAGTTCAAATGCTGGTGGAAATCAAACAAGAAAGGATATCTTAATGTGGAAGAAAGGTTTTCTCTGTAGTAAAGCATACTAAATGTTTTGTGTTGTTCATGCTTTCATTTAAAAGGAAAATTTATCATGAATTAAAAAAACGACTTCAACTACCTCATTTTCTCTTACTAAGATACTGATCAGATTGGTGCAAAACGACGAAAAACCATTCCATATTTCGACCAATCAGCGCCAACTACTACACAGGCCAACGATGCTGCTTCTGGGCCTTCAGCAGCTGTGACGTCATCGGCGGCAAATCCCTCTTTCATTAATCCAAATTTTTTCAATCCTTATCCTGCGTTTGCTGGTCTTCCATTTCCTGGGTTATTTGGCAATACTTTTCCAAGTCTATCTTCATTTCCTCCATTGTTTGGTATTCCCGGGGCAGATGGAACGCAGCAACAACAATATCAAGTTCCAGAAGGACAAGAGTCATCGAGCAGCAGTAATGTTTCGTAATGCAAGCTTTTGTTTAGATAGTTTTTCATAATATATACAGAGCTGGAAAAAATGCATTTATGAAAAGGAAAAACTAATCAGAACTAAGCGAAGTTATCGATTGGAAAATCTTGTCTTCTGTACTTGTAAAAACATGTCTTTGAAAGCATACCAACCTAGTTTGCAGAAAATTGGAGTAATGTCTCTATTTCCATACCTCTTGGTCCGTGTTATGAACCTGGTTTCTCTGTACATAAATAATGACGCAGGAAACCTGTTAAAATTACTCCAATGGTTTGGAAATTCTGTGTATAAAATACGCAATAGTTTTGCATGAACGTCCGATTCGTACTTATTTTGTAAATATAAAAGTGGTTGAAAAGCACTAAAACATTGTCAAACTTTCTCCACTGTAAGCTGAACGTGTAAAAATAATGCTATAATGTGAAAAAGAAGCATTTGTTCTCGCAAATTAAAGTCAATATTTGTTACTGCCTAACTGGGATTGTGAGGAATTAAGATCAATGTTACGGTGATTGGGGGGTGGGGGGTTGGGAAAAATTAGTGTAACGAAGATTGGGGTGGAGGATAATTCTATGTAACATGGAAGGTAATCTTAGATTATCAACATTCAACAATCAAAATACATCTTTTCAATTTTTTGCTTCTTTTATTTCATTCTTCGTTTGTGAGTCCAACTTCTGTATCTCATCTTCATCTTTATGAGTATCGATCTACATTCCATTTTCATCTAGATTTATGTATGATAAAAATTATAAAATGCTTGATGTTGTTATACCAGTTTATGCCTTGTTGCATTTTTCTGGAAATATATCCTGCTAACAGATTTACAGTTAACACTTTGAAATGAGTAAACACAACCAAGGATTTGCCTAACAAAAACGTGGCTTTAATTTTCCTCCCCCCTCCCCCCCCGGAGAGAATATGGAGAAGAAGGTGTTTCCAGTGTTTCCCAAATTCTGTGATGACGTCATGTACTTGGTTGGACATCTTGGATCATATTTCACCGTTTCAGGTGAAGAATTTCAATCAGAAGTTCAAAACAACTACAAACATGGAAAATGTACGCGCAAGTTTTCGTAGAATTTTTGTCGTTCTTTAAAATTTTAAATTCTAGTTTGCCTATAATGTATAATAATAAACCTCTTTCTAAAAAGGCACATGAAAGTTCAAGCAGTTCAGAGAAGAACGAACAACACGATTCTTACTTTGATGAGCAAAGTAATTTAAGAGAACGTTATGATTCACATATCTTGCCTGCAGATTATAAGTACAAAGTTGGTAAGTTTACCTGACCTATAATTGCTTAGTATAAGACAATGACGTTGCCTTGTCCGTACTTAACAAATTATATCAATTATAAGTGAGCTAAGCCTGAAAATTCAACATGTAATATTATTTCCCAATAAAACTCTTGTTGGCAACCATTCAATTATGGCGAAATTTTACCATGCTTTATATTGTTGTTTGTTGTTAACTACAGGGAATCCATATCCTGATGATTATAATCCAAGATTTTTCAATGTCCCAACTGTCATAGTTTTGGTTGGACTTCCTGCAAGAGGCAAGACATATGTGGCAAAGAAATTGGGAAGGTATCTCAACTGGATAGGCATTAAAACCAAAGGTACTTTGCCAACAATTTTTTGTGATAATATAATTCGACATTATATGATTCTTATGCCACTTCATTGATAGTTTTCAATGTTGGAGAATATCGTAGAAATGCTGTTGGAGCTGATAGAAAGCATGATTTCTTTCGGGCAGATAATGCAGAAGCTATCAAAATACGAAAGTATGCTCTAATATTGTATATAATATTTTATGGGCATTGCATGCTGGGAAGTATAGGAGTGGTTTCTCCTATTTTGGTGGGAATTAGTACTGCTAAAAAAATTGGCTTAGGACATTCAACATCTGATCACTCATGCTGAAGACACTAGACTGGAGTTTGCAATGACTCAAGTTTGAACATCAAGACTAGTGCTGATGAAGACACTACATTGGAGTATATAAGAACTCAATTGTTGCTCATTTATACTAGAAAATGTGCTCTGAATGCTTTGAAAGATGTTGTTCAATGGTTTTTACATCATGAAGGATTTGTTGCTGTAAGTTTTTTTAAGTTGTTGAATAATGCACAGACTTTTGACCTGTCTACCTTACTCCTCCTGACTTGTCTGCCTTACTCCTGACCTGTCTACCTTATTCCTGATTATCTACCTTACTCCTGATTTGTCTACCTTACTCCTGACCTGTCTACCTTACTCCTGACCTGTCTACCTTATTCCTGATTTGTCTACCTTACTCCTGATTTGTCTACCTTACTCCTGACCTGTCTACCTTACTCCTGATTTGTCTACCTTACTCCTGACCTGTCTACCTTACTCCTGACCTGTCTACCTTATTCCTGATTTGTCTACCTTACTCCTGATTTGTCTACCTTACTCCTGACCTGTTACCTTACTCCTGACTTGGCTGCCCTACTTTAGACATGTTTTCCTAATCTCTGACTTAGCTTTTATGTCTTCATGAATGCCATCATTTTTTGTAACATTTAGATATTTGATGCAACAAACACAACAAGAGATAGACGAAAAATGGTTCTAGACTTCTGTTCTGAACGCAGTTATAAGGTGACTTACAAATTAATGCAAAGAGCTGCTGACATTTTCAACTTGTGTTGAAATATCATATTGTTTGTGAATAAAGCTGTAATATTTTGATTTCTAGACATTTTTCATTGAGTCTGTGTGTGATGATGCTGAAATGGTCTCTGAGAACATTCGGGTAAGTTGGTAGTTAACAGAGAAATTGTTTAGGCTGAATTTTGCATAAAATAGTTCTTATCCATCCCTTTGTTTTTTTTTCTCATGGCAGCTTAAAACTTTGTCAGTATAGATAACTAAGAATGAAAAACAGAAAATGAGAACAGAACAGACAGAGAGAAAGAACAATGTTTACATTATCTAAAATATAAACTAAGATAACGTGTGTCAGTGTAGGAAGTGATGAATGAACAACAGAGAACAAGAACAGTCTTTACATTACGTAAAATATAAACTAAGATAACGTTTTTTTAGTGTAGGTAGTGATGAACTAAATATGAAAGAAGAGAAAGCTGTCTTTACACTTTTTAAATCAATGTATATGTAGTGGGGTTTTTATATATTTTGTTGAGGAAGTGAAGGTTTTCAGTCCTGACTATAAAATGATGCAAAGTGATGAAGCTGTAGAGGATTTTAAGAAGAGAATTGAACATTACAAAGCAACTTATGAACCCTTATCATTGGAAAGCGATGAGTAAGTGAAGACAAGCCTGCGTTTGATTAAAGTTTCCAGGCAATATTTGGGTTTGATACTTTACCCAAGCTGCCTTACTTTACCTTACCTTACCTTACCTTGCCTTGCCTTGCCTTGCCTTGCCTTGCCTTATCTTTACTTTTTTTTTAACACAGAGAACTCTCGTTTATCAAGAACATCAACTGTGGACAGCAATTTATTGTCAATAGAAGTCACGGTACAATAGTATGAGGCTTGATTTTAGGCGAAGCCTTGTCAATTTTAATCATGAATATTTGGTTTCTAGGTTATGTCCAAAGCCGCGTCGTCTATTATCTTATGAACACACATGTACAGCGAAGATCTATATATCTAACAAGAGTGAGTACTAAATTATATTTTTCACGAAAAACATGAATTTTTATCATCAATGCACTTGTTAATATCAGATAAGAACTACTTGACAATTCCTGTTTTAGCATGGCGAAAGTTTGTATAACCTTGAAAAACGAATTGGAGGTGATCCAGACTTGAGCACTGGAGGAAAAGAGGTATATATTAAGGATGTATAATTATCAACACTAAGTTTGTATAATTTTTTTTCTTTTAGATCATCGTGAGCTTCGTGTTTTACTGCTTCAACAATGTGCAAATTTCTCTTTCAGTTTGCGAAACTGTTGGCAGACTATATGAATGGTCAAAATATTCCTGATCTTAAGGTTTGTGGTGTTTTTAAAAACATTAGCTACCTTATGTCACGGGAAATCACTAATATGTCTTGACTTATCTGTAGTGTGAGCTAAAATAACATAATTGTTTTCTTAATTTTGTAGGTATGGACAAGTCAGTTGAAGCGAGCTTATCACACTGCAGAAGGAATCAACGCTCCTAGCGAACATTGGAAAGCTTTGAACGAACTAGAGGCAGTAAGTTGTTTAAATTATAATTTGAGCAATATTTTTAGAAAACGTAACTTTTTAATGTTCGTATAAAGGGGATATTTGATGGTTTGACTTACGATGATGTAAAAGAAAAATACCCGGATGAACACGAACAACGTTATCAAGATAAATTTAAATACAGGTCACCCAGAGGAGAAGTAAGTGAAATGAATGATTTTTGCTGATGATGATCTATAATGTTGAAACTTGATATCCTTATATACTCCAATAAATCCTTATATACTCCAATCTTCTAAAGTGTGATATTATTTATCAATTTAAGTCAAATTTTGTGATTTTTTTGTATGTAATTTTTTTGAATGCAATTTTTTGCTATATTTAGTCGTATAATGATCTGAAAGTCAGATTGGAACCTGTTATTATGGTTAGCTTTAAAAACGGTTTTTGTTCTGAAATTTAAGAACAAATCTCTCTTTGAGCGGAGATTTACATTTTGCTTTTTTTTTAGGAACTAGAGAGACAAAAAAACATTTTGGTCATTTGTCATCAGGTATATATACGTGTAATATGTAATTGTATTTTTTGAATCATTCTCATGTATGAAATTATGAATGAAATCTCCATTGAAGTATGGTCATTGAGAAGGAGAAGAATTATAATCACAGTTAACATAATGTTACATAAGAGAAATTAACAAATATTTTTCTATTGGTGCTCGTATATTTTCATCGTTGTATCAACGTTTTCTTTAGGCTGTTCTTCGTGTTTTACTTGCTTATTTCTTGGACCATCCCTCAGGTATGGCGTACTTATGTCTTGTGTGTGTGTGATTTTCACAGCTTAGTACTGAGGTTTTATGACGTTAGTAGTTTGAAGTACTTAATCAAACATATTTCAAGCATAATTAAGTTGTCTTTATCGACACTAAACTGTTTTGTGTATTTCTAGAAAGGTTTACAAAGCGCATTTTTACTCGCTTTCTTTTCTTTCTTTACTCACAAACAAATTTTTTTTGTTAATTCACAGATCAGCTACCATATATGAGAGTTCCTTTGCATATCATTTACAAGCTTACTCCGATTGCTTTTGGTTAGTTTTGATAAGTGGTGATATTGGCGTTGATTTTGATTGAAAGTACTTCTGTATTTGTATCCGTCATATCTTTTCAGGCTGTCGAGTTGAGAAAATTCGAATTGACGTCGACGCTGTTGACACTCACGTTCCCCATCCCAGTAGAGTAAGTTGTTTATCACATTGAATGTCCCAGGATTTTATTCCAACAGCAGATTAGCATTGTCAGGGGATGTTTATCACATTGAATGTCCCAGGATTTTATTCCAACAGCAGATTAGCATTGTCAGGGGGGATGTTTATCACATTGAATGTCCCAGGATTTTATTCCAACAGCAGATTAGCATTGGCAGGGGGATTGTGAGTTAGAGGGTTCGTTGGTGAAGAGTTGCATTGCAGATGTTATAGCATTGTCAGGAAAATTAACGAACCTTGTTCTAAGCAATGGGTCTAAGAATGTCAAAGGTTTCTTCTTATTTTTCAATATTTAGGCAAATCAAGAGGTTGAATAATCAACTAAACAAAGTTCATCAACATAAATTGTTCTGCTCCAATGCTTAAAAATAATTGTTAATATCTTTTATGCTACATTATTACGATGAGATAAATAACCTTAGAGGTCAAACATATTTATTTCTGTTCCATCCTTACGATGGAGAGGTCATGATAAAATATATTTATTTCTTATGTAACATTGGTATTGACATAATGTTATAAGTAGTCGATAAATGCTGATTATATAGCAAGCTTGGCGAAGAGAAATATATTATACTGGCATTGTGTGAAATGATTTCTACACTAAAATTTCATTGTTGATACATTAACAAACCCACTGAAAATAAATAAATATCATTGAATCCTTTTATTTATTTTTATTATTTTTTCAATTTTATGGATTTTATCTGTATCATTTTTATCTGTATCATTTACATCCAGCTTTGTATAATGGACTCCCCCCCTTCTTTTTCCCATCGCTGAAATGCAATTAAAAATGTGAGAAGACCTTTGCCAAACGACTAAGATTTGAGTTCTCATGCACTTCAGTAAAGTTTTTTCATCACTAATGATCTCATGTTGGAGCATGATTCTTCATCACGACAGTCAGTCACGGGTGCTGACGTAGGCATTTGGATTGATGGGGTGCTGGATTGGATCAAATGACATGGATATTTCTTGGGGAAGCTGTGATGTAATCGAATCGAACTTTGACCGAGCGACCAGGCCAAGTGAAATCACTCTCAACCTCGTACGATATAAATATGCCTTGTCACCATTGTCAAAGTTTGATAAAATCGCCTTGTTTTTAGTGGTTTATCTTGTGTGTTTGTAAGTTTTTTTTCATTAAATGGCTTTAGAAGTTTTTGAAGCGTATTGGGAACGATTCTTGGGAGTTGTTGAGCCACATTTGCCTGTGTACTTGCATTGGAATGAAATTTGTGTAAGTAAAGATAATTATACCAAAAGATATTTTTGTACCAGTAACTTGTTATAACGATCATATAAAAGGATACAGCATATTTCTTTCTCATATATTTATACTTCTATCCTTACATATGATAAATATTAGGTGATGAAGAACTCATCTTTATCATGTCTTCTTATATCACTGAACTGAAAATATATCTCTAGAGGGCAGAATTTTTACCTTGCCATTTTGGATAAATAACATTTATTGTGTTGAAAAATAAACAAAATGTTATTTTACATGGTAAATAATAGTAAAACTAAATTAAGAATTGGTGATTCCTAAGGTGAAATGGAACAGGAATGTCCCATTTGACAATTCCTAAAAAATCTCCAACTTTGTTATAATAAGTTCTGTGATCGAATAATCATGTTATCAAAAATGTCCTTCAAGATTGACAAATGACTGGGCCATTCTTGTTCAAAACTATGGAAGTTGACCAGATCAAAGAGCCATTGTTTGAGTTTTGATTTTTTTTAAAAGTGCTACGTAGGTAGCATTAAAGTCATGTATTTGACAGATTTTAAGAATTTTCCATTTATATTTTTTGTTCCAGTGGACATTTGTCTTTTATCTGGCTGAGTTACGAAGACATATACACCGCTGGTGTCGTGGACTAGAATCATGGCAGGTAATTATATATGTTTAAGTATATTTGAAAATTTTGTATTCTGATATTGATTCAATCAATGTGCAATCATTACTTGTGTGTAAATATGCCATCCATTGTTTGAAAAATTAAGTGACTTGTTTCCTTTCTTTCCAGATAGGGAAATAATTACAATACACTTGCTTTATACCTGTCTGTATGCTTTCTTCTCTTTAGATTGTTGTGAATACTGTGCTAATCTGTCTTTGTGTCTGGTTGGTCAGTGAGATTTTGCGTTGGCTATATTCATGGATATTTTGCCAAGATGAAGGTATAATTGAATATGTAGCAGGGGCTTATCCTGACCTTTTGTAACATTTTTCATATCACCACAACCACCCACCTGTCCACCTGGTACCTACTACCCACCCATGTACCAGGTAGCTACCACCGATCCACCCCCTATGTAGCTATCACCTGCCATTATTTAGTGTGAAGCTCTTAGTGTTTGTGTACATAAGACAATTAAACTGGTGTTAAAGGTTTCTCTCCTGTCTTGGGTTATTTTTTGTATTTTAGGCTTTATAACACGGATGAAAAAGGTCACCTTCAAAATGATACGGAGGTTGCCATTTGTAAAAGACAAGGTGCAAAAAGCATCTTTCATTTCTTACATTTTTCTTCATAATTATTTTATTTGTATGCCTTTGCATTTATCGTTTGCTTGAGTATGTAAGCCTTTTACTATGTTGAAGTTTTTGTTTGTTAGATAAATGCTGAATTATCAAAAACAAAGAATGAGATGAAAGCACTGATGAATAAAGGAAATGAACATTATTACACAAAGGTGAATTATTGTTTTTACTCTTTTTTATGTTTCATTAGGATCTTAGCTGACATTTTAATGATCTTTTTACTTAGGAGTACAGATTACCAAGTTTACTGTTTCTGATTTTTCACTTCAATTCTCTTCAATATGTCACTTACATTATATATATTATGCACATTAAAATGATGTGATAGTCCTACATAATCAAATTGTTTTGCTTGTCATTACCAAGTTTTAGTTATCACTTAAGCTAAAAAGCTTTCTTTACTAGATTACGTATAAAATACATAATTTTTATGTGGTTTTTTTTAAAGCTTCCAAACAAAGGAATGGGTCGGGAAGTGTTGTTGAAGGAGGTTGATAAATATGAAAATATGGGTAACGAAATACATTTGCATTTATTTATATCAAACTTTACCATGTTCTTTGTTAAAACATTTGCTGAAATTTATGGAATACATGATTCATTTCACGAAGCTACATTTCCATTTTGAATTTTAAAATTTACAGGCAAAATTAATTGGAAAGCAGGTCGTGTATCTGGAACAGTTTATCATGGTGGAAAAGAACTCACTGACGTTTTGTCTGAGGTTTGTACGTATACCCTACATAAAATTTTACCTAGTCACTTCCTAATATCCTGAACATCAGGTGTTTTTCTAATCTGCTTAAATAGAGTTAATTTTATGCTTGTGCATTTAGTTCAAACACAGATCCTGACAATCTTTTTAGGCCTATAAACACTTTACTTGGTCAAATCCACTGCACCCAGATGTATTTCCTGGAGGTACGTGAAGAGAACATTACATTTCAGAAATATCATGTGATTGGCATGTGAAAATATGGATTTATCTACACTATAGTTGAATACAAGTCAATTGTTCATGCAGTTTTTCACCAACTTTTCAGTTCGAAAGATGGAAGCAGAAGTTGTAAAAATGTGTGTAAATATGTTCAATGGTGGTCCACAGGCCTGTGGCACAGTAAGGACGAACGAAATTTTGCTTGATTAAGTTTTGTTACGCATTGAGTGAGCAATATGTACTTGAGCATAATACTGTGAGATCTTAAACATGCCTAACGTTAAGTAGCCAAATGATCACGTGTCGATCACGAGCTACCGCAAGCAAGTTTCGATATTACCTTTTAGGATACTGATAATGTAATTGACGTTTTCTTATCAGTTTTATGATATGTCTAAACTCTGATTCAAAACGGGTGCGTTTAATTACGTAGACAACAAGTGGTGGAACGGAGAGTATCCTCTTGGCGTGTAAAACTTATAGAGACTGGGCCAAGGAAGAAAAAGGCATCAAAAAGGCTGAAATGTAATGAATACAATTGTTTTCTCTATTTACATGTTCTTTTTATGACGATTGTTGGTGTTTGAAGTTTATTTTATAAGGAGGTGTTTGATTTGATTTTTTAACGTTTTTAAATTTCAGTATTGCTCCAGTGTCCGTTCATGCTGCCTTTGAAAAAGTTAGCATTGTTTTTACGTACTTTATCACTAGTATAAATAGCAAACTATACATTCTTTTCATTCTATTTCAACTTCATATTCTTGTGGTAAATTTTGCATGGGTATCTTTTGTATCAAATCCATTGTCAATTTGAGTCATGCAATAAGTATTGTGAGTGTATTGTATTTTATCAACGATAATTCTTGTTTCCAGGCTGCTGCTTACTTCAATATGAAATTGATACTAGTTCCAGTCAACGAGAAAACACGGAAATGCGATGTGAGGGCAATGAGACGAGCTATTACGAGGAATACAGCTCTAGTAAGTCGATCATTTTAAATGTATTTGCTGCGTGGTTTTGTATTGACTAGCTTTTCAGTGTTGAAATTTATCATTTATTTTTTAGTTGGTTGGTTCTTGTCCTTCATATCCTCATGGAGTCATTGATTCTATTGAAGAGATAGCCAAGGTGAATTTGATATGAATAATGTTGTTGCCCTTGAATCAACTCCCATATTTTGTTTAATTAATTCGCCCGTTATTTGAATTTTTTTAACGTTTTTTTAAGCTTGGTAAGCGATACAACATTGGTGTTCATGTCGACTGCTGTTTGGGAGGATTTCTTGTCCCTTTCATGAAGGATGCAGGGTATTTATGTCCTTTTTTATTGTCATTCCACAATTTATTATTGATGTCTTTATTTCTCTCCAGCTTTTCTTTGGCGCCTTTTGATTTCACTGTTGATGGTGTGACTAGCATATCGGTGGATACTCATAAGGTTTGTAGTAAACAATGAAGTGAAAACTTGTGAAGGGAGGGGAGGCATGGATGTAGTTTGCGACTCTGTGTGTTGTCCATTTAACTTAAAGAAATAATTTAACAAGAAAAAAATAGAAATAGAACTTTGTTGATGTCATCTTGTCGCGAGTTTGGACATTAAATTTTTACCAAGTTCTATTTCATCATTTTATTTTGAATGTATCTTTTAAATATTTAGTACGGTTTCGCTCCTAAAGGTTCTTCAGTCATTTTATATAATACCCAAGAGTTACGCCATTACCAATTTTTCGTGTCCACTGATTGGACGGGCGGTATTTACGCATGTCCCACAATTCCAGGCAGTCGCTCTGGTGGTATAATTGCCGCTTGTTGGGCAGCTATGATGTACATGGGCGAGCAAGGTTAGGTGCTAATACGTGTTTAATTCAGACGAGAATAAAATTTAACTTAACGAGATAATCCATTTAAACAACGAAGAAGAGAAATTTGGTTTTAAAATCACATTAATCTTGATAAATACCATGTATGATTTTGAACATTCATTATCACCTTGGTGAAGAAAAATGAATACTGTATATAAAGAGTCATATGTTAAGGTCAAATCATTCATCAATAGACATCAATTTTAAAACATTAGAACTCGAATTTAAACATGGTATCACTCCTGATAAGAACAATAAACTGGAGAATACAAATGATAAAGTTTCGACATCATACCCTTGATAAAGATGCCAAATTGGAGCGTAAAGGACTCCAAGTTTTGACATTGGATCATTTTTGATAAAAGATAAATTCAATTTAGGTTATATTGATTGCACCAAAAAGATCATCAAGACACGCGAGTATATCGAGAAAGGGTATGTTATGTGAAGAACGTGAGGACATAAATTTACGTTTCTAGTATTCATATCATTTAGCAATGGCAATAACAACAGCGATATTAAGCAACATTTTTATTTTAGATTACGTCAGATTAAAGGGATCTTTGTCTATGGTGAACCTGAAGTCTGTGTTGTAGGATTTGGTTCTGATAACTTTGATATTTTTGCGTTGGGAAATGAACTGACAGAAAATGGATGGAACATGAACTCTTTACAATATCCGTCTGGGTAAATGTTTTGGCATGTTAAAAAATCATCTTTTGTCATTTGTGCAACACTCCAATAATTCATATTTTTTTCGTTTCTATAAAACTCGGCCCCATTATCCAACTGTAATTACGTTTCAGTTTCATGCATGTAAATACGTTGCTAATAAGAAAAGTTTTGGAAATGTTAAGGCTAAAACATGTATAAACACTTGGTTAAAACTAAGAGAACATTTGACGTGCGATTCAAACGTTTTGTCTTCATGACGATAGGATACATATCTGCGTAACGATGCCAATCACTCAGTCTGGTGTAGCTGATAAGTTCATTAAAGATGTTAAAGAAGCGACAGCAAAAATAATGAAAAACCCGAAGAAGAAAACGACTGGAGGCGTAAGGAAATATTATTTTTATTTTTTATTAGTTCTCAGTGGTACAATTATTTTTTATGTATAAGTCATCAAGCACAAATCGATTATATTTTTCAGGGTGCCATCTATGGAATGGCACAACAGATTCCTGATCGTTCTATGGTGTCTGAACTTGCTTGCAGCTTTATTGATAGTTTGTATACGACAGATGCAATAAAAATAATCGAACAAAATGGGCATACTAAACACTAAATAAAAACAAGCCTGCTTCGGTGAAATAGATCGTTTTGTCGCTCCTACCCGAAATTAATAAATTCATGACGATGGAAGGATGACATATTTTATAATTTTATACTTCAAATCAACTCTGGCTTGTATGCAGTTTACTTTATATATAAGTCTTAAATTGTAATTTAGGCCTTCTTTCATTGATATCAAATTAAATATATATAATGGGCATTATTTTAAATGTTTCACTTTTATCGATTGTAGAATGTATATTTTTATCTGTACCCACCATGCATTTTTTTCCTGTCGTTTTCAATGCATAAGTTAACTGAAATACATAAAATAAATGTTTGTGTAACCTACGTTTGACAGAGAAAAACATCTTTATACATCGACAGACTTTTTATCGAAAATTCCTTTTGAGTTTGTGTTGTCAAAAAGCACCAATTAAATGTAAATTCTGGCGATATTTTCTCTTGCAAGGCTTGCACAGTATGACATACACAACATAAAATGTTCAACAACAACGAGCAGATTGTTTTAATCTAAAACCCCTCGACTCTTATTTTCTTGTTCGTGTCTGTTTCTATTCTTTTGCTTTTCTTTCGTTTGTCATCGAGGCGATCTTTCTTACGGCTGAAATAATCAATTTTACCAGAATTTGATAAACTTTTCTTCAAATTCATTGGACTAAGACGATTTTTATGCCATCTATAAAAAAAATTTGTAAGGCAATCCAAAGAATGTGAACTCTTTCATAGACTAACAATGAATACTAACCATTTATAAATTTTATATCTTCAGAAGTGAGGAACGAACACCAACTACATTGTTTCTTAAACTAAGATTTAAGAAAAAAATTGTAGGTTCTGTCTTTTATACAACTAAACTGAAGTTGATTGAAAATTTGTGAATTGTGGGCGATAATCATTTGTTTGCCTGCCTGACCATTGCATGTGTCAATGAAAGTTGTGTTTAATACACATATGTACTAATGTCAACCTTGTATGTTCCATTTTCTTCACAGATTTCAAAAATGACAACTGGCTGGTTTTTGGATGACTGGATCACCCACAAATGATTGTCTTTATCAACATCCATGCCGCAGATTTCTCCATCTAGTACCAAATCTTTGGAACTGAGGAGGTGTTCTATTGTCGAGGAATCATCAACTTTGAAGGCATGTAGTACTGATGATCTAGAATATATTTCAATGTGATCATTTTCATTTTCTGTTGTTCATTCATCATTACCTACACTGACACACGTTATCTTAGTTTATATTTTAGGTAGTGTAAAGATTGTTCTTGTTCTCTGTTGTTCATTCATCACTATGTACTTTCAATAAAACATTTTTTCTGAAGTGTGTTGTATGTAAAATCCTATATGTGCAATTACCCTTCGACTCCTACGAATACGATACGGTTTCTTTGGCTGCAAGCTAATGATGAAATAACGCTCTTTTCCTGAAGCAAAATCATCAAAACATTTATGCAACATTCACAAGGAGAGGGACTCGTGGGTGCTTTTATTACCTTGTTTGTTGTAGATGTTTCAAAGTCGTTTATATATAAGGTTTTGCCAACTTTGTAATCCCAAAATCTTATAGTTCCGTCCTTTCAATGAGATAGACATTACATGTTCACGAATATCATACAAAGATCTCAATGAAACAAACATAAATGTTGGAAATTAATCTCACCCCGGACACAGATACCAAAATTTCATTTGACAAGTTGCTCAACAGGATAATCTTCCAAACAAATCTTCAGAAGAAAACAATCACTGTCACTCATCTCCTCTTTTTTGGAAACTATTTTTGGTAACTTCGTTACGTTATTTATAGATTCAAGCGTTGAATTCAAAATGGAAGTATCATTTACATACTCTGTGTGGCCAAGACAAAACGTCTTGATGTTATACGAATTTGGAAATTTACTGACACGAATCTTTTCATCTCTGTCAGCTGTGATTATATAACAATCATCTCTTGTTATCACCTATATATATATATACTTATAAAGTGATCACTTATTAAGACTTTGTTGATGCAACAACTCTCGTAGTTTTTCTTATTATGATGGCATACTAATGATACAAAGGCAAATGATTTGTCTTTTACAGATGGTGGGTTACAAAAATTTACCATATCAAGTATGATAGAAACATGACCAAGAAGAAGAGCCTCGTTTGATAATCCATTTTCCTCACTCAAATGGTAACTGGAAAGTAGGAAAAGAAAGGGAACAAGGTATTTTCTTCTCTTGTCAAACGTCATAAAATCCAGAAGTCCACTAACAAACAGTAAATATTAACCAATTACCTATGACGAGTGGCTTTCATTCAACAATCACAAGTCTAGTTCCAATCATTATTTACCAACCTATAAACGTCTCCAGATTTATCACTAATGACAACAGAGTCTTCTTTGTTGGTGAATAAAACAGCTGTTGGTCTTTTAGGTAACTTTCTAAACAGACAACAAGTCTATATTATCTGAAAATATTCATGTTAAAGTATCTTTAAAATACCTAGGTAAATATAGCTAGGCCAAAAAATAAATTATTAATCCATGCATTTTTATAAACCTTTTTCCAACTGATTGCCAATCATCTGTTTTCAAAACAACTAAATCTTTGCTGTCACTAAATGCAGCAAGGAATTTTCCAGAGTTTGAAAACTGACAGCCATAGGTAAAGGTTGTCTTCTGTTCCTTTTCAAAATCATTTTCCACCTTTGAAATTTCACCATTTGATTCTTGGGAGGCAAATGAAAATTTGTGGACAAGAGACAATTTTCTAGTTCAAGAGTAAAGGTTATTAAAATTAGCTGTTCAAAGAAAATTTTTCCCTTCAATAGTAAGTTTGACCATTTGGTAACATTGACCTATCATTAAACAAATTCAAATGCATTTCGAATGCTGTGGCACACGATAATATTTGTGTCCATAAAAATGTTTGTACTAAACATTTTGTTCATCTTCACTTCACTCCTCAGCTGATAATATGAAGCAATTTTAAATTTGGTCTTGTACATAATTAAACCAAAATAGACATTTATATATAATAAGTTATAGGCAATTCAATTTAATTAACCTTAAATCATAAACACGAAGCGAAGTTTCATTTATGAAGGCAAGGTGCCCATTATCACTGCACTTTATCACCACCATATTGGTTTGCTTCGTGGTAAGGAATTTTGTAAGTAATACGATTTTGTTATAGAAATCCACGTATGCAGGAATATCGTACAAAAAAATAAGGCAATATATAGGTAAGGAATTTTTATAATGAGGAGTACATTCAGATTTGACATGGAATTGTAGTTGCATGAGGGGGGAGGGAAAATTTTCTCTTATCTCCTTCGCTTCCTTCCTAGAAAGATTTGTGAAAACATAAACTTGTATTTATTTGGTAGATTTTGTGGCGCTGTTGCTATTTTTTACCTATAAAAAATGTCGGATAGTGAAGAAGCATATTCTGGAAACGAAGAGGTTTGTAGTGTAGTTTCTATAGTACGAGAAAAATAGTTATCGTGTCACAATGTATTTGCTTTTGATGTCCCATTTTCGCATATGTTCGTATGACTCTTCAGTGTCTCGTGCATTTCTTTTCTATGTGAGAATAATGCACCTATTAGTATTTAATTTGCGTCAAATTCTGAGCACAGTCGTCAGAATTATGGTTAGTTGTCTATGAGGACATTACTAAAATGTCAACAAGATTATTGTTGACCAGATTGTGTAAATGAATATTCTCAATCATAAAGAAAAGTTCACATAAATTGGTCTAATATTTGATAATAGTGAAATAACATGAACCTCCTTTGTAAATTTGCAAGTTTTGTCTACTTATCACCGTGTCATATTGGTTTAAGAATTCTCATTATGCTAAAATGAATTTAACGGATGGAAATTCTTATTTTTTATAATGCAAGTGTGATATTTCATATTTAGGATGATTTTTTTGATGAAGAAGCTGCAGAAGAAGGTCAGGATGATGAAGAGGTGGAAGATGATGAAGAGAAGAAGACGAAGAGGAGGAAGAATATGAACGAAAAGGAAAGAAAGAAGAAAGATTGGAGCTAGTGCTTTCATTGATGCTGAAGCAGGTATTTTGAAATATTAACATCAATAATCACACACTTTACTTTTATCTAGTAATTGTATAATTATTCAGAAAACAGTATTTTTTGATGGTTACATTCAAGTAACCCTAATGTAAATGTTGCCATCATATTTGTAAATACTATATCATTAAATAGAGAATGGTTGATTAAGTAAGTAATTTTAACATTGATTTGTTTAATCATAAAAGAGGTTGATGAGGATGATGAAGAAGGCACTGAAGCAGAGGAAGGATTTGAAGGATTTGAAGACCAGTACAGTAAGTAGGACTTGTTTTAAAGTATTCTTTCTCAAATAATTTTCTAGATAGCATACATGATTGCAATAGTTTCCAGATTGTGTAGATGTTCTCAATGTGTACATGCATGTATCTTTTAAGGATTAGATTTAACATTGCAGTTTTTCTCAATTATTTAACTGTGAACAAATTTGTCAACTTGAACAGTTTTGAGAGTATGAAGTATCTACTTACACACAATTTATTTCATTATGTTTTCAGCTTTTGTTGTTGTTTTATTGTAAATATAGGTCAACGTGAAGAAGATCATACAGAGGATATTTCAGTGAGATTATTATATAACTATTGAGAGTCATATTTATAATGAGAAGGCAAATTTGTTTGGATTTCTCAACATAAAATACATGTCTTTTCAATTTTAGGGTGCTAGAAGATTACAACAAATGCTCAAGTATGAAAAAATATTTTATGACAAAAAAGAATAGTTATTGTTAATATTAATTATTTTCATTAATTTATGTTGATTTATATGTTTAACCTTTGTCTGTTTTAGTTGTATAATTTTTCTTTTGTTAAATGGTCTGTAAATAAACATGAAGTTCTTCACTTTTGAATTTTTTTTTGCAGGGAGCGAAGTGATGAAGACTTAGAGGAATATTACAGAAGAAAATATGTTGAAACATCCCAAAAGTAAGAGGTTTTATCACTGACTAAATGATCAATGTGCATATATTTTATAAACACATCTCTCACTAATTTATATCAGTGCCTGATTATTTGTATTCAAAGCTATTAAAAACTTATTTTGTGAGAAATTTTAAAAATTTAGATACACAAAGAAAGATTATGATACCCCTCGTGGAATTGAGCAACAGAGTTTATTGCCTGGTGTAAAGTATGCTGTTTATGATTTCTTATCAAATAATTTATGAGGAATTATAGTGTTTACTTTTTGTCTTTCTCAGGGATCCAAACTTGTGGCTCGTCAAATGTAGGGTATGTCGAAATTGCTAGAGAAATTTCATCATTGAATCATCATAAAACTTTTGTGATTTGTTTTTAGATTGGAGAAGAAAGGGCGACAGTTATTGCCATGATGAGGAAAGCTATAACTCAGCAGTTTACCGATGAGGTGTTTAATTATTCATAATTATTTTGTCAGGAAATAATCTAAAGTTATTTCATTTGCAATCACAAACTGTGATCTTTGGTAAATATACCAACACTCATAAGTAAAGAAAATGAAAAATAATAACTGCACTTATTGTTGTCAAAAATGAGAACATTTATATATTTTGGAAGCTTTGATAATCATGTTTTAGGTATACAAGTGAATGAATATTTCTCATGAGCTTTTTGTTTAACATCTTTTATAGCCTCTCCAAGTAAAATCTGCAATAGCTGTTGAAGGTTTAAAAGGTTATATTTACATTGAGGCGTACAAACAAACGCATGTGAAACAAGTAGGTGGTACACATATTTTTTGCATCAAATCAAAACCTTTGTTGGATTTTAATGATGAAAGTAAACTGTTATTGTAGGCAATAGAAGGTATAGGAACTTTAAAGATTGGGCAATGGAATCAAAAAATGGTACCTGTTCAGGAAATGACAGATGTTCTCAATGTAGTAAAAGACTTAGTTCAACTTAAGGCGAAACAGTGGGTGAGAATGAAACGTGGTATCTTTAAAGATGATCTTGCTCAGGTAGTAATGACTAAATTTTTTCTTTAAATCACTTTCATAATCTATCTATTTAACGTCTTTTACATTTTCTTTGTTCTTGTAGATTGACTATGTTCATCCATCAAAAAATCAGGTATTGCACTTTACTGACTAACTCATGTCCTCCTTTCGTTACAACTCATGTGTGTGAATTAAAAAATGTGAAACAAGTTTTTTCGTAAGCAAACTTCAACTGTGATTGAGAGAGAGAGAGGTGAAGTTTGCCAAACTGTAAAATATCACACATGCCCAAAAATTGTTAAAACTGTCAATTTGAAATTAGCTGCATAAGTAATCATGTATAATCATATCCTTTTAATTTTCAGGTCACACTTAAAATGATTCCTCGTATAGATTACACAAAACCCAGAGGAAGCAAAGCATTAGAGGTACGTAAATATTACATAGTTCACACAGGTAAACATTATTGTTATTTGTTCCATGTCATTCATAACATATTGAGAGCAATTTTATTCGTTCAGATAAAGGGAGTCAAATGTGAAGGGTCAATTACATTTCATAAATATTTAAGTAATGGAGTATGACTGAGGGTTTAGGGGGATTGTAAGTATCGTAATGAGCATTGAATGAAGGAGGCATTACAATTTCTAAACATGGTGTGATCCCTTCCAAACATAAAGTTTTAACTTTATCCTTTATAAACGTCATAGACATCACGGATAATATCTATACAGTGTCAAAGAAACATATTTATAATTAAGAATTTCCTTTTCATCTTTTACTTCATTACTAGTTTTTATTGTTTTATTACTCACTGACTAAAACATGTGCGTTTTGTGGTATGTTTACAGAGTCAGGAACAGGAAAAGAAGAAACGCTTCAGACGACCGCCTCAAAAATTGTTCGATGCTGAAGCTTTGAGGTAAAACATAAGTTTTCACTCAACTCTTACGCAAAATGAAGGAGTGTGTCAATTGATGATGGGAAGTTGTGAGAAAGATTATTGAGGATAGATGAGATAATGCGACGGAACTTTTATATTTTGTTGTCCAAGAAGAAAGAAACAATTTCTTCATTTACTTGTGAATTGAGCTCGAAATATATATATTGAATGTCTTGTATCTTTTACAGGAGCAATGGCGGTGAAATTCATCATGATGGCGACTTCAGTCTATTTGAAGGCAATCGCTTTAGACAGGGTTTCTTGTATAAAAATATGGCCATTTCTGCCTTGGTATGTTGAAAAGAATATTTTGTTGTTTGTTTATTGCCGTAATTTTGTTAGTGTTTGTGATAGTAATCCTCTCACCGAGTAGGATCACTTTCTATCGAGTACGTTACTGTACTCAAATATACACATATACTCATACATAAGACAACGATAGTAATTCTCTCACCGAGTAGGATCACTTTCTATCGAGTACATTACTGTACTCAAATATACACATATACTCATACATAAGACAACGATAGTTATCCTCTCACCGAGTAGGATCACTATCGAGTACATTACTGTACTCAAATATACGACAACGATAGTAATCACCGAGTAGGATCGCTTTCTATCGAGTACATTACTGTACTCAAATATACACATATACTCATACATAAGACAACGATAGTAATCCTCTCACCGAGTAGGATCACTTTCTATCGAGTACATTACTGTACTCAAATATACACATATACTCATACATAAGACAACGATAGTAATCCTCTCACCGAGTAGGATCACTTTCTATCGAGTACATTACTGTACTCAAATATACACATATACTCATACATAAGACAACGATAGTAATCCTCTCACCGAGTAGGATCACTTTCTATCGAGTACATTACTGTACTCAAATATACACATATACTCATACATAAGACAACGATAGTTATCCTCTCACCGAGTAGGATCACTTTCTATCGAGTACGTTACTGTACTCAAATATACACATATACTCATACATAAGACAACGATAGTTATCCTCTCACCGAGTAGGATCACTTTCTATCGAGTACGTTACTGTACTCAAATATACACATATACTCATACATAAGACAACGATAGTTATCCTCTCACCGAGTAGGATCACTTTCTATCGAGTACATTACTGTACTCAAATATACACATATACTCATACATAAGACAACGATAGTTATAACCTGATAGTACACAATAAGATAAACCAACTATTTTTTCTGGATCTGTAATGTTTCTGGCAAAATATTTTTAGATTACTGAAGGTATCAAGCCAACACTTTCTGAATTGGAAAAGTTTGAAAGTACAACGGACGATATTGACTTGGAGTGTATCCTTTTCATACATATTCTCGACAATACGTAAAGCTAGGAGTTATGTTATATATTGATAAAAATTGATCTACGACGGTTATTGTTGTGACTTGGGATCCGTGGAAATAATGTTATTGTATGATTGGGTAAAATCGACGTAACTTTAAGAACGCTGTATTTTCCTGTTTTACCATTGAATAACGTACGAACTCTTAATTGAAAGACAGTGCCTACGAAGTCTTCCAAAGATGATGTAACAGAAAACCAGTTTGCACCTGGTGATAATGTTGAAGTTGTCGAAGGTGAATTGATCAACCTACAAGGGAAGATTGTAAGCATTGAAGGAAGTAAAGTCGTCATGTTACCTTTTCATGAAGATTTGAAAGTAAGAGAAATATTGACGTATTTATAATTTTTATTGACTTTTTATGTAAAAAACGATTTTTTCAAAAAGAATAAACATTACGTATGTGTACTCATTTCAACTGCACGAAAAATTTTTTATGTTGGTTTCAGGAACCGCTAAATTTTCCAGCGTCAGAATTAAGAAAATTCTTCAAAGTTGGGGATCATGTCAAAGTGATTCATGGAAAATATGAAGGAGATACTGGTCTTGTACTCCGCGTTTTGGGAAAGACGGCCATTTTGTTCTCTGACCTTACTATGCATGAGGTATGTTGTGGGGTTCAATCCACCTTTCCGACGGTTGAAACACGCTGTCAAATTAAAAAAATCGGACTATCAAATGGTCGGACATAGTATTGTTTATGTAGGATAGTGGCAATAAAATGGTTAGGAAATGCTTTTGAGTTTTGGGCTTGCAATTGTCTTCGCTCGATGCAGCTAAAATCGGATCTGGATATTCTTTGGCAGGGTGGTCTCTTACAACGAAATGCATACTACATGCATTTACGTAATAAATTTGACAGGCTGTCTCTATGCGATCAAAAGAATTCCTTCGAATCCGAAAAGTGTACTGCTTAATCGCAAAATGACTCGAGAAGTGAAGTTACTTTCTAGTTTGAATCATGAAAATATTGTAAAGTAAAACAAAGTGAAAAAGGCAGAAATTGTTTGAACCTTTGCAGTAAACAAAAAGATAAAATTCGAATGCAAAAAAACCCGTTTTCGGGCCATGCTTCCCGATACCTTCTGATATGTAAGGCACTAGAACGCCGCATGTTAACGTTTCGGTAGGAGATTTCGGCCCCTCCACGCTATCCTACTTGGGAGATGCAATAGCAAGCTTCCGCCCATCAGACCCCGAGATCACCTGCGATAGGCTTTGCTCGAGGTACGCAGGGAGAGTGCGGTCGCCACCGAAGTGTGGACCCCTAAGCCACTGCATACTATATCGCACCCAGCTTCCACTGCTAGTTGACATCTACTATACCTAATATTGGCTTTATATATATATACAAAAATTCAGAGGCTTACGAAAGTTGTGGGATTATTAAAGTCCTACTGCGCATGCGCAGATCATTTCTTTAATAATTTGCGACTAAGTGAGCTAATTGTCACAAATGTAGTGCAAGTACATATAATTAGTCGTTGCCATGACTATGAACAATTAGTCGGGTGGACTGCGCATGCTCTTGCGCATGCGCAGATGATTTTTGATAATTTGCGACTAAGTGAGCTAATTGTCACAAATGTAGTGCAAGTACATATAGTTAGTCGTTGCCTTGACTATGAACAATTAGTCGGGTGGAATGCGCATGCTCTTGCGCATGCGCAGATGATTTCTCTATTTAATTGTTACCAAGCATGTTATTTACTTCGAAATAGGTGCTAATAGATGCAGTTGGTCGTTGCCATGACAATGATCTTGGGCAACTGGGAAAATTTGTGACTGAGCGAGCTAATTACTTTATAATCGGTACTAGTACATACAGTTGGTTGTTGCCATGAACAGAAACTTGGAGAGTTGGTGGAGTTGACTACCCATGCTCAGATTAATTCTCAATTAATTTGTGACGGAGCAAGCTCTGAAATTAGTGCTTGTATATGCCCTTAAAAATTTTCAATCATATATTTTTGGCACGCTCTTTGTCTTCTTTGGCTTGTTTTGACAAATGCATATCAAACTCATCAACACTTTGTTACGCCACTCGTAATATCCGTGACAATGTTAGAACTGTTTTTATTTTTTTTCATAACTTTGTACCCGCATATTTCATGTCATATCCAAGCTTTCCTTTGATTTGACGGAAATGGTTTTTATTCACTCGTACACCTTTTGCCTTTATAATTAGTCGTTCTGGATTTCTACAATAACATTTACAAATGCCCCATGAGCATCTTCTTTCTATTTTATTGCCACTATTCTACATAAACAATACTATGACCATTTGATTGTCCGAATTTTGTAATTTTAGCTGGTATTTTTGACACGTGTGTCTACCGTCGGAAAGGTGGATTAAGACTATGCTTGTTATATGTTATCATTTTAAAAACTTAAGTCTTCAACTCAATTATTTATTTCAACATTAAATGGGACAAGTAAAGCAGATAATCCCATGAAACGCATGGTATGAGAAAGCTAAATTGTGAAAGATATAAACTAATGAAAATGTAAAACATGTTTATGGTTGTGTTAAAATTATAAGTAAAAAAAGACAGAAGCTGTTCAAAACTTTGCAGAATCCTTCAATATTAAATAGTTTTATTTTATATAAAAACTTTTCTAAACAAAAGAAAAATTTTGAAAACAAAAATCCAACATGCAATGATGACTTCTCTTGCAGTTTTAACTAAGCATTCTGTGCATACTCTGGAAGTAAAGCCAGATCTAGTTGCTTGTTGTCATGATTATGAACACAAACATTTGGTCAAGTTCATGCTCAAATAATTTTTCTAATAATCTATGAGCGAGGGAGCTAGTTACTTCCACAGCAGTGCAAGGAAATGCGGTTGACTGGTATGATAAACGCCATTAGTTGGGAGAGTAGCTCTTCAGCTTGTTTCAAAAAATCCATATTCAAATTTCAAACTTATTAGCAAAGTAGCCAATACACATACTATCAAACCGTGGACAAAAAAAGCTTGTCGAAAGGCAGTGTTTTTTTGAAACTTTGCACCATCCTTGGAACACTAGTTGATGAATACTTTATACATGAGCATGTAATAGTTAAAGTTTGAAATCAGATCACTCTTGATAAAGGCATGGGACTTAGTACATTCAGACTCTAGAAGGAGTATTGAACGTAATGTATTCTGTTTATCTTGAATATTATTTAGCTTGAAGTACTATTAAAAGATTTGCAGTTGTGCTCCGAGCGTAGTAGCGGAGTAGACTCGATGGGTCAACATCAATGGGGAGATTTAGTTCAACTAGAGTAAGTTTAAATATATTGCGTTGTTGTATCGTGTAAATTTACGATTAAGCTCGGTAATTTTTTTTACAATAGCCAGCCACATTATAATTTGTGAAGAACATCAGTTAAAAAGCTAATTTCTTAAGTTCGTTTACTTTAAGTCCACAAACCGTCGGTGTTATCGTTCGTATCGAGAGAGAGACATTTTCAATCTTGACACAACACGGAAAGGTAACCTTGCTGATATAATTAATGCTCCTGAAATATGCATTTTTTTACAATAAACGAGTTTTTTATCACCCTTATCATACTCATAGTCCATGTATTGGAATAATTTGTGTTACTCTTGCAATGGGAAGAGTCCATTATTATTATAAGAGTCCATAACATTGTTTTGATTTTGATTTGCTATGTATGTAGTTCAGTGTCATTACTGTCATTACTGTCTTTATTGTTTAAAGGTTGTCCAAGAAAGACAACAAGCTGTTGCCAGGAGGAAAGAGAATAAACATGCTGTAGCTTTAGATTGCGACCAGGTAAAGTTTGAATTTAAGTTAAAACATTTTCCTAATGCTCTTTCCGAAGGTTCCTTTGTATTGCACATTCTAAAGCAGGTGGCTCATACGATGAAATGTCTTGTTTTCTAGCAAACCATACAAGTACGAGATATCGTTAAAGTTAATGATGGTCCACACAAGGATTTTCAAGGTGAAGTGAAATACGTCTATCGTGGTTTTGCCTTTCTTTCTTGTAAAATGGTTGTCGAAAATGGTGGTATAATCGTGTGTAGAACTAAACAGCTTCAGCTTGCGGGAGGTGGAAAGGTAAAAAGAAAATACAATAGTTATAACTGTATAAGGTGTTTCATTACCATTTGTTTGTCTAAGGCTGCGGCTGATTCACTCGGTGGATTTGGAGGCTTTGGTGGCGGTTTTGTCCCCCGCTCACCCCGAATATCAAGTCCTGCACGCGAAGCTGGTAAGCATATTTATACACACATAAATAAAACTTGTTATTTAAATTTAACGTAACGCTCTTATCAAAGTATTTCTTCAACTTTCATGAAGGTGGCGGAACAAGTGCATCCCCTTCAGGGCGGGGGGGTGGATTTGGCCGCGGTCGTGGTAGACCGGGGCGAGATCAAACCTTGATAGGAAAAACCATCAGAATTTCACAAGGACCTTATAAAGGTTTGTCATTGCTTCTACTTTGCTCTTTGTTACGCATCAAGGGAAGTGTGTTTAACACTGATAACAGACAAGCTGAGGTTAAAGAATAATGTTATTCAATGTTTTCTTATCGTTTCTTTCGCACGAAATATAAAAGTATTTTAAAAAAGAGGTCGACGAGAATCTTAGAAAGAAAGTCAATCTTGTCCCGAATGATCACAATATCGTCACACAACCTTAGTTTGACTATGTAGCTTTGAAAACTGCTGAAAAATAACAGTGACAACACAAGCAAATATTTTAATGACTAATTCAGATATCGATAATATATGAATTGCTCAAAGAAAAAAGTCTGATCTTCTTTTGTTACATGCAAAACTTTATCGTAGGTTATATTGGGATTGTAAAAGATGCCACTGAAACGACAGCACGGGTTGAACTTCACAGTAATTGTAAAACGATTTCTGTTGATCGCTCACGAATAAATATTGTTGGGTGAGTGTTAAATTGTGCTTTTTTTTGCTATCGAAAGAAACCTAAGCAAATATATTTCTTAAACAAGTTCGATGATTTCATTCATTCCTTAATTTTACAGTTTGCATTTTGTGAATTTTTTTTCTTGTATTTCAGAGCTCCATCTCGTGGAGGTTCTGTTCATTCAAGGACACCAATGTATGGATCGCAGACACCTATGTATGGATCTCAGACTCCAGGATCTCGGACACCAATGTATGGATCTCAGACCCCCACTCATGATGGCAAGTGTAATAATATTTACTGTATCTCAAATATAAACTAGAATTAGAATACTCGTTATGCTACCTAAACTATGCCTTAAGATCAGTGTAGGTACAGATGAATGAACAACAGAAAAAAAGAACAGTCTTTACATTACCTAAAATATAAACTAAGATATCGTGTGTCAGTGTAGGTAGTGATGAATGAACAACAGAGAACAAGAACAGACTTTACATTACCTAAAATATAAACTAAGATAACGTGTGTTAGTGTAGGTAGTGATGAATGAACTATATGAAACATAAGCATAAAATGTTAAATATTGTTAACAGGTAATTATAATATACGTTCAAATGATTAATTTTAAGCTTTTGAGAATTTTGTTATTTTTGCATTCTAAGGAAGCAGAACTCCTCATTATGGTTCCATGACACCATCGCACGATGGTTCGCGCACGCCTCTTCATGGTGGGGCATGGGATCCAAGTTCGTCCAACACTCCTGCGAGATCAGAGAACGAGTTCGATTACAGCCTAGATGTTCCTACGCCATCTCCTGTTGGTGTAAGTAATAAATCTGTTAAAGGAAGTGTTCTTTTTAACGGTCTTCGTGAACGTGCTTTTCTGGATTTTCAATTTCAGGGTTATGGAACACCTAATCCCGCGACACCTGGTGGTTTTACAGCTCCTTTCACACCTGGTACACCTGGGGGTATCTATGGATCTGAGCCAAGCTATTCGCCATATGTTGATTCACCATCACCAGCAGGTTATGCAAATCCCGTGACTCCAGGAAGTGCTAATCCAAGTCCTATATCACCAGCCTTTGCTCCTCATACTCCTGGTGCGAGTTTGGATATGGAGCAACCTCACGATTGGGTAACACAAGATATTGAAGTGACAATATCAGACTCTCATCAGGTGCGTGGAGAAGTTAGCTTTTAGCTTTGTCTTAGTTAAATAACGTTTTTCTAGTAATATTTCCCAATGACAAAATGTCTTTTATTCCTCTTCAGATTACAACACGTTTCTTCTTTTTATACAGCATAAACATTTCCTCTACACCATAAAACATTATAAATTATAAATGAATGCTTGTCCTTAAATACTTTGCCCCACGTTCTTGATCAGGCAAAAAGCGAAATATAAAATCGCTATTGCTCCATATTTTTCAGGATTCTCAACTTGTTTCGAAAAAAGGTGTCATCCGTAATGTCGTCGGTGGTACGAGCACTGTGTACTTGTATGACGAAAAGCGTGATGTCAGCATTCCCAGCAAGCACTTGGTTCCTGTGAAACCATCAAAGCAGGATAAGGTTTGTAGATTAGATTGTCGTTGGCGTGTATGAATATTAGTATACAGTAATAAATAAGCAATAGAAGACAACGAGTCCTTGCATAAAGAAAAAACAAACTTGTCTTAATCCACGAATGAACCCAGATTGATTATTGTATTGAAATAGGTTATTGAAACAGGTTGGGAAGTAATGGTTTTTTTTCACAGGTGAAATTGATTCATGGAGATGATCGTGAAAGTACTGGAACGTTGATTCAAATTGACGGCACTGATGCTATAATAAAAATGGATTCAGGCGAACAGAAATTAGTTTGTTGTGACATTGTCTCTCTGGCGCGCCTTGCACCCACTATAGGATAGAAAGTACCAGACATAAGCGTATTGTGGTTGGTATTACTCTAAACGAAGAAATGGAGTATTATATTTACATGAACAACTTAAGTTACAGAATATTACGTTTTGAATGAAGAATCACATATTCATTGTTTTCATTTATAGGCGTGTCGTTGTTTTCCGAGTAAAGATTTTATACTGGAAACATTTTACTGCAAAGATGATGACAGATAAGTGGTATTCTTTGTCTGATTGATTTTTTCTTGGGAATTTGTGTGTAATTTTATTTCAATTCGTGAAAGTCTTTGAATTAAGGTTGTATACTATCCTATCTACATTCACTTTTCTCTTTGTGCTTTTCACTTTTTCGATAATCATTGAAAAAATCATTAATGTTAAAATGAACATATCACATGCAAATGTGAAATAAATTTAACTTTGGCTGAAACTGAAAAATAACGTCGGTATGTGCTTTATAGTAATATTTGTGTTTTACTTGCGACGCATCGACTTTAGGTGATTTGTAAATTGTACTCGTCACTTTAAACAGAGCGTATATAGTGAAGTGCCGATGTGAACCCTCATCTTTTGTGAAATATGACAAAAGATCGGCTAAAATCGTGGGCTTTTTTAACCAAATATAAACAGTAGGAAGTCGGTCCCATGCTCCAGAACGTAGAACATCACATCAAGTTTTTTTTACTGTATGCCCCTGCATGTATTGTGTACAACATGGTAAATTTTACAAGAAAATCGTGAGTGAAGTATGAAGTGTTTACGATTTGTGTGGATACGTATACATAAAATAGATGAAAAACACTTTATCTCCATAAAGAATAGTTTTAGTGAAAGGAGACTTCTCGTACGCTACTTGCACAAAAGGACGTTCATATTAATATATTTTATGTACAATTATAGGTTGTGTTCATTAAATACGTATGAGTATAAAGTATACATAAAATTAAATAAGTCAAAGCGTTAAAGCATCAAGCCTTGTACAAGAATTCATGAAATAATTTAAAATTCTTACATTTAGAAACTTTTGCATTGGTTGACATCATAATGTCTTAAAATTGATATTTCCAGTTTTTAAAACGTTTTTAATAAGTCGTTTCGTCTTTAATATAAATTGTTGTTTCATTCATGAAAGATAGTCTTAGTTCATTGGTTTTCTGGCCAGCACTCCGTCCAATAACGTGCCTTCTCTGTATACTTCTACATCCACAAAGCCATGTTTCATTAATAGTTCAGTGTATTCTTTTCCACTCCTCTCGCGGCCATCTCCTGTGGCAGCCAACATAACCAAGGACTCGAGATGAACTCTTACTGGTCCACTATTGTCATCGTTCAGTAGTGCTTCAACAACCAATACTGCTCCACCTTAAATTGATGTTTGAAAGTTTTAGACAGTTGCTGTTAAGAATATTTAACTAAAACACTGTATCTTCAGACATATCTTTTTATTCAAGGTTTCAACGGATAGTTTTTTCATGAAAAACTTAAGTGATAGTCAGTTTTTATGGTTACAACGTACACCGTTCGGTGTTTGTAAATAATTTTTATACCTGGTGGCAATGCTTTAAATGTTTTCTCCAATAAAACATCACAAAGTTCTTCTCCCCAGTTGTGAAGTATTCTTCCCATTACGTAAAGGTCAGCTTCTGGTAGATCGTCCTTGAAAAAATCTCCAGGAATGAATTGAACTCTGGATCTCTGGGACATTGGTAGATTAGGAGGAGTAAAATGAGTTGAGGCCTTGACAACAGGAGGTAACTCGAGAATGGTCATCATCATTTGTGGATAATGAGACACCGCACTGTACGCAAATGCTCCAGTGCCACCTAAATGGTGTACATAAATTATAAAGCAACAAATCATTGTGAGTTTATACATATATGTAATTAGTTATGCTGTCAGCATGTTTCATATTTGAGTGGGATTAAAACTCGTCCACTATTCATCCTTATTCCTTTTGCTTTATAGCAATGACAAATATGCTTTTAGCAAAGAATGGAATTTTGTAGCGGAAGTCTTTTGAACGTCACTACGCATTGTTATAAACTGTAGTTCGTGGAAGGGCAAACATTTTGGCATTTAGTCATTAAATGCTCACGCATGTGGTCCGGAAGGCGAATTTTCTTTTCAAACGGTTCACCGAAGGACGTTCTTATTATAGTTTAAGCTCTACGTGGGCTCTCTGTTTAATCATACCATTACTAAGGAATGCATTGTACATGTCTACACTTAAAATGTTTTGCTGTAAATTTTTAACAATCTTTTAGTTGTTATTAACCAAAATTTATTTTTAGTTTATTTATTTCCTGGTAAAATTATTGCAATAACACAACTGGCTTCAATTTAAGAGTATCATTTAATGTTATTGCAAGTCAAATTTGGTTAGTAATTCTAACAATATTACAGGCTGCATATTTTAATTCTTGTTAAAGTGATTCTGGAATGTGTTGATGATGAACTATTTTGTGTTCTCAACAAGGAATTGTAATTGTTGAGTTTCAATAAGCTGATTGATTAACACGGCACAATTATGCTAACTTTCTTAACGAGAAATAAATTTAGTCCGCCTCTCCTCGCCATTTTGCTAGAAGTTTCCTTTTACATTCCCCATTAAATTGTCGCTATTCATTAAGATGGTCCTCTGCTAACCGGAAGAACACAGGACACCAAAACACGTCGGAAACTATCTCGGCAGTGCACACTCGGTAACCATTAGGACTTCAAAAACGTTGTTTCTAGACACATCATAAAGATCATATGAAATGAATATTGATTTAAAAGATACGTTAAGGAAGTTCTTTTTTAAAAATTATGACGTTTGCGTAGGAAATATTGAAGTGTTTGGGTGGCTTCATTGCTTTCATTTAAGACACGTGTGAACTTTTTAATGTGAACAAATATTTTCTTTCCAAGTTAAAGCGAACTTAATGATTGATTAACGTTTACTCCATTATTTATCAAAATGCTGAAGGAATTTATTCACAATGTAAATTAGAAATTAAACCAATGCTAACATGTTCTAACTAAGTCCTAATTCTATAATTAGTCTAAAAAATAAAGATTTTAATAATAAAAGTATGATGTTTAAGTATAGATGGTCACCGATTTCAATGATTTACAAATGATGATTTTAGATATTGCGAAATATCATTAATATAATCACCATGGTTTCTTTAATTTTTTTGCCACATTGTTGTGTAAATAACAAGAAGTCGTTTAAAAAATAACTATTTTTACAATCGGTATTTTGTCATTAACACATTTCTGTGAACCATGGTCTGAATCGTACAACAACAATATTGTTGTACATCAAATCAAATTCAAAACTCCACATTTGCGTGATAAGTGAAATGCTTCAAATAAACTTGAACTGGCCGGAAACGTTACAAGATTTTATGTAAATCTTGCACTATCAGCCGTCTTGATTTGATCTTTGTGCTGTTTTCTTATTTAAATATTGTTGAGCACGTGCTAGAGGAATTCAAACAATGCATATGACTTTTGGACTTTAAATTCTCTACGATATTTTTGTCTTTTTTTTTGACAGCCATGCTTTTTAGTGAGTTTGAGATAGTGTAAAATACAGTGAAGATATGTTCGCTATGAGAGGCCTTCATGATCTCGTGCATGCACTTAAATAATAACAGTGAAATTTATGAATCTTTGTAGTATTTGATATTGTGATGATCGATGATGTGTACAGAAAGGTCTATAGTTCCTAGATAGACATAAACGAAGAAAAAACTAAGCAGTCACTCTTTTTCGTTTATTTAAAAAACAGAAAGCTTTACTGAATAGTTTTAGCGTTATTTAAACTCGAGTTTGAAAATGAAATACTATCTTTGTAAACTCAGATGTCACTCCTCTTCACCGGCTGTTCCTCATATATATGTATAAATGTATAAGTGTTTTTGTACAAGTTAATTTGTGTTTGTTTGTAGTTAAAATGATTTTGTTATAACATTGGCAATGGTTGCAAATACAAAGAGAAAATTTTGTTTTTAATATTGTAGTTTAGTTGTAATGATGCAACCCATATCTTTGTATTACACAAATTCAAGCATGCGTACGATTAAAAGTGCACATTTCCCTTTTTTTGTTAACTAAAACATTTTAAAACGATGCCCTGAGCCCAAGTCCTACAATCTTTTGACAACGCCAAATTAGATGCGTTTTTGCCAAAATGTCTATTCGTTTTAGTTTATAGGGACATTTTTGTTAGTTATTTTGAAATGTTTTACCATCAAACATCAAAGACTCTTTTTTCCTTTTTCACATCAAGTACTCTAAGATGACAACTTGTTACTTTCACATCTAGTTCCTCCATTTATTTTTGTCGTAGAGTTTTAGGAAGTGTTACGATATTCAAGCGCTATCCGCTTTCTACACAGTATCTTTTTATTGAACAATATTCGTTGCATTTTAATGTATATTTGAACCTGAGCCAAATTGTAATAAATATTATTGTATTATTGTACTATGCATCATCGAACGTGAGTATTATTCGCCTGACTATTCTTCTTGTGTACTGAACATAAACTATTTTAAGGAAATCCAATGACAACGCAACTCTGACCGGCAGCATGCCGTTATATATGTAAGCTAGTACAATTAGATATGTAAAATACGATAAAGGCATAGCCATATCTCCCTGCTCTGTAATTTTTCTTTCAGGCATAAAGTAAGCGATCTGTTCCATTTTGATTTCCTGTAGGTATCAGTAACTTCACTTGTCTTTTATTAAATCATAATAAACTATTTCGAATAATTTAATCAATAAACTTCAATTGTGGCTAGACTTGCTCCATGATTTCATACGTAGTCGACATTTGTATCGGTTTGTGCTTTTCACGGATTATTAAGAAGAATGAATATTAAAACAACAAACTTATGTAAAATTTAAAAACTTACTGTTATGTGATTTAAGGTTATATTCACTGTATTCATATTTAAGGTGTGCCAATTTAATGCTCAAGTGTGTTTTGTCTATTTTATTGTTTTATTGAAATTACCTAATTTGTGACTGTCTTGTTGCATGAAGAACTACCCGCTTCTTTGCTTTAGGTAAAGAAATGTTATGTTCAAATTACTAAAGCAAATTCGTTTCTATAGACATTTCTTTACGCTCTGTGGAACCTTATCGAAAGGTTTGATAGTATTGTAACGAGAAAGACCATTGTGTTTATTGCCGTTTCTTGTGAGATTTACTATCGAATTATATTTAATTAGCACTAAAACATTACCGTCTTAGAGAAGATTTAAACATCTTACCTCCTAAATCACAGGCTTTTTGGAAACTATGTAGGTCTATATTTTTCACAAGGATCGGACTTGCCACACTTGAGACACCGTGCATTCCAGAAAGAAATTGTAAAGTGAACATTTCGTTAGCATAAACTATATCAAATAGGTTTGCTCCTTCAGGAAAACCTAAAGTTCTTGGCCATTGAGTTACGCCGTCTTTAACTGCATGTTCCAAATTTCCAGTCAAATTATACTCCATGTCGATACAGGCAATTTCACCACGTAAGGCTTGTGGCCCATTTATTGTAAGGTATTTTTTGGAGTCTTGAGTTAGTTCGAATTTCTCCATACCATCGAAACAATTACTTTTAAGTAATTCCAAAGAAACGCAAGCATGCAATAGTCGAGTCATTCCGTGTACACTTGCTTTACATTGCTCACTTATCTCACTTGCTGTTTTTGCACTTTCAGCACCATCTAGATAGTCAAATACTCCCATTTTACAAGCCGTGGCGAGTGCTTTAGTAGCGCGATGTAATACCATAAGTTCTGCCAATTTTATTGGAAAACTTTCGACGTTTTTATTAAAGTAACTTTGCTTGTCATCTTCTGAGTCTGAGCCGTGACACAATGATTTGCTCTTCCCCCGAAACTTGTCTTTGTTTTCAGATAAATTTGCTAGTATTGCATTCGGTAATGACATTTTAAATCAATTTATTGTTTTAAAGTTTGTTTTGTTACAACGAAATGTTACTAATGGCTAAATCAATTTCGAAGTATTGTTGCCTTGATTTAAAAAGAGTTATCTTCGAAATACGATTGACAACTCGATAATTTTCTTCAGAATTGTCCACTCGAATACGTTGCTCGTTGAAATCACAAATTTCTTTATTTCTTGGAATATACAGCTGCTAGATCAAAATAAAAGTAAATTTTTATTTTGATTTGTCTTCTATCTGTTCGTACGTTGATAAATTTAAGAAGTTAAATTAATAAAATTTCACCACAGCGATCGTCTATCTTCGTCGACGGCTGTCCTTGTCGTCAGAATGCGTGTCTGCCGGTGAATGTAGGCCACTTATAAACCCGCCGCAAGATTAGTCTAAAAACGTGCTTGCCTTCAGGAAGTGTCTTTAATAGGTGTTTAGTTATGTTTATTCGTCTTTTGTATCCATGCAAATGACTTTTTAACCAGTCATAACATTAGCCGATGAACGCCGTGTACATTTTCGCGCCAAAACACCATAGTTGTGGTAAACCTGATATTTTATAGCCGACAAATAGTGTCACAACCTCCCTTATAGCAGACCCAATAAGCTCGACATGTCAAAACAACAAATGGTTTGTTTCTCGTTTCGACAAAATCATTTTGTTTTCCTACTTGCTGAGTAAGAATGACGCCATATTAACATTCTCTATACAGATAATAAAGTCCACGTAAATATTTTACGCTGTGCAAACATTTTTAAAATTTTTATGGATTAATGAATTTTTTTTCCTTTTTGTGTCAATTGTAAAGGCATCCGGTGATTATTAATTGCTCAACAGCCTTTGTATAAATGAACATATTCTGCCAGCTCGAGAGAGGAATTTTTATAATTATGAAAAAAATGTGATGAAATGTGATCGACCGTTGTGTAATTGAAGTTGATAAAACTATTTTTTCTTTTTTTGAATACTTTAGGCTTTCTGTCTATATTTAACTGTGCTGCTTGATAGCCTTGGGTGTATTTATTTAGGATATTTTATGATGAGAAATAGTAAAAATCTAAGGACACATAACGTTATTTTAACTGAAACCTTGATTCTAAAAAAATAGTTTTTGTGTTGCAAATTGATGAAAAAAACAACTTAATGAAACGTTAATTTAGGATGTAAAAGTTTCTGGATTTCATTTCTTCTTCTAATAAACTCGAGCGTTTATTTGTATCCATCCTCAAAGAACATGTTTTCTATCTTTGAAAAGAAAAATTAACTCTCGAGTTGTTTGGTCGAGTGATGGGGAACACGGCCTATGTCATCGAACATTTAGATAATGTTTAAAACCTGTGCAAACGTTTCTGATTTTGTTAGTTCACATGTGGGCGAATCTAATCATATTTCTTTCTTACAGCCCAATCCTACGCAAAACGATAACTAATATATTATTTTGATCAAATTTTTGAATATAAAATATGTTTTGTATGTGAACAGTTATGACAACTTTTAATAACCCGTCGAAATTTACAGCTTTTGAAGACTTAGCTAAAAATATTTGTTCCCTAGAATGCATTACATATTTAGATTGTTTGATTATTGTGCTTGATTTTTTCATATGTATTTGTTAAACACTGTATAATTTGTGACTTTAGCAAGGGTAATATTATACATCAATAATGGAAAGCACTAACTGAGAGAAAGAAAAGCAGTTGATGAGCAGTGACTTATTCCATTGAAATATTCCAAGGAGTAAGAGCACATAAAATACTTGTTACATATAAATATATAATTTATAAAAATTCGCATATAACATAACAGTTTTTCAATGAACATCGACCCATTTTCGAATGATCAATGCAAATGATTTGTGTGAAATTGAACTTACTCGTACGAGTACAATTTAACTCCAACATTTTTAAACTTTTAATTTAAAATGATAAAAATGACTATAATTTGTGATGAGAGAAATGTTTTATATAAATTTTTTTATTTGCAATTGAAATGTTGAAATATAAAGAGGATTTTTCGGCACATTTTACATATTTTTATTGGCGAATATCAGGTTTATCAATTGGGTTATTTATTTCTTGCCATAAATGAAATCACTAGAGATAATTGTACTGATGCTCTTTAGCCAGTGAATAACAAACTTTCTTTCTCATTAACTACTTTACTGCTTCTCTGATCTCTTGAAATTATTATTGATTTCAAATGCACCATAAGTATTTTACTGATTCCTCTGTGAAGACTGTTAAGTGATGAGAACAAGAGATACATGGTTCCATGTACAACTTCGGGGAAGAATGATATTGATAAAAGTTATTACTAGATAAAAAAAGTTCTTTCTTGCACAGAACCTCGCAATTATATAAATTAATGTATTAAAAATAACCTGCGCATATGATACATTCCTTTGAAATTAATTGCTAAGTGCCTTTGGCAAACAAATTTCATGAATGAATACGAAAAAATCTACCTTGCATTAAATACTTCCTGTTTTTAAGCTATCTTTTTGTTTTAACTTACTGACAGTGGATTACTTGGCATTTTAGCTATTCATCTTCAAAGCATGTACTTATGACAACTTGTTCCTTATTTTTGAACAAAATTTCAACGAGAAAAAATAAGTTTGAACATGGTAGTTATTTAACTGCCGTGTAAAATTCATAATCTCACTGAAAATCTGATCCGCTAAAACTACAAAACGAACTAGAATCAACATTGAGTATAATGGTATGACCCATAAGAAACATGTAGCAGACTACAAGGGAAGAAAAGCACAAGTTTGCAATTTATTAATCCATCTCATTCTCATCTTTCCAATTGTATCCGAGCTGGTGTCGAATTAGGGCTCGGGAATAAACACCTAGAAGTAGGAACTTAATCTTATAAAAAAACCCGAGGGTAAAATACTCCGTGTATGCGCTGAAAATTTTAGGGCGAGCTTAGTTGCCCAGTGGTGTTCGATTTTGTTCGATCTGTTCAATTGTGTTGCCTAGAAGCCCATTCGCAGGTGTTGCGATTTTGATCAGCCATTCAAGATTGCTGATTGGTTAATATTATTAGTTCTTTACTTTTCGCACTATAAAGCCGCACCTTCAAGATTTTCAGGTGAACTGGCTATTTTAGTGTAAAAATTTTGAGTATTTTTTGATTCTATTTCCCTTTTTATTTGGAAAAACTGGCGCTCAAGTCATGACAGAATATAAACTTGTCGTGGTCGGAGGTATGACCGTCTTTAAACTAGAATTGCTCCAAATTGCTTCCTTCAAACGTTCGTTACATACGTGATGTGAGGGTCGGTGCTTAGTCTGAATTCACATATTGCATTGAAGATTTTTCTTTTTCAGCTGGAGGTGTTGGAAAAAGCGCTCTTACAATTCAGCTTATACAAAACCAGTGAGTTGGTTTATGTTGTCTTTTCTTCTTTACGAGCCATTTGGGAGCGCAAAGTCGTCATGTATTTTGAATACATGAATCATATTTACTTGCATAATAATTTATGGATTTATAATCACCTCATGATCCTTTCCAGTAAATTCATACCGAATTTATAAGATTATCTCAGATGTAGAACATCTGGAACGACGTACCGTAACAATTTTGTGCGTTTGTGCATTGCTATTGTATAATGTTGATGTCGTTTTGAAGAAGTATTTTCTTTGTGCAAACCCTTTTCACTGCTGTTTGCTCATTTATTGTGCTTAATATCTGTTGTCTTCATACCTATCCAAGTAAATGATTAGCTTAAGGCATGGTCAAGAATAGCCAAGTAACCAGGTTACTTGGAATTTATGTCCAGCAAACATAACTACACTTATTCTATATCTGACAAAATTTACCTGTTCATCTCACACCAATCAAAGTTATATGTCTGTGCAGTTATTCACACAATGCAATCTGGCTTGTGTTTTATGTCTTCACGATTAGGTTGAAGGGGGTACAGTTGGGTGATATGCTCCATTTGCATAGCTGGATAGTTAAATAAAAATATGTAATGTTAGGTTACTAAAGTTTGTTTCTATTCTAATAGTTTATTATGATTCTTGTCTAGTTTTGTTGATGAATATGATCCCACCATTGGTAAGTGCGTGCTTTTTATGTAAAGGATGTGGTTTATTCTACTTCTAATGTTTGACAATGTCAATGTCATGCTCTTTTGTTGCATGAACTTGTGATGTTTGTCAAAGTTATGTGAGATCAATGTTCCATCAAATATTTACAATAGATAAAGTAATGTGAAGTTTACTTGTATTTTTTGAATTAAACATGGATCTGTTAGTTACATACTGTTGCATTAACAAGGAGAAGGTTTGCATCAAGCATTAAAGTTTTTTGTTCATAATTGTGACAAGCTTTGCAATCATTGTTTGTTTGCAATTTCATAATGTAGGATATGACATATTTATATAATGTAGGATATGACATATTTATACAAATCTTGCAATTTTGATTTGTGTATTGCTGATCACAAGAATGAAGTATCTATAATTATATCATACCATACTATCAACAGTGTTTTTTCTTTGTTTTTTTTTGTAGAGGACTCTTACAGAAAACAAGTTGTAATTGATGGTGAAACTTGTTTATTAGTACGTCAATTCTTTTGATATTAACTGTGTTTTTAATAGTTATGTCACCACTAGTTGACACTTTGATTGATTCAGTATTTTTTTAGGATATTCTTGACACTGCAGGACAGGAAGAATATAGGTTTGTAGTAATTAATGTATTTCTAAGAAATAGTAATCAATATATTTCTAAGAAGTAGTATAATTGACTGTGCTAGCATTGACATATAATATACATCAATGTGTATGTGCAGCTTCAACAACCCTGTACAGGGCATCCTTGTATTATTGATGTACTGTTATAGAGATCATATTTATTGTCATAAAATGCAAATTTATGTTTTCAGTGCAATGAGAGATCAGTACATGAGGACTGGGGAGGGTTTCCTATGTGTTTTTGCAATCAACAACAGCAAATCATTTGATGATGTTTACTTATACAGAGAACAGGTTAGATTTTTTCCATATGTTACCATATGAATACAGATTCATGATGAAGCAGTGAACATATGATTTTTATTTTACAATTCATGCAGATTAAAAGAGTTAAAGATGCAGATGAAGTACCTATGGTTTGTGAGTATCTTTGTGACATTTTATTACATTGAAAGACCATGTTTGCAGCATTAAACTTTTTTTAACAACTTTATTTACAAAGTGGTTGGAAATAAATGTGATTTACCAACTCGGATTGTGAGCAGTGAAAGTGCAAGGGAGTTGGCAGCAAGTTTTAGCATACCATTTATTGAAACATCGGCAAAAACAAGACAGGGAGTTGATGAAGCATTTTACACTTTAGTACGAGAAATAAGGAAAGATGTATGTCTTCATTAGGAATGATTTATTGTGAATTTTGAAAACAATAATGGTGAAATTTATGCCTTCTCATGCTTTCTCATATGTGCTTTCAGAAAGAAAGAAAGGGCTCGAAAACGAAACCAATCAAAAAGAAGAAGAGATGTATTATTTTATAAAAATCACATACTGTTTTACAACGATTCATTATCCTCAACCAGATAAGAATTCTGCATTTTTTTGTGAAATAGCACAAATTTACAAATCAAGGCAAGTGTAGGCTATAGCTTTTGGCTTGGATGGATTTTTTGAAAATACCAATTGCAAACAAATAGCTTTTGCTAGATTCTATCATGTTTAGGAATTGAATTATTTTTTATCAAATTGCCAGACTAATACATTTAGTAAATGGTTTAAAATCACAAAATTAATTTAATTCATCATTGCCATTAATGTGTATGTATGTATTATCAAATGGCACAATGTAGTTTTGAGGAATTAGTGGTATAGAGCCAGCATCAATACACTTACAATAATACGGCTGAAAAACACTTAAAAAATAGAAATAATAGTAAAATAACTACAAATATCTTAGTCAGTATAAAAACTTCTTGTGTCAACTTTAATTTATTCAAGTCAAATAATCACTAAAGTTGTGCATATTTTTTCCATACTTTGGCTGTTTATTGGAAACCAAAGTATGTTCACCTGATTTCTTTTATATACAATGGGTTTTCTGTAACTAAGATTTTGCTAATAGTATTGCAAGAAATTACAATGCTTTTTGGTATGATTTTAATTTCTGTTTAAGCAAAGATTTCTAGTTAATGTCATTTTAACACTACATTATCACAATAGATAATCGTTCATTTCTAACCATTATTCTTGTATTTAAGGTAAAATTTGAGTCGGTAATTTGTTCATTAATTTTTTCAACATCACATTTCCATGTTTCTATGCTCTTTTGACAAAAATTAGTCAGATGCTTTGGAAAACTGAAGGAATTGACTACTTCCCATCTTTGTGTAGGCTTAGAATTAAAGTTCACTTTGACTTCACAAGAAATGACACTTAAATCAATTTCATCTAAGCAGTTCATTTCTGATTCAAAATTCATCATGTAAACGACAGGATAGCCTAAAATTAGGCCAAAAAGCGTACAAGGATGAAGGGCATTATTTTTTAAGGCCAATGTTTTAGGTACGCAACTTTCTGTATTTAATTCAGAACTTTGGAAAGTATTCTGTAGTTCAATGTACAATTTTCCAATTTCAGTCGAAATAGTGCCACTCATTTCGCTAATCTGTGGCTCTTTCAGGGATTGTGAAACGTCGATAAAAACAACGGGCTTTTCGTGTAGTATACTGCCAATATGAGCAAGTAAGTGCTCTTTCTTTACTACAAATATGTCATCATAAATTCCCAACACACTCAAGTTAACACTTGACAAGAATTCTCCACGAAGCAACTGAAGCAAATGAGACATTTCTGACAGTGTGGTTCGGCATTGATCCACTAAATAAGAAACTTTGAGGCCAGAGTCTACGGCTAAGATACATGCGTATATCGATTGCCAGTGTTTCCGTGCAATTCGACTTCCAAAAACGCTTGAAAATATCTGCATGCATCGCAGCTCATGATCATGACATATTAGCGTGTCCGACATTGGTTTCTGGTTTGCTGTGCTGAAGGGGGGGGGGGAGGTATTGATTTCTATTATCTGGGGGAGGTACAGTAATGGGTACAATCCTCGAACTTGCTTTTACACATGACAGTTTATTATTTATATTTTTTATTATACATAAAGACGGTATTATAAATCGTTCGTGGGTATTGAACATAAAATGTTCTGCAGCTACAAAAATTCTCTTAACTTTTAACAACAAAATTACACACTGGTGGTATGAAAGACACAAGTTCATTTCTTTAAGTGTCAAATGCACCAAATAAACAATGTCATATATTTTCATATTTTTACAAACAAATGGATCAATTTACATGAACATTTCATACACAAACAGTTCTGGCATTTGACATATGACGAACATTAACATTTCATAACGTAATGTCTATCATAATCTAAGTGAGAAGTGTCAGCACATATTTTATTGTCCACATCTCGACTTGCCTCCTTTTAATTTCATGTTTTCCTCCTCCAGTTTCTTAAATGAACATGGATCATACTGAAGACTCAAATTTCAACATCACATCAGATAAAACATAAGACTATATGGTATAAAAGGATTTTTAACATGAATTGATCCTTTTCTATTAACTACAATCATTTTATATAAAGAATTCATGTTTCAACATCAAATAATTTCCGACACACTCACTATGTTGACTAAGGTCTTGACTATAGCCAACTATTATTATTGAATATTATACCTTAACTTTCAGTTGCAAATGTAAAACTTTAATGTCTTCTTTTAAAGCATTATTCTAATAAATATTAAAAAACGGGCAAATGTCTCAAAAATTTTAAAAAATATCTTTGGAAATATTTTTATACCCACTTTTTTCGTCAACATAACATGCATTGCTTCCAATTTCTGTTTCTGTATTGATAAAGAAAACCATTGTTATTTTTTGACCAACATAATCATTAGCCTAGAATTTAAAATGAAAACAATGAACTTTTAATGGTAAATAACAAGCTGATAAGTATACCTTAGCAAGCAATTCTTTCAATTCCTTATCTTCCTCAGGCTTCTAGTGGAAAAATCATCAAATTGTTTTCTCTTTTACTATGCATAGACCAATCTCACTTCTTTAAGGTTTAAGTAAAGTTATTAAGATATACAAACAACAAAACACTAGAAACTGCAATTTGAATGAATTGCAATAAATGTACATTGTATAGTTGAGCAATCTTCTTAAAATTTTCTTCACATTTCATTTGCATTTCCTTGTATTCTTCAGAAGAGAGTGATTTTCAAAAGAAATGATGGTACATTTTACTTGAGATATTCATAACAGAAAAAGTGTGATGAGCAAGTTTCTTTGTTGATTCAGAAACATGTTTTTAAATAAACCTTGATATGTAATGATAAAAAAGTGCATATGTAGTGTGATTTATGCGAAAATGTTTTGGTAGAAGTCACTGAATTATAAATATTTAACAACACGGTACCTACCTTTAATGACTCCTTGAAATCCCCAGAATCTTTCCTTGAACAAACAAGAAAATTTTACAATAACACAATTGTAACACTTTGGAATGTTTTTTTCATGCAAATAAACTTGTAGCAGCTGTATATGTAATAGAATGGCCAATAAATATTAAGGCAATCGTTAATTATCATAATAATGAGTAAGTATGACTGTATTAGTACTTTACCTCCGTCCAAAACTGACAAATGGACTTACACAAATCTCATTTTGCTTTCCAGCTGAATTTATGAATGTTTTACCATTTAATTGATCAATGGCACGCTGTGCATTGGTGACTGTTTCATAAGTAATGGAACTATGAAAAAATTTATAATTATGTAAGTTGTTTGTCAAATTCTGGGACAATTTATGAATAATCAACAATTTTTTAATTCTAAGCAAACTTGGTTTGGGAACGATGTGTCAAAGTTATCTAAATCTTTATTTTCATGACTTTTGTACATAAAATCAAACTGCTTCAATTATTGATTACTTACTATAGCACATACTATACATAAATCAATGTGTAATGAAAATGAAATCAACGAACCATGTCATATAGGATGGTTGTCTATTTAATGAAAAAACCGGTAACACCAAAGAGACACTGATCAAATTCCCACATGTTCCGAAAAAAGCTTTTAAATCATCCTTAAAAAATAGAAGAAATGCTAACTGTTGTCCTAAAGTGTAAAAATAGCATTTTCATATCACAACTTGAAATTCGTATAATCGTTTGGCAACTGAGTTGAACTGACCAATAAACTTTTTTTGTGGAGTTAATGAGAAAATTTTCAATTCTTAGTCTTTCATCTCAAAATTTTCATCAGTCATTCAACATGAGTTGCAAGATGTCTTCCAAAAATATTCAACAAACTTTATCAAACTTACATTAGATGTTTTTAATGGAATGTATTTTGCGAACACTTTTCGTGAGTCCATTTTACTTTCAGTCACTTTTTAGACTTCTTTTTCTTTAACAACAGAGTACCGTAGTGTAAGTTGCGAAAGTTTTATTATGGGAAAGATATATTGCGGACAGTGATTGTGGGCCATAAAATCATACATTCAATAAATAAAAAAGTGGAAGATTTCTCCACGTGCGCACAATTACTATCACTGACACCTGCCACAGTAAGTCTAGGGGTCCCACTCGTACCACTGTGCTGTGCACTGTGCAATAACTGAATATTGACCAATGATATTGACCAATGACCAGTGATATTCAATTATTCATATTGACTATTGACTTCGCGTTTTTGACCGCTGACTTTAAGAACAACAAGCGCACTATTAAGAATAGTGGCACAATTGCAGTCGTGTAAAATTAAAGTGCTAGCGAAAAAGTTATTTAAAAATTAGAAGAGAGGGGTGATTTAACCCAAAATATAGGTATTTTTCTGTGATGTCACGATTGCCAGCTCTAGGTTCCTTAACATCCATTGCGAAAGAATATGGGGAAAAGAATGTTTCTGATGAAGAACAGTTGGAAAAGAAGGCTTCAAAACGAAGTTTTTCTTTTGAGGACGAAGAAGAAGAAGAAGTAATTGAAAAGAAGTCCAAAGATGATTCTGTCAATGATATCGTTATGAGTGATGAAGAAGAAAAGTCATCAGGCGTTGTTCCGAATAGTGATGTTGTTAAAAAAGAGCCAAGACAAGGTATAACATTGACATGTTATTACCTACCATCACTGATTACTCCTTGAGGCTATGATAGTTGAATAAATTCATTGTAAGCTTTTTTAAAACGTATCAGTTTTGTTTATTAAGCTTCTCGTTTGGTCTCATACCCTGGATATGAGGATGAAGATGAGGAAGGTCGCAAAACAAGTGTATGCTTATTTTGTGTGCTACTTACAATGTTTTTTATTGCCTAGAAATTTTTAAAGTATATTGTTTTAGATTTTTGCTGCATAATATAAATCCCATCTCATCCCCTTTTTTAACTTTAACCACATCCTTAAATTTCATGTCTGTCTTCTGTAGGTCAGTGAAATAGCACCAATGGACAAAAGGCCTGAAGATAAAGTTAATGGTAGCATTGGTTCCTCTTGCTTGCGTTTTATTAATGCATTATTTGTACCTAAATTTATCTATTTTCTTATGAAAAATCTATAGCATCTGATGAAAAATTGATGACAAAATTGGTATGTATAAAACAGGATAGTGCATGTGATTTAATTCTTTGATTTCTTATCTTGTGAACTTCTCAATTATGTGACATTTCAAACTCCTATCAACTGGTCGTTGTTAGGATTGCATGTTATTTAATGAAATGAAACCATTTGATGCAATTGTCATTTTGCTTGAGTAAATCACTATGAAAACTTCATATAGTTTATTGTATCTTTTACTGTGCATGGATTTAAAACACTACAAAACAATTTTTAAATCGTAGGATGAGCAGTTGCTTAGTGGATCAAGTCAACCTACAACCAAGACCCAAGATATCCAGCATACAGAGGAAGCCATCGCTGATGCAGACTCCATAAAATCAAAACAAGATGATACAAATGAATCTCCTCAAAGCAACCTGCCTGAAAGGGATAAATTGCGAGGTGAGAAATTAAACATCTGTTAGTCATCATAATTTGATACAAAATATACAGTTTCAGCTATGCTGTTTTTTAATTATTTGTTCCTTGGTGGTAGCTGGCTATAAAAACTGTACAATTTTTGTTTAGCAAGCATGTCTAAAGATTTGTTGGACCATCTTGATGCTGTTCAGTCCATTAAAGTTTCATTACCACCATTATTTGAAGGACGTTGTTCCAACACATTACAGGTTTGTTAATGAAGATTAATTTAACATACCGTCAAAATATAAAAGTTATCATTTTAAAGCAATGTTGAATTCAGATTTTAAACAAAAGTGCCTACAAAGACCTGTCACTTGCATTCAGTTTCAATTATCATGAAAGTAATGTGGTTGACAAGGTAATGCTAGTCAAGTATTTATTAATGTTTCTTTCAGGAAAAGATTGAAAATCTACTGGATACTAAACATAGGACTGGAGTTGATCTAAAACATTCCATTCAACGTAAAAAGAATTTTCGAAATCCAAGGTGATTTAATATGTTTGCTGGCTACCATGCTTGTGGTGGTTGCCTTAGCTTTGGTATTACTGGTATCCCCTAACCTTAGTATTACTGGTAGTCCCTAACCTTAGTATTACTGGTAGTCCCTGACCTTGGTATTACTGGTATCCCCTAACCTTAGTATTACTGGTAGTCCCTAACCTTGGTATTACTGGTAGTCCCTAACCTTGGTATTACTGGTAGTCCCTAACCTTGGTATTACTGGTAGTCCCTAATCTTGGTATTACTGGTAGTCCCTAACCTTGGTATTACTGGTAGTCCCTAACCTTGGTATTACTGGTAGTCCCTAACCTTGGTATTACTCGTAACTTCTAACCTTGGTATTACTGGTAGTCCCTAACATTGGTATTACTCGTAACTTCTAACCTTGGTATTACTGGTAGTCCCTAACATTGGTATTATTCGTAACTTCTAACCTTGGTATTACTGGTAGTCCCTAACCTTGATATTACTGGTAATCCCTAACCTTGGTATTACTGGTAGTCCCTAACCTTGATATTACTGGTAGTCCCTAACCTTGGTATTACTGGTAGTCCCTAACCTTGGTATTACTGGTAGCCTCCAACTTTGCATTATTTGTAGACCATAACCTTGAACACTATTTATCATTTTAGTATTTACGAAAAGCTTGTGTCATTTTGTTCAATCAATGAAACTGGTACAAATTATCCAAAGGTAGAATTGTATTATTGTTTCGTTTTTCCTCAGTATCCAATAGTTCTTTTTTTCTTAGCATATCTACGATCCGTTTTCATGGACCGAAGACTCTTTTTATGAACGTCTTTGTAAGTGTATTTACGTTCCTAACTTAACTATTCATTACATCATAAAAGTTTAGCTGCGAGTGTTTCCTCACTCCAACGTATCTTGTCATTTTAAATTCATTCATGCCTACATAAGCATTTATAATTAATAAATAATTTTTCAGCCAAGATACAAAAAGAACAACACGAAAAGAAACAAAAAGAGCGATCTAAGGTTTGTTGATATTTAAACTGCATATCAGTAGTAATCATACCTTTACATAATGTTTTACATTGAAGCTTTGAAACCCTTATATGTCATAATAATAACTTGCGTAATGAGTTAAGGGCTTAATCAACTTTATTAATGAATTTTTTCCCTGTTACCAAAGAATTGCGACCTGCCAGATTCAAGCGTCTAACAATGTTTACAAACAAAACTTCGAGTGCGCTTGGCGTTTGACGTCAGATAGTAGCACAAGAACCTCCATGTTTTTGTACGAACATGTACACTGTCTTATATTGATGTGTTTTTGTTATTTGCATTTTAAGGTTGAATTTGTTCATGCAACAAAGAAATCTGCGTCATCGACGACAGGTAAATGTTTTACCAACGTCAACACGCATGTATATTTGTTGAAAAACACAACCTTTCATATGGCGTCCATCCACACCTAAATTATATGACTAACTCGAAATTTGCTACAAGACATTACCGCCTGATTTTATTTGTGTTGGACACATAACAAACAAACTTCTTGAAATCGCTTACGTTCCATGTTCTTATCCAGTGCTAAAGTGCATTGTTGAGCGTGCTCATCTTTTTAACACTGTTCCTAGTTACGTCATTCATGATTCATCAAATCAACGTTTTCATACAGGAAGCGTTAGAAAAATGCTACGTTAAAAAAAGTCACATTATTCCCTAGATATTCTTTGTCACAACGTGAAAGTTATTTTTTAATATTTTATTGTGTGTTTCACACCATCTCGAGAGGGCGTTCTGCTTAAGGTGTCATAAAACATTTATCTTAGTCTGAATCCAATTCGAAATTAACCATAGAAGTTTGTTAGGCGGGGGATGATGGTTGAAACTGTAACTAAAAATAAGAAATGTCTGAGGTTTGTAATTAACGTTCGTAAAGGATAATCCTTTAATATATATTTGCCTTCTTCATAGGAGAAGATACAAGTAAAAAGCGTAAAACAAAATGGGACGTTACGAGTTCTGGAACTGCAGCACTGACCATACCACCTAGTGCTGTGCAAACAATTGCCTCTGTCCAGGCAGTTGTTGCTGCAAACAACAAACTTCTAGCCGTACAGGTAAAAAAAACGTGAACAGTATTTGAAAAATAGATAGGTTTGCCATTGAACAAGTTGATCATCTCTTGTTTGCTGAAGTACACTATGATGTTTGAAAGAACGCTTTGAGTCCTTTGTAAGATATTTGCTTTGGTACAATATAGAAAGGAAAGCGGCACTTGGCTTTCCATATTTGTATTTAAAATATACAAAACCAGGAATATTCATAGCCTGGAAAACAACCAAAAAATGTTTAGTGTGTGCTTAGTTCTCTTGTCCATTTGTATTTAATATGAATGTGTTTAAAATTAATTTTATGGATGGTGAAAATGAAGAAAGTTCGGGATTGTATTTTGTGTCTTTAGTTTTAATGTCGTAATTTTTAAGGTTATCCAAAATCAGATATGAGTTATGAATTTCATGTTCGTGAATTTGCGATCATGAAAGTTTTGTGTTGTGATGCATGTCTTTCGTTGTAACTTGGTTAATTGTAAGTGAAGGATGTGATTATGAATTCAGCGCATTGTCTCTCTCCTTCGCAGATGCTTTTTGCGGGATTTATAAAACTTTTGAATACGTTTCTTTTTTTCGACCTTGATTTGTGTTTCACGAAATGGTACAAAAAAATCCAAAGCTTTTAAACCCGAAAAGCCTTTCCCGATGAAAGTGGTGCATATTTACTTCTATGAATCAGTGCTTCATTAAGATTAGAACCCAGGCTTCTTGTTCATATTTCTTTGAGCGCTATTTATTGGAGGCACGTCCGGCTCTTAAAGAAGACATTACAGGGAAAAGTTGATTTTTCTACGTGTAAGAAATGGCTTCAAAAACATCGAAACAGGATTTTTTTATGGTCAGTGTAGTAAAAATCTATTAAGAGAAACCACGACTCATCATGGCCGAAAGGTATGAAGTAATAATGCTTAAATTCAATTGCAAAATTGCGTTCATTTTGTGAGGTGTTGTCAGAGTATGACAATTATGTGTTTGTCTTTTGTATTACAAAAATAAAAGTTTTATTTTCAACTCGGCAAAGGTTTATTTAAGGGAAAGATGACTTACACGGTGTTGAACGGTTTAGTGAGAACAGTTTCACATGTCCGTACTGTCACCTTCATACTTACATGTAAATATTTTGCTAAAGACAGTCGTGTATCTTCTGTCGATGCTTGTGTCATGAAACTTTCAAATCTCTTCTTAAGTTTCACCATAGTTTAATCATAATAACTAATAATTGTTTAATAAGCGTATCGTAGCGAGACTGAAAGGTAAATGTTTTCCATTGGCATTTTTGCCTAGTATTCATCTTAAGAACTTCAATCATTTATAACTTTATGTACACAAACATCAACCAGACTCTTACAGTATAAATCATTTCTTGTGGAGTTATAAGTGGACCTTTTGCTTTGTATGTCGGTTTTTAAAAATAATACGACGAGGGTTTACATATGACGAGGAAAATGTTTTATAATGGCGAATTTTTTGCTATTGTCACATAGATTCCACTTCACTTGAGTGCATAATACGTCTACGGTAATAAACATATTTTGAAATACTTCAATATATGTTTAAAATTTGCCTTAGTATGTTAGCGTGCTTCTTGAACCATCATATCCCAATTAAGTAGAATGTAATTTCATGGCTGTAAAATTCATTATTCATCCTGAACCGAATGGAATTTTAACGCACAGAATTTCTGTCTGAAAAAAACTGTCTGTCAAACTGAACTGTGTTTGTTGAGATTGATAGTTGATCATGAAACTCCCTGTATTGGGCTGTCATATTGATCTTCTATAAATTCTTTGATATGTGAACTTTTCAACACAAAACAATTTATTTAGTCTAGCATGACTTTATAAGAGCTATCATAAAGTTGTTGATGATTGAAAATTTATTAACATCTATGAATTATTAAATCTCGATGAATTTTCCATTAATTCATTTTGATCATACAAGGCTTTCTAGAATAAATATATTTTAAATTTTTTTGTTGTGGTTATAACTTTGTTTGATAAACTTTTTTTCAAAATAGATGACAGGTGTTGACTATTGAGTACATTATTTTTAAATAGATGGTACAATGAATTGTATTAACTCTTTGATTTTCCTTGTGACCATTTTAGCCATATACACAACAAAAAAAACGAAATGCTATGTGCACAAGAAGACTAAGTTATTGTTTTAAATGCATACTATAATTTTTTTAAATAAAGAGATAGGTATGTAATGTGCCTTGACAAACAAATATAGGTTCAATATACTATGAGAGGACACGTAATATTGTAGAGTCAACCAAGGTATGAATCTTTAATGTTGCAATGATTTGAAAGGACTTAATGTTTAAATGTTTGCATAATTATTGCAAATGCTTTTGGTCAGTCAGACCAAAATCATGCAAAAAGCAAATTTTCATTTTTTAAATTTATTTCTTGTTGGAATAAAGATTTGCATAAAATATAATATACAAAGAAGGTGTCATAATATATTTTAAATTTTGTGATTCATAATGAAATTTTTTGAATATAGTTTTTTATTCTCTCGGTGTTCATATGATATAAGCTCATTCCCCATTATTTACTTCATACACAACACATACCTCACATTATTGACGATTAAACTTTATAGAATTGATTGGGTGGAAATTCAGGAGCCTCATTCTGGAGATTTGATGTATGCCAATATTGAACTGGAGAATGTTTATGGGAAGCACCAATATCTGCCAAAGTGTAAGTTTGATAGCGCATAGAAGATTTTACTTACTGTTTAATATCAATTATATTTTTACTGCTTTTGTAGGAAGAAAAGCAGCACAAATCAATGGTGGGAGCTTTATGATGAAAAGACAAGACGATATTATTATTATAATGCACACACAAAACAAACTGAATGGAGGAAGCCAAAAGATTGTGATATTATAACTCTTGCAAAATTACAGGTGAGGATATCTTTTAATGTGGTAGTTGATTATTTCATAGCTAGAAATAGTGTGGTTTTGTATAATTTTGTAGAGGGAAAAACTTAACATGTATAAAGTTTAAAATCTGTAAAATTATTGTTACATTCATGATATATCATGTCAGATGTTGTATCAGATTCTGTCGATAGAAAAATTTCAGCATTCTTCTTGCTGTTGCATGTAAACATGAGGTCTGCTGTTGCATGTAAACATGAGGTCTGCTGTTGCATGTAAACATGAGGTCTGCTGTTGCATGTAAACATGAGGTCTGCTGTTGCATGTAAACATGAGGTCTGCTGTTGCATGTAAACACGAGGTCTGCTGTTGCATGTAAACACGAGGTCTGCTGTTGCATGTAAACATGAGGTGTGCTGTTGCATGTAAACACGAGGTCTGCTGTTGCATGTAAACATGAGGTCTGCTGTTGCATGTAAACACGAGGTCTGCTGTTGCATGTAAACACGAGGTCTGCTGTTGCATGTAAACACGAGGTCTGCTGTTGCATGTAAACATGAGGTCTGCTGTTGCAAATTACAACATAACAACCTATTGCCATCAGTAAAAGAGTAAAATTGGATTATTTAATCAAAGTTATTTCTAATTTAATATTTCTATGAATTTCCAATCCAAATTGCGCAAAGAATTCTTTAGAAAGAAACGTAGTTACGTTCAAACGAACTTTCAGGACTTTCGCCAAACGAAAGTGAATTACGTATAAAATTCAAATCGATCTTAAACACGTTGTTACACGACCAATTTGCAGTCCATGCACGTGTTTACAGTATTTGAATTTCTAGAATTTGAAAGGAAGAGCATCAAAGCGACGATCCAGTTCATCTAGAAAGGAAGGCTCAAGTCGTCGACGTGGTTCAACGCCGAATAAAGAAGGTGGAAAGTTACAGAGTCAACGTGATGACGAACGTTCGTTGCCAAGAAAGTACACTCGGCATAATTCTGGAGAAAGTCTCTCGTATGCGAGAAAGACCAGCTCATTCTCAAAGTCAGAGAACCAAGGGCATTCTTCAAAATTGAATGAAACTATAGGAAATGACAAAGAGGGTACATCTGGTGATTACACATTAGATAAGGTGGAAACAAAAGATAGCAGCATTGATGATGAAAGTAATTATTTCAAGGTAGTTTGTTTTATATTTTGAGTTGAGTTAATATAGTGATCTTGCTGTAGCTGATGTAACCTATAAAAACGTAGCTTTTGTAAAACTCAATTTTCAACATTGATCACACCGGATGAAGATGCTCGTGTATAGATATAAATTTCACTGTTTGTTTAATTTTTTCATATCAAGGGCTTTAGGAGGCGCTCATCGGAAAAAGAAGAAAATGTTGTTATGAATATCCCTCATATGAACGTGAAACCTCATACTTCTAATTCAAATATGGATCTTGATGATACATCTTGTTCATCGGATATGGACAATACAACAAGACATATTAAATATCTTAACATTAGCGGAGAAATTACTGAAGAATGTGACGAGGTGCCTTATGAACTACAACAACCAGATGACGCAGATTGTAATACAGAGGAAGATGAAAGTTTTACATCATTTAATGCTCTTGTTCCTCCACCATTAAGTCCATCAATCAAAGGGAACATGATGAACTCTACAACAATTCATCAATCCAACTACGTTAGTGATGGCCCTGTTTCTGAGTCGGAGACGGCTGCTTTAAACGATTCTCTAAACGACACCAGGAATGTTGAATCAAATATAAACGTAGAGCCGTCAACAATTCCCCCTGAAGAAAATAGTCCGTGGATACACTCTGAGGATATACCTCGTACGACTTCCTTCTTTAATAAAATGGTTGATCAACAGGGAAATCTGAAAATGTTTAATCAAGATGAGCATTCTTACAAAGTTCAACGACACGAGAGGTCAGTAGTCGACAGACAATAGTAATGTTAAGCATGTAATTGCAGACAATAATGTTAAATGTAGCTCAACAATAAATGGCAATGTACGCACCTTTTGTTGAATTCATATGACTGGAAAAATCGAACCGCTATGATTTCTAAATGTTTCTTTTGAGTTTAAATGATTTTCGTTTGATTTTACCCGTTTGTTCAGTTATAGAAGCAGTAATAGACAGGTATCACCTCCTGTTTTACGCGAGGAAGGTGGACGAAGAAGATCAAACTCGCTGGAACCCCAAGCATACGATAATGTCACATCTCCTTTTCATTCAACCTACGATAATCTGAGACCTGACGATTTCGACGACCAAGGTATCTTTGACATTTATTTTGAGGTCTTGGGGAAGTGTGAGTGAGAGCAGTGATTTTTTTATTCTTAATCATCGATGCACATTAATGTTTGCTGGCGTGTTTATTACTTGGAAACTTTCCCATCGAAAGAAAACTTTTTAACACTTTTATCCCAATCACGAGCTAGCAGATGTGTGGTATTAGTCACACATGTAAACATTGCTTGAATTTTGATAATCAGTCATTTATATTGTGTAATCGGCAGGCGCTTTCGCGACAAGACTTGTCTCTGGTGGCATGCCTCATACGACTGCTCTCCTTGTAGAAGATTGCGAACCTGACGAGATGATGTCGACTCCTGTAATGCCAAATAGGGGCTCAGGAATATATCAACATCAGGTCTCAGACACTGCAGTCCTTCACAACTTTGATAGTGAAGATCATCATGGGAATACATTAGTAAGTATGAAAACATCTCATGTGTGTCGCTGTTTGTATTGATTAATGAACAACGCAAAACTAAATAAGTTTTCTTCATTACATAACATATAAACTAATGATAATGTGTGTCGGTGTAGTTAGTGATGAACTACATACGAAAGAAGAGAAAGTTGTCTTCACACGTTTTAAAATCAATGTATATGTAGTGTGCTTTTGTTTGTGTCTGTGTAAGTTGCTATAAATGACAACTTTAGTTTTTACACTGCGTGAATGCTCAAATTAAAATAAGATAACATACGTCATTGGATTTGATGTTGGTCTAATTCATGGGTGGTATTTTACAGGTCAGATCAAATACCTGCCCTGTGGTTAGGACAAACCACGATGTTCCCCTCACACCTCCCCCTCCTGTGTTGAAGAAATACGTCGAATGTCGAATACCCGTGCAGTCAAGACGCGGTTTATTTGGAAGGAAAGATAATTTAACAGGAATGCCTTGTCATTCTAAAGTAAGTATGAATATTGTAGGACGAAGAGATCATGCTCATCCCAAATGTTTTTATTTGATAAGAAAATATGAAGCTGACTCTCTCCACACCAGTATATGTGGACTTTGCCTTACATGTAAATACTTTTGTACTTACAGCAAGCTTTAAAGAAGCCAGTGCTCAATATTCGCGACAAGCAACTGAAAAAGGAAGCTATAGAAATGTTCAAACGTATCTTTAACATTTATTTATGGATTACTTTAATGCTAGGAAGAATAACTACCTAAAGACTTCCTGCTAGCAGATAAGTGCAGAACAGTGGTTTTTAGGGTTACTAAAGGATTATTGAGGATGTCAGTTGTAGATTAAGAACAGTATAAACTTGCCAAAGTTTTGGTTAAGTGAGATGTAAGATATTTTTCTAACTATGGAAGGCTGGATCATCATCTACGTGCATTTGTTTTTGAATTAAAATAAATAGAACATACTGCGCATCAGACCTTGATCATGTGTTATCATTCCTTAACCACGTGACTAAACAGTTGTCTTGGTTTATATGGGAGACAAGAGTAGTCAAAATAAAGAATGTGATGTTGCTTTGTGGGAGATCGTAACGAAAGCATGGGCGAACCAACCTTTAAGAGATGAGCTTTATTTCCAATTGATTAAACAAACCACTGACAACAACAGTTCGTAAGTGTTGATTTATCTTTCGTCACTGTCTTTATCATCTAATGTGTGATATTTACAGTAACATCATTTCAGGGCCCGCAGCTACAACATTAATGGAGGGAGGGAGGGGGAAGACAATTTACTTTCCGAACAACTCAGTTAAGCACAACTGAGTATATGAATATACAAACACACCCCCTCTCCATAGCTACGACCCTGCATCTTTTATCCTCACCTTTTCCTTCTGTGTTTGACATCAGTCATTATGTCTTTGTTGTGTAGATCGAGTTTAGAAAAGGTTGGGAACTTATGGCTGTATGTTTGTCGATGTTTGCTCCATCTGCAAAATATCATAGTTATCTCGATGGATATGTTTCTAATCATTTGAAAGACAGCCATCAACCGACCAATAAAATATTAGAACAAGAAATCTCGGTAAGTTTATCCAACAGTTAATCGATACAAGTCAGTCTGCATCCTGCAATAACTTCTTTATGCAGTTGGTGATCATTACGAATAAAATGTGTTAAAGCATTTTTTGTCATGACAGTACATCGAGTACCGAATGCTCGTAGCTATCCTTAACTATAACTTTATTTAATTTTATAACTTTTTTTGTATAGAATCGAATCGCTCATTACGCTCAAAATTGTCAATATAAATTAGAAAAAATGGAAAAGACAGGTTCACGAAAAGGACAGCGACAACCAACACTTGAGGAAGTTCGCTCAGCCAAAGTACGTATATTTTGGCTTATAACGTGCTTTGAATGTTACTGCACTAAAATATGCAATTACCACTATGTTATGGAGTAGTTTACTTTTGGTACCAAAAGACTTTCTTTGTATCTCGTTGAAAAATAATTAAAATATGGAGGTAAACTTTAAAAATTCACCTCATATTCACTTTAAAGGGAAGAGTACATAATTGTGATTGCAATAAGCGTTTAATACGTAGTTACTGTGTGTAAACGGGTGTTGGCCCATTCTACCTTAACTATGACTTTCCCTGTCGTGGTTTTTATCTTCCTTTTTGGCATTCATGTTTATTATGTTTCGTGTAGCGAGCAATATTCCATCCGTCCATGTTTGGCAGTACCTTGGATGATACAATGGCGATGCAGCAACATAAATTTCCTGATCATAAACTTCCTTGGATTCTTACTTGTCTTACGGAACAAATATTAAAACAAAATGGAACCTCTACTGAAGGCATTTTTCGGTAAGGACGAGATTCTACATTGTTAATATAGAAAAATAGTCAAACAGTTCGCCATTTGTTTAAAGAAAGGCTTTTTGGGTTAGTAAAATGGATGAAAATAGTATTGAACAAATTGTTTGATTCTAAGATTATTTACGTTTCGCTGTTTGCTAAGGTATAAGCATCGTTACTTCTACATAAAATGTAATAGACAAAAGATATTTTTACGTCAGAAGAATCTATTTTATAATGTATAGAAAACCTGCAACTAAAAAACAAAAAAATGATCGTTATTTTTGTTGCTAAGTGTACCGGGAGATATTGATGAAGTGAATGCACTCAAAGTAAAGACAGACAACTGGTGTTATCCTGACGACTGCAACGATCCAAATGTTGCTGCGTCACTTTTGAAGCAATGGTTCAGAGAACTTAAGGATCCATTACTTGATGAATGTGTTTAATATCCTTTACGGACTAAATTAGTTTTGATGGTTTAGTTTTAGGCATGTTGAGGTTTGTCAAAAATTTTATTGTGTGTGAAGTTCTCTTTGTATGAGTTTGCGGTTCCCTGTTTCATAAACTTTTATCTTACAGATATTTATACTTCACTCTCTAACACTGCGTGATAACAACAATCCTTAACTTTATTTTTACTGAAAGATGTATTTCCAATTGTGATGACGAAGTAATCTCATGTAGTATTGTCTCGTCTCTGCCAAATAACAATCGATTTGTTTTGTGTTTTATCATTCGTTTCCTTCAGGTACGTCATAAAACATATTGAAGAACACCACTATTAGCAAGGTTGCGTCTGTGGTGAAAATTTCTTTGGTTGTCGGGGGGAGTGGTGTAGGAACTCAGAAAATACGTTTTCATTATTTCACGCATTACATTTCATATCTTTTATACTGTTCAACTGCATTTGGTTTGGTTTAAACTTAAATGCAAATCAACTGTGAAACTTATTTTATTTTCGTGTTAGATATTTTGTCAGCCAGAAGTAATTCGTGTCACGAAGATGGACGTTAATAACCTCGCTATGGTTTGGGCGCCCAACTTTTTACGCTGTCCTTCCAACGAACCTAAAGTAATTTACGAAAATACTCGTAAGGAAATGGCGTTTGTACGAACCTTACTCAATTCATTCGATGCCAAATTCATGGAAGGCGTTAAATAATAGTGCATGGATCCCTCGTGAATTGTTTGAACAAAAAGTAACGAAAAGATTTCCAATTTTTATGGGAAATAAGACTAATTCATGCTTACTATGTAAGTATTTTTGCGATATACGTGTTTATCAATAATACATTATCTGTTTTTAATCTTCTGCATGCACGCTCAACTCATGGACAAGTAAAAAAATGTACTGGTTATAATATTCATTTTACTTGCAAAATTTGAGTATTACAAATTGTGATTTAGTTTTAAGTTCATCACTTACGCAAATGCTAACTTTCTTTATAAAGAACGGCGAGATTTATTTTTAAATATACTGAAGTTGAATTTTTGTGAAGCTAAAGAGAAACTTACGATTAATACTGAAATCAAAATCACCGTTTAAATATTAACGTCTGTAGATAATTATTGCAACACATGTAATGTTAATGTATTGTACAGATATATACAAGTTTATTTTCTCATGATTCGATGTTTTCAGACTTCTTCATTCATTACAATTTAGAGAATCTCATTAGTAATTGAATTTCAATTCACCAAATGGTAATATACCTACAAGACATCTCGTTAACTATACTTTACAACAGTTTTAAATTAATACATTATAATGTCGATCATCTTCGGCAACCAACGTAATCACAGGTGTACCTTCCGGCATGTCATCGGGATAGTGCGCAATAAAGTCGGGCTGATCAAACTGCATTGGTCTTACGACTCTTATCTTTACTCCAAGTGAATAACCAAGTAAGTGCATTTCAACCTACAAAAAATGTCAAAAAACATCCATATTTATCCTTTGATTATCCTATCTATTCATTATCTATTGATAAAAAGTGAGAAGAAAAATAACCCAGGTAAGTCTAATTAACACTGGCCATTGCTTCTAAACTATTCATTGTTAAAAATCGTAATGGTATTATGTCTGATTCATCTTATAGTACCTAGGTATGAAGGTAATATTACGATGGTTCACATTGTTAATATACCTGTTCCAGTCCCCCCTTATCGCCGACCGCGTTCAAGTGCTTCGTCATAAGATGCCAAGGATCTAAAGATGAGTCACGTGCGTACATTATCATGGCAAATATAGGCACATCAACGTTATTTTTTATCTTCCTATGCAGCTGGAAGGCTTTGTAGAACATAAGAAATTTTGTAGCTTCCAATATTCTGATTTCAAACTCTTGTGGTTGGAAGTTAAATTGAGATATGAGATGGTTGACTCTTCCCTCTTCTTGACTCATATTTGCCGTCAAAAGTGCCTTAATACAAGATTATATGGATTGAACAGAACGAACAGAGCACAGTTTTACATCGGTAATGGATGTACGGATGTGTATGTAAGACTTGTCCTTCATTGTTGGTATATATCACTCCGTTATCCCCTAACATCCTTTGTTCTTACCAATTTTTTCAATTCGGAAAGACAGTCAACTAATTGCGTGAAAACTTTTTCTCTTGAAACAGGAAGACGTGAAGCAAAAGTCCATTCTTCAATGTATCGAAAGTCTTTCATTTCTTCAGGAATCTAAAGTGAAAAGATATTTACACTTTTTGGTAAGAAACTTCTCTAAAAGTGAAACTGGTTTTTAAACCAAATATCATAAAAGCCGCAGGAAATTTTCTTTCAATTTTCTTTCGTAGAATTTTCCCAAATATTTGACGTAAAGATGTTACTTACTTTCTCAATACTGACGTCGAAACGCGACATAAACGAGATATTCTTAGCGAGGACTTGGAAAAGCGTCGCTCGAATTGCACAATAGTTGTCGCCACGAATCAAAAGGATTTTATTGAGACCAAGCATATGAGGTATTTCACAGTATCCCTTAAAAGAGTGTAATGGAGGATTTTAAGATTTCGCCTACCATGGAATCGAGTATGCTCTGCTACTAACAACATGGAGTTTGTACTTGAAGGATTCGTACAAACTCTTCCGTCATTCGGAAAATGTTCTCGATGCTTAAAAGATATTATCTGCGAATAATGAATTTTTACTAACGTTTCTAACAGCAACTGCAGTGATCGTGTCACTTTTCCATTCTTTTTTTGCATACTGCACAACATTGTATGTACTGCCGATAGACTCAGGACGTCCATTGTCACTTAATAACTTCTCTTCTATAAATAGTTAAAGTAGATTGACGACCATAAAACAACGAACTCACATAACATCGGGTTTTCCAACAATGGAAAAAACTGTCGTAATGTAGTGTCATTTCCAAAAGGCGGATATCTCTCTGTGAACTTGACACACAACGAGAATTAGCTGTAACTTGTGTTTGCTAAAAACTGCTTCCATTAAACCGAATTGAGCAAATCTCTCCATTGTATACCTTTTTCAATTGATTGGCCTTGCTGTGAACTACCAGGATTGATTATTGTAGAATGCTCATGTTCACATATCTCAACATCTTTAGTACACTCATAGTTTTCCAAAGATGGCAATGCACATGGGTCATCACTGAGACTGTCTACAAAACAAAGGGGAAACAGGTGTCTTGCTTACACACATCACACATCATCAAAAGACATTTTGACGAAAATTCTTTCGTTATAGGCTCAACACTTGGGGAGATGATAACTAGCAAAATTATACACCAGTAAAACCGGGGGCGTGGGACATGTAACAAACGTCATCTCGCGAAATTCTTAAACTTTTGCTATTTTTTTACGAAAATCAGAGGTAGGGAAGGAGTTTTTCGAGTCGATTAGTCAAATGTTTTTTTTATTCAAGTATATCTTCGTGCAAAGAGATGGGTAAATTAAGGACAATGTATGAAGGACCTTGTCATGGTACCCAGAAAAATCTTTTGATTTCTTACCATTATCTAAGTGAGTAGAATGTGCCATTTCTTCAGAATTCTGATTTTTTTGTTTTTCCTCTAGCTTTTCAATTTTTAAAGTGTTTTCGTGAACGTTTTCGTGAACGTTTTCGTTTGGTGCAAGTTCTTTATAATCTTCTTCAAATCCTGCATCATTTAATTCACTCTCTATGTTGTCATGACTGGTATTGTTTGAAGAATTTTCACGAGATGGTTCCTTACTGTACATAGCATCCCCTTGTTCAATATAAGTTAGTTCATTATTTGATAAAGGATGTGTTTTAGTTGGTGTTGGCTTCAAGAACTTCTTGGGGTTTTTTTCCTTAGTCGAATCTTTCTTTTTTGACATGATTTTGCCAAGAATAGATGGCTTAGCTGAAGGCAACTTCTTATTCTTCCTACTTGTGTTTCGTTGAGTTTTGTGGAGGATCTCTTCAGACTAAAAATTCACACTGTCCAGTGAGCATATGTATTCTTATTCATTTCAGTCTAAAAGATTTCTTGATCTTGGATTATAAATTTTCATTGACACTTTTTGGTCGAGTGATAAAATGATCTGATGTTAAACTCAACAATTTTAACACTTCAAATTATACTGATGTAATATATGGTTTTGTGGGTAGTCCTATGTCTTCATATATATATGGAGTGATCTGAAATTTAAGTCTAATTATCCTGTTATGTACATTTATGTACTATGTTTTGTTATCATGATACTAAGATACTCCATTCACTTACACTAGCATGTGTTAAATGTCCAGTTACAGTTGTCTCATGCATCAATGGTGAATCACAATTTGCTCTGTTTCGAATCTTTCGTTGTGATGCTTTTTTCTTTCCTTTAGCTCTCTTCTGACGGCAGCATGCCAGACCAACAAAAATGACCAGAAAGAAACAGAAGACAGCAATTATGATCAAACATATATCTGTCTCACTTAATCTTTGCCGCTGATTTGAACCTTAAATGTTGAACAAACAGATGATATTGAAAATCTTGCCTATAGCATTTAAATTCCACAAGTTTTCAAAATATTCTTTCGATAAAAACTATATGCAAGGACTTTTCACGACATTACTATGATTTTCTATGAAATAACTAACTCAGACCAACAAAACAGTTGACACAATTTTCTTCTGCTGATAAACTTACAATATACATATGTTGTTTAGTGAGTTCTGGATCAATTAATTTAAAGAATTTGATAATTTGTTCCACTTCGTCTGCTGCGTCATCTGACAATGACAATGACAATGAAATCGACAACACAAGTGAAGTGATCGTAGTTCATGCAAAAGTTAAAGTATACAAGTGAACACATATCGTATAAGAAATTTGCATATGCCGATATTTAATGAAATGAAAACAATAGAAGTTAGAAAACGCTCAATATCGTCGAAGAAAGGGTAGCCATAAGCTTATCAAGCTAATGTATAATATACGCACCATTTCTGTCAATTTGACAGTAATGTACATCGTTTGGCAACTTCAAAACAGTTAAATATTATGAAAAATGCAAGAAGATGCTTACTGTAGTTTGTCATCGCCGAAAAGTGACTGTTGACATGTCTATTTTATAACTAGCAAATTTGAAATTTTTCGTAAGGATAAACGCCATCTTGCATAGACATTTATTGGGCACCAGGTCCCAAGCAGTGGTCCGCGTGTCCCGGTTTCTTCTTGCTCACAAATGGCAGTGTAGTAAAGCGGTGAAAGCCAGCAAAACATTTTATTTTTATGTTGAAAAGTCATTCCAATGCCAGTTTCTATTTCCGTCTTTGGGCATACAATTTTATGTTCATTTAACATTTGAAAGAAGTCACGTATGTTTTTATAAAGTGCTCTTCGAAAGAACGTTCCTCCAAGGTAATTTAAACGCTTAAACTTAGTTATTTGAAATATATTTTAGCCATTTTTAGGTAGTGTAAAGACTTTTATTGTTCAGTGGGCTAAACTGGAATTCTGCGACAAATGTCGTCTTAAATTTTCCCTCGTAATCTCTGTTGTCCATCCATCACCACACAAAAAAAAGCGAAAGAATTTTAAATACTCGATTCCGTTTTTGCCCTTGTGAGACTATCGTTTCTATGTCTGTGATTACTTTTCCCACGAGAATTTGAAAAACTCCGATTTCGTTCACTTCCTGAAAGAAACGGCTAAGTGTAAAATTATAGCTACAAGTATCAAAAACAATTGTCTTATTACAAAAATCTCTCTGCTCGACTATCCAGGGAAAGTGAAAATTTCAGTCATACGTTTTTAAGAAGTCACGAGCCTCTGTGCCGTATTTTTTGACGTGAAAACCAAATTTCATTTGCCTTTCTTATTGGCTAAGGTTATTTTAAGCTAGATAAAACTTACAAGGGCAAAATTCTTCCCAAGATCATAAGATGATTGTATTAATTTAGTAAAATTGGATTGACTGTCTTTTTTCTGCCTATATTTTATCATTATGCTTTGCACTTAATTTCAATAACACAGAAATAGTTTATAGTTATATACCAACAAACACAAAAATAGGATTTAATAACAATTCCCTTTTTCTTTTCTAGAACGTTTTTTCATTAAGAAAGATGAAAACATTTAATCAGGATGTCCACGGCAACGGATGTCGTACAGGTAGTAATAATAAAACAACAAAAAAACAAAATTATTCTCTACACTGCCTAAGACAACATGTGTAGGTGCATAATGTGATAAATAAACAACTAAAACAATAAGAGACTGATACATACACCAAAAATTTAATCTCATCGTTGTGAAAACAAAGAGAAAGAACAACAGAGAACGAGGTCAAGAAGCTTCCTTTTAAATCTAAGAAATTTCAACTTCAATATTTCCTATGGAAAAGAGCTTTTTGTTTTAACGTAGTTTCAAAGCTGATTTTTTAATTAAGCAAACTTAAAGTTATCATCTGTCTACTCTAGATGATCATATAAGAAAAGTCTTCCGTGAAAATGGCGATGCTCCTGATCTGTAGATGGAGTAAATTGTCAAAATGTATCAATGGTAAGTTTAATTATTTTGTCGTTCAAACGAAATTTTTTGTAAAATTTTATTTTGTCATTCTCCGATCAAAACAAGCTTTTGATAACATACTGTAGTATTATATTTAAAGTATAATATGACAAAAACTTCCCCAGTTTTCTGCATCAGGATGTTCACATTAAAGTACAATTGAAACCAAAGATTTTTTTGTAAATCCATAATTTCGCTGGAGAAGTCAATAATGACCTTACACAATTTCTTTTTTCTACTCAAGAAAGACACAAAGTTACGGAATGGCGTATGTTTAGTGATAAATTGACGACCTTTTAACGAACACGTTGCTCTAGATCCCTCAAAATTAAGTATGATTGATATATATTAAAACTGAGTAGGTATTTTTCTATCTTAATAAGAAGTGAAAGAAAACGGAAAATCGAACATATTCTCCTTAAGTGCTTTTTCTTTTTTAAATGGTAAAAAAGCAATATAAGTTACTTTGTAAATCAATGACGTCAAATCATCGATTACATTGAACCTCTTTGGTTCTTATATAAATTCGATAATATTCTAGAGCGTCAACTACCGTGTAATATTTAAACTGGTTCTTAAACAACGTACGATAAGACTGACGACACAATAAGTTTGTTTTAGCAACTGAATTTCAAGTTTAGGTTTAGATGACGCTTTTGCGACTTTGTTTTCGTATTAGTGCAGACGAAAACGAGCAAGGTCACCTCAATTCATCATTCGCGCCCCACAAGTCAAAACGGAAATATCAAGCAGTGCGTGAATGTTTTAGACGTAAATTCCCAGCGTTTTAAGTCTACTTGTTTTAATGTTTTAAACAGAAAGGTAATTGCAAAATGTGTTTACTTTTTGCTTTGTGCAAAGATTTTATAAAAGATAGTAGTGAATAGTACTATTTATCTAACTGTGATGTGAGTGCGTTTTGTCTGTCTAGACCCCCCTTTTGTACACCTATATTCTCCAACGGAACACGTGCGTCATTGTTCTAATCTCGCCCTAAATGGCGCGGCTATTGTCCCTTGCATACCATATATGGAAGCGCTCAATTTTCCCACGGCAAGAAAGTCGAAACTTAATTTCCCACGGACTTAGCTATGGCCGACGATGAGAGTCCGCAGTGACACATCTTGTTGCTTTTCCTTCGGTGTTTCTTCGTATATCTTCTTGAAATTAACACCATTCAAAATTGGTGTGTACGTCGATTCATTTTTGTTTTTTCTATCGCGTTTCAAATGATATATCTCTTGAGTATTTGGTTTCAAATATTAAGACGGTTGTGTTTTCGTTTATATTAAACGAGTCTGAAACGTGATTATCATGGACATGTTCGTTTAACTGCTTGCAATAACAAGGTAGGCTGTGAAGTAAATTAGTTGGATATTACATTTATAAAATTGAATGTGAGGAGATATTAGTGATTTTAATATAGAGAACAACAGCTTGTTTATGAATTGGCAAATTGTCGATCCTTTCTAAAGTTTATAATAGCAAATTTATGCCCCCCTAGCGTGTGACAAAAGATGGCATACAGACGTCGGTAATGTTTTCTCTTTGTATTTTTGTACTAGTTTGACTTGCCTTTACTTGAAATAGCATCGAAAAGAAAAAGGGTTCTATGTTACATGGCAAATCAACACGATTATTTTCAAAATCAATTGTCGACAATGTACGAGTACAATGCACAATTGGCTACCCTTCAACATCATCCAAATTTTGAACATCACTTTGCCGCAGAATTTCCTAAAAGAGCAAGAATGGACTGGAGTGAAGCTGCCTCAAATGCTGGTACATTTGCAGTGTTAAATCACGTCAACTATCGCGTTCCAAGTTCGCATTTTACTGATGCTCAACTATTTCATCACGCTAACAATACAACTGCGTATCCAACCACGAGTGAAAATACATTTACTGGTAAGTTTTTTAATCCATATACGCTTTACGTTTCAATTTGAAAATAGACGGTACAAACACTAGTTTAAATTTGGAAATGGTATTTGTAACCTCAATTTATTACATTTAGTTTTTTGTCATGAACTTCGTATATTTCGTTCTTGAATTTGATTCCCACAATTTTAGTCGTTTGTTTTTGCTTATTGGTTTGACACCGATTACATCAAAGGAGAATCTTGAAGGCAATTAAATTTGTTGAATACCTTCAAAAGGATAACAGCGAGTGTATTTCACTTTGGAAATATTTGCAATTTAGAACGTCTACATTCGTTGTTAAATTCTTAGAATTTAACCTGACTGTTTATACTGTTGAATTGTAGTGTACACATTATTTAATGTTTTGATTTTCTATGGCGTTAAGCATTGCTTCGTGAGACATTTTATAAATACTTTCTCAAAAGAAAAATACGACTTGTTGATAAATTGGACATTTTACCATATAACCATATAAACTCCTTTTCGCTAACGAGAATTTTTTCTCCTACTATGTTCGTTTCTCAATCGCTTTCCATAATCTTTCAATAGTTTTACTCCATTGTCTAACAGTGGTGTAGAATTTTGCCTTTAGACAGGTCCATTTTTTGGGATGTGATTATTTATTACATCTTCGAACTGAATGGAATAAAGAAATTTGTAGATTATTCGTCCCTCTTAGATGAAGTTTTTCGCGGGCCTATCTTTTGTATTTAAAATATAAGTTATCTTGCGCAACGGAAGGGATGTATTATAAGAATAGCGATTGCGGGATTTTACCTTGCGAATATTTTATTTTGAATGAATTATGCAGAACTTCATTTTTACAACAGCTATGTTGCTGTATGTGATGAACTATATCGAAAAGTGATGGCACTCCTTGAAATGTCAACTACGAATTGGTAATTCGTATTTTGTCACAGGCACTTCATAATCAAAATGTCTGAGAAAATGGATTTACTACAGCGAACGACGAGCTATAAAAATCATTTTTACTGTTTGCCAAATTAAACCATGCGATGAATAAATTCTCACGCTTTTTTTGAGAGAGTTGAGTAAACAAAGGCTGTTTTTAAGCCAAAGTATATGGACAATATCAACAGTCTGTCGATGGGATACTGAAAACGGCTAAAATTAATATTGGTTTTGGAGTTTAAACAATGGAATTGAAAATAATAATAATAATTTGACATCCAATCTGAGCTGCTTCCAACATTTTTGAATGAAGCATCGTCTTTTTTCTTTTTTGACACTCTCGGACAGAAAAAGCACTCTTGAATTGTCCAGTTTTTTTTTATAAAATATGTAAATCCGCCTTCATCTTCCCGTGGGAACTTTAACTCATGTTTCATTTTTAGGTCTTCAAGCTTCGATATCTTATCAACTTTATTAATTCTTTATGCTTATGAACTAATTGAACAGATTATACGCATGGAATTATCATAATCAACTTTAAATACTTCATTTACTTGCCCTCCTCGTTTCTTTGTGGTTTGTATATTTACGGAATATTTTCAACAAAATATAAACTAGTCTTCTCGTCTCCCTATGCATGCATTGCGCGCTAATCAACAACTGAAAGTATATTAAATTTTTCCTATCTAAAATATGTATTTATTTGTGTATTTGTTGGATGGCTTACACTTACTTTTTTCACTCTATAATGTTGACAATGGTGTTTTTTTAGCCCGTCCTCCGTATTTTCCTGCAAAAAATCAAACAAGTATTCAGTACCCTTTTTCTTCTAATATTTCTCAAGAACTGCAACTTCACCGAACCCTTCCCATCAGTCCTGCTCCTTCACCTCCCCCTTCTTCAAAAAATACCATTGACAGGTAACTATAAGAATTCATAACCTGTAAAAAATGAGAGTTGTCTTCTTAACTGTCAGTGTAGGTAGTGATGGATGAACAAGGGAGAACGAGAACAGTCTTTACACTACTTAAAATATAAACTAAGATAACATGTGTCATTGTAGGTGGTGATGAATGAACAACAGAGAACGAGAACAGTCTTTACACTACCTAAAATATAAACTAAGATAACGTGTGTCAGTGTAGGTAGTGACGAATGAACAACAGAGAACGAGAACAGTCTTGACACCATCTATTATATAAAATCAGATAACATATGTGTTTATGTGATGGTGAACAATATAAAATTATATTACCATGGTTAGTGAAAAGTCTATCAATAGATATTGTAATTTTCTCAGCCAAGAAAGACCCACTGGTTCTCGTCTTACACAAGATGCGATGAGAAAATACTTACGAGAGCTTGCCAGCAACGAACTTTTAAATTCGACAGTAATAATACAACATGCCAAAGTCGCCCAAAATCATATGGTAACGAAAAAAGGTAAAGAGAAAAAATTATACTGCTCTTACTTATATACGTGATGTATTCAATAAAGCTCAATGTTGAAACCGATCACCACTAAAACATTGAAAATTTTCACGTCATCAGGTTTTTTTGCCCACCTCCATGTGTTTACTTGGTCGGTCATGGCTGGAATTGTCGAAAAAGTTACAGTATGGTGGCTGAAAACCGTGACAAAGACTCCGAAACAGTCGCTTTTATCGGTATATCAAGCGGTAACCAAGGAGAACACGAATATCAACAGCTGTCAATGGAGGACAGACTTGTTGAAAAAGTAAGATTGCTTTCTGCTTTCATGCACTTCGTGACTGGTAGAATAGTTTTGAAGGAAAAATGGAGTGTATTTTATTTAGAATATAATTTATTTGATTAAAATGTAGTGTATAAACTAATCTCCAAGTTTTTTCGGTTAATTTGTGTTTAGCGTTACAACAGCTTACTTAAAATGATGTTAGATACGAAATTTGTATGAAGAATTGCATGCATTCCTAAATGATAGTAGAACCAAGTAATCTACTGAGGCAAATGTGGAAATACTCCCGTATCTTGGATACACAAGGACGGGAAATGTGTCTTGGAGTTTTTTATTGGAAATGTTTATTCATGTTAAATTTCATTTCCATTGTTTTCTGCTTTTTTCTTACAGAAATATTGTTACGGTGCTGCAAAAACGCTATTTATTTCTGACGCAGACAAAAGGAAAAATTTTCTCTTGTCTGTCAAAGTACGTGTATTGATTGTTGAAAATAAGGTGCTCTAGTTTGATCACCAATATCTTAATGCACTAATGTTGATATGCGACTGTCCGAAGTATTATATGTGAAGTGTTTTGACCTCCATAAATGATTATTTTTTCAAATATATTTTTCACAAATCTGTATAGGACCGTATAGGTTACTTTCTAATAAAAATATAAAAATAACGTGCGGTGTTTTGCCGTTTATATATATGTACTTTCCATTTCATTTAGCTTCATCATCCAAACGGAGATACTGTTGGTGTCTTCTCTTCAAAAAGAATAAAAGTAAGTGTGGAAATTTAAGATTCAATATTGCAGCTACAATTTTAGAAAATGTTGTCGTTCTTTGTTTGTCAATTGTGATTTTTCATGAATTTTTTTTTTGTCATGGGCAGGTAATTTCAAAACCCTCGAAGAAGAAACAGTCTCTAAAGAACGCTGAATGTAATTTTCAATTCAACGAAATTATATATTTGCTTAATATACAAAAGAAATGAATGTAGCTATCTCCAATCATTTTATTTATTCAAACACCTCTGACGTGACTGTGAAGATCTAAAGTTAAAAATTAATGGGTTTTTTTTTGCAGTATGTATCCAATCAGGTAGCACCGTGGCTCTCTTTAATCGTTTACGATCTCAGACAGTGAGCACTCGCTACCTTCATGTTGAGGATAGAAACTTTAGAGCCAGTAGTACTCAATGGGGTGCATTCACTATTCATTTGCGTAAGTTTTTTGAAAATTACTATGTAAAATATATCTTTATATGGTCATTCCTCAACACCCCCATTTTCTCCACTACTTCAGATCTTACACTTCCCCCGGCGACTCTTAACACCCCCATGATCACTACTCCTTCAGATCTTTGACATCCCCAATGTCCCTCAATACCCTACTCTTTCAAATTTTGGACTTCCCCCCAATGTTATCGAGTCCAAGAATTCTCACCTTGTCGATACCCAGCATATTCGTTGTATTAAATAGAATAGATTCAACCTCCGTCCGTCCACAGTCCCTTCTGAATTTGTTATGAACATTTAAAAATGTTGCATTCCTTTGAGTGTAGTGAAATTACTTGATTGTAGAATAAGGAAAATCTGTGTTTGTGAATCCTGAAGGAAAGTATTTATATTGTAGTTGATGATGATGAAGACGAAAGTGAAGAGTTTACTGTTAAAGATGGATATATTCATTATGGTTCTACTGTCAAACTAGTGTGCTCTGAAACTGGAATGGCCTTACCTAGACTGGTATGTTGTATATAGCCATGTTATAAATAGGTTTTAATGGCTGGGTAGAATGGAGAATGTTGTCGAGATTTTGTTTTATGTTTGTAAATGTTGATCGTCCGTAAACATGTAACAATACACCTGGGTTCAAACCATTTACTTTATTTTGTTTTATGTTGTATTTTTCATGATTTTCTTTTCTTACTTTGACCAGATAATCCGTAAGGTAGATAAACAGACGGCTTATCTTGACGCAGATGATCCTGTTTCCCAGCTACATAAGGTAAACAAAACCCGCACATTTTGATTACCCGAGTTTTGTGTGGTTCTGTGTAGAAGGGGGGTTGGTGACGATGTTTAAAAATATCTTTAAATTTCTTGTGATTTTTACTTTCAAAGGTTGCTTTCTATATGAAAGATACAGAACGAATGTATTTGTGTTTGTCACAGGAGCGCATCATACAATTTCAGGTGAGTGTTTGGGGAGGTTTTTATCGCGTCAACTGTCCATGAAAAGATGTCTCTTTCGTGACTCTCATAGACTCTTCTAAAACAATTTTTAAATAATGGTAATAAAGTAATTGTTAATAAAGAAATTACGAACTAGTTATTCAAGTGCAATATTTCAAATGACTCGTTAATTTTTTATTGTCAGTCGACTCCATGTCCAAAAGATTCTAAAAAAGAAATGATCAACGATGGAGCGTCATGGACAATAATAAGTACTGGTAAGTGATCTTCATATCTTTCTCTTGTACGATTCTCTTACAAGTATCGATGTTTTCTATTCACGGTATTTAAAAGCATGCATAAATTAATTTCTTTTGAAGCTAGTCTGGGTGATGGAGTAGTTGAGAATAACATTTTTCTTGTTGTTTCCACTTCATGTATATTTCGCTGTTGGAAAAGATTTAAGTTTCACCTAGGTCCAGCTGTACAGAAAGATAAATATGTTGGTGTTTTTTTTCTTTTTTTCTTGTAAAATAACGCATTTCTAATACGTTTTTGTAGATAGAGCGGAATATACATTTTTTGAAGGTATGGGTCCTATATCATCTCCTGTCACTCCTGTTCCAGTTGTTTCAAAACTTGACCTTAATGGTGGTGGTGACGTCGTCATGTTAGAATTGACGGGTCAGAGTTTTACAGCTAATTTACGTGTTTGGTTTGGTGATGTTGAAGCGGATACCAGCTACAGGTATTTTCATTTTAACTGTTGCACCATGATCGATCTTTTAAGCTTTTATTAGTTTAAGTGTAGCTACGTATCCATTGAAGATTCACACTAATCTGGCATTGAGAAATAACGAACTGGAAATTCTAGCCAAAGTTAGGAGAAGTTCATTCACGAATTTTCCGTTCATTTAATTTCAAATATATCCCTCAATTTAACGGCGCGTTTTCACAAATTTTCAAGTGTAATTTTTTTTGGCAAACATGAATTATTTCAGACACGAGTTACCCATGTTCTATACAATTTCTATCCGAAAAGTGTCTCACGGGCATCTCGCGAGTATCCCACGAATATCTCACGGGCACCGAAATTTTTATGCAACACTTTGATTTACAGCATTAAGAAAAACAATTTTGTTGTTTCTCTCAGGTGTGCTGAAACTCTTCTGTGTCTTGTGCCAGACATCTCTTCGTTTCAATGTGCTTGGAAGTTTGTGCGCCAGCCGATACAGGTACCAATTAGCCTGGTTCGAAATGACGGTATAATATACCCTACCAACCTTACCTTTACCTACACACCTGAGTCTGAAGAACGACCTCGTTGTATAGAGGCAAAGGTTATACAAAAGAGCTTTTCATCCACCAACGTCGAAACGTCATCATGTGAAAATATGCCATCATGACATGATATCATTTCATAAAACAATGTCATGGACGATGTCACTGTCTTTGATCTATGATTACTTTCTACACGGTTTTCATTGGATGATATGATTACATCATCGCATGGTGTCATTTGACAATATCGCGAGATTGTCTGTCGAAATGATGACACACATCAAAGAGGCAGAAGCTTTTGTAACAAAAATATCTTATGCTTGTTTAGTCATCTAAGCATTGTTATGAATTTGCTGAAACAAAACGAAGTATTTAGTTTCAACAAATAACTATATGATGACCAAATTACTTGGATAAAATCCACAAAAGCGTGAAAGTCAAAGACCGTGCAGCTGTCCCCAGGCTCTATTGGCTCCGCAGCTACAAAAAGTGTTGTTGTTTTATGACATGGTGAAAGACGATTTACTTGACGACAGCATTGTTATAAACACTAAAAACACTGTAATTTAAAATGTAAAATTCATTTATGATAGACGAATAGGTTCTGTTACTATGACATTTCAATAAAATATGGCCCGTTACAGGGCATTTTGTACCCTTGAAATTGGTTACTTAAATAAGAAATCTATGGGTGCATCATTTAATATTTATACTTAACATCAGTCTATTTACCCCACGCAATGTATTTTGGTAATTCTTTTATCTGTAGGCAAATTATCGCCCACCAGAAATGATTATTCTTCGTCTTTGATGCGTCAGGAATGATAGAAATGTTAATTTCTACAAGCTTGATGACGCAGATTATTTGTGGTAGTTAACTAGTAAATATGGCAGTTTTTCTTTCCATGATTTCTATATGTTTTATCATTGTTCTGTGCATTTCGCCTGGTGAAAATAAAGATCCGTTGTGCGGTGGTAATTTTCCTTTTTTTTTTATTTATTTTGGTACAAAGGAATTAGTAATTGGTATCTAAAGGACTTTTGAGTCATTTCAATTGAGTCGTTTCAATTTGTGGATGGTCTGGACCCTGGATAGAGCTCTGTCTCTTCCGCTTGCATTTCAGAAACCACTGAAACGACTCGATGGACTACTAGAGAACCAGACTTTAGTTTAGGTCTTCCGAACTAACCTAAGTGATTAGCATCTACAAACATGCAGCGGTACTCCAGGGATCAAACCATTCACTTTAGGATATAGTATTGCTAACTTTCTTACCCCACTAATCCAATGCTCTAATCTTGTTCGTATTTGATTTGGTACATCCTATACAAGAAACTTTTTCTATATTTCAGTCAGTCTTACAATACCGACCGGGGAATGTTGCTCTAGGGAGTTTGCACGGTACTGTTGCTCCGGTATATCTGTTTGTGTTGATGGAGAAGAGAATAGCACCGTAGAAAAGGTCGTTTTTGAAAATAATCCTTGTTTGACTCCATGGAATTCGAGCGCTTGTGTAGCTGGTTTTTATACAACAAATGGTGTTGATGTTTTATCTTGCCCTCCCGGTACGTTTTGTTATTATTCTAGCATGCCTTTTCTTTGTTTTTTATAAGAAAGTCTGTACACAGTACACCTGGAAAGTCCAATATTTTTTTTCTTCAGGTGCTCAATAAAAAAACTCACGTCATATTTGACTGTAAATTACATATTATGCACTGTTATGTACAGTTGTTTACAGTTCTGACTTCTGTACAATATATGTCTCCTGAGTTCTGAAATGATTTAAATCTATACCTTTGAAAAATTTAGGATATTTTTGCCAACAAGGCTTGGCATGCCTAAAACCTTGTCCATCGGGTGCTTATTGTGTTCAAAATATTCTTGTGAGTATTTTCAGATTTTTATTGAGCTCATACTATTATATTATTAATTTATTATATATTGCATTATTTAAGATTGTACAAGGACTGTTCTTGTTCTCTGTTGTTCATTCATCACTACCTACACTGACACACGTTATCTTAGTTTATATTTTAGGTAGTGTAAAGACTGTTCTTGTTCTCAGGTGTTCATTCATCACTACCTACACTGACACACGTTATCTTAGTTTATATTTTAGGTAGTGTAAAGACTGTTCTTGTTCTCAGGTGTTCATTCATCACTACCTACACTGACACACTTTATCTTGTCTTAGTTTATATTTTAGGTAGTGTAAAGACTGTTCTTGTTCTCAGGTGTTCATTCATCACTACCTACACTGACACACGTTATCTTGTCTTAGTTTATATTTTAGGTAGTGTAAAGACTGTTCTTGTTCTCTATTGTTCATTCATCACTACCTACACTGACACACTTTATCTTGTCTTAGTTTATATTTTACGTAGTGTAAAGACTGTTATCGTTCTCTGTTGTTCATTCATCACTACCTACACTAACACATGTTATCTTAGTTTGTATTTTAGGTAGTGCATAGAATATTCTTGTTCTCTGTTCTCTCATAAAAAACACCAATAAAATTTCACGTATGTAAAAAATAAAAATCTTTCATTTACTCACTGTTAAAATCTCATTTTAGGAAACCAACTCTAGTAATTGTAATCAATATGAAAACTGCTGTTTACCTGCCAACACTCCACCTATATTAAATGAATTTACAAATGCTCTTGCTTGTCCTGGTCAATATTACCCTCAACGATGTCTAGAAGGTTTTTATTGTCCAAACACAACAACCCAATATTTATGTCCATCAGGTCATTTCTGTCGACAAGGAGTCAACATCCTGTGAAATGTCCAGTTAGTTTATTATGTCTTTTATTCTTATGGTTTCTTTTAGTGCATTTTGTTGAAAATTTGATTTCTTCAATTTCAGGTTATAAGCTCATGTGTTAGTGGGGAGAAATCACCAAACACTCTCTACATTGGTCTCATCTTGAACAGTGTATTGCTTTCAACATTCTTTATTATCTTGTTCTATTTCAACAATCGACGACACTTCAAATTTTATTTTGCTCTTTACATACGAAGTATTAGGAACAAACATACTCCGAGTCAAAGATACAACATATCTGATGGCCTTAGGCTTGCCATTGATAGGCTTCCAAAAATCGGATTGCAGGATAATATAATGGTTGCAAAGAAGGATGGTTATAATATAAGTTTTGAAAAACTGCGTTTAACATTAACTTCAGTAAGTTTGTATGTTTTCTGATATTCTCATTTCTTGTGTTCTCATCACTGAGATTTAGTTTTTGGTGTTTAAATTGTATTCATGTCCTTGTACACCGATTCATATAGACTTCACAATTTTAACAATAGGAAGACATTTGTTTTGGTACATAATTAGGGTATTGTTATGCTTTGATTTGATATTTATTTTATTTCATTTATTGAGGGTGAAAACAAGGGTAAAGTCTTGCTTCATGGAGTAACTGGAGAAATTAGGGCTGGTGAGATCACGGCTGTCCTTGGACCTTCAGGTGCTGGGAAAACATCTTTCTTGAATGTCCTTTGTGGAAAAGCATATTATGGTGTAAGGAATTTTGATTGTTTAGAGAAAATGCAGAGATATATCCACATATTTATATCTTTTATTCTATGTGTAGCAAGCCAATGGTACTGTTCGTATAAATGGCAAAATGGTGTCTGGATTTCAAGATTATAAATACCTCACAGGATTTGTGCCACAGGTTTTCTTTTAGCTAATGTGTGGGGTGGTGTTATTTGAAATCTTCTGTTCCAAAACTCTGATCTATTCTACTCAAATCTAATATAATCTAATATCTAATCTACTTTGATCTATTATTTACTACGTAGCCTTTGATAAAATTTGTCTGATGTCATTATTGCTGATACTTTCATCAATTGAAGATGTTCTTTTCCCAAACTTTGATGGTTCGCATCAAATTGTTTAGGAAGACATTATGCATCGATCTTTGACAGTTTGGGAAGTACTGTATTACAATGCTCTTCTTCGTCTTCCTCCACCTTCTGATTGGAAAGTATATGAAAATACTGTAAAACAGGTTAATTTAATTAACTTTGTTCTTTATTTTGTAATGTTGTATTAACTTTACTGTATATCTTTTTTTCTATTTTTTCTCTGGCATAATCCTTCATTCTCTTATCTCATAGACAATGTCATTATTGGGCATCAAAAACGTGGCCAATCAAATCATTGGAGACGAGGTTGTAATTTTTCATCGTGAAAATTCTTTTTAATTTGTTACGTGAATGTTAATTAACCGATGTCTATTATTATTAAAGCCAAGTGTTTAAACAGCACATTTCATAATTTATGGGATTCAATATGAAAAACGAATGAATAGAAATCAAACAGACAAACTTCGCTGTCTTTAGAGCAGAAAAACACATAGAATTGACCATACGTGTTTCGAAATTTGATTAGGAAACACGTGGAATTTCTGGAGGTCAGAGAAGACGTGTAAATATTGGAATGGAGCTGGTCGCAGATCCAACTGTTGAAGTCATGATGGTGGTAGCGAATAAATTAGACTATTTAGGTAATATAATTCTAGTTTGATATAAGTTCACCATTCTGTTACATGTGCTCGACCCGACTGACTCGACTCAATATATAATAGCATGCAGTAAAAATTAACATAGGAATGTTCACGTGTCTATAAGGAAATATCAATTTACAATGTTTAACTTAACACCCCCACTTAAACATTAGTTTCTTTAGCTACAAATAAATGTATTACATTGGTAAACAAAGCATAATCTAAAATTATTTACAAGATCTGTTACCAAAAACAGTAGACATAAAAGTTTTTAATTTTTGTGCAGATATTGGTTTAGTGAACATATCTGATATATTATCACTTGACATAACATATTTTACATTTATTAGACCCTTTTGTATTTCTTGCCTAATAAAATGATAGCGAATATCAATATGTTTGGACCGTGTCTGTTGCTCGTGGGTTTACCGAGAACTTCCATCACACTGTCCTCCTTTTGGTTATTTTCATCTGAGAGCTTCAGTGTTTCTTCGAAACCTCTCAGCGCGACTTTGAATTCGCTAAACGTTTGTTCCTTGTCTTTCTGTGTCACAACCGGAAAAAATACACAAAGTTGCACATGCACAAAACGATGATTCACTACAACTATGTTCCAGTAATTTTTTAACAGTTAAAACTACAACGCATGTCACGACAATGAAATGATTACGGTTCAATGTTACTGCACTTACAACAAAGTACGATAAAAATACGATACAATGTTTTTTATTTATGATTAACTAACGTCGTGGGTTCATCGAGAAAGAGTATAGTTGGTGTTAAGTTAAACATTGTAAATTGATATTTCCTTATAGACACGTGAACATTCCTATGTTAATTTTTACTGCATGCTATTATATATTGAGTCGAGTCAGTCGGGTCGAGCACATGTAACAGAATGGTGAACTTATATCAAACTAGAATTATATTACCTAAATAGTCTAATTTATTCGCTACCACCATCATGACTTCAACAGGTTATGGGCCCAGGTCTGTTACCAAAAACAGTAGACATAAAAGTTTTTAATTTTTGTGCAGATATTGGTTTAGTGAACATATCTGATATATTATCACTTGACATAACATATTTTACATTTATTAGACCCTTTTGTATTTCTTGCCTAATAAAATGATAGCGAATATCAATATGTTTGGACCGTTGATGTTGCACAGGGTTTTTGGCTAGAGCTATCGCACCTTGATTGTCACAAAACAAACTAACAGGATTTGAGGATTCTATTGGAAAGTCTTTTAAAAGTTGCAAGAGAAATTTCGCCTCTTGAATAGCAGAACTTAATGACATGTATTCTGCCTCACATGTGGATAAAGCAACAGTAGGCTGTTTTTTACTTTTCCATGAAATCAAGGGACCAGTTTTATTTAGTTGGAAACCATATCCCGTTATACTTCGTCTATCCTCTGAGGAACCCCAATCAGCATCACAATAACCCATTAGAGACAGAGGCTGTTGAGATTTTCTGAAGACAAGCCCTTTTTCTGACGTACCTTTTAAGTAACGTAAAACATGCTTTGCAGTGTTCATGTCAGATGCTGTAGGAGCAGACAGATGCTGAGACAGCTTAGTCACACTATAGCATAAATCAGGTCTAGTTGATGTCATTACATACACTAAACTTCCTACTATTTCTCTGTAGAGCTTGTTATTTACTAGTGGTGATTCTTCAGATTTCATTTTATTAGAACTCATCTCACATGGTGAAGATCTAGGTTTACAATTTTGCATGTTAAACTTAGCTAGAATCTTCTCGATATACTTTGATTGACTCATTATTATCTCATTTTTCTCACAGGTAAATTCTATACCTAGAAACCAAGAGAGGACGCCCAGGTCTTTCATTTTAAAACGACTACTAAGTTTCTGCTTTACCTCTGCTAAGCACTCTGCACTACTTGATGCTATTATTATGTCATCTACCCAAATGATTAGAATTGTCACTGAAGTATCAGTTACCTTGACATATACACAATTATCAGACTCAGATCGACTAAAACCTTCACTTTTTAGGTAAGAGTCCAGTAAATTGTTCCAATTACGACCACTCTGTTTTAATCCATAGAGAGATTTCTTAAGTTTAAGCACAAGATTTTCTCCATTATTTCCCTTTTTAACAAAACCGTCAGGTTGTTCAACAGAGCGGTTGTCAATGGAAATAGAATCATTGTATTTGGCTTTTAGTTTTTTAAACAAAAAGTTTTTAACGCTGTTAGGATAACCGTTCCAAGACATGTAAAATTTGATTATTTCAATTTGATTGTTGAAAAGTGTTTTATTGCTACAAATTTTGAAGGCACGTTGGTAAAGAGATTTTACCCATGCAATTTTACGATGAAAAGGTTCGAAGCTAGAGAAATGTGAGTACTGACCAGTGTGGGTGTCTTTTCGGTAAATGTCAGTTCCGTCAACCGAAATTTTATATCTAGAAAGTGAATTATGCCATCGTGAAATGTATCAACTGTGAATGTGAGATTGGCATCAAAACTATTAAATTTCGATAAGACATCGGAAATATTGGAGGGTTTAATCAAAACAAGCGTGTCATCAACGTAACGGTTGTAGAATTTTATTGTGCCATCATTAATGAGATCGGAAACTATTAATTTTTCAAATTCGGTTAAAATTATATTAGCAAGGACAGGTCCTAACGAGGAACCCATAGAAACGCCGTCTTTTTGGGTGTAAATGGTGTTATTAAAAGAAAAGGCAGTTTTGTTGCAGCAATCTAATATGAGTTTTTAATGTAGACTTTTAAAGTTGTTGAAATTATGTGTTCATCGTAAATACGGTCTAAAATGATTTTGACTGTGCGAGACAATGGAACGTTGGTAAAAGGGATTCAACGTCGAATGAAACAAATTGATAGCCTTCAGCGAACAGATGTTTAGGAATGTTATAAATATTAGTTACTGCGTCAAAAGAGTCAGAAAGGGAGAAGGAATTTAGAGTGAGAGGATACAGTAGGGAAGATAAAAATTTGCCAACGTTGTAGTGAGGAGTGTTAGTAGTGTCAATTATTGGTCTGAATTTTGGTAAAGTATCATATTTCTTGTGTGTCTTTGGTAAACCATGTCCTCTACCAAATTGTGCTGTAACAGGTTTAAGAGAGTCAAATTGTTCGTCAGTAATTTCACCACGTTTGTTAAGTTTACGAAGGTAGTCTTGAAGAGAATGAAGTCTGGTTAGTGTCGGGTCGTGATTTTAATCATCATTCTGTCTGAGGATGACTTTGAAATAAAGTCGAAAATTCACAGTTTACTTCTCGTCTTGTTTTGATTCATATTTTGCAATCTCAAGATGTCTTGCTTCTTCGGAATTTGTTTTGTATTATACTTCTTTAAATTGTCGGCTGGTCATGGTTTTTGAACACACCGACTGTTCTGGTTGTTTGTACCATGTAAGTGACCAAACTCCTACCTTTTACGTTGTTCTCACTTGACGAGTAAGCAGGATAAACTGAAACCAATGTATGACAATTTGAATACTTCCAATTGATCCACATGTTCATTCATTGCACTTAATTTGAAAACCTGGCAATAAAAAAGTGATATGTATACTCAGTAAAACCTCAGACAAATAGAAACTAACCATAAACAACGATAACAGCTTTGATTTAGCATGCATAGGCCATTTGGCCTTGAAATTTGCGGAGACTGGTGGTAATCGTTATTATTGACAGCTCAACTATACGATTACTAGAAGCATTATTAAATTCAAAGAGGTCTAAAATCTATCGGGTTTAAGGACTTTTCGATACACTGTCAATAACATGACTCGAGCGTCACATATGAAACATGCGTCAGATCAGCATTGATGGTGGTAGTTTTCGTACCATGAAAAAAACTGTCCAAGTAATAAAGCTAACCTGCATAATTACGCTATGTATATTTTGAAGAAATTATATTTAATATCACGACAAGCGCGTGACAAATAAATTGCACAGCTGTTGAAAATTTTCAGTTAAACTCCATGAAGAATAACTATAAATAATTTCTGGAATTTGGGCAGTACTATAAACTCTATAAAATTACAAACAAAAAAATAGTGAAAATTCTTTAAAATAGAATAGAACAGTGAAGTAGAAAATAAATAAATGAAAATTCTATAGTAAATATTCTATAAACTTTTATTCAAGATGTAATACATGTTTGTCTTTGAAAAAATTAAGTGAAATGTAAAGCAACACGAGAGGTGTACATAGAAGTTACAAGAAATATGTTATTTCAATGAGAGAAGGGAGAAATATGCACTAATTTTTCGAACAGAAATGCGATACTTTAATTCAGCGAATATATTAAAGCATAGTTTTAGGGTTTTAGTCAGATGTCAATGGCAAGCAGAATAAGACAGCTAGAGATCGTCAATCATCCATACAGCAAATAAAATAACGTATTTTTGTCAAGTTATCGGCAAGGTAAGTTTATACATCAAAATATAAATTCACATATTGCACTTTCATCCGTTTGAGGATTTTATTGTGTTTATACTTAATGAGTGTCTACGTGTAAGCTCTGTGAAGTTCAAAAATGCCATAACACGTCATCAAATTTATGAAAAAAAAAGCGAATTCATCCACTGCACGAATAACAAAAAGTTTAACAATTTAAGTGTTCGTATTTGCCGTACTTCCTTTGAAGAAAAAATAGCAGCTTACTTCATTGTAAGACGTAAAAAAATTGTTTAATTTTACCACTGCAAAGTTTGACTTGCATAAGTGAAAATGTTAGAAGCAATTGTATTTTTTCGCAATATACGGTGATGGGCAGTAGTATTTTAAATAAATTTCTTAGACGAAGTATATAGAACGAAGTTGCCTTCAAATGAATGAAATATCAAAAATACAATATATGAAAAGAAGTTTTGAATTTATATTTATTGTAAAGTTATCTTTATGTCTTAAATGACCTCTAAACTAACAGTTATTCGCCAGGGCAT